CCTTGGCGCTGTCCATGGCGAGCCCCTTGTCCGACAACTTGTAGCCCAGGAAATCTACCTCCTTCATGTCGAACTGGCACTTCTCCAGCTTGGCGTACAGCCTGTGCTCCTGCAGTCTCTGCAGAACTTCCTTGACGTCTCCCTCGTGGGTCTCCTCTGATTCTGAAAATATCAGGATGTCGTCCAGGAAGCAGACGCATTTCTTGTAGAGGAGACCCGCCAATACGTGATGCATGAAGGCTTGAAAACAGTGGGAGCCATTTTGTAATCCAAAGGGCATAACTCTGTATTCATAGGTGCCCAGGGGCGTGAACATGGCAGTCTTCCATTCGTCGCCCTCCCGTATGCGAATCAGGTTGTACGCCCCTCGCAGATCCAACTTTGTGAAAACGCGTCCTTTCCTCACCGTTGCGAGCAGGTCATCTATCTTGGGCATGGGAAAGGCTGTGGGCTTGGTTTTCGAGTTCAAAATTCTATAGTCCACCACAAGCCTTTTTTGGGGCGTGTCCTTCTTCTTCACAAAGAATACAGGACTGCCCCCCACTGCCTTCGACTCCTGGATGAAACCGCGCTTCAAGTTGAGGTCTATGAACTCCCTGAGTTCCTGCAGCTCGTCTTCAGACATGGAATACAGTTTCCCGGTTGGCAGCGTCGCCCCTGGCAGGAGGTCAATCTTGCAGTCATAGGACCTGTGGGGAGGTAGCTTGTCCGCTTCCTTCTCGCAGAAAACCTCCAAAAACGCTGCGTACTTGAGTGGCACTGCTTGCAGCGTGCCTAATTGTAGCTGCGGGTCATCCTCTTCCCCTTCCGGGCTAGGCAGAATGCAATGTTCCGCACAGTATGAGGAGCCGAAGGTCAGTTGTCGCTGGTACCACGCCAATGCTGGGCTGTGCCTGTGCAGCCAACTCATGCCTAATACTATAGGCGTGTCCGACAGTTGGGTGACATTGAAGCTGATGACTTCTCGGTGATTCCCAATTTGCATCATCATCGGAGGCGTTTGCTGCACCACCTGCCCCCCCAGCAATTCCCTGCCATCCACCGTGACAACTTTCAGAGGCAGCGTGGCTGGCAGGAGTGCTATGTTGTGCTCTTGAATGAAATCCAGTCCTATGAAGTCTGCGTTACTACCAGAGTCAATGGTAATCGGCACTTCCATAGTGAGTCCATTGGGTAGTTGGAGCGATGCTGTGAGCTGCACCACTGGTTTGGGCGGGAGGGGGTCTGTGGGCTGCAAAATCTCTGGGGACGGCTTCATTGACTTGTCTGGCTGGGCCCCAGTGCCTCTTCCTCCAACCAGACTCTGTCGTTTCCCTGCTGTGGTTCTCTGTGCTGAGTTGCGTCTGTTACTGTTGCTGAGGCTGCAGTGTGCTTGTGGAGCCTCTGGGGACACTCTTTCGCCATGTGCTGAGCACTGTCGCAGATGTAGCACTTCCTGTTCCCTCTAGGAGGCTTCGCTTTGACTGCTCCCGGTGTTAGGGCTCTGGTTGCTGACTGAGCCCTGGCGCCTCCAATCTCCATCGGTTGCTCTCCCCTCCTTGCGGAGGTGGGGATTGCACACGCGCTGCATCCTTGGGAAAGAGGGAGGTGCTCTCACTGGCGTACGTCCCCAACGTCCTTCTTCTCTGTTCCATGGACGTTCTTCCAGACGCACCCCAATTTGCAGCGCCCGCCGGACAACCTCCTGAGTGCTCTTTGGTCTCTCCCCCCTTGCAATCTCATCTTTCACATTTGCATTCAAGCCTTCCCAACAAAGGTCTCTGGCTGGGGCAGAATCCTTCTCCCATCCCAGCGCATGGACTAATGCAACACAGCGGGAATGGTACTGCCTTACACTGGCTCTGCCTTGTTTGAGCCCATGTATGTCTTTTCTGGCGATATCAATGTCTATATTTGATAAAAAACACGAATCCATCGCTTTAATGAATGCATCCGCATTTTGGAGCGCCGGATCCTTATCTCTCCACAGATTGCGCAGCCACGCTTTAGCTTCCCCATGCAAATGGGACAAGATAAACCCCACCTTCTCTTGCTCATCTCTAAAGTCTTTATCCAGCAGTTCCAGCGCAAACAGCACGTCTGCTCGGAAGTTAGGGTACTGCTGCAAATTCCCATCGAAATGAGATACCAGGCTGCCTCCTCTTTTCCCCAGCCCAATCCCCTCTGATTTGGGTCCCGGTTGCCCCTGCTTAGCAAGCACTTCCAACCTGGCTTGGAGATCCCTGCAGGCGGCAGCCGCTTCCTCTTCCCTTTTCCTGGATGCGAGTACCTCCGCGTTGAGTTGTGTCACTGCATTTTGCAGGGCTGCTAGTTGCTGTTCTGTAGTCATCTTGCCTGACTTTTGTGAGCTCGCGAAGCACCAATCTTCTTCCCTCGCTGCGTCCACTCACGTTACGAGGTTTTTGGTGCAAAACTTTATGAGATGGAGCTTACTGTCAGAGCTGGCTCCAGGTCCCAGCTCACAGAGGACCAACGCTAGCCGGCAGTAATGTACAAAAGTCTTTATTGAAGTACAGTTTCCATTTTCAAGCCGCAGCGCCCCAGCTCTACGTCTAGGGGTTAGATCGGCGAAGCTCCATCTGAGTCTCCGCCCCTGTACACCAGTTTAAGATTCTAGCCTTACTCCACCTCTTACGTCTCTCCTTTCTCCTCTGGGTCCTGCTACCCCCCGGGGTCCCTTCCTTCCTGGATTCTTCTGACGCTGACCCCCCCTGACTCCTCCCCCTCTTTTCGGCGGGCTTTGGGACCTGGCTCCCTATCCGGGCTGCCAACTGCGCCGCCCTCCTGTACATTTGAACTTGGCGCGCGCGCCCAGCCTTCAACCTTCCTCTCGACCGTTTCCTCGCTCCCCGATGGAGGCGTGGCCAATCCTGACTCATGTCCTCCCACTGGCAGTGCGCCGCCTGATCCCGATGCCTGGGACCCCTCCCCCCTACTGCACTCTGGTGTGGACGCTGGTCCTGATTTCCAACTGCTGCTCTCTGAGTCCCCTCTGGCCCCTTCTTCCTGGGGTGTCCCCCTCGGCACCCCCTTGCTCTGACCAAGGGAGCCCCTTTCTGTGAATCTTCCGATTCGCTGGAAAGACTCAGAGACCTCGGACCGCTGTCATCGCTAACATTTCCTTCGGACTCCTCCCCCTCGCTCTCTATTTCCTCCCTTTCCTGTGCCTCTGCTCCTGAACCCCTGACAGGTGTCATCTGCAAATTTGATCAGGATGCCCTTGAGTCCATCATCCAAGTCGTTGATAAAGATGTTGAATAAGACCGGGCCCAAGACAGAAGAAGCAGAGTAGCAAGTAGATGTCAAGAAGCACTCCCGTAGAGCAGGGGTGGCTAACCTGCTTTTCTCCACCTGATGTTGTTGGATTCCAAGACCCATCGCTCCCTCCCAGGCAGCATGGCCAGTGGTGAGTGGTAATGGGAGTTGCAGTCCAACCACAGGCCAGCCACACCAATGGAGAGTATTTCCACCACAACCTGCTACCTACAAGTCTTGTCTCATAAACACTTCTGCCCATTTCCCCTCCTTGCTGGTCTTTATCCCTCTCAAAATCCACCTGCTTCATGAATCTTTACCTTGAACTGAAAAATAGCTTAAGTACACATAACTGCATTTGTGCAGACCCATCCTTTTGTTACCCGTATATCTCATTAACCTTCCCCTCCCCTTACCTCTGCCCACTGCTAAAATGTAGGCACTAGAAAGTAAGCTCCTTGGGGCAGGGACTTGCTGTCTTTCTTCTGTTATCCATGTGCAATGATAGCGCCATAAGTAAATATTTATAATAATCTCCAAAACGCTTTGGAACTTTGGAAGTTCGGCTGAGGTGTCTGGCATCTGAAAAAGTAGGCTATAGCTTACAAATTGTTTTGTTGTGCTTTTAGGAAAAAACAGGGTTGGTCCAGACTGGGGTTTCATTGTGACGGCATTCTGCAAAATGTAATCAGTACAATAATATTGCATTAGTATGGATTTATTCTGCTTCATTAGATGTTTTAGAATGCTTCCCCAGGGCTGCCACAGGATCACTGGCCAGACAGACTGTAGCACAACAAAGGTGGGACAACACCGCCCTCCCCCATGTTTGTAGTATGAGAAATTTCAGCAGGAAATTACAAGATATGCACTGATTGGAAATGAAGCAGTCTAACTACCCCAAAACCTTTATAGGCGCCAATCGTATTGAAAGAGGGGTCATATATGACTGCCCCAACAGCATCATGAGTACAAATAATCATGGATGCACAATAAAGGGGGCATCAGGAGGGCCCTTAGTTTTAAAGGTTTTACTGGACTCAGACTTCGAATGCCTACAACTCACATTTTACTTGTGTGGTTTTTTTCCTGGAAGGATATCAAATTTTTAGCTTTGATACTAGAATCAACAGCTTTCCTTGTTGGTGAAATTGTGGGAAAAGTGGGATGCTGGCATTTGTGAGTACAACTAGGCACAATCCGGGCAGCCTCCCACCACTTCACTGATGTTAATCTTCCTCACTCAAAAGTGGCTTACAGAGGAGAATGGGGTTTGGGGTTTGTATGTTTTCTTATAAGTAGCTGCAGCACAAGTAATGTATATTTTGCCCCTAAATGGTATTACTTCCATGGTGTGATTCTAGAGTCAGTTTTTATTACTGCTGCTTCATATTTTAACCAGTTTGTTGGTTTTAAGGCTGCTTTATTGCAATTTTGGTGTTTTGTCTGTTATTGTTGTAAGCTGCCCACATTGAATGAAGGGCAGGTGTGCAGCATAAACTATGTTCCTTGGTGGACTGTGTTTAGTCAAGAGAGCCGCAGGCTGTGCAGGTCTATTGTAGCTGAACATGTCTCTACCTTCCCCACTCCTTTTTACAGGAATCATGTGTCTTCATGATCCATTTAATTTCACACAACTGAAGGCACTTGAAGAAGCCGGCATTCCACTGTGGAAACTCCTCCCGGGCAGCCCAAGCCATGCCGTAGCTGGAACTTGCCAAAGACAAAACTCACTCACACACCTCTTGTTTGTTAACACAAATTAGTATATATATTTTCCCCTCTGAAACAAATTTAAACCCCCAAAGAGCAGGGCATCAATGGAAGCACAGTGGCAAATTTACAAAGCCAGTGAAGAGTCGACAGGGTGCGATATCTCTGCTCAAGGTCAGCATGTATAACCTCCTCTTTTTTTGTCTCCTATTGTGATGCTTTAGAGATGGGAATGAATATACCCATGGAAAGGGAGCATTAGGAGCTGTACAGGGAAGCGGATTTGGACCAGTGCATTTCAGGATGGATTTTGAGGTGTGGATAAATTTAGTTCCTTGCATGCATTAGAAGATGGGTGAATGGTGAGATACCAGGATGGAACAGGAGTCGGTGGAAGGTAGTCCAGTTGTAGATCACCAGATGGCTTCGGGTGGCCTGCCTAGTGCAGGGATAGGGAACATGTCCGTCCCCCCCCGCCCCCGACTCCGACTCCCATAATCCCTGACGATTGGCAATGCTGGGCAGTGCCAGTGGGAGTTGGGAGTCCAACAAAATCTGGAGGGCCGCAGAATCCCTAGTCCACACCCAGCTATCCAACTATAAGTGTCTGCTTATAGTTGGAATCCTTTCAAAATAATGATAAGCCAGGTGGACTCTGGTCTGACGCTCACTGAGAATAGTAGGGCACAAGGCAGAGAGGCCAACAGGAGGTGAAGTCAGAGCCAACGACAGGCAGAGGTGAATCAATTCCAGGTCCAACCCTTTGGGTTACGAATGGAGTATATAATAAAGCAGATTAGTTGTGCCTTAACTGTTAAAGAGATCCTGAGTGTGCATGTTTGCTTTGTAAATTGAAAGACATTGATGGATATTCCCCCGTTTTTCAGTAGATCGTGCAGGACAAAAGTCGCTTCACTCTGGTACAAATGTACAAACTGCCCTGCCCAGCAACTAATTTTTAACAGGTCGGTTTAGACAGTCAGCAGAAACGAGTGGAAAGGTGTTTTTTTCCTGGATTGAACAACACTGCAGGTGGGAGTGGCGTGCCCGAGTGCAGCGTTCCCCAAGGCGAAGGAGTCCCAAAACAAAACTCCGTGTCCCACAACAGGCAAGCAGTAGCGAGCAGCTGAGATGTACATGGAACAACTTTTCCCCAAATCTCTACTGATAGCCACACTGATAGCCACTCTTGGTTTGCCGGTGGGGGGGGGGCGTGTGTGGGACAGACAGGACAGCTGAGATACATAATAGGGCGGATGACTATTAGGATTGCCATTTGCATTGCAGGCAGATATACAGGAACAAAGGGAGAATTCAGGATGGGGTTACCGACTTAAAACGGCAGGGCCCGTTTACCATATACATGACAAATAGGGTGGGTGGAAGCACTATTTCTCACAAGCATGAAACTTTTTGCATTTTTCTTTTTGCATTTGTACATGTGTTTCCCTAAGACAAGAAGGGAGGCACTGTGCAAAAGTATGTGCTTTGCTTATGATGGGCCAATTCACCAGTCTGGCAGGGGTGGAGGTGGAGAGGACAGGTGCTCATTATGAACTTCTTGTTGTCACCCAATCCAGGCTGCAGGGGACGCATCCGACCACACGCAGAGCACTCATCCCACTTATTCCACAGGGGAAACATAGCTGTGAAAGCAGAAAAGCAGGTGCAGATACTCCTGGAGTACTGTATGTAAGGTATGCAAATGAGCTGGCCATGCTTAGCCAAATAGGCAAGGAAGAGAAAGTGGTTGGAGATAGTTGGACAGCAGCTCTTTACAGATAGGGTGGAGAAAGCTGGGCGGAGGTATCAGTAGCTCGCTTCCGTCTATGGCTTAGTAGGTGGAGGGACTGCACAAAAATCTTCTTCCATGCGTAGGAAACAGTGGATGTCAGAGAGAAGGGTTGTCCTTGTTTCTTCATAGCCCGAATGTAACATAAATACCTTGCATGCGGTTCAACCCCCAGCACCTCCAGAATGACCAGAAAAGACCTCTGGTTGGAATCCTTGCTAGTTGCTGCCAGTCAGTGTAGCAAATGCTAGATGGACCAGTGGTTTGACTCTGTATGAGACAGCATCCTGTGTTCCCTTGCATGGACAGCAAATGTTCCCACCACCTGCTCCCCGATGGGGAAGCGTTCGGCCCCAGCATTTCTCACCTGCGGTATGAAGTGGCACATTCAGCCTGGAAAAGAGCTCGACTGCTTTATCACCACCTCATCCGCTGCTTGGGGGAACTACCCCATAATATATGTCTTCTCTGATGACGAGCTGCGGGATCAGAGCATCCTCCCGTTGTTATTCTTTTCTCCTGTCCTTCCAAGGCGCCCATGCTGCAAGCAGTTAATACACGTGCTCCAAAATATTATCAAGAGAGATGTGCCCTCCTTGCTTATTGGTCCCAGAGTCACTGTACATGAATGCCGTGGGTTGTTGTGTGGTTGTAGGGCTCTTTACCCCAGTGCAGAGACAACCCCCGGGGAGCCATGTGGGGCAGGAGAAGCCTGTGGAGGAAAGCCTGGTGGAGAGCCTAGAAGGTGTGGATTGGGTCCAAAAGGGAGCAAATGTCCTGGCAACATCATGGGGCTGAGAGTATAGAGGGCAGCTGCTTCTTCCCCCATCAGAGGTGCTGGCATCAACTCCAGGGGGGTTGGGGTGGACATGGCAGCTTCCCCGGAATTCCCCTTGCGCTTTTTGGACTTGGCTGAAGAGACCTTGCGGTTCCGGGTCTGGATCCCATCCTTGCGCATTGCCAAGGGACGATTCACCTGAAAGGCAGAAGATGGAGCCGTGAGCGAGCGTGAGAGCAGTGCCGCAGAGTGGTCGAGAGCCAGCGAGCAGAAGGAATCGCAGGAAGATCATAGAGTAAAGAAGAGGCCAGAGCAATAGCTGTTTGCAGAGCAGGTGCATGGTTCAGATAGAGAGCAGAGAGGCGCAGGGTTGGCTATGGAGCCATACTAACTCAGAAGTAAACTCCACCAGGTTTGACAGGATCACTTCTCAAGGCAGAGGGCCTTCTCGGTTGTGGTGCTCTCCCTATGGAACACCCTCCCTTCAGATGTCAAGGAGATAAAGAATCACACAACTTTTAGAAGACATCTGAAGGCAGCCCTGTATTGGGAGGTTTTTAACACTTGATGTTTTTAGATATACTGTCAGCCGCCCAGAGTGGCTGGGGAAACCCAGCCAGATGGGTGGGGTATAAATAATAAAATTATTATTAATAATAATTATTATTTTGTTTGCTTGCTTGCTGTAGTGCAACATAACGATACAGTTACTGTTCTGGAAAGCAAATGAAAGCAATTCCTTCCTGACTTTAGTGTGCTAAAAATGCCACTTCACATACGCACACTGCCTGAAGTGACCCGAGGAGTAAACAGAGATGGGGTATGTGTGCATGTTGCAGGAGGATGTATGCGTGTGGCAGCTGGCAGATCCACACCCCGAGGCAATTGCCTCATCCTGGCCGTGACAGCTCTGCAGGAGAAGCTACAGGGTAGGCACCCCCAGGATCTGAGGACAATGGGAGAGGCACATCCTTGGTCTGGGAAAAGGGTACTGAAGGTGCTCCCTTTGGAGCGGTATAGAGTCACCCAAATTTGAGTCCTCCTCAAGGCAACATGGGAATGGCAGAAGCCTACCAATTTGTTCTCAAACATCTGGGGGTGGGGGATCAGATTTATTTCCCCCAAAACAGGCAAACTAGGAGGGAACACGTTCTTTTAAAATCCATGGATTGTATCCAACTAAGTCTTACTTAGAGTAGACCCACTGAAATTAAGGGGCATTAAGTTAGCCAAGTCATTTACATGGATCCGCTCTGGGTATGACTGAACACAACACTATGTACCTTTTATCAAATAAAACACTCGGGGCTTATCCACACGTAACTTTTTTCCTGCTCTTTCCAGGGACACGTCTGCACTTAAAAGCTTCGTGTCCAAGCATGTGTCATTTTCTCCCCCGCCCCAAGCTTTCCCCACAGAAACCCGCTTTTTAGCTCTCAATTAGAGCAAACGACAATTTGGGCTTTCCACAGATTGCCATTTGCAAGAGCAGAGGAAAGGTGCATAAGGCCCTTCTGCTTATTCTGAAACAACACAGAACAAGGGTGAAAACACTTCAGAAAGCCCGAAAGAATAGGGAGGACAAGAATGAGAAGGAAGGAATGCTGATGGAATAGGTGGACGAGGCAGCTTCAGGAAGTGTCTGGGCCATATAAATTGCCGTTAGGAGCTACAGGTGGTCCAGGCAGCAGAAAACAGGTGGGCAAAGGGGGAAGCCTCTGCAGGTTCCCTTCTGAAAACATCTTCAGAAGAAGAAGCCATCAGGTTTAAGTAATAAAGTGTAGTTTGTCAGGATGGCTCGTTCGAGGCCATGGCGCGCATTTAGGGCAGTGCCAGGTTTTGAACAGCAAACTTCCTGTTTCAGTGCTCGTGCAGCCTTGTCCACAGTGCCGTACCGTTTCTTGTTATCCTGTCCACCAGCTTGCAGACAGAATTTGACAGCTATCACAGCACGCTAAACATCTGCATTCTGAAAACGTTAGCATTTGGGGAGGTGTTTTAATGACACAAATGGGTTTTCTCAGTTCTAGGGAAATGCAGATTTTGAAGACAGTTGCGCACACTTATTTGATGTGGCAGGTCTACTCGGCCAAAACAGTCCTTAAGTCACTTATTATATGTTGCTTTTATCGATCTAAAGTCAGCTTTTGATACAGTCTCAAGACATGCATTGTGGCAAAAATTGGAAAAGAGAAATATAGACCTCCGTCTATTATTTCTTATCAAAACATTATATACTGACACATCAATACAAGTAAAGGTGGATCTGGCTGGCTATCTCACCGCTAGAATTAAGACCATTACTGGAGTCAAACAGGGATGCATTTTGGCGCCTTTCCTGTTTAATTTTTATATTAATGACATGGTTAAAGAACTGGAGGACCTACAGTTTGCTCCTGTCACAATTCTCGACCAAAAACTCTCAGTTTTATTGTATGCTGATGACCTAGTACTTGTATCTGGAACCCAGGTGGGGCTGAGACGGCTGCTTGTGAAATTAAGTTCATATTGCACGAGGAATGCTTTATCTTTCTATAAACTTAACATAAAATCAGTGTAATGCTTTTTATCCATTAAATGGATGTTTGTGAGAGAGAAAGAGAGAGCGCAAGAGAGAAGCAAGCAAGCATTCATGAGATAATCCTGAGGCTGTTTATCAAGACACTCCAGATCCAGTTTTCTGGACACAATCACACTGAGATGCCCTTATTCCATCAACCAAACGCCCTACTGCCTTGGCTTACATTGTGCAGCTTGAAATAGAGACCGCAGGCATTGCATACGGGTTCTCCGTTCACGTTTCGGCGCCAGAGGGTGGTGGTCGTTGTCTGGCAGTTACTGCACTGGGTGCCGGCTCGCTTGCTGACAATCTGCATGGTTGAATATGATGAGGGTTGTTACATACAGCGACAAATGGAACCTGCAACAAACTGTTGCAGGGAGTCCAGCCACGCCACTCCATTCTCCTACCTACCCATTCCTGCCCACCTCTGTCAGTCAGATTTCCATGCACCCCCCCACCAGAATGTACCTCTGCAAACCTCAATGTTGCCCTGAACATAAAAATATATTACCAGACGTTTCTTTGGCCGGATGAGAGGCCTGTTCTGCCCATTCATCTTGTGGTAGAGCCCACAGGCATTACAGAGGTAGTGACCAGTGCCATCCCTTCGCCACAGTGGCGTGGCTGTGGCTCCGCAATTCACGCACTCTCGCGCCTCTGAGGAAAGAGATGGAGACAAGCAGTTGGTGGGGAAGTGGCAGAATAGCTCAGAGGGGGGTGGGCATGAGGCCCTTCACTTTGAGGAGATGCTACTAGCAGCATGTCTGATGCAGTGCTGGGCTGGAGAAGGCCAGACAGAGAAAGCGCAAGAAAGATGCCAAAAAGAATGATTCTTGGGTAGAGGAATATTAATTCATTTACATAATGGGTAAATGTCTAATAAATGCTGCTAGAGCTTAATCTCCATTATGGATCCGTCTTGGTCTATAAGCTCATCCTAGAACCTAAGAGGTCAGCTCCAGAACGTGTTTTCAATGCCAGAGTCCAGATCTGGAACCTGACGTAAGGTCATAATTATTGTGCCGCTAAGCATATGCAGAGTATAATGTGGGAAAGAAATATGTTCTACATTTAATGAGCAGAACTTTGCAGCTCAGAGGTGGCAGTTCATGACCAAGATTAAGCCACAGGCACTCTAGCATTTTATAGATTTGCCTGTGGATATCGCTTCTCCTAAACACATTTTTTACGCTGACTATGTCTTGCAGTTGCCTCCGGTAAACAGCTTCATGGTTAGTCAGCTCTGACGTCCAACCAGCACACAAAAAGTGCTGATCAGCTGGGCCGGCTAGAGTACATAAACTCTTTCAACATCATGGCCAAACTTCCTAATGGGAAATGTAATCTGAGTGATCCACACATTTGGCATGTTTAGGTTTTTCTAAAACAACAACAACAACCTGCATTTAAATATTCACATTAGGACTGAAATGAAAAAGTATTTTGGTGCAAATTTTTAACTTTGGTACAAAACTGTAACAAATTTGAAAACTCTGCCTCTCCAGTCTGCACCATTTTACGAAGGTGTTTTTGTTTAACAGGCAGGCGAGCTTTTGAAAGAGGTCTAGAGTGGTGCAGTCCATTGTGTCCCATCGTTCCCGCTTTGCTCCGCAGCCCATGTGATGGTCCCCAGCAAAAATCCTCACCAGTAGGAGAGAGCTGTGTTGCCCCCCGTAGTTTAGGGGAATACCCAGCTGTCAGGGGACTCCCAGATGGCGGGAAGTATCCAAAGTCCTGCCCCATTGCGTAAGCTGCTCCAGTCGGGGTTCCTAAAGGCAGCAGCTCAGCATGCGTGGGGCTCATCCGCTCCGTCTTCAACATCTCCAGGTATCTGGGACTCCCCTTGTCATCGGGGCTGAGGTCCTTGGGCGAGGGAGGCGCTTGGAGGGTCTGATATGAGGACGTGGCAGAGGTGTAGATTGGGAGTCCAGCGTGGGGCTTTCCAGAAGAACTGGAGACCCAAGCTGCTGTGCTGTAAGGGTGCCCATCCACCCACTGCAAACCATTGAGGATGGGATACAACTGCCGCACTGTTGGAGAGGAAACAAAAGGAAACATTAAGTAGGGTGTGCAGGTGTTCAGGGCAGTGGGCCTACACTAGAGTTGGCCAAGCAGGCTCTGCTGGATCAGAATAAGGGGCTCCTTCATTCGGTATCCTGTTGCCAGCAGCGGTCAGTTAGATGCTTCCAGGAAGCCCACAGTCAGGCTATAGGGACAGCCTCGCTCCTCTCACACGCACGCACCAGTATTCAGAAGCATGCAGCCTCTTTTCCTGTTCTGGTCCCATGGAGGCCTCCGGGGGGCTGGAGGGCAGGTGGTACAGCACCACGGAGAGCTCCCAGACTCTCTTCACACCATACATTTAAAGGACATGGAGCCTGTGAGCTGTAGTTTGTTCAGGGTGCTGGGAATTGTGGGTGTAATTAGGCTAACCAGGCCTCTTCATTTGGTCCATGGCCACCTGTCACATGACATCCAGCACAGGTCAAGCCATGGTGCCAAATTCAAAAGGATGAATCAGGCGTGGCTTGATTCCCCCCCACCCCCAAATGCAAGCCATGGTTGTAAAGGAAGAATTGGGAGTCCGTTCTTCTTTCCTTCCTTTACTTTTATTTCATAAAATTCCTTCCTTCCTTGACTGCAAGGAAAAACCTCAAAGCGGTTTCCTTTGCAGCTGCAAGTTTAAAATTGAACTACATGATGTAATATGACATCAAGTGATTGACTGGTGGGTGGACCTTTCAAAGATGGGCCAGTTTAGGTTACAGCCCTCTGGCTGGATCCACATTCCCACAGTGAGGACTGTGAATGGCCATACAATGCCGAGATTGCAATCTTAGCCATGACTACTCTGAAATAAGCCCCACTGAATTAGGTGGGGTTGAGTACCTTTTGTGGGGGGTATGGAAAACTGGGGTTGGGGGAGGTAATGGAACAGAGTATCTTGGGAAAGAGCATAACAGTCTGTCAGGAACCCTGAATAGAAGCAGCTCACAACGTTGATGTTTTTTTAAAATTGAAGGTTCAACATATACTTTAATATTTGCAATGTAAAAACACAACGGTATCACTGTAAGCCCATCAGCCAGAAATTCTGAGAAGGAGGCGGCTACATAGATGCACTAACACATTACTTTTGCCTCCAAAGTAATAGTAAAAGTCTCTCTGAGTGCACAGAGGGCCTTTGCCAAATGCAGCATATCCATCTATGATTCAAAAGGGTAATTACAAGGGCTAATAGCTTGCAGGCAGAGGGAGGTGGGGAGGGTATTGGGATCAGCTGCTTAGTATGTTTAAAGGTATGTCCTCTTGCAACCACTGTATACCTACCTGGAGAGTGTCTGTAGGATTCAGACATACGAGAGAAGTAGGTGGGCATGGCCCCAGCATCAATACCCTCTGAAGCAGGAAAGAATAGGTCTGCATCATCATTTGCTTGCAAATGGGGATGTTCAAAATACTGGGGGGCAGAATCTTCATTCCCCACAGTAGAATAATCCATTGTCCGTTCTTAATTGGAATCTTCCTCTCCAGATGATAAAACCTGCAATGAATTTATTTTTTTTAAGCATGGCACATGAGACGAGAGTCCAGATTCCTGACTGAGAAGTGAATGAGATCTAGTACATTGTTGGGGCCTAGTGATTAGAACCAGCATTCATGAGTTTTATCTTGGTTCGCCTTTACTTCCAGAACACTCTGCAGCAGAGGTCGCCAATGTGTTGCCCTCTGAATGACTGAAGTTGTAAATAGGTGAATAAACCATATTTCCTAAAGCACAACAGTTTCCACCGTGTCTTCTACCTATTCTCCAAAGGTACATACACAGACCCTGTGTGTGTGCCTGTAATCCCATGTGCTCTTGTCACCATTTGGCAGAGAGAGAGGCAGGCACTGGGCTTTTGCAACACTATTTATCCAGTGATAAATATATTTATGTTCCTCTTCTTTTGGCAGCTGTTCTTGGTAGTAGATGTGGCAGCCAATTCCTGAGCATGCCAGTTCTTAGATACCTAGCGGCTTTACTGCTGGCAACCAAGCTACTTCAGACCAAGATCAGTTTGAAGTTTGCCCCGTATTGCATTTTGGACTTCGTGAGCTGACCTGAAAATCCCACTTCAGAGTCCATAGTGCAGTATCCAGACTGCACACAAAGGATGAGAGAGTATGAGTAATAATAATAGCAAATAAAATATAATATCAATGCTGCTTTGCTCACCTGCCCCTTTCAACTAAAGCGGAGCCAAAATTTCTCAGAAGACATTTTTCTGAGAAAATTCCATCCCAGAAGAAAAAATGGCAGTTCTTCAGAAATGTTATCTGAATATTTCCACACACAGAGGGAGAGAGAGAGAGAGAATCAACCACCATTTCTTCCCTCCCACAGTGTCCCAGAACGATGCCAGGCCTGGGGCATTATGGGGTGTGCAAAACAGTGGTCAGGCTACCTAAGGAGGTGCTCTTACTGCCGCTTGCAGAAGCAACAATAACAAGCTGTGCTGCTGGCACTTCTTTTTGGCCAGTTATGTATTGCCAAAAAGGAGGATCTGCATCACACAAAAAGAAGAATCAAAGAGGGCATCCAGTTCGCACAACATTGTAATATGCTAGTTCATATGTTCACATAAATGTAGAAATAATTACTGTAGTAGAAATAGAATACACATCAACATTGTGGTGAAGACAACAGGTAGCTTTTGCTGCCTGCTCCGTCTGCTGACCAGGCGCTACTAACTGCTGATGGACCATGTCAAGGCCTCTGCTGTTCTCTCTTATCCTTAAATCAAACTTTGACTTCAAAGAGAGGATTGTCTTTTGTGAAGCACAACACATCCTGCAGTTACGCACAAGGGTTTCTATCCAACTAAGTTACACTCAGAGTTAGACTCATTGAAATGAATGGACCAAAGTTAGTCATGCCCATTATTTCCAATGGGTCTATACCAAATAGGACTAACATTGGCTACAAACCAAGCATTTCTAACCAGCTCTAGGTTTCAGAGTCTAGAATCACATCTGTAAATGTGTGCCTCTTCGTGTTCAGTTCTCCACCTATCCTTAAGCCACATTGGAACTGAAAAATAAAAGGAAACCGGTGTGACTGCATAAGGAGCTTACAGATGAGATGAGAATTAAGAGGGGCATGTATAAGAAATGGAAGAAAGGGAAATCGCAAAGGAGGAGTATACATGAGTAGCCAACAGTTGCAGGGGGAAAGTCAGGCTGGCTAAAGCTCAGAAGGAGCTCTGGCTTGCAAGAGAGGCTAAAAATAATAATAAAGATTTTTTCGGCTGTGTCACATGGAGGAGGGAGCATGCTTGTTTTCTCCTGCTCTTGAGGGTAGGACTCGAACCAGCGGCTTCAAGTTGCAAGAAAGGAGATTCCAACTAAACATCAATAAGAACTTTCTGACAGTAAGAGCTGTTTGACAGTGGAACCAACTCTCTTGAGAGATGGTGCACTCTCCTTCCTTGAAGGTTTTTAAGCAGAGGTTGGATGGCCACCTGTCAGGGATGCTTTAGCTGAGATTCCCGTATTGCAGGGGGTTGGACTAGATGACCTTTGGGGGTCCCTTCCTACTCTAAGATTCTGTGATTATGCAGTGCTCAAAATGGGGTGGTGATAGAAAGTGGAATGATTTCAGAGTGTGAACGAGAGGAAAGTGTCAGTATAGTGGTACCTCGGGTTAAGTACTTGATTCGTTCTGGAGGTTCATTCTTAACCTGAAACTGTTCTTAACCTGAAGCACCACTTTAGCTAATGGGGCCTCCTGCTGCCACCACAAGATTTCTGTTCTCATCCTGAGGTAAAGTTCTTAACCTGAGGTACTATTTCAGGGTTAGCAGAGTCTGTAACCTGAAGCCTCTGTAACCTGAAGCGTCTGTAAACTGAAGCATCTGTAACCCGAGGTACCACTGTATGCCTTTCAACCGATGTCAGCGACTGGGCTCAATAACTGGTTCTGCCCTGACTGGGCTAGGTGACTGGAGCACTTTCAGAGACCTTCCAATCCTGGAAAGCAGGTCTCAGTGCCCTGGACTCACAACTGTGCATTGTGAGCAGCAGACTCAGCAGAGTATAAATAACGCGGAATTAGCTGTGAAGCATAACTTCTTTTATTTCCAATAGCTACTACAAACTAACGAACTAGCGGCTTGCATGAGTGTTGCAGCTCCCACTCAGCCATCTAGTCACTACATGGATAAGACTCTCTCCACACACAGAGTCAGGCAGTCAGTCAGGAGTGGAAGAGTAGAAGAGCAGTTTCTGCCCCCTCCTTTCTCAAAACATCAGATCAGGAGATTCTCGCAGTGGGAGGGGGTGAAAATATCAACAGAAAGTGGGAAGGTAGGCCAACTGTGTCCACCTGAAAAGATGTGAGATGGCATCCTACCCCATTGTGAGCCCGGGGTGTAGAAATATCTGGGCCTCCACCAGATATTTGCAACTCTATCCAAAAGATGTTTGGGATGGATTGGTGGGGAGGTGGCGAAAGTCTTGGTTTTTGTAGCCCATCCTTTACTGCTCTGCAGTGTTAAAATGGGAACACACCATTTTGATCCCTACCATTAAAACAGCATGGCAAAGATACACTGGGGCACAGCAACAGATTCTCATGGGATAAACAAAAAGAATTGCGTGATAAATGTAGTGCAGGTTTGGCTTGCCGATCAGAAGGTTGGCGGTTCGAATCCCCACGACGGGGTGAGCGCCCGTTGTTCGGTCCCTGCTCCTGGCAACCTAGCAGTTCGAAAGCACGAAATGCAAGTAGATAAATAGGTACCGCTCCAGCGGGAAGGTAAACGGCATTTCCATGCGCTGCTCTGGTTTGCCAGAAGCGGCTTAGTCATGCTGGCCACATGACCCTGGCTCCCTCAGCCAGTAAAGCGAGATGAGCAACCCCAGAGTCGGTCACGACTGGACCTAATGGTCAGGGGTCCCTTTACCTTTACCTTTAAGGCTGTTGGCAGTGGAGGCCAACCAGGGGCCTTGTGCTTAGATGGGAGTTGGATTTAATGAGAACCCAGGTGAGAACAGTGTTTGCAGAGCCTTTCTGGATTTGCCTCCTTTGCCCAAGGAGGACAGAGAAGTCCAGGGCCTGTTGGAGGAACCAGTTTCCTTGTGACTCTGCAATTCACCCTCCTTGCTCTTATCTCTTTCTCTAACCAGTCTCTCTTTCTCAGAAGTGACATCTTTACTTTCCTCATCAATATCAGCTTCCAGATCTGATGAGGCTCCAGGGAAAAAAAGTGTGGGGGTTATTTGAGTTTGCTTGCAGTGTGTGTCCCATGTAATATATTGGGCGTGTGAAGCAAAGACTGGACAAGAACAGGGAAGACCTAGGTTCAAAACCCCAGGCAGCCACAAAGCTCATGTTTGTGGGGCGGCAGGGGCAGGACTCTCTTGGGCTTCCCAGAGCTAAAATTGTGAGGCTAAAATCGGGGAAGGCTGGGGAAAGAGAAGCAATGCTTGTCACCTGAGACTCCTTTGGGGGAAACACATATGTCTGTATTGTGCTTGTATTTCTCTCTTAAAAGGGACCCCTGACCAGTAGGTCCAGTCGTGACCAACTCTGGGGTTGCGGTGCTCATCTCGCTTTACTGGCCGAGGGAGCTGGCGTACTGCTTCCGGGTCATGTGGCTAGCATGACTAAGCCACTTCTGGCGAACCAGAGCAGCGCACGGAAATGCCGTTTACCTTCCCGCCAGAGCGGTACCTATTTATCTACTTGCACTTTGACGTGCTTTCGAACTGCTAGGTTGGCAGGAGCAGGGACTGAGCAACGGGAGCTCACCCTGTCGCGGGGATTTGAACCGCCGACCTTCTGATCAGCAAGTCCTAGGCTGTGTGGTTTAACCCACAACGTCACCCGCGTCCTATTTCTCTCTTACACTCTGGCTAATTTCAGCTTCGGTAGTAGGGAATCAAATCAGAACGCCAATTTGGGGGCTGAACCAGAGCAAACAGCAACCCATGGATAACATGAATTGCCTTTTGTTGCACTTCAGTTTTAAAGAGCCGGTTTTCATGGGCAAAGCTCGCGGGCAAAAACAGGGCGCTCGGACATGGAGCTTTCAAGTGTGGACTTGTGCCCAGATAGCACAGGGCAAAAGTTAAGTGTTGATAAGCCTTAAAGAAGAGGCAGTTGGCTGGCAGAGTCATCCCCTGGGCTGGTTGTAAGAAAGAAGAAGAAGAGGAGGAGGAGGAGTTTGGATTTGATATCCTGTTTTATCACTACCTGAAGAAGTCTTAAAGCTGCTAATATTCTCCTTTCCCTTCCTCCCCCACAACAAACACTCTGTGAGGTGAGTGGGGCTGAGAGACTTCAGAGAAGTGTGACTAGCCCAAGGTCACCCAGCAGCTGCATGTGGAGGAGCAGGGAAGCGAACCCGGTTCACCAGATTATGAGTCTACCACTCTTAACCACTACACCACACTGGCAGGTGATTGAGGAAAGACTAAGGGGGATGGGGCAGTGCCCCATGTGCCCTAGTGGACCAGCCTCCACTGCCCCAAGGGAGCACCAGCTGCTTTTAATCTGCTGGAAGAAGAACCAAGCAAGACCCCATCGCGTTAACCTGCCATTCACAAGCGCCCTTCCTGCAGAGCTTGCAGTTCCTTGCCTGCCAGGTTCTTTGGGGGCTTCCTGCAGAAAACTGTGCATCCTCAGCTACATCTTTCTAGGACCCTGCTCCTCTGCCCTGTGAATGGCAGTTGGATCTGGTGCCAGGCCTTATCGCCCGATCTTTGCAGTGTGTTCAGTCATGGGGTACCAAAGGAAGCCTTTTGAAATCAACCTTGTACGCATGCCAGCTTCCTCTGAACGTGGGACTAGTGGCGCTGTTGTCCTCTGATTCATTTCCTCCCCCTTTGCACCTCTGGGGCCTTTAAAGGACCTCCTCGATTCTGTTCTGTGGGAGGGGAATGGGGGACCAGATTCTGAGTCATAGGCTGGGCTGCAGAATTCAGATGCACATTTTTATATGTGGGTATTTGCTGTGCTTTTTTGCAGCGCTGTACCTGCTCTGCAGCCCCCGTCCTGGGCCAAGGGAGCTCGAGGTGGCTTACAAATCATTTTAAAGCGAGCAACAAAATGACAGCAAGGCAGTACAGTGAAAAACAAACTTCAAAACCAGATAAAAACAGTATAAATAGTACAACGAGAATGATCGGAAGACTTGTTTTGTCAGAAGTCTTTTTATTTAGGTGTTTATTTAAGTGTTAACAAGGAAGATTATGCTTTTCTATGTATGTAAATCTGCTTTTTCTTTTTTTCTTCTTTTGTATTTTCTTTTTTCTTTCTTAATTGCTTTTTTCTTTAATTTTCTTTTTGTAATATGAGGTTGTAAATTCTTTGTATATGTGTGTAATTTAAAATAATAAAGATTATATTAAAAAACAACACAGAGATTGTTTCAATTCACAGCTTTGCAGCATCTTCGGCAGCATGTCTTAACATCCATGTCTGTCTAAAAATCTGCATCTTCAAACAGCAGCAGCAGAGAGGGAGCCAGGGGTATTTTTAAGAACCCCAAATCCCGGGTCTTTTGCGCCAGGCTTTGCAGACCCTTCCAACTCTACAAGTTTTTGATTCTCAGAAACCAAGAAGTCTTCAATTTGTTATAGCTTCCCATTTCATCTGAATCAGGAAACTATAATTAACAGCTTCCAAATAGGCCAAGAGATTAAGCCAATTCAAAACCACAATTTAATACTTTGGCTTGTTTTGAAGCTGTTAACCATGGTTTCCTGGTTCAAATCAGGTTTGCCAAATTATTACTCTCCAGATACAGTTGGACTACAGTTCCATTGGCCTGGTACTGCTGGGAGTCCAATAAATCCAGAGAAGATCAGATTGGCAACTCCTGTGATGGTTAACGAAAAGATTTAACGTTGTTTTTTGCTTGCTTGTACAAAGAGAGGAATGGAAGGAGCTCTGTGTGTGGCTGAAAGGCTCGCTCATATCTCAGCTTTCAAAGGCAAGATATGATCATCCAAACATGGTCATTATCTCCATATTGTATTTGGGAAGCCTGAAACTGCCTATAGCCAGTCAGTGAGTTCATGGCTGGGGCTACTTTTGAATGCAAGACTTTGCAGCTCACATTCCTATACCATATATGTGTGGTGGTCCCCTTTGTTATTCTAGAGGGTCACAATGCTGGAGTCACACATGTCTTGTGATACTGCTTGAAATGTATGGTGCAGATGGGGCCCTAGAATCCATCATGACTCCCCAAAATGTGCAACAGGCCTTCACAACTTGTCACCCACTAGCAGAATGCAATCTGCACCAACCATGTGTGAGATGGCCTTCCAGGGGCTTAGTAAATCTGGTTTTCCTGCCTCCCACCTTGGATGTCAAAAGCCCAGGTCAGTGTCAAGCAGATGGCAGGCCACAGATGCTGTGCTGTCTTCAGCTCAACAAATCACAAGTCCAAAGGGTCCGAAATATACGCACCAGTCGTTTATGTGATTCTTACTGGGGAAGGGCCACAGATCAGTGGTAGAGCATCTCCTTTGATACAGAAGGTCCTCTTCTGCTAGGGCTGGGATTGTTCCTTGTCTGAAACCCTGGCCAGTCAGGGTAGACAGTACTAGCTGGGCCAGTGATCTGAGTATAAGGCAGCTTCCTATGCTTTTATTTACCAGGGATAATGACTAATTTCTGCTATCTGTTCCAGGTAAGTTGCTTTTCTAAATTTTGCATTTCAGGAAATTTGTCAGTGCAAGCAGCTAGAATCATTCATCAGGGTTCAGCTCCCTTTCTGGGATCTCCAGCAATTAAATCTCTGACTGGAGGTGGACAACACACCTTGCCTCTTGTGCACCTTCATATGTGTATAAACATGAACATGAAGACACCATGCAGGGCACAACTCTCTATCATTTCATACACTGCAGCTGCTGCTCTTGATAACATATTGTAGAAGAAGCATGTTCCCCCCCCCCCCGGACATCTCTAATCAAAGGGACAAAATTCTGAATTTAAATACTATAGAAGGTCCTGAAGTCAATAAGGAACCATGCTGTGTTGGATTTTCAACCAGTGGAGGGCAGACTATGGCAGGGTAAATAAATGCAGGATCTATAGCAGGTCAATGAGAGACTTCAACAATGTGTACAGTGGTACCTCGGGTTAAGAACTTAATTCGTTCTGGAGGTCCGTTCTTAACCTGAAACTGTTCTTAACCTGAAGCACCACTTTAGCTAATGGGGCCTCCCGCTGCCGCCATGCCGCTGCTGCGCGATTTCTGTTCTCATCCTGAAGCAAAGTTCTTAACCCGAGGTACTATTTCTGGGTTAGCGGAGTCTGTAACCTGAAGCGTCTGTAACCTGAAGCGTCTATAACCTGAAGTGTCAGTAACCCGAGGTACCACTGTAATAATCTGGGGGGGGGGGGGGGAGAACTCAAATAGTGAAACTTCTTTTGAAAATAGGGATGTTAAAATAGCGCCTGTGCTGTATTCATCTCTGAAAATGTGAAATATGCCACACAGCACAGCCCTAAACAACTTATGTCCTAGGCTTTATATAAGTGTGTGTGTGTGTGTCCCCACGCGCACACACAAACACACAAATACATATATAGTGGTACCTCAGGTTACAGACGCTTCAGGTTACAGACTCCACTAACCCAGAAATAGTACCTCAGGTTAAGAACTTTGCTTCAGGATGAGAACAGAAATCGCAGCACGGCGGCAGCGGGAGTCCCCAATAGCTAAAGTGGTACCTCAGGTTAAGAACAGTTTCAGGTTAAGAACGGACCTCCGGAACGACTTAAGTTCTTAACCCGAGCTACCACTGTAAACATCAAAGCAACACTGCCACAAACATCTATGCCACACGCATCAAAGGCATCACCTTATCTCTGGGCTACACCAGTCCTTATCAGCAGGAATGAAATTTCCTTTTGAATATTTTCATTTCAACCAAAATTACAGTTGTGCCCATAGCCATTTAGTAACTGCACTCTGCACACTGTTACCGAGCTGGGCATGAGGCCCCCAGAGATGCTTCCAGAAACTTATCACCGGCTTCACCGGCTTCAGATAATTATCTGTGGGGTATTTGTTATCGGGACACTATTGAATCACAGGCAGCAGTTTTAATCCAGCCTGAAGCCGTTCATATGCTGCTCCCACAGAGATACCAGCTTGCATTTCAGCCTAAAGCTTGCCCCGTCAGAAACTTCACAAGAACATGGGACCTTCCAAAGAACCCAGGTGTCCGAGAGCCTAGGCAGAAGGTAAACCAGGAGGACTTCCTGGCTTTGCTCTTTCTAGTAGAGTCCATCCTCTCAGGCCCTCTGCTCCTGCCCCAACTCCATAGATCCCAAATGGAAAAGTGGGACTGAGAAGTCTTAAGAAGTCAGGAGACAAGAATGGAAAACCCAACCCACTCCCGTTTCTTGAACTCCATTTTCCTGCCACCGTTCCATTTGAATCCTTACCAGGACAAAAAATTAGAGGCAAATGCATTAGTCTCTGGGATCAGATGTTAATGGGAAGGTGGTTATATGGAGAGCAAAAGAAATTAACATGTGTCCCCTCCTTTCACTATACTCTGTTCCTGTTTACCTGTCCTCTCTGCCTCTCTGTTTATCCATCCATCCATTTTCTTTCTACCTGATGAGTTTCCCAGTACAAGGTCATCCTACTATCCTTTCCTCATGCAGGGGTTTTTCACCCACTCTTTTTCTGTAGCCACCAGTTTCATGTGGGTTGATCCTTAGTTTTGAATCATTCTGTACAGAGTTATGTCCATCTCTAAAGCTTGTGTGTGTGTGTGTGTGTGTGTGTGTATGGCAATATTTCCATATTTGGTGCAGTGTGGGAACAAGAGTGTGAGCTGGGAAGTCCCCAGTTCAGAATGCACACCACACATATAAAGAATTCTCAGAACTGCAGTTTACCCCTCAGAGAACTACAGTTCCCAGGATTCTTTGGGGTTGCTTTAAATGCACGGTGTATATGCAGTCTTGGCGTCCTTAAGCACGCTACACTCTCTCAGTCTCAGTTTCCCCACCACCGTCTGCAACGTGGAGATAATATTACTGGCCTACCTTACAGGGTTAGTCTAAGGATGACTGAGATAATGCACGTGAAGCAGTTTGGGTGCTCTGATGTGCAACATTAATGCTAAAAGCACAAGAGTCTTGTGGCACTTTAAAGACTTAACAGATATATTGTAGAGATGACCCTAGTTCCAATGAAATAAATAAATTAATATTAAATGTTATTAATTGTCTTTCCCAATCATGACTCTCAGGGTGGAATCCTCAGAACATTGTCTTGCATGAGGAGGAGTTCATTTGGAACCAACAAGACTTCCTTAAAAGTTAGTTGGTTTCGAATAGAGATGTGACTCCCATTTTACAGATGAGAAAGTGAGTCACTGCTTGTGTTTGAGATAGGATTTTTCAAACCCAGTCCCCCCGCATCGAAGGACCGACTTCCTTCCACCACATGGACCGGCTTCCTTCTCACGTATAATTCTTGGGGCATTTTTGCCATGGGTGGCTTAAGAACAGCCCAATCCTAGGTATATTTCTGTGGAAGTAAAGCCTACTGCATCAAATGGGACTTCCTCCCAAGTCGCTGCACATAGGACTGCAGCTGCTGGACTGTTTGCTTAAAATGCTCTCTAAAGTGATTGCAAAAACTCCATTGTTATTTGCTTGCACGAAGCACAGCATCATAACAGGGCAAAAGAGGATCAAACGTTCCCTTGTGGAAAAGTATATCTATCTGTGAAGAAACTGGTTGATGTGTTTGTCTGAAACTCTGGGTGGCATGTTTTGCCCCTAGTGCACAATGCTTTTCTAGTGCGCTGTCCCTGTCCTCTCCCCATGCTACTTATTACAGTGGTACCTTGGGTTACAGACGCTTCAGGTTACAGACGCTTCAGGTTACAGATGCTTCAGGTTACAGACTCCACTAACCCAGAAATATTACCTCGGGTTAAGAACTTTGCTTCAGGATGAGAACAGAAATTATGCTCCGGTGGCACGGTGGCAGCAGGAGGCCCCATTAGCTAAAGTGGTGCTTCAGGTTAAGAACAGTTTCAGTTTAAGAACGGACCTCCGGAACGAATTAAGTACTTAACCTGAGGTACCACTGTATTATTATTATTATTATTATTATTAAAATTACTAAATTGTCCTTCACCCAAATATCAAAGGGCAGTTTACAATATTAAAATACCAAAAATAATAATACATACCATAATAACAAGCAATAACAATAATGCTCCTCATAGAATCATAGAGTTGGAAGAGACCACAAGGGCCATCGAGTCCAACCCCCTGCCAAGCAGGGGGTTGTTATTTAATAATTTTATGTACACTTAAGAATAGTCCTGCGCTCTTCCCTTCCTTGCACAACACTGATCCTTTCAGCATCTTTACACAAACAGCAACCTTCCCATCTTTCAGCATCTTTACACAAACAGCAACCTTCCCATTTGCCTTCTCTGCCATGTCCAGGCAATTTCCCCCTTCCCCACTGTGTTCTTGCAGGCACCTTTCTGACCTCGGCAGGTTCTCCCAGCCTTTGTGTTTCTCACTTGCAACAAGTCTGCTCTGCCATTTCTCAGCCATCCCAATGTGTTTCTCTCACGGCTTTCATGCTCATTTTTCTGCTCCTGTGATCCTGATTCACTTCATTCTCTGCCTTTTTTTTTTTAAATGAAATTTGGGAGTTTGTATTTGCACTACTAGAAGTTGGTGCGAGGAACTGTAGATCTGCTCTGGGTTTTTGGTGCAGTTATTTTAACTTTCCAGCACAACTGTAAATAGTAGAACTCAAAACCTAGCACATTTTGCCTGAGCCTATGCCTGTTTGCATCAGAAACACGTCCCCTGCGATCTAGTGAGACCTAGGCACCAATAAGTACGTGTTTATAGGATTGCAGCCTTAACTCTTTCCCAAAGGATCTACAAGGATTATTTTCTTGAATTCACTCTCCATGTTCAAAGCCCTGACTCACCATCGAATCAGACTTAGAAATTGACAAAGATTGGAGGTTAGCTCATCTATTAATCTGTTTACTCCCTCATCTCAGTTATCACAATCTGTTAGGATACCACTACTCCCTTTTAATCTGTGGAGTGATAATCACATCTAGATGTAACTTTAAAAAATCAAGTCAACCATACACATTCCCGACAATTTATACCTCGGTCCGTTGTGTGATTGCTTTGCGTCTAGCGTTCTCGAACTCACTGCACTTTGGCCATGCACTGCCAGTTTTCCAACACCCTTTTCATTTGAAGAGGGAAAAGTTTGCCTTGTCTCTAGCCGATCCATGCTTGGAAATGTTCATTGTGCCAAGGCAGCCAACATCAGGGCTTAGCCTTTGAAGCTCTTTTCAGTCCCAAAGCTCAGACATAGACCATGCAAAATAATAACGATGATGAGGATGCCTCTACCCATGTACAGAGTGCACTTCTCTCAGCCCCAACAATACAGTAGCAGTGAAGGGCATCCAAAGCAAAGGATAAATTTTTGAGGCCAAACACGTCTCATCTTCAGCACTTTGCCCTATCCACCCATGTTGCAATCCTGCTTTTCTGTCTACCCCATTCCTCTAGCCATATCCATTACTATTCTGAACAATTCCTCGCTTTTGTCCATTACTCAAAGAGAAATCAACAACTGTCCTTCAAACAACTGGATTTTGGGCATGCATTGAATCAAACTGACCTGGTGCAGAGCAAAAACCTTGGCAAATTTTTGAACGCGTCTTGGTCCACGGAGCCTAGAAAACGTGGGGAAGGGGCTGGGTTGACACTGGAGAAAGTGTCACCACTTCAGCCGGTTGATCTGCCTCAACCAAGTCCTCCTACGATGTCCCAGGCTGTACTGGTGGGACAGAGAGAGAGAGAGACTGAATGCAACAGGGAGGGGACCGATGACCAAAAAAAAAGTCAGCAGCAACCACCCAAGTGATGTCTCCGCCTCCTCCAAAGGCGACCGGCAAGGAGGATGAAGAAGAGGGAGAGGGAATTGGAGGAAATACATAAAAACTCATATGCAGACCAAATAAAACCAACACCCTTCGTTTGGAAACAATTCAAGGGATAAGTTCAAGTGTGTGGAGCGGGAGAATTAGAGGGCCAAAAATTCTGGAGATTGTATCAAGGGTTGGAGGGGGAGCTGTATTTAGTGGGTTGGTGACAAGCCTGGAAGCCCAAACTCCTAGATCTCATCCCAATCTATGGGGTGAATTTGGGGCCTGGGCTTGTGCAGGGAGAAAAGAGAATGTGAGACGGTAGGAAGTCAGCAATGCAAGTTCCTGTATCTTTTATGCTCTTATCTCTTGCTATTTGGATCCACCAGCGCAAGATATCTTTTGTTCAGCCTTCCGTGGAGGGAGATATGTAGCTGAGCATTTTCCCCCAACCCACCCTGAGAGAAGCAGACATCTTGTTACAGCTGTTCACATGTATGGAGAAATCACTGAAGGTTGTGCAGAGAGGGGGGCGGAGAATCCTGACCACTGCTTGCCCACCTACTTGCCCTCCTCCCCGCTGTGTTTCTATATGGATCCTCAAAAGAGTAGCCAAGCATTTTGGACTATTGCAATGTGCTCTACGTGGGGCTACCTTTGAAGGTGACTTGGAAACTGCAATTAATCCAGAATGCGGCAGCTAGACTGGTGACTGGGAGTGGCCGCCAAGACCACATAACACCGGTCCTGAAAGATCTTCATTGGCTCCCAGTACATTTCCGAGCACAATTCAAAGTGTTGGTGCTGACCTTTAAAGCCCTAAACAGCCTCGATTCAGTATAGCTGAAGGAGTGTCTCCACCCCCATCATCCAGCCCGGACACTGAGGTCCAGTGCCAAGGGCCTTCTGGCGGTTCCCTCATTGCGAGAAGTGAGGTTACAGGGAACCAGGCAGAGGGCCATCTCGGTAGTGGCGCCTACCCTGTGGAAAGCCCTCCCAGCAGATGTCAAGGCAATAAACAATTATTTTACTTTTAAAAGACAACTGAAGGCAGCCCTGTTTAGGGAAGTTTTTAATGTCTGATGCTGTATTGTTTTTAATATTCAGTTGGAAACTGGGGAGTGGCTGGGGAAACCCAGCCAGATGGGTGGGGTATAAATAATAAATTGTTGTTATTTTGATCAGGATGAAAGTAAAGGCATGTGTCTGACACACGTTTATAGCAGGTTTGCTTTGTGGCAGAGCACATGTTTTGCAGGCCAAAGGTTCAATTCTTCCAGCCAGGTAGGGCTGGAAATGTCTCCTGTCTGGAAACCTGGAGAGCTCTGAAACACTAGTCCAGGGGTCTGCAACCCGCGGCTCCGGAGCTGCATGTGGCTCTTTTATACCTTTGCCACGGCTCCGGGGCAGATACTAGTGAGGGGAGGAGGCGCATTGTGCGCCCCAACACTCCCCACTGTGGCGGGCGCTGTACTGGCTGTGACGTCACATGGGGGCAGTGCGTGCGTTAGTCATGCACGGTCCCGACGTCACCTTCCCGGTTTTGTGGCTCCCAGTTTTTTTTCCTTTGGAAACGGGTCCAAGTGGCTCTTTTTGTCTTAAAGGTTGCAGACCCCTGCACTAGTCAGTGTACCGTATTGACAGAATTGAGCTCGGATGGACCTGTGGCCTGACTCTGTATGGCAGCTTCATATGTGAGATTATACAGCAGGATGCCTGGCTTGAGAACAAGTAGTGAGGCAGAACCATTGCTGACTGTTTTCACTTCCCAAATAATGCCACACTCTCCAGCTTTCTCTCTTTTTCTGACAACTGCCCCTGGTAAGCCATTGGTCCTATTCTATTTGTCTTTGGGGAACCCAGTCAGATGGGCAGGGTACAAATAAAATATTTATTAATTATCATCATCACCAGTGTCTTTTACAAGTTAGTTGCTAGCATTGTCGTTCTGTGAGGTCCAGCCACCTCCCAGCTCTCTAGGGGTTAAAATTGCGCAGGGTGTGCAAGCATGCAGGCACAGGTCTGTAAATATAACCCACATGAAGAGAAAACACCAGTACAGGGTTTTCCTTCCATCTCCCATCCCTTTGCCACCTGTCTGCCTCTGACCCACCTAGTCAGAGTTGCCAGTCAATGACAGTAAATGGTGTTAGATATTGTTTGAGCTGGAGCTGTTTGATAAGCCTGGCCAGATTCGTGGCAAAGGAAATAGTCAGTTTATTAACATCATTCAGGAGCCAATGTTGAGCAGGCTGTGATTGCCAAGTAAAGGAGTCATCAGGCTTTGTTTTTCTTTCCTCCTTCCCCCCTGGAATAATGTTTTTCTCCTTCTTTGCACAGAATCTCTAAAAACTTGCAGTTCTGTTTGATGGAGGCCACATTTCCCGCACACTGAAATACTGGGCTTCTTTGCCACTGCAGGAGTTGGACTGCAAAAGAGTACATGTGTCTAGGCTAACGATACTGTCTGATTACATAGGGGAAATCACAAGAGACCCTCGTTTTCTGTCTCTTCTTTTTTTATATAAATATTTTATTGGCAATTTCAACATAACAAATCATCAAACCATATAATCATATACATTATTTCCCCCCTTTTTCCCCACCCCCTTCCATCCCTCCCCCCCACCAGAGACTTCCCTCCTCTCTCTGATTTCTCAGCACATATTATTCTCTGCATTTTATAAAATTATACATATCCTTATGTTATCTATCTATCATGTTATCAACCAATAAGTTTGTGTATGTTTATTTAAAACCTGCCAAGGAGTCCAGTTCATTTTGTTGTCTTTTTAGATAATTTGTAAAAAGCTCCCATTCTTCCTTAAAGTCACAGTTGTCCTTGCCCCGCAATTTGTATGTTAGTTTAGCCCGCTCTGCGTAGCTCATAAATTTTTCTTGCCGCTGTTCTTTCGTTGGGATTTCCTCGTTCTTCCATCCTTGTGCGATCAAGACTCTTGCCACTGTTGTAGCATACATAAATAAGTTCTTTGTTTTTCCTGGCAGGTCTTGTCCTACAATCCCTAACAAAAATGCTTTTGGGTTTTTTTACAAATGTCATTTTAAACATTTTTTTCAATTCATTATATATCATTTCCCAATTTTTTTTTAACTTCTCTACATTCCCACCACATATGATAAAAAGTCCCTTCTTTTTCTCTGCATTTCCAACATGTATTTGACCCGGTTTTGTACATTTTTGCTATCTGTACTGGTGTAATATACCATCTATACATCATTTTCATATAATTTTCTTTCAAAAGACTTTTTCTGTCTCTTCAAAATCTTTGTTGCGTCTACTTCTGGCTGCCGTCAATCAGGATTTCCCAAAGCTCCGATAGCCAAATAAACTCCTTCCCTTCTCTGGATTTCCATTCCTCCAGGGTGTGTAAGAGAATGACACCTGCAAAGGAGTCCACACTTGTGTTTCCACGTGAGTCACTGTTCTAATTAGAAGGAAGCCAGCTCAGAGGAGGGACTTGCACAGAGGCACAACATGCATCTTGGAGGAAGAGCCTTAGCTCAGTGAGCTTTGCGTGCAGAAGGTCCCGGGTTCAACCCTTGGAAGCTGTGGGAAAGACTCCTAACTGAACCTCTGGAGAGCTGCTGATACTGCAAGTCAGTGTAGGGAAAACACTGACTCAGTATAATGTAGTTTCATAGGTTCTGTGTTCTCTTAGAGGGGGTGATTTTGCATCTTTAGCAGCAGCAACAGTCCACTTGCAGTCCATGTAGAGACAAGACATAATCCTGCAGATGAAATAGATGACTGAATGGAAGGAAGGAAGGCCAAAGCAGTGACTCGTGCAGGAACACAACAGGCACCCTCCTCTGAGGGAGAGAGATTGTGCTGTGCCTTTACACTGGGAATGATCCACCTGCAACTAAGGAAGATAAAGGGCAGAATCCTTCCCCCCGCCCCAATAACAGATGGAAAGAGTCTGGGCTAGAGCAATATATACGGGACATCTTCCTTTCCAAGTGGATACTCAACCTGTGGGTCCCCAGATGTTGTTGAACTACAACTCCCATCACCCCTAGCTAGCAAGGCCAGAGCTCAGGGATGATGGGAGTTGTAGTACATCTGGGGACCCACAGGTTGAGAACCGCTGCTTTAGACTCACAGGAGCACTCTTGTCTGCCTGCCTGCCTGTCTGTCTTACTTTTATTAATCTATTTGAAATGTTACAAAAACAAATGTATACCCAGTAAAATAAAGTCACAAAACAGACTACATTGCATTATGAAGGGAGACCATTTATCTACAGTTACGATATGAAACTGAGAAATCCCTTTCTCTTTTGCATGCTGTCAGTGGGTTTATTCGTCTGGACATTTAATAGGATTTAAGTACATAGCCCATGTAGTCCAGCTCTGTCTTCTCACAATGGCCGGCCAGATTCCTGTGGGAAGCCTAAAAACAGGACCTGAGTGCAACATCACTTGCCTCACCTGGTATTCTGGTTTTCAGCTGTACAGTGCCTCTGACAATGGGGGTGGAACATAGCCATGACAGCTAGTTGCCACTGACAGCCATATCCCCTATGAATTTGCTTTGTCCTGGATCTTGTTTACCTTGTTTGCCTTCCTTATAATGCTTTATACCATGTGAATGGTAATTATCAAGATCAGGGACGGGGGAGTTCATTAGAAGGGAGAGCTCTTTTGAATCCTGAAAGGGAAGGAGTGAAAGTTGTATTAGTTACAGCATATTCTCAAGGCACACATTCAGTCTGGATTTGTTTATATTTGTGAGAATATAAAGTAGTACTGGTTTTTGTTTTTTTAATGGAACTTATGAGCCAGTCCCCCTTCAATTGCTCAAGCTGCGCATCATGCAACTTTTGGCGGCGCTAGGCTCTGGGTGGTGGAGACAGCAGTTCTGAGCTAGCAGAGCTGGACAGCTCTGATAAGGCCTTATCAGATGTCAGAGCTGACGGTTTGGGCTCGTGGGTGGGTGACGGGGCAGAGCTGGGAGGCAGAATGTCAAGTGGAAAATCCTTCGGGGGGGGTGTGCAAATGTGTGTGTGTGGCAGGCGGGCATGCATTTAAGCATGAGCTTGTTGTTTAGTTGTTCAGTCGTGTCCGAATCTTTGTGTCCCCAAGGACCAGAGCACGCCAGGCACTTCTGTCTTCCACTGCCTCCCGCAGTGTGGTCAAACTCATGCTGGTAGCTTCAAGAACACTGTCCAACCATCTCGTCCTCTGTCGTCCCCTTCTCCTTGTGCCCTCCATCTTTCCCAACATCAGGGTCTTTTCCAGGGAGTCTTCTCTTCTCATGAGGTGGCCAAAGTCTTGGAGCCTCAGCTTCAGGATCTGTCCTTCCAGGGAGCCCTCAGGGCTGATTTCCTTCAGAATGGAGAGGTTTGATCTTCTTGCAGTCCATGGGACTCTCAAGAGTCTCCTCCAGCACCATAATTCAAAAGCATCAGTTCTTCTGCGATCAGCCTTCTTTATGGTCTAGCTCTCACTTCCATTCATCACTACTGGGAAAACCATAGCTTGAACTATACGGACCTTTGTTGGCAAGGTGATGTCTGTGTGCAAAGAGTGCTTGCAAAAGCTTTGACCGCTAGTCAGGTATCTTGAAGAAGGATGGGACTAGATCTCAGCCGAAAGACAGGCCAAGGAGAAAATCCAGCTGGGGGCAGCTGGCAACAAATTGGTCGAAGGGTAGATAGAGGAGTCAGCTTCAAGTCCTCACAGTTTAAGCTCCCTGCCCCATACTTCACCCACAAGAATGAATGCAGCAAACACATGCAGCATCCTAAGCGTAACCTGATAAACTCAGCACCTGGCAGGGGAGAGGCTCAATCTCTGTCTGGAGCCTGAGGCAGGCCATATATGGCCTATTATTATTATTATTATTATTATTATTATTATTATTATATACCGAATATCTCAGGGCAGTTCACAGCATAGAAATACAAAATAAAAACACAAAACACAAAACTTAGAGAGGTCAATGAACACATATCTTATTTTAATGAATTGACTTTTGCACAGCTTCGAAAAGCTTTTACAGAGCTACGACTAAATACAATAAGCTCTGCTTATAGAGATGGGAGACATAGAGGCATACCAAAAAAACGAACGTGTTTGCATTAGGGGATGTTCTGAAGTAGAGGACCTTATGCATTATATCTTGCACTGTCCATTCTATAATGATGCAAGAAAAAGATTTTTGGTACCTATAACGACAGGGTCCCCTGGCCAGAACCCCCTTGATATGATGTTATATCTCCTTGCAGACACAGATAAGTATGTGACCTGGCGGGTAGCACTTTTTGCAACTGCTGCTAGGAAAATTAGAGCAAATTATATAGCCTAGGTAGCCATTAACTGTAAAGGAGATGAATTTATTTGATCCTATCTATCTACCTCAGGCTATGCTCTATCTTTGTCACCAAACTCTGAGTATAAATTGCACACTGTATTAATTGATATTGTTTTTAACATTAGTGACCATGTGATGATTTTAGCTTATGAATTTTATTGTTTAATGTTTTTATTTGTACATTGGGGTACTTTTATAGCTTTGTTTAGAGTACGTAATGTTTTAATAATATAAATGTTTTAAGTCTTTTTTTTACCAATTCAGTATATTTTCTTTTAATTGTCAAATAATTCTGTGTACATTGCGGCAGCCTTTGGCTATGTGCAATAAAACTGACTGAGACTGAGATAATAGAAACAAAAACAAAACAAACCCATGTCTTTTGCCCACCCCACCCACCCAAAAATTGCATATCCTCCTGCTTGGTGAAGAGTTCTTGAGAACTCAAGAACCTGCTCAGTATTTTGTGACGTTCTGTTTGGTCCAACTGATGGTATTGCAGCTTTTAGAAATCCCATTAAAGACCAAATGCAGGTTTAAGGTAAAGGTAAAGGGACCCCTGACCATTAGGTCCAGTTGTGGCCGACTCTGGGGTTGCAGTTTACAAACGCTTTTAAGGCACCCAACACGTCCAGGTGCCAGAGCAGATACAGGACATCAGATACAGCCGGCACGGTGCTCTGCAGATGTTGCTGAACTCCAGATGCCACCATCCCTCTCCACTGGCCGTGCTGACTGGGGCTGATGGGAGTTGGGAGTTCAACAGCCCCTGGACAACACCATGTTGACTACCCCAATATATAGTATCCAACTTTCCCCTCCATCTCCTCCATTCCCATCCTTTTCCCTCCATTCCCATCCCTTTTTTATCTCCCCTGCTCCTTTTGTTCTGCACAAGCCCATGAACTGTCTGTTCCCTTGGCCTTCTTCTTCCACACTAGTTACCCTTCTCTGTCAACCCACTTCTGCCACCAAATTACTTCAAGATCTCCTTCAACAAAGCCTTGCCTGAAACGCTCAAAAAGCCTTGCCAGGGAAGGAGCTACACATCTGTAGCTACAAATCTCTGCCCTCTGAGGAGGACTCCCATTTTAAATCCTTCACAACTATGATGGCTAGAAATTTAAGATTGTCTATTTTTTAAAGATGATGCCAGATGTTCCGTTGAGGTTGTTGAAATACAGAGGGGTGTGTGTGTGTGTGTGTGTGTGTGTGTGTGTGTGTGTGTAAGGCTATGTTCTGACAAACTTCTGTTCTTGCCCTTGAGTATACAGCCAAACATTTCTGGCTTTGTGCTTGCTAGCAATGGGTAAAAACAAGTATGGGGTGTGTGTGTGTATGTGTGCTGAAGAGTCAGTTTTCCTCTGATGTAAAATTCAAGTGAAAGCATCAGCCAGTTCTCTGAAGTGTTGTTATCTCTGGGGCCAGATAATGCGAAGAGTCTCCACAAAGAGGAGGACGAGCACATCTCAACACAACAAGTCTGATCACTGGCTTTGCTCCTCTGCTTGCTCTGCTGACAGTCCTTGGTCCCTGGAAGTGCATGGCTTGGATAGAGCAGAATTAATTCACACTGCAGTATATTCTGAGGGGAAAAGAGACTGTCAGGATCCCAGCTTGACTGGCTCCCATCAGCCATAGTGCAAGTAGACATAAATAAAGACCGACGAGATGGTATCTTTTATCGGATCAGCCATTTGCTCAAAGATGTTACAAGTGCTTGGGCTTCTGTAATCATTTTATTTATTTGCCTGGCAACATCAGCATGCATAGCACTTTGCAGTGAGGACAAGATCATAGGTCCCTGCCCTGAGGGGCTCACTGTTTAAAATCTGACACAGGGCAAACAACAAGGAGAAGGACATGGAGGTAGGAGAAGGCTGTGATCATTTCAGTGGCAAATGCTCAGACTTCATTTGCCTCCAGACTGCCAGGATTTGCAGGAGGGATCCCAGCGCGTACCAAAACTTTAGATTTTTGCAATTAAGGTGGATTAAAGTGCTCTGTTGCCCTTGTGCAACAAATCCACTTTTTAAAAAGCAACAGGCGTTTTGCAGTTTGGAAAGTAATAAGAAAAGGAACTGGAAAGCGTGGGATGAATGAATGATTAAGGGGAATGCGTGTAGCCAGTCCACAAGCAACTCCGGATGAACGCTCATTGTTGTGGCTGTTAGCCATGATGTCTATGCTTTGCCTCCATGGTTGGAGTCAGTAACTATTCAGAGTGAACATAGCTGACTCTTCTGGAACCTGGGGTTCCAGAAGCAATCCAAATTTTGGACTTGCAGAAGAGAAAAGAGGTCTTGGCATATACAGCAATTACATTTCTCCCAGAGATCAAGGCGGATTGCTTCCCTTCTATGAAATTGTTTTTCAAAGTCAACATATGATCCTAGAATCTCATCTGTTGGGAGCTACTGTAACAAGAAGCTATTTAACAATGCAATAAAAGCACATGCGAAATAAGTGCTCACACACATATAAAGAGTTTCTATTATTCTAAGCATAAAAACTATTTCAAATCCAACATGAATACCAGCTAATAATAAATATTAATGCAGTTTCAACATTTAATGCATCAATGTCTCTTTTAAGATTCGTGAACCAACCTTGATTCACTTTGGTAAAATGCAGTTTGGGCCTTTAGAAGATGATTTGACCCAAGAAAGGTATCTGCCCTGGTCTGCCAAAGGAGATCTACAGTGTGAGGCTCAGCTGGCCCCAAATGATTGTGATGTATATTTGTATTTTAATGCCTCTCGCCTTCCAGTGAGCTTATGGCAGCATACATGTCTTCCCCTCCTACCATCCATTTTATCCTCAACAACCCTTTGAGGTAGGCCAGGCTGAGAGACAGGAGCTGGCCCCAGATCATAAACATCCATGAATGAACAAGGAGCTGAGCCTTGGTTTCCCTGGTTCAAAGCTGACACTCCCAGACCTTCCAAGTGTCCCTATTTTCCAGGGACAGTCCTTGATTCGAGAAGCCATCCCACTTTCTGATTTAATCCTGGAATGTCCCACTTTTCCTTAGAATGTCCCTATTTTCATTGGATAAATGTTGGAGGGTATGGAATTATCTGACCCCCCAAACCGTCTGAAGGCAATCCTGTATAGAGAAGTTTTCTTAATGTTTAATGTTTTGTTGTGTTTTTATATATGTTGGAAGCTGCCCAGAGGATCTGGGGCAAGCCAGTCGGATTGGCAGGGTATAAATAGTAACATTATTATTCTGGAATGGGATGCCCCTATTTTTATCGGCGAGAACTCGGAGAGCATGCACTCTAACCACTGCACCACATTGCCTCTCTTGAATAAGGACATGCCATACGTTGACACAGTAAGGTATGTTCCCATGAGGACCAACAACGAAGTATAAGAAGCCCAAGTGAAGTGGGATCAGAACTGCTGCCTCACTGGCTCTTACTTGGGCTTTACTGGAACTGATGTGGCCACAAACGTTGCTTTCCTACGAATTTCACCAGTTTCTTCCTCAGTCCTTTGTTATGACAAATATTTAATAAAACAGCTTTGTGGTCAGTTGTCGGCACATTGTCCATGACATCTCCATGCCATTGGCTTCACTTTCAGATGAAGAAGCCCCTCCCCCCCCCCACGTAACTTTGAAGCCTTCAGTCTCATTGATCTCAACAAGACTTAACAGTGCAATCCTAGCCATGTCTACTCAGAAGTAAAGGTAAAGGGACCCCTGATGGTTAGGTCCAGTCATGGCCGACTCTGGGGTTGCAGCGCTCATCTCGCTTTACTGGCCAAGGGAGCTGGCGTACAGCTTCCGGGTCATGTGGCCAGCATGACTAAGCCGCTTCTGGTGAACCAGACCAGCGCACAGAAACGCCGTTTGCCTTCCCGCTGGAGCGGTACCTACTTATCTACTTGCACTGTGTGCTTTCGAACTGCTAGGTTGGCAGAAGCAGGGACCGAGCAACGGGAGCTCACCCCGTCGTGGGGATTCGAACCGCCGACCTTCTGATCGGCAAGCCCTAGGCTCTGCGGTTTAAAGCACAGCGCCACCCGCGTCCCTCTACTCAAAAGTAGGTCCTACCAAATTTGGTGGGGCTTACTCCAAGTTAAGTGAAATTTGGATTGCCCCCTAAGGCACATGTTCTCTCTCCCTGGATGGAGGTCGTTCCTTTGGTCCTCTTTGAAGTAACGGAACCAACTTGCTTTCTCTTCCAGTTCCATTAAGATTTTACAGATCTTAAAAAACAAAGTGCTGCTTTAAACAAACAAATGAGAGAAAGACACACACACACACACAGAGAGAGAGAGAGAGAGAGAGAGAGAGAGAGAGAGAGAGAGAGAGATGGGGCAAAGTGCATTCTAAGAGGAACAAACCCTGCCCATCTGTAAGATTTCCTAAAAAAGAGGCATAACAGTATATTTGACATTGGTGCGCACATAAACATATTCTCTGTGAAGCAGGTCCTGTTGGTTAGATGGTTTTCATGTTCAGTTAAGCAGGCTTGGAATTCCCCTATTTATGATTCAGGGGGGTTTTTTGGTGAGAAGTGCCTTTCCGTGAAAATAGTTTTGGAAAACTGTTACAATGATATACATTGAAATCCGTGACCAGGGAGAAGAGTTGGTGGAAGAAGATTGGAAGAAATTTAAAGATTATTTACAGAAACATTGCAAAATTAATGAATGTTAGAGTGATGATGGATTGAAGTTAAGTGGCTCCTAGCTGTACAGGTTTTAAAGCTATAAATATATCAAGATTAAGGATTAGGATCAAAAAGGTCAAGAGAAATGGAAAAATTGGTTCTAAATAGGTAAAAATCTAATGTCATAATATATTAAGATTTAGGATTGGAATTAAAAAGGAGGGTAAGAAATTGCTGGGCTTACAAACTGAATTGGAATACAAAAGAGGGAGGTATGAGGAAGTCCGGGAAACAAGTAAATGTAAAAGAAGTTATGAAAAGACGGAACTATTTTAAAGTGTTTTTTCTTTTTTCTTTTTTTACTTTTTTCTATTTTGTATTTTGTATGGTGTATTTTTCTCTGTTTTTGTTAAAAAATTTCTTGTTTATTAATGTGATTTTATCATTTCTGAAACTTTAATAAATATTAATTAAAAAAAAAAATCAGCCTGGGGGAGTCAAGGAAGTCACCCAACAATGTAAAGAAAAATGGAATTATTATACTTAAGATTTATGTTTGTTTGTTTTATATATATGGAAAATCAATTAAAAAATTGGGGGGGGGGGGAAAGCTTAAAACTCCAAGTCTCACGGCTTTGCAGCTACCCGAGAATTGTAAACAAGGACCGAGGTGGTGTGGGGATTCTGGGATAATCGTGACTAGTGGGTGGGTGTTCACAACCAGGCTGTGAGGCGCGGCAGGATGAATGGCTGCAACGAGAAAGAGAAACCACCCAAGAATGGCTGGCCCTGCACCCTCTCGGTGCCCCCAGGCCCCACCCGTTGCGCTGGAAGCAAGCGGCTTGTCCATGATGCAGCAGTAGAGGCAGGCAGAGATAAAGTTATCTGCACAGGCCAGGCAGGGCTGGTGGTAGAAGGAGCCGCGGGACCTTGTCATACGCCTGAGTCTGCAAGGAAACCCCAGCCAGGAAGACTGTCAGCAAGGCGTTCCAGGCCATCGGAGCCACAGTTCTTGCCCATCCCCACCTTTCGTTCAACTCGCCTTGCAGAAATAATACAGTGGTACCTCAGGTTAAGTACTTAATTTGTTCCGGAGGTCTGTACTTAACCTGAAACTGTTCTTAACCTGAAGCACCACTTTAGCTAATGGGGCCTCCTGCTGCTGCTGTGCCACCACTGCACGATTTCTGTTCTCATCCTGAAGCAAAGTTCTTAACCCGAGATACTATTTCTGGGTTAGCAGAGTCTGTAACCTTAAGCGTCTGTAACCTGAAGCGTCTGTAACCCAAGGTACCACTGTAATGAAATAACAGCAACAACCATAAGTGGAGCTTATCATTTTTTAAACGTTTCTTACTAGAATTGAATTTTTTACAATCTGGACTCCCTCCCTCCTATTTTCTAACTTAAGAGAAGCTAGTTTACTGCGTGGCTGTGACTGTACTGCCTCAGTTAGGCTTCCTGGTGGTTTCAAAAGAGGAGGACAAGTTTCTAGTCCTTGTGGCTGAGGAAAGAACTAGAAAGTCAGTTGCCACATTCTAGCAGCGCACCAGTGCCCACATCACAGGAGCGCCAATGTGTTGGTGGAACTTTGGGTACACACACATACACACAGGCTGCCCTGCAGTTTTCTTATTACCTAGAAAACACATGCTTCAAATAAAATGCACAGTGCTTCTGTGCATATAGAGCCTCACATGTACCTCAGAGTCCCACAGAGGTCCTGACTGTAATCAGCACTCACTAAAGGCTTCAAGTCTAGACTTGGAAAGCGGTTCTAGTGAGCTCAAGACATATTGAATTCTCAGGAAGCTGTTCACTGATTCAGACCACTGGATAGTGTCTACGTATCAGTATTGTCTACAATACACTGACCAGAGGTTTCTGGGTGTCAGAACATAGCTGAGCTATAATAATAATATAATAATTTATTATTTATACCCCGCCCATCTGGCTGGGCTTCTCCAGCCACTCTGGGCGGCTTCTAACAAAGTTTTAAAATACAGCAATACATCAAACATTAAAAGCTTCCCTAAACAGGGCTGCCTTCAGATGTCTTCTAAAAGTTTGGTAGTTATTTTTCTCTTTGACATCTGGTGGGAGGGCGTTCCACAGGGCGGGTGCCACTACCGAGAAGGCCCTCTGCCTGGTTCCCTGTAGCTTGGCTTCTCGTAGCGAGTGAACCACCAGAAGGCCCTCGGCACTGGACCTCAGCGTCCGGGCAGAATGATGGGGGTGGAGACGCTCCTTCAGGTATACAGGACCGAGGCTGTTCAGGGCTTTCAAGGTCAGCACCAACACTTTGAATTGTGCTCTGAAACGTACTGGGAGCCAGTGTAGGTCTTCCAAGACCGGTGTTATATGGTCTCGGCGGCCGCTCCCAGTCACCAGTCTAGTTGCCACATTCTGGATTAGTTGTAGTTTCCGGGTCACCTTGAAAGGTAGCCCCACAGAGAGTTCATTGCAGTAGTCCAAGTGAGAGATAACTAGAGCATGCTAGGTTTCAGACCAGAGTCTTTTGCTGGAGATGCCAGGATTTGAACCTGGGACCTTTGGGATGCAAATCATACGTTCTGTCACTGAGCTACATTCTCCAACCCTGCAATTCTTTGCAGTTTCTTGCCTACATCCTTGCCTGTCTTTGAATTGTTTCTCTATGTCTTGTTTTGCAGTTAGGCACAACATTCAATTTGAGGCTATGTGGTCCTGGCATCTCAGATAAATTATTGCTACTTCCGTTGAATGAAGTTTGTTTCTGAAACATCAAATATGATTGACTTCTTAGATCACATCACCAAACCACATTCTTCTGTGCAACTTGCATAATTTGCCACCCAGTCAACGTGAAGACAGAAATTTTGAATTGCTGGGCTGTGGAAGGTTGGGTTTTCATCCCAGTGAAACTGGCAATGGACACCTCGCCTCAAGGGGGAAAGGAGGAATCGGAGCCTCTGCAAGTGGAACTCAGAGAACAACAGGAAACAATTCTAAATTGTTTTTAGAATACTTCTAAAAAATGAAGATAACCAAATAAAATTTAAAAACTTTGAGGAAATAAGAGACCACATTTCAGACTGGTTCCAATACCATCAGTTATTTGAAAAATTTAAATCTGACAAACAAAAGGGGTTCTCAACAGAAATTTCCCGATTCAAATCTGATCTTGTAAATTCTAAAAGAAAAACTCTTTCCAAAACTTACCGACTCCTCCTTGACTGGACAGTCAAGGAGGAGGAGGTAACAGTGGCAATGGTGAGGTGGTCCCAGGATTTTGGCCACTCAATAACCATGGCCCAATGGGAAAATTTATGGAAGATCAATTGGAAATTCACAAATTGTTACACGATTAGAGAGAACTTTCAAAAAAAACTTTGATGGTATCTAACACCATGGAAGCTTTCAAAAATGTATAAAAATGTATCAAGTAATTGTTGGAGATGCGGAGACTCAGGAACATTCTACCATATGTGGTGGATATGTAGGAAAATACAGGTATTCTGGGAGAGTATACATGCAGAACTGCAAAAAATGCTAAAGATCTCTTTCAATAAAAAACCAGAGGCCTACCTCCTGGGAATAACAGATTTGGATATTCCACAAAAGAGGAAGGGTATCTTTTTATATGCGACAGCGGCAGCAAGAGTTTTGATCGCAGCAAAATGGAAGAGTAATGAAATCCCCTCTATGCAAGATTGGATCCAAAAGCTGACAGAATATGCCGAATTAGATGATTTATCAGAAAAAATAAAGAATAAATCAAAACAGGAATTTGTTTCTAAATGGGAGGTTTTTAAAGAATATCTGAAAAATAAATATAGTAGTTTAAATTCTGTTGCAGCATTTGAGGAACTTCAGTAATAGTTGCAAGGTAGATATAAGAAATTAGATTTAATGAGAATAAGTTTAATTATGAAAAAAATGTGTATTGGCAATAAGTAATATGAATTTGAAGTATGGAATAGACGGGAGGTTGGGTCTTTAGTGTTAAGACGAATAGATGTTTTATTGTTTGCTAAGAATATTATGTGTCTATGGTTATTTTTGTAATTTGTGTGTAATTTGGTATTTGTGTTTTTTGTTTGTTTGTTTTTCTTGTTGTATAAATAAAAAAATTTAAAAAAATTTAAAAAAAGAAAGAAAGAAACTGGCAATGGACACCTCGCCCCAAGGGGGAAAGGAGGAATCGGAGCCTCTGCAAGTGGAACTCAGAGAACAACAGGAAATTGTTTGAAAAAGCAGAAGGGAAGAACGATCAGCTCAAGGGGTGCTTTAAGGCAGGGAGAGGTGGTGAACTATTAACCAATTTCTGCAGGACTGCCTAGTGCCTGCAGGAATCTGGGATTCTTGCAGTGGTCAACAGGATGGGAGTTGGGATGGGGAATAAACTTGGTTTGGTTCACTTTTAAAGGTGGACCTAACAAATTTGCACTTTCTGAAACTAGAAACAAATCAAAATGCAGCCATTTTTCAAAATCCGCACTTCTCTGGATTTTCCAATGCAGTTCTATAGCCAAGTAATCTGTATAAAATTGCATAAACCAGAGGCAGTGAAAATAGCATGCAAGAATTCATTATATTATTAGGGGAAATTGTTTTGCAAAAACATGCAATTTCTCAAAACTGCAAACAAAAATGTGCAGCTGGAGAAATTCACACTAAAATGGTAGTGAATTTTCATGAGAACGTTTTAAATATAAACTCACAAACTGGATGTGGAAATGCGCAGAACTGAATTTAAGGTTGGGAAAATGAGAAACTAAGAGAAACTGAAATTGACAGATTTGTCCACACATAGGTTTTTAAGCAAGAGGGCAGTCTCTGGATTTCCCCACAAAGATTATGTTTTTGAACTATTAAAAGATCCTATATTTGAGCTTTTGCTTTAACACATTTAAAAAATCAAAACTACAGGAAAGGGGGAAAAGTGGGCCACAGAAGCTAGGCCACCCACACCTCTCCTTTAATGGGCCCAAGATGGTCTACTCAAAGGAAAGAAGAAGGAACCCGGGCCAGGGTGGGGGAAGATGGAATGAAAACCTATATTGCCAAGAGGGTGGAGTGGCAAATCTAATCAAAATGAACACAGAATCCAGGATTTATGTTGGGAAATCAAAGAGTTTTCTCTAGCAACTCTTTTGTATCACTTTGGGAGATGACACGTCACACCTGAGTACCTACTTAAGATCATTTAATGAAACAAAATAAAATAAAATAAAATAATTCCTTCCAGTAGCACCTTAGAGACCAACTAAGTTAGTTCCTGGTATGAGCTTTCATGTATCTGAAGACGTGTGCATGCACACGAAAGCTCATACCAATAACTAACTTAGTTGGTTTCTAAGCTGCTACTGGAAGGAATTATTTTATTTATTTTATTTTGTTTCGACTACGGCAGACCAACACGGCTACCTACCTGTAACAAGAATCATTTAATGACTCTGATTTCTTTCGCACGCTATAAAGCTAATGGTTGTGGCATCTGAATGGCTATTCTTGCTTTTTCTACAGTGGGGACCACCTACCCATCAATTCCTCTCAGCTTGTTCCATTCCCCTCTTATGGCTGCCCCCACAAAACAATCGTTTCTGCATCAGCTCCGGAGTTTACACATGAGATCACATTCTAAACCATGCCAGGACTGAAAAGCCTTTTGAACAGGGCAAAGCAAACACCCAAAAGAGCCACTGGGATATTTTAATGGCAAACCCAGCAAGCCACACCCACCATGTACCTTAACAAAGCAAGTTCACCGTCTTTGATCCAAGAAAGAGACCAGGAATTTGGCTCACTGTTTTAACAAATCATTTAATTACAAAACATTGCTACGGAGCTGCTACAAAAGAGCTTCACCACAGAACCAGGGAGCTAAAAGCACCCCAAAGTCCTGGAAGGAAAGGTCCAAAGTGGTGGTTTTTATGCAGAAGAGGCTGGCAAGGCCAACTTGTCTGGCAGCCCTTTGTGCCCAAGGTTTCCAACTCTGCTCCAGAGGAATAAGGAATTGGTCCACTCCTGCCCTGAACGGGGCTCCTGTCTCTTTCACGGCAGCATCAAGGGGGATTTCAGGCAAGAGACGTTTCCCTTGTCCACACTGCCAGCTGCCCCTGCTCCAGTTCTGTCTTCTGCCACCCCGTTCCTGCCAGTTCAACGAAGCGGCTCAATCCTGCTTAAGATGAACTAGCTCTCCTGACCCAAGAGAGGGGCAGCAGAAATCCCACTGCCCCACGAAGAGCAAAGAGATCCTCTTTTCATACGTCAACCACGTAAGGCGCCACAAGCTCCAGGTCCACCACCGACTCCTCCAGAGGCTGCTCCACATGGAAGTCACGCTGGTGCTGGGGGCCCTGGTGGGCTTTTTTGCCCCCACGCTGAGGGATGGGCAGCTCCAGGTGGTGGGCCGGCAGCGGGGGAGTGAAGAAATAGGGGTGCAACAGCGCCTGCAGAAGGAAAGGAAGTAGAGAATGGCTGGGCTGGATGAAGCCAAGGGCTGTGCGATTGCCATAAAACTTAGGGAACAAGCTGTGCTATCATAATGATTAAGGTTTTAAATGATAATTATAGGTTATATGTTAATGACTAAGTTTTAATTTGTATATTTTTTAACTGTAGCTATATCTGTACAGTGGTACCTCGCGTTACATACACTTCAGGTGACATACGCTTCAGGTTACAGACTCCGCTAACCTAGAAATAGGGCTTCAGGTTAAGAACTTTGCTTCAGGATGAGAACAGAAATTGTGCTCTGGCAGCGCGGCAGCAGCAGGAGGCCCTATTAGCTAAAGTGCTGCTTCAGGTTAAGAACAGTTTCCGGTTAAGAACGGACCTCCGGAACGAATTAAGTACTTAACCCAAGGTACCACTGTATTGTCCCTGTTATAACCTAATTGCAAATTCAAATGTATCCCTATTGTGTTTTATGACTTCCTTGATATTGTATGTGGGCTGGAACTGGTCTGTGACCGAAATAATAAATTCATTCATTCAGGGGTGCAATAGCGCCTGGAGAAGGAAGTACAAAATGGCTGGGCTGGATGAAGCCAAGGGCCAACTAGCCCACCAAGCAAATCCTCCACCAAGAATCTAAGGAGTGGTAGTTTATAATTCAAAGAGCTATGGTTCCCAGCACCCTTAATAAACTACAATTCCCAGGATCCCTTGGGGGAGCCATGTGCTTCAAGCGTCTGGTGTGCCTGCAGCCCAGAAGCAGCCAGCAAAAAGAGGTCTCTGCCAGCTCACAGGCTTGAAGGTAATGATGGGTTTCTCCACATTTGCTTTAACACAAGGTATTCAGAGGTAAACCAAGTTGTGCATGGAGGCTGAAGAAGGTCCTGTGCATGCAAACTGGGATCTCATCGATACCATACATTTAAAGCACATTTAACACACATTTAAAGACTTTCCTCAATGAATCCTGGGAACTGTCCTTTGTTAAGGGTGCTAGGAATTGCAGCTCGGTGAGAGGTAAGCTACCATTTCCAGGATTCTCTAGGACAGAGGTTTTCAACCAGTGTGCCGTGGCCCCTTGGGTTGCTTTGAATGATGGTCTGGGGTGCTGTGGGCAACCCTGGCCTCTGTCCCTCTTTCCTTCCCTCTCTCCTCTGATGTCCTCTTGTTTCTCTGCCTCCCAAAGGCTTGCACAGCTGTTTGTTGCAGCAGCCCTGGCTGCAAGTTCCCCAGGCGAATGGTGCCTCTGGAGCTGGCCATGGGGGGCTGGTTGCCAGGAGCTGAGGTGGCCTTGGAGTAAGGAAGCAAGCTGACTAGGGAGCCCGGCCAGCCAGTCCACCAGCCCTTGCTGTTGGGAATGGACAGACAGGTCCCAGGCCCCTAAGGGGCAGTGTGAGAAGGCACCTCTCTTTGGGGCAGATGGGGCAGATCAGAGACCAAGGACGGTAGCAGTGGCTGCCCAGAGGACTCCCAAGGAGAGGGGAGAGGAGGCTGAGGGAACGCGCCACAAAGGAGGGTGTTTGAAAAAGGGTGAGAGGCAGCAGGACTGCAAGAAGTTTTGCAAGGAGGATTGTGCAAAATATTGCAGAGAAGATTATGAAGAGAATTATTAGTTCAGGACAATTTAAAGTAATAAGGAAATTAAGAAATGTAGTTTAAGTGATAAAGATTGAAAAATCTTCAGATGTGGTTGATGGAAGTTCAAAACATTGTATAAGTTAAGAAAATATGTTATATAACTGTTGGAAATGATATGTAAAAATTAATAAAAATATATTTTAAAAAATGAAAAAGGGTGAGAGGCTGCCAGCTCTGCAGGCAAGGGGTGACATAACTGGGCTCCTGAGCCCCACAGGGGTGCCACAGAAAGAATGTAGTTGGTCAAAGGAGCCATAGACTCAAAAAGGTTGAAAATCTCTGTGCATCCCCTTTTCTTCCTGTCCCTAATGTCTCAACAAATGAAACTGATTTGTAAAAACATTACATGAAAAAAAAAATACAAGAGAGAGAGACATTGCACGTACTTTTGTAAATCAATAAAATCTTTAATAAAAATACATTTTAAAAAACACCTCTGTGCAAAGTGGAAGACTTTTAAGTGTATTGTGTAGAAATGACCCTGGAACCTAGACTGTCTCTTCCCTTCCCCTCCATTACGCCCCCCACCCCACCCCACCCACATTTCTTCGTTATCTGAACTTCAATTACTAATTGCCATTCATGCATCTAAATAAATAGCCACATTCAAGCAGTGAGTTGGGTGCCCTCTCACCCCCTCACTTGGGGAACATGGGAAAGCCAGGCCCCATGAAAGTCCAATGGAAATAGACTGGGGTGCCCTCTGGTGGCAATTTGGAGCACAACAACTGCCCTTTCCATTGAGCGTTCCAAGCATGTGTTGATGTGAGATGCATCTCCCCTGGCCCAGAAAAGAACGCACGTACAGTGGTACCTCTGGTTGCGAACAGGATCCATTCCAGAGGCCCGTTCACAACATGAGCAGAATGCAACCCAGGTCTGCGCGGGCAGCAATTTGCCGCTTCTGCACATGTGCACGATGTCATTTTGCGCATATGCGCAAGCGGAAAAACCCGGAAGTAACTTCCAGGTCGCCGCGGGATGCAACCTGAAAACGCTCAACCTGAAGCAAACGTAACATGAGGTATGACTGTATTTAAAAGAGGCATGTATTCATGGTGAAGGCCTCTTCCAGGACACCTGGAGAGCACATTCTAGAGGGGAATGGGGTCTCTTGGAGCACATAATTCCCCCAGTTGCCAGTTCCCCATGCTCCCCAAAGGGACAAAAGGAAGGAACCACGGGGCAGGGACAACACAACGCCAGGACTATTCCAAGCACCAATTCCGTGTGATCCGTGCAGGATGCACATTCGCAACCTGCAACATTCGCAACCCATGTCTGCGCATGCACGGGTTGCGATTCGGCGCTTCTGCATATGCACAAAGCACAATTTAGCGCTTCTGCGCATGCACAACCGCCAAAACCCGGAAGTAACCTGTTCCGGTACTTCCGGGTTTCAGCGGTCCGCAGCCCGAAAAAATGCAGCCTGAAGCGGCTGTAACCCGAGGTATGACTGTACTCACTTCCTACAACCCAACAGAATTCCTCGCCCTGTTCCCTGCTCTGGTATCTGCAAAGGCCAGCTAGAAACCTCCTTGCATCTCTTACCTGTGCTGCCTGAACACGCTGCTTGGAAGGGTAGACCAGGAACTGTTTCAGGAGCTGCACGGCTTGTGGGGAGGCGTCGGGCACCACCTGCTCCAGAGGAATTGGCAGCTTCTCTTTGAAGGAAATCTTGTTGTAGTCGGGCAATTCTGTGATCTCCTGCTCCCAAACAGAAGTTGGGAAACGTGAGCTCTCAAGCTTCTCTGTTTTTAAACTGCCCCCATTCCTCCCAGAGACAAAAGCACGGGACGCTGACCCGCAACCCCTGTGGGCAATACCATAACTACCAAACCCACCGGCCAGATCTTCTGGTTGGGGGTCCCAAGGACTCGGAGGACACAGCACAGCTGCTCAATATCGTTTTCTCCGGGGAAAAGTGGGGAGTTGTTGAGAAGTTCGGCAAAGATGCATCCCACAGCCCTGGTCAAACGAGAGAGAGGGTGGGCAGCCAAAGCAGGGTCAAAAGAGAGGTCAAATGCACAAGGCTCAGAAACCAACCACATCCTTGTTTTGGGTTCTGCACTGCATATTCAAACTGGTGTGGAACTGGACAGTTTTGTACTGCTGCAAGGATGTGAAGAAATTTTGGATTTCTAGCTGAGAGGCTTGATAGTTAAATAGGCACCAAACTGGCTTCGTTTTATAGTGTATATGTCTTCCACACACAGAGACACCCCAAGCAAATCCTATGAAAGGTTTATGTAACCTGCCTTTTTTATTTTGTAAACTCCTTAGAAGCCTATTTGGGCACGGGGGCCACTGGGGCGCCTTGGAAGATGCTGGCCATACCATCTATCCAGCTTGTACGAGGTAATTAGAGGCTGATTATGGGGAGTAAAATCAGTCTCCCTCGTCTTCCCTGGGAAGGGGAAGATGCTGTACTCGCCCGCGGTTGCCATAGATCACCCCCGAGTTCGATTGAAGGAGGGAGTGAGGCACTGGGCGGAAGGCCCTCAAACAGGCTCGGAACTCCCGGAAGCTACTTTCAGGAGCGAATCTGGTTGCGTTGCTTAAAAAGAAACAATTGGAGAAAGTAAACGCACATGCTTCAAGAGAGGTCAGGAGTGTTTTTATCTGCTAATTATTTTACCACTGAGATGAAGAAGATTGGGACAGAAGGAATAGAGATAACATCAGAGAATCACAGACACGTTGGTAGGTGGAACAGAACAGAACGGAAAGGGGGGGGGAGACCTTTTACTTTCTTATGTGATTAATTTAACAACCCTCCCTCTTAAAGAACTGTCTCTGTTTTGATCTGCTAATAATTTTACCACTGAGAACGGGACGGAAGGAACAGAGATAACATCAGAGAATGGTAGACATATTGGTACGAGGAACGGAACGGAAAGGGGGGGGGAGACTTTCTACTTTTTCATGTGATTAATTTAACAACCCTCCCCCTTAAAGAACCGTCTCAACGACTAATTTGCAAGAGGGATTAAAAATGAACTGTGTGGGGAAAAAATAATATGAATTGAAGGTTTTATTCTGTGAAAGATTTGGAAAAGAAAAGAGTCTCTCTCTGTGACGCAGCAAGAAATCGGATTTGATATGGACAGGCAGACCTTCGCTGCAGGATACAGGGTCTAGGGAGGAAGAGCCGTAGATCGGTTATCAGTTTGGGATCGTAAATTTGAAAGGCTACCCTCCTGGAGGACTAATTTACGATGCAGCGGGTCTGGAAAGTTAATGAGCGGACATTTAGACTGTATTTCATCGGAGTGACAAGATGGCGTGTCTGCTCGAACGAATGCCCTGATTATTGGATTTCTGTGAGAGATTTACAAGAGAGCATTACAAAAGCCCACACAGAGATATAAACTGTTTCTTTCAACCCACTTGTGGAGAGAACTCGGAGGTGATAGAAAAGGAAAATGAGTAACAACAAAGAGTTTAGAAGATGGGACTGAAAAACATCAGGAAAGCAGCAGAAATATAGATGAATGGACTCTGGCCGATCGAGAAGCATGGGTATCCCCCACAAAAATTTATAATCTGGAAAATATTTGGACTTTATGATGTGTATTGATATAATTTGGACTAATTGGTATGATATGTGTAATTTGGTAACTTGGTAAATGGAAACTTAATAAAAATTATTTTAAAAAAAGAAGAAGAAGCCGCCTATTTGGGCACTAAGCAGTACATAAACAAGTATTATATGTGTTCCTCATGCTCACAAAGCCACAGCTGACAAGATTCCTTCTGCATGATGGCTAAACCAGTTGATCTCTGTTGTATATCATTGCCCTGAGGTTCATCTTGGGCTCCAATATAACTTTTAATTTTAATAATAATATTTTATTTATACTCCACCCATCTGGCTGGGTTTCCCCAGCCACTCTGGGAGGCGCCCAACAAAATATTAATACAATAAAACATCAAACATTAAAAATGTCCCTAAACAGGGCTGCCTTCAGATGTCTTAAAGTCAGATAGTTGTTTATTTCCTTAACATCTGATGGGAGGGCATTCCACAGGGCGGGCGCCACTACCGAGAAGGCCCTCTGCCTGGTTCCCTGTAACCTCACAGTGTGGGAACCGCCTGAAGGCCCTTGGAGCTGGACCTCAGGGTCCACGATGGGGGTGGAGACGCTCCTTCAGGTATACTGGGCCGAGGCCGTTTATATGTGCAGCAGCAACTCCAGGCTGATGCACTCACTAGCCAAAAGTCATATGTGCCTAGGAAATCGGGGGGGGGGAGTGTTTCAGCAGCAACAGACACCCCCATTATCTCACCCCCCACATGCTGCACTGTTACTGGATGCACACAGTAAATCTGTAACAGTTGCTTAGGAACTGCAAGACTTGTTCATTCACTACCGTTCAGGGCCACCAAGAGAAAGGTGGCCGGTCTGTCCTGCTGCACTGAGGACACCATCTGAGCCCTCCTCCTGTATGGAGTGGGATGAATTTCCCAGCCTTAGGAAGAGAGATCTGTAAGACAGCATGGGGATGGAAGGATTCTGCACAGCAGAGACGGGTGTTATGAGAATTATAAGGTCTAAGATATAAAATAAACGTACCAGCCAAACACATATAAACCACATGTCTGAATCAGTACAGGAAAAATCCTGAAACCATTTTGTCTCTTCCAAATTGACCTCGGATATTTCTCTGCAAGGTCGAAGGGAATGAGGAGCCTCCCCATTGTCTCTTTGCTCACAAATCCTGTCTCAAGGGCACATTTAAGATATGAATAGGGTGATCCTGTGACCTGGATTCAGGAACTGAGTAGTTATCATAAAAAAAGAGTGGCCAGGATGCCCAGGTAATCCAAACAGGTAACCTGGCAAACAAGATAAAAACAACGCACTCAGATTTCTGTTGTAGTCCGCCCCTTCTCTGATGGACGTATGATGTATTGGGGGGTGGTCTTGGGCTCCAGGGTGGGCAGTTCAAAAGTCTATATAAGGGTTCAGGATGCTCTTCCTGCCTCCTGTGTGTGGGGGGAGGACTCTGTTGCAATGGGTTTAATAAAGATCAGGCTTACTGGCTGCTTTGCTTCTCAATATTCTCTGCTTTGCCTCTGTTATTTTCTCCTACCAATAGAAAACCTAAAACAGGACTCTATTTGGGCTCTTGGGTACCCCATAAGGGAAAAGGAGCAGTTTTTTTCTTATAACATGGGGAAGCTGTGGTGAGCCTTCAGGCGTCCGTCATCCTCAGCAGACAGCATGGCCAATGGTCAGAGATGATGGGAGATGTAGTCCAACAACATCTGGAGGGCCACAGATTCTCCATCCCTGCTTTTGTAGCAAAAGACAGGGCAAATATACTCACCAGAGATCCACACCTTCATCATATTTCCGAGCACCGTACAGGAGTTCAGGAGCCCGGTACCACCTAATACAGAAAGGTTTAGGCGAGTCACATCTTTGAGCGTACCAAAACGCATTCGCCCCTAGTGCTTCCCAGCTCCAGCTACCAGGCTCAACACTGCTCACTAATCTCAAGAGACAGTTCCTGGCAGCCATCAGACTCCACAGCATTCTCAATGCTAAGCCAGACTGCAAGCGCCATGGAAGGAGAGCTGTTTCTTGTTGTGGTCATTCCAGCAGGAGCAAGGGGTTGGCTCTCCCTTCCCTGGCTTTATGCTCAGCCCACACCCCTGCCCATCCCGACTCACCTGGTGGCCACTTGGTGGCTGTACAGTCTCTCTCCATCGCTGGTGAACACCCTGGCCAGCCCAAAATCAGCAATTTTCAGCTGACCCGTGGAGCTGATCAGCAAATTGGCCGGTTTCAGATCCTGAAAAGGACAGGGAGGAGTTCGGAAATACCTGCAGTTTTTAACGGGAGAGCCGAGGGGTGAAGAGGAGTACAGCGCGAACAGGTGAGAAAAGGGGAGGTGGGATCCCGGGAAGAAGAAAGCAATCTGGGAGCCAGAGCAGGCCTCACCCGGTGCATGATGGAGTTGGCGTGGCAGAAGTCCACCCCTTTGAGCAGCATCAGCATGTAGCCTTTGACCTGGGCCTCGGTGAGGGGCTGCTCCGAGTTGCGGATGACCTCCGACAAGTCGGACAGCATGTATTCGAAGACGAGCACAAAGCCTGTGCCGTGGGGGAAGAAATCCTTCAGCTTCACCACCTGGGGAGAGGGAGAGAAGGAGTTGCCTTCCAACTCTTCAATGTGTAGTGGCCAAAAGGCCGAGAGACTAGAATGGGAAATCAAGTTGATGGGACTATGCCGAAATGGCACAATTAACTGGGAAGCTCAGGAATCAAGAAGAAATTTTTAAAAGAATGGGAAATGTTTCTAATGCATATACAAAATCATTGTAAACAGGTCAAAACATTAGCAGGATTTTAAATACACTTGTAATGTAGCAGAATGTATAGACAAGATGAAAAATTGGAGAAGTATTGATATGCAGTTGAAAATAGAATCAAAAGGACCCATGGAAGGGATGGGGGGAAGTCAGGAGATTCAGAGTGATCTCGATATTTGGATTTTGTACTGTTTTTTGATGTATGTTTATTTTATTTTCATTTATCCTTTGTTAAAAAATAAAATAAAAAGATCATTAAAGAAAGAAAGGGAGGCCGAGAGAGAAATAAGGAAGTCCTCACAGGAACAGAGGAGCAGAACTCCAGGTTTCGGGCAGCCAACCTTCCCAGCCCTTTCTGGAGATGCCGATGGGGGTCAAATCTGGAATCTTTTGTATGCACAGCAGATCCTCTACAACTGTGTCGCGGCCCTTGCCCCTCAAATCCCACCTCAGCCATAAACCAATGAAATGGCTTTAGGCACATCTTTGCCTCAGCATCAGCCCTACCCCCCTTCTCCAATATTTATTTATTACGTTTATACCCCACCTATTTCTCCAATGAGGCATACAAAGTTATTCCCCCTCATTTAATCCTTGCAACAACCCTGAGAGGCAGTGACTGGCCCAAGGCAACCCAGTGAGCTTTATGGACGATTGAGGATACGAACCCCCGTTTCTCATGTCCTAGTCCACCACACTGGAGACAATACAGTGGTACCTCTGGTTACGTACTTAATTCGTTCCGGAGGTCCGTTCTTAACCTGAAACTGTTCTTAGCCTGAGGTACCACTTTAGCTAATGGGGCCTCCCACTGCCACCGCGCGATTTCTGTTCTCATCCTAAAGCAAAGTTCTTAACCCGAGGTAATATTTATGGGTTAGCAGAGTCTGTAACCTGAAGCATATTTAACCTGAAGTGTATGTAACCCGAGGTACCACTGCAATTGCATTGACCTACCTTACAAGTTTGCTTCAAGGTTGCAGAAAGGTAACGTATGCAAAGCACACCTGAGCTCTTGAAAGAATGTTAATATTGCCAGGCCCCTCACTTTCAGGGTCTCTGGAGCTTTAATGCGGTCATTGTTTCCCAAAACAAATGCCGAAATTCTGTATCTGGAATTAGTTTGGCCAAACACAGCTTAATTTAAATGCTTTGGTGCAGCTTGGGTTTTGCAAGCCCCTTTTCTTTCTTTGCTGAATTTGGAACTAGAAAGGGCTTGAAAAAAGAAGGAGAGTAGGGATACGCAAATACCAAACTAAGGTCTCCAGTACATGCATGGAGAACTCATTCAGAGCTCCATGTGTGCAAGGGAACCCCATAAAGCATTAAGCTGAAAACAATGAGCTACGCTACCATCAGGGAATCTCTGCTCCTGACCAGGTCAATTCCCCAATCCCAATTCCCCAGCAATCAGCATTTTCTATGTTTTTGGCAAAAATTATGAGCAATTCTTTATTTGGTGGTTTGTATTTCACAATTACAGTTCTTAAGGTATTCATAGATCCTAACTACAGTGAGGGGGGGAAAGTATTTGATCCCCTGCTAGATTTGCCTGTTTGGCCTCTGATGAAGATATGACCAGTCCATAATTTTAATGGTAGGTTTATTGTAGCTGTGAGAGACAGAATAACAACAGGAAAACCCCCAGAAACCCAGAAGACAAAAGTCAGAGATTGATGTGCATTATAATGGACTAGTCATTTCTTCATCAGAGGGAAAACAGGCAAATTTAGCAGGGGATCAAATACTTTCCCCCCTCACTGTACATCCCTACTGCTGAATCAATACTAGCTGACCTGGTTCCCTCTTCCACTTGAACCAGAACAATGCGACAGTCTGGTGTTTGATCCTAACACTGATAACCCATATCCCTGACAGGACAGCTGCCCCAAACTCAGCACAGTCTCTGCCACAACCCAAGAGAGAGAAATAGTAATGTCAACCACATCTCACAGCTAGAAATACACGAGCACCTTGTTTCGTATGCTTTGAACAAGAAAGCTGCCACGTTGTTATGCTATAAGATCACGTCCTCTAATGTGGAATTGGATAATTTGCGTTTCAGTGTGTGTTTTTCTTCTCACCCCACCCCACTCCAAGGTTTCCAGCCCTCATGTTTACAAAAAAAAAAAAAAAAGGGCTTAACTCAGAGAGGGCTTGGATGAACTTTCCACTGATTCCCTCATCATAACCATTATCTACTTCTGGTGAACATTCACCATCCTCTGCCTCCCATCTTTATGAAACAATTCTTATCGCTGTTCTTTTTCCGGGCCTAGACAAAATCTCATACAGTGCGACAAATATTTTAAAATGCAAACGTGCAATTTTTTAAAAAAACCACAACTGGCAAACGAAAGCAGATTTGTCCAGTTGGCACAATTTCATTTGCATCTTACTGCAGTAGCATGGAGTTCCAGATCCACGGTTTAAGAAACTAGCAGCTTTGGCCAACTAACACAATTTATTTCTAAGGCTATCGTAACCCAAACCACATCCTCCCTTCTTCTCAGCCTAAGGTAAACTGAGGTAAACACACACAAAAGAAATTCAAACCGGCTACTCACGTGTTGATTTTCCTCAATCTCCTGGAGGGCTTTGATCTCCCGAAGTGCTTGATTGGGGATCCCATCCTCTAACTTGCGGAGAGCCACCTTCTTCAGGGCAACAGTCTCACCTGTCTGCAGTGAAAGAAACCCAAAAGCCCTCTACTCCCCTGCTTGACTCATTCTTCTCCCCGAGCTTGAGAAAAATACCAAGAGTCAATCCCTGGTGAAAGGTGAGACTCCACTTACTTCTATGTTCTTGGCTTTGAAAACGATCCCATGGGCTCCTTCTCCAATGCGGCCTAGGATGCTATATTGGTCCATGGTGGCCTCTATTTGTAGAAAAGGGAATTCAATCACAATGCAGGATTTAACTTCCTTCCGCAGGGCCTGTAAGACAGAGCTATTCCGCCTGGCTTTCAATTTGAACTTAGCCTGATCTTTTATTCCCCTTCCTTCCCTCCCCTCCCCTTTTTATGAAGATTACCCACTCTGGGATCCCACACTTAATTCTCCCCTGGTCTCCTTGTTGGCCCAAATAGGACTAATTCAGCCAGCTGGCCCTGGTGATCATCTAATGTTTATTGGATGGATTTCCCCCCCTAAATTGATTTTTGAATTCTGATTTTATTGTTATTCATGTTTTATACTGTATTTTATGCTGTTTTTTGTTGCATCAATTAAGTGTTTTAAATTTGTTGTTAGCTGCCCTGAGCCTGGTTTTCTGAACTGGGAAGGGCGGGGTATAAATAAATTATTATTATTATTATTATTATTATTATTAATGCATACTCAGTGGTATGTCTCAGCCTCAGATCGCTATAGCTGTGTCTATACATACATTTAATCCTATACTATACATTTAATGCAATAGCAGATTGTTGCAGGGCTACAGATTTCTATAGGTATGCCCACACAATAAATTTAATCTGGTTCCAGATTGTCACACTAGTGCAGATATCTATAAATATGTCAAATTTAATTTACTTCCACAGGTCTTCAGCAAAAGTACCAAAGTTGTATGAAGGTATGCAAAAAAGAAACTGGAAACACTTCACAAAATTACAAGTCTATTTGCGGGAAGCCAAAACTGTTAAGGGCAGACTTTCCAGAAAAAAACGCAGGGAACTTGTAGTTTCTCTTTGCAGAGCTACACCCAACACCCTTAAGAGGTCCATAAATTACCATATAGCAGATATTCAACACAAAAAAACAGTGACAATTTGTTGTTGACAAAGGACAGCTGGACCTCTAAAGGGCTCTCATTACCTTCAGCAGCTTAGGGCCTCATCAAACCTAAATCTGGCCCTGACCCAGGCCATGGTTTTACAGGACGCGGGTGGCGCTGTGGGTTAAACCACAGAGCCTAGGACTTGCCGATCAGAAGGTCGGCGGTTCGAATCCCCGCAATGGGGTGAGCTCCCGTTGCTTGGTCCCTGCTCCTGCCAACCTAGCAGTTTGAAAGCACGTCAAAGTGCAAGTAGATAAATAGGTACCGCTCTGGCGGGAAGGTAAATGGTGTTTCTGTGCGCTGCTCTGGTTCGCCAGAAGCGGCTTAGTCATGCTGGCCACATGACCCGGAAGCTGTACGCCAGCTCCCTCGGCCAGTAAAGCGAGATGAGCGCCGCAACCCCAGAGTCGGCCACGACTGGACCTAACGGTCAGGGGTCCCTTTACCTTTACCACACCCCTCCTGCTGCATTCACCCCCTCTTCTCTCAATGGCAAGCCCCCCTCCGCTTCAGTCCCACAACATCTCCAGAACTAACCCCACAAGGCAAGCCCTTATCCCTGCATGGGATGGGATCCAATATTTGCAGAGATATTTCCTCTCCTGGGTGGGCCAGCCCTGCTTCCAGGAACACACCGGGAGGGAGGGGGTCGCTTCATGCCCTGGAGGATTCGCACTCAGCACTGGGCTGAATCTGGGGGACCCCCAGGCACAGCCCCCAACCAGCCACCTCCACCCCCCATCCCCACCCAGCTTGGCTCCCTGCAAAACTCAGGAATCTGCGCCTGGGGGAGCTCAGGTGGGATACCCACAGGTACAGGCACAGGTACAGCATCCCCGCCAAGGACCCACTGCAAGCATCATCACCTCCTCCTTTCCCATCATGCACCTCTCCCTTCCCCTTCAGCCTCTGGGGCGCAGTCCCGGTGGTTCCCAAACGACAGCTCAGGTTCTCCGTTGCAGCCAGCAACCTCCTCCCTCTGCGGGGCGAAGGTAGTGGAAATATATAGTCTCACATCTCCCCACCTTTTATAGAGGTGGGGGGGGCGGAATAGAAAGCTGGACGGGCATCGTCCCACCACCCGCCTATTTAAAGATCTGCATTGCCTTCTCGCCGCCGGCTTCCGCCACTCTCGCCTCTCGCACAGGGGTGGCTAATCGGGAACCGGAAGTGATGGTTGCACGAGGAACCATTCCACCTCTTTGGCCTGGATTGGGGGGGTGCAGCCGCGTTGCCTAGCAACCCATCCCCGACGCTTCCCCGACGCTTTGCTTTTAACCCTGTCATCGCCCGGACAGAGCAAACCCCTTAAAGCAGGGGTAGCCAACCCGGGTGCTGGGGTAGGGCGTGTCATTTTAGGGGGTGGTACTTATTTTTGCAAATTTCTTCTGTTGGGCGGGGTCTTGAAAATACGTTTTTGGGTGTGAGGAATTAAAATCTGCTATTATTTTTGTGATTGGACAACATTTTGCTTGGCAAGCCTACGGTTTTGGCACATAAACTGCATTTGGAAAACCAAATAATTTTACCTTCTGAAAATGTCCGGTAATGCTAAACAACAAAAACAATAACAACAACAACAAATATTAATAAATAATATAATTGAAATTACTTGGCAATCACTTTTAATGATTTCTATGCAGTTTTACACAACTTTTACTTACCAAGAGTTACCAGGAAATGCCCATTAAATACCTCCCCCCTTTTCCCTCCTCTATACATCTGTTGTGTGCCACATGTCCCCAGAATATACATGAAAATAAGTAACAAGGAAGACCTGAGTTTCCCCATGGAACAATGTATTATTGCCCCTTCGTATTGCGAGTAATCCCCCGTTATTCCCCTACCCCAGGCATAGACAAACTCCGGCCCTCCAGATGTTTGGGACTACAATTCCCATCATCCCCTGCTAACAAGACCAGTGGTCAGGGATGATGGGAATTGTAGTCCCAAACATCTGGAGGGCTGGAGTTTGCCTATGCCTGTCCTAGCCTGAGATCACTTCGGCAGCTAACCTATTGGGAAGTACCTGAATTTGCCTTTGTTTGCTCAGATGCTCTGCATAGAGCATGGGTAGGCAAACTAAGGCCCAGGGGCCAGATCCAGCCCAATTGCATTCTAAATCTGGCCCGCGGACGGTCTGGGAATCAGCGTGTTTTTTCATGAGTAGAATGTGTCTTTTTATTTAAAATGCATCTCTGGGTTATTTGTGGGGCACAGGAATTCACCCCAAAAAATAGTTCGTCCCCCCCAGAAGGTCTGAGGGACAGTGGACCGGCCCCCTGCTGAAAAAGTTTGCTGACCCCTGGCATAGAGGATGCCTGATTGGCTTCCTGATTGTCTTTCTCAAACGCAAATGCTTTGTGTAAAACTGTGTCCGGAACCATGTGAAACTTGCTACATCCTCAGCAATGTCACACCTTGACTTGCCTGAGCCACTGTAACCCTGCCTTATGTGTGCTGTATTTCTGACGTTTGCAAAAGGCGATGTCCTTCATGCCAAAAGGCAAACATTTAAAAAGAGCGTTTTTTTCTTGGTTCTGGGTCCTTCGCCTCCTGACAAAAGGGGGGAGGGCGAGGACTCTGTTGCAACAGATAATAAAAGATCAACTTTGCTTTCACTGGATTTCTGCCTCAGGCAGGTGGAAGAAGGCCTTGCCTGATGAAGTCTCTCCCCTCACCAGTGAGGGTGTGTGCAAGCAACAGTGCCCAAATGCTGGGCCTATGAACTCAGGTCAGCAGAGAACATCCGTAGCCTACCTTTCTGCAAAACCATGTCACACAAAACGACACCACAAAGCCTCCCACTTCACCAACTCTAATGGAACAGCCAGCAACAATTCTGGTTCTCTCCAGACTGGCATTCTGCTGCCATGACTGGCCAAACACCTAAGAGCTCTCTTTGCCTAGCAGAATCACAGCCAGGATGCGTGGAGCAGAACAAGCTGTCTCTGTGCTCACAGCATTTCATTGCAAGCCAAAAGGGGGGAAATATAGCCACAGGTCCTGCAGCCTGCCCCTCACAGCCTCGCATGGGTGTGGGGCTAAAGATTGAGTACTCAATGAGCACCCAGGTGACACCACTCCTTTCTCACCTGCTTACATACACCTGCTGTGCACGCAGGTCAGAGGACTACGTGCTCCTGCTGCTATCGCTCATCATTCTCCCTGCCTGTCTCCTTTTGCTACTCACAGGCTGTTATCCCACAGGTACAGACCCATCCTGCAGACTGTCTTAGGCTGAACACGAGTGAGGTCCACCCCACGGTGAGCAGCAGTGATCAGGATGCTCCCGGCTGTTCTTCCAGGTTATCCGAATGCTGGCAAGCTCAAGTGGTCACATGGATCAGAAGTTGTTTGTTGATATTTTATTAGAAGAACTTCAGGTACAAAAATAAAGTAATAAAAGAGGGGAAAAGGGAGAAAGGGAAAAAAGTGTGAAAAATTCTATACCTATTGTATGGAAGTTGACAACTGGACAACGAAAAAGGGATTTTCTATGTGCCCTAACTGTGGCCAAAAGATTGATATTGATTAATTGGAACAATAAAGATAGGATCTCCGTTAATCAATGGATTGATGGCATGATGACACTTGCAATATATGAATGGATTAGTTATATAGACATAGACTTTTCTTTGGATATACAGTGGTACCTCGGGTTAAGTACTTAATTCGTTCCGGAGGTCCGTTCTTAACCTGAAACTGTTCTTAACCTGAAGCACCACTTTAGCTAATGGGGCCTCCTGCTGCCGCTGCGTCACCGGAGCACAATTTCTGTTCTCATCCTGAAGCAAAGTTCTTAACCTGAAGCACTATTTCTGGGTTAGCGGAGTCTGTAACCTGAAGCGTATGTAACCTGAAGCGTATGTAACCTGAGGTACCACTGTATTGATATTTGGAATGAGCTTATATAAAACACAGTAGGGTACTAATAATCATATATGTATATAGGACAATAATAATATCTATATATTTACGTAATAATGTCTAGCAATGTAACTGCATACTTACTGTATTTTTCACATGGATCAGAAGTTAAGGCTGGGAGAAAAATGTAGGACATTCCTGAAAATTATTTCTGAAATCTATAAACACCTCTTGTGTGGACACACACTAGAACAGACAGGTGTTGTGCCCCTGGGAGACGGAGGAAGGGGCCGTAGCTTAGGGGTATAGTGCATGGCCTGACTAGACAAGACCCCAGCATGACCAGGTAGGGCTGGAATCGTCCCCTGTCTGAAACCCTGTAGAGCTGCTTCCAGCCAGCAGATGATACTGACTGAGCTGGACCAATGTTCTGTCTTGGTGTGAGGTAGCTTCCTATCTTCCTATGAGCTGCATTAGTGAGGAATTAATCTGAGCATAATTTTCTCAGAGACGACAGCTGCTTTTGAAATCAGGAAGTGATCCTGCTGTACCTGTGAACATGTGCAACCAGAGATTCCTGTAACGACAGCTAGTAGGCTGTACAACTCCAACAGCTTGAGGTGGAAGTTTTGCCTCCTAAAATACCCAGGTTTGTGACTGTTGTTATCCAGTGGAATGCAGTCTGTACATGCTCAGAGGTACAATGGCCATTATTCTTTCCTCACATGCTCAAAAATAGGGTCTGGAACAGGCATAGGCAAACTCCAGCCCTCCAAATGTTTGGAACTACAATTCCCATCATCCCTGACCACTGGTCCTGTTAACTAGGGGTGATGGGAATTGTAGTCCCAAACATCTGGAGGGCCGGAGTTTGCCTATGCCTGGTCTGGAAGAACCTAGCTCAAATGAAATCCTGGTTCGGACAAGTCTGTTCCAGGGGGCCTTTTTAAAAGCCACAACACTTCTCTATTTCCGGCTCCCGCAACGGTTCACAGCTGGTTTTCTTCATGAGCCACACTTCACAAGGTCTCATTAAGCAAACAAACTGTGATTCCTTTTCATACCTGCCCTAATTAATAAACTGTGTGTTCCACTCCCACCTTGCTTTCTGCCACTGTTCTCACTTCAGAAATGATGGGTCAGGAGCAAACTTGGATTTGAGTCCTTAGGAGGACTCAGCCCCACTCAGTCCCTCACGCCCTATTTTTGAATTGACGTCAGAGCCACAACTGGCAGTTATTATTTATATTGTGTCCTTAGTGTACATGGCGTTTTTCAGCATAAGAAAAGGAAAGGGGGGGGGGAGAAAGGCAAGGTCCTTGCCCTCAAAAGGTAATAATCTATGCAGGAAGAAGTCAGAGAAGAGGAGACTGGGAGAAATAACAGGGTGAATATGAACAGGTGCAGTTATGGGGGGGACGGAGGTAGACTGGGCTTGGGGAGGTGTCTGAATCTGTGGCCCTCTGGATATTGCTGCCCCATCAGGCTAGACTATTGGCCATGCTGACTGGGGCTGATGGGAGTTGGCGTTCAACAACCTATGAAGGGCCACAGGTTTCGTACCCCTGGATTAAAGCAGGATAATAAATAATAATAATAATAATAATAATAATAATAAAATTTTATCTATACCCCGCCCTTCCCGGTTCAAAAACCGGGCTCAGGGCAGCTAACAACAAATTTAAAACACTTTAAAACACTTAATTATAAAAGCAGCATAAAATATAGTATAAAAACATGAATAACAATAAAATTCAAAAATCAATTAGATAATCCCCAGGGCTAGCTGGCTGAATTGGTCCTACTTGGGCCAACGAGGAGGCCAGGGGAGAATTAACTGTGGGGTCTCAGAGCGGGTGATCTTCATAAAAGGGGAGGGGGAAGGAAAAGAAGGGAAATAAAAGATCAGGCTGAATTCAAATTAAAGGCCAAGAAATGGGATCAAGGGGCAACCAATTAAGTTTCTCAAGTCTTTTGTAGCTGAAGGTGTCTTGGCACCATAAAAATTGAAGGCAAATAAGAAGCAATATGCATATTTTGCTGAGCCAACTTGACATTTAAAAAAATGATCTGTCTTACAGGCCCGACGGAAGGAGGTTAAATCCTGAGGGGCCCTAGTCTCATGGGACAGAGCATTCCACCAGGTCGGAGCCATCACTGAAAAGGCCCTGGCCCTGGTGGAGAACCTGTGGCTCTACAGCTTTGTTGGACTCCCATCAGCCTCAGCCAGCATGACCAATGGTCAGGGATGATTAACAACTTTATCCCCTGTTATTTACCAGCAAGTCTCAGGGTTGGCTGCAACAATTCAGAATTAAAAACAGTGGAAACAGTTAGTCACAGGAATAGGGTGCGTCCTGAAAACACACATCTCGGGAGTCAAAGGCCAACGTGTGTGTCTTCAGAGAACCCATGTGGTATAGTGGTTAAGAGCGGTGGACTCGTAATCTGGTGAACCGGGTTTGCTTCCCCGCTCCTCCACATGCAGCTGCTGGGTGACCTTGGGCTAGTCACACTTCTCTGAAGTCTCTCAGCCCCACTTACCTTACAGAGTGTTTGTTGTGGGGGAGGAAGGGAAAGGAGAATGTTATCCGCTTTGAGACTCCTTCGGGTAGTGATAAAGCGGGATATCAAATCCAAACTCTTCTTCTTCTTCTTCTTCTTCTTCTTCTTCTTCTTCTTCTTCTTCAGTATCTGCTGAAAGCTGTGAAGGTACCAGATGCACTCTGTGGGGAGGGAATTCCTTGACTTAGGAGCTGCCACAAAGAAAGCCCGCTCCCAGGCCACCACCCCAAACTTCTGAGGGTGGTGGGGACCCCTCTGCTGATCTTAATATCTGGGAGGGTCTGTAGAGAAGGAGGCGTTCTTTCATATATTTGGGGCCTAAGTCATTTGGAGCTTTAAGCACAAGCGTGAACACCTGGAATTAGGCCCAGAAACAAATTGGCAACCAACACAGCTGTTTTAGAACAGGGGTTATACGTGCTCAGAAGGAAACTCCAGCCAGTAATCCACCTGCTGTATTTTGGACCAGTTGATGTTCCCAAGTCATCTTCAAGGGCAGCCCCACATAGTGCAATAATCCAGGCTGGAAGTTTCCGGACTGTGGAGTACCATGGCCAGGTCACCTCTGCCCAAAAGGGGCTGTTGCTCATGTACCAGCTGCAGTTGGAAATAGGCACCCCTGGGTCTCAAGGCCACCTGGGTCTCAAATTACAATGTTGAATCCAGGAGTACCCCCATCTTTGAACTTTCTCCTTCCAGGGGAGTACAACCCTGTCCAGATCAAGGCTGTCTTCCCACCTCCTGGACTCGAGAACTTGGAAAACCATTGTCTCTTCAAGATTTAGCTTGAACCCGTGGAAGAAGATTGGAAGAAATTTAAAGTTTATTTACAGAAACATTGTAAAATTAAGGAATGTTAGAAGGATGTTGGAATGAAGTAATGTGGTTTTAGCAGAAATGCTATAAAGGATTAAGAAAAAATAGATTGCTAAATGGTGAAAGGAGGGAAAGTAAAGTTACATTATATTAAGATAAAATAGAGGACAAAAACTGGAAAAGATGGAAAGGACTTGCTGAAATAGCTAATTGAACTAGAATACAAAGAAGGGAGGTATGAGGAGGTCAAGGAAATAAGCAAATGAAAGATAAGTTATGGGAAGATTCATTGTATTTTTTTCTCTTTTCTTTTTTCTTTCTTTTCTTTTCTCTTTTTTTATTGTGGTGTGATGTTTTGTCTTTCTTTAATATGCTGTTTTTAATTTCTTCTTTTTGTAACCTTTTAAAATTTAATAAATATTATTTTTTTAAAAAAAAGATTTAGCTTGAACCCATCACTACCTCCAAGCACCTGTCTAGCGCCTCAGCCACCTCTCCTGATTTAGATGGAAAAGATAGAGCTGGGTGTCATCTCTATATCGGTGGTACTTCACTCCGAAACGCCTGATGACAGCCCCCAGTGGCTTCATCTAAATGATAAACAGCATGGTGGAATCCTGCAGGACACCACTGGCAAGCTTTCAGGGTAACACACAGTGGTCTCCTTTGGTGTTGCACCTTTGGGGTCAACCCACCGCCTGACAACAGCAGACCTATCAATAATTTCTGCAACCTCTACCTCACATAGTTGTCATTGGCCAGAAATTGCTTTTTGGGGAATGGGATACTGATGAAAGTATTTGTGTGGAGGGGAAACTATCAGGGATCAGATGAAACACCACTGCGGTGGCAGCGACTGGTTATGAAGTCCCAGGATGAGCCCTGGATGAGTGGGGATGTGGGGAGTGGTGTATCATACATTTCACCATCATCCTGTATCTTAATGTCAAACCATATACAGCAGTCCCTGCAATCATATAGAAAACATTCTTTTAACATATCAAGGGCATGCCGGATTATGTTTTAAAATAAAGGTTGGGTTTCAAGTCCTCATCGTTGCAGACTACAAAAAAACAAATCTAAACTTGAAAATGTGCACCACTGACTGACCCTGTAGCGGTGACATTGCTACAAGATCTGATGCCATTCTGGTCAGTATTCAGACATGTTCCTTTATTTGCAGGGCCCTGGAAGAGCGTATGCTCTCGGATATTGAAGACCTGCAGAGCGATAGAAATCTGTAGTTGCATCCCTGCAAAATATCCTCTTTTGTGACTCCAATGTTTAACAGTTCACTCCTAAAGTGAGAAGCAGTGAAGGCAAGAAAAAAAAAAGCTGGCAAAGTTCTATGCTGGGCTCATCGCCCAGTGAGAGTGGGGCTGGGTTGCCAAATCTGTAGGAGGCGGCCTTGTGTGGGTGTCTTAGGAAGGCTGTTTGGACAGAGAGTATAAGGGAGTGACAGTCTGGATCTCTCTTTTTATCACACATGCAAATCCGCGTACACAGATATCAGTCAAGCTCGGAAGCTGAAGAATAGTCAGATTCAAAAACTGACACAGATACTGAGACATCTGCTGGGTTACAGAAGGAGTGCTGGGAGCCAGGACGTTTGGTTCTGTCCCCAGATCTGGATGGGAGAGCAGCTCAGTTGCTAGATCATAAGGGGGTTGTGATCAGGGCAGATCAAAGCTGCAAGAACAGTTACTTTGGTTCCAGGACTTTGTGCTCAATGCCCACCTCCCACCACTCCCCAGCAAACTGAGAACGGGAATAGATAGTCAGAACAAAGAGGAAGATGTGTCAGGGTTCAAGGTATCCCTCCATGGCTGGGAAAGAGAGGTGAGAAAACTTCAGAACCTAGGACAGAGTCACAGGTAAGGTTTGATTTGTGCTATATGAGAAATAGGGGTGTGATAAGTTGTGTGACTGGCTTGGAAGAAATGGGATCAAGGGGCAACCAATTAAGTTTCTCCAGTCTTTTGTAGCTGGAGGTGTCTTGGCACCATAAAAATTGAAGGCAAATAAGAAGCAATATGCATATTTTGCTGAGCCAACTTGACATTTAAAAAAATGATCCAGAATTTCAAATTAAAATGCAACATTCTTTTACTATAATGCTGTTACAGTGGGTCTGAACCCAAATAAGCTCTTGAAAGTTTGTGTTTTAATAAGATATCGTTTCATCTATCCCATGTGTCTCAGATCTTTTGCACTTGCTTCCTTCTTCACTAGACGGTGTCCATATTATGGGTATTGAGGTGGGTGAAAGGGTTAAACTTCCTGCTTAGGGTTAAGGTTACTATTTCTCAGCCTAAACCTACTTCTCAGGGTTGTTGTGCATGAATTGAGAGGACAAAACTATATTTAAACACACTCTGAACCACTGGGATGTAGCAAGAAATACATTGTTTATTTCACAATTCCCATTGATGTCCCTGGTGCCTTACTGACCCAATGTTGTGCAGTGGTTAGAATGCTGGACTGGGATTGGGGACCTGCAGGTTCAATCCTCACTCAGCCATGAAGCTCCCTGGGTGGTGATCTTGGGCCAATCACTCTCTCTCAGCCAGCCTAGCTCTCAGGGGTGGCTGTTCTGTAGTTAAAATGGAAAGGGAGAACGTTGCATGCCCCCTTGAGTTTTTCAGAGAAAAGGTGGGATATAGATGTTATTAAGTAAGAAAGCACCTGGAATGCACTTACGGAGAAATGTATTTCCTTTTAAAGATCCCTGTTCCACGGAGCTTACGATGAGCACTTCTACATGGGGTGAACTAAGAGTGGGAGAAGCAGAGGAGAAAAATGGGGGGGGGGGGGAGCAAGAGCAACAGGGCATACATTTTCTCTCTTCAGAGCAGTTGCATATTACTTTACTTTAATGGCAACTAATTAGTCCCTGGTTAATTCTCATGCTGCAATTGCACCATGTCTACTTCCTGCAAGGAAGTGCCACCCCACGATTCCTTGCCAACAGTAATGGAACATGGGAGGGCATCAGACTCTGTACAATAATTACTCTAATTGCCAGGACTGTTGCAGTTTATGGTAGGGACAATCTGACCGTCAGTCTTGCATGACTTTCTTTTATTCACATACCAATTGTTCATCAGTATGTTTTGGATTTACAAAGCCAGTGTGAAAGTTCCATCTCTCTCACGATTAAGTTCTGTAAATCTCTGTGAAATTATCCTTAATATGCACAGTTGCTCAGATACTGGATTCATAAACAGAAAGGGGAGAAATAGTTTCAGTTAAAGTCGCAATCGGTGGTCATAGTTGCATAGCTACCTAAGTTTTACAGGGCAGTCTTGTGCATGTCTACTCAGAGTAAGCAATCCATGGGAGCTTACATCAAGGTAACTGTTTCTAAGAGTGCATCCGCAGGTAGAAACCTGCCCTCTTGCTTAAAGGTAAAGGTAAAGAGACCCCTGACCATTAGGTCCAGTCATGGCCGACTCTGGGGTTGCGGCGCTCATTTTGCTTTATTGGCCGAGGGAGCCAGCGTACAGCTTCCGGGTTATGTGGCAAGCATGACTAAGCCGCTTCTGGTGAACCAGAGCAGCGCACGGAAACACCGTTTACCTTCCCGCCAGAGTGGTACCTATTTATTTACTTGCACTTTGACGTGCTTTCGAACTGCTAGGTTGGAAGGAGCTCACCCCGTTGCAGGGATTTGAACCGCTGACCTTCTGATCGACAAGTCCTAGGCTCTGTGGTTTAACCCACAGCGCCACCCGTGTCCCGCCCTCTTGCTTAGGAAGAGTCTTAAGAACCTGAGAAGTGTGGAGATTACTGTATCAGGGACTGTGACAAAGTGCTAGTGCAAATATACTGGCATTCACTTATTTGAGCAGAAAAGGCAGGTGTAGTGTTGTCTAGCTTAAACTATACAGTGGACAGCTCAAGAGTCAGAGCAAAGGAAGTTTGGCAACAATCCCTTTTGGTAAAATTGGTTTGCATTTGGCTGCATTCCAATAGTTGAAAGGGTGAGGTGCCCCTATCCATGATCTGCTGCAAAAACCTGGCCAGTGAGAGAGACTTAACCGTGCCCAACAGCTGAATTCAGAGGAAGTGGAGCTCAACTGCCAAAGCACCAGGGGCTGTATGGGTGCAAGGATTTGCTGGACTTATGGAACAGCCACCACTAGGTTCTGAAATGAAAAAATTATGGCAGAGAATGGAATGCATTCTGTCTCTCCCTAAAATCTAGTATTTTTGCGATTCTACATGAGTATGCAGATAAGCCTCTCCTTATCTGTCTCCATTATGCTGAAGGAATTCAAACATCACCATCCCTTTGGAAGACTCTAAGCATGGGAGATTTGCAGTGTGTAGTCTAGAGTGTCCCAGGCTGCATTGCATTACCTCTCATGTATTTCTGCAACAAGACTGGAGCCTGTTGGAAGGAGAGCAATGATCTGGGGTTGTTGTTGTTTAATTATTGTTGGTCAGAAAATCATGAACCCACAATCTTGTATGATAAATGAGCATTATTTCTTACCGCATGGATACACTGTGTGCATGTGATCTATGTGTAATGTTTTCCTTACACAGGCGTGATATCTGTATAGGAATTAATGCGTGAGGGAAAAGTCCACAAAGATATCAACCAGGGCAGTCTTCCTGAAGAGGCATTTGTGACTGCCTGGAGAAGGAGCAGCCAATCTTCCTTAGCCTACACGAAACAACATATATATATATATGTATATTGCACAAGTTGCAAACCACCGTGGGAATAATTCATTTTGAACGGTAGGTAATAAACTTCTTAAATGCAACATACAAAAAATGTGTGCATGGACAGGATAAGGCCCTCAATAGCTACAAGTTGCGATGGCTCTATACTCCCTCCGAGTCCCAGTCACTGGGGAATAATTGCAGAAGGCTATTGTACCCATCTCCTGCTTGTGCTACCCTCTGCCAAAAAAGGCCTCTGATTGGCCACAGAGTGCTGGACCAGACAGGTGTTTGATCTCACCCAGCACAGCTCATCTTTTGTCCTACAACATAAGAAAAGCACAGAGCTATAGAAATATATTTGTTTTCCTTGGGGGCAGGGGTCTCTCATGCCTATGCGACCATGGACTTCCCAAGAGCCCAAGACATTAATGAGTTGTCTGCCAAACTTTCTGGAGAGCCAAATCAAACTTTTGAGAAAAAGCACATACTATATAGTCCACAAGGGGCAGCACCACTTCAGAATGCAAGTGGGTGGAATTGTATGTTTGGATGTTCCCTGCACATTAAAAAAAATCTCTCCAACCCACAGAAAACTGGCTTAAGACAGAACCTGATGGGCCAAGGAAGAAACACTACTAACTGAACTGTTAAGAGGATCTCCTCTCTCTTCCCTCCCTTCCCCCAGCCCCACTACCCTCCTCTCCAGACCTACCACAATGTGCCCTTCTGCTCCAGTTATCGTCATGGCTTTTACCATCCTCCTGTGTCAAGGAACCTGTGCTCAGGAGTTCCCTATTCACACTCAACAGCATCATCATGACCAGTACTGGTACCAAACCACAGGAGATCAAGTCCCAGTGATCAGTGAGTCAATTCTCTTTTAGAGAAGGAGTTTTGGATATGCAAGAAGCAAAATGTGCCCACTCCCTGTCTTGTTATTAGGAAGCTAGATTTGGGTCTTTGGCCTGCTTTCAGTTCCATCACATCTACTCGGAAAAGAGAGCCAAGCTATACATTACCCATTTTACACCGCTGTATTTTACAAGTCCCAATTATTTCATGCACGCACCATTACAACACCTGCATTTTTCCTGTACATTCTCAACTTTCAAAGTGTGATTGAGCAAGACCTTCAGTTAGGAAGGCAAACCGTTGCTGGAGTCTTTGTGTGGCAGCACCACACAAAATATGGTACTGGAAGATTTCAGGCAGCCAACACTCATGATGAGATAGGGGCAGGCATTACAATATATATGTGACAGTCTAATGCCAGTAAGGGAAACAAAGCTTGGGGAAAGGTTAGGAGCTGGGACTCTCACAGACCAAAGCTATAGCCGATGAGAAAGGAGTGTGCAGGACTTTGCTGTGGTTTCTCAAAGGGAGCTCTTGATGGCTCCCACTTCAGGTCTTTGTTTCCTCCCTGCTCCAGGTGGCGGCACCTGCAAGGTGATTGCTATCCGCCGCTGCTGTAACCGCAACCACATCGAGGAGAGGTCTCAAACCATCCAGTGCTCCTGTCTCCCGGGGAAAGTGGCTGGGACAACCCGCGGCAAACCTTCTTGCGTGGATAGTAAGTGCTTGGAGGCAAGGCCTCTTCCCACTTCCAGAGAGAGGGAAGTCCAGGGGGACCAAGGAACATGCAGGGAACCCAAACACCTGGGGCCTTGGAGAAGGGAGCGAATAGGAAAGTGATTGGAGGCAGGATGGGGAAGGACCATTGCCTTTTAACTGGAAAGAGGCCAGAATGTTGGAGGGAATGATGGTGAAGCGAGAGAATTCAGGGAATTGCAGTCCCCTTTCTGAGAGGTGAAGGTAAGGGGAAATAACAAACGTTAGCTGTGTAGAGGATCCCTTGGGCAAAGTGCAGGGGAATGGATTGGTGGAAGTGGTAGCCCAGCCCTTCAAGCCTATGGGATTTACTGCACTTTAAAAAAAATATATAATGCAATCTGCCTTGAATCTTTGGGGCAGAGCAAGATGCAAACCTTAGAACAGCCAGGCAAGTCAATCTTTTTGGTCTGTGGCTCAGGAAGACGTTGGGAGGCTCACAGCTGCTCCTGACCTATAGCCTGCCTGTCCTAAAGGGTTTGCATGGATAGGAGAGGCTGCCCACTGTGGAACTAGCGGTGGCAGAGACAGATGATTATTTCTACTCTGCAGCTTCCATTGTAACTGGAAAATGGTGGTGTGACATGGAGCCCTGCCAGATTGAAGAGGAGTGCAAAGCGCTGCCTGACAATTCCGGCTGGATGTGCTCACTAGGAAACCGTGTCAAAACCACCAAGGTACTAGTCCCTTAACATTCCCCACAGTAGGTGAAGCCTACAAAGGGCAAATGTGTACCAAGCCTCCTTTTCCACTTCCCAGCTGCTACCCTGTCTTGCTTTCCGCTTTGTTTTTTAAGCAGGTCCTGTGGATAAGGCTCACCTCCTTCCTCCATCTGACAAGTTGTCTTGTTTTCCCTTTCAGATCCACCCCAGGTATTGAGATCTGCAGCGCCGAAGGATCCACCTCCCAAGTGTATACGACAAGATATCTGGCGATGGCCAAAGGACCTTGCTACAAATGCTAGTAGGAAATACGATTCCTTACACAGCCACAGGACCAAATATCACAAAGGAAGCTACACTGCTCAATTAGCTGCAATGGGGAAGATCAAGTGGCCGGGGAGAGCAGGTGCTGGTACCCAGATTGGGCTTTGGTGCCTTTTCTAACGGTTGCTGCCGTCCTTGGCTAGGAATGGAATCAAAGACCTTTTCGCCTTTATCGGAGCAAAGGCTAAAATCTGTTTCCCTGGATGCAATGCAACATGTCAGCTCAGACTCCTTCTGTAACTCCTCGATGCAACCTGCACAGTTAACTCCTCCCCTCCTTCGCTCCCTTTTGGCAGGTGTCTAATTAAACTCTCCGGGACAGAAGCCATACAGCCAGTTTGTATTTACACCTGTAATAGATAATACATACCATTTATCTTTGAAAAGATCTTAAAACACAAGGAAGCCAAAGAGAAGGGGATTTGCAGTCCAAAAAGTGTGTCTGGTTTTATATGTAAAGATGCACTCACTTTTAATGAGCATCATAGCAAATCATTGATATATATATATATATATAAAATAGGGTTTTTCCCAACATGTTAGTAGGCTTTTGTATAAAAATGGAAGTCCATGGAGCCAGCATTAAAAACATATAAAATGGCAATCACCATTCATTTTCAAGGATCAGAAATGTTTGGCTCAGATGTGGAGGATTATATCAACCTGGATCCCAGCAGAGCCTCAGATCCTTCTGCATCCCACAATTAAAAGGGTTGTTTCTTTATGCTGGGTGGAAACTGCAGGCAGATCAGAAGCTCTGCAACCCTCTTTGGCCCTCCAACCTGTCCTCGTTCGATACGGTGCATCACATTATTGGGGATAAAACTCGGCTCAAGGCCAGGCCAGGCCAGCGCAACTGATCCACTACGCTGAATGCTGTCCACCACCAACCATGTTATTCCTGCAGCCTGCTATGCCTTTTGACAACCCCACTGTTTCTGCAGCCTCAAGCAGGCAGCAAAAACAGAGGGATTAACTGAGCCCCTGGTGTAGAAGAGGGAGTCTTATTTCGGGAGCCGTGGCTCTTGATACATGGGCTCAGCTTTTCCTTGCTACCATCGCACCCCGTTAACTGCACACAATACCTGGTAGAACAAGGCCCACACTGCTCTGCCGACAGTTTTTTTGCAAGCTAACCTGGGACAGGTTCTCCGACTACGGAGAAAGCAGGAGAAGCCCCACCGCTCAAAAGCCAGGGAGAGACAGCCTTTCTAAAGTCCTTTGTCATGACCATTTAATTGTTTATAGACACATCCAGAAGCTACAGAGCTAAGAAACGTTGTCTCAGGATTCATGTTAGCTGATCACCCAGCACAGGCTCTGGCTCCCCCAGCACACATGGAAGGCTTCCTGGGGCTCATCGTGCCATCAACACAAAAGCCCACCAGAGAGGTAGATATTACATGGTTCAAATGTCGCTTAAGCCCCTGACCCCTTTCCCTCACTCCCTCCTTCCCAAAGAAAACTCTTGGAATGGCATTCCTTGAATGCTGGGGTTTGTGGGGGGTTTGAGTGCTGCCGTGTGAACGTCTTCAGTAGCTTCAATGGGGAAATTCCTGCTCCAGTCCTACAAAAATAGACATCTCCTTGGACCCAAACAGTTTCATTGATAATGTCCATATCCTGGATACCCTGGAGGTGGCGAGCCATCCTTAGGAGGCAGCTGGCTGGGATCTTCTCCAAAGGGGTTGGCTGAGAAGTGAAGACAAGAAGGGACAGTTAGCAGCAGGGAAGAGATGTGCGTGCAATGATTCATGTTTTGCGCAGCCAAGGGCCACTATCTTTGGGGATAGAAATCAATGGAGGCGGCCGAGGTGCAATCGGGAGGAGAGATGTGGGCGAGGGTGACTCATTAACAAAAAAGTGAAAAGTAAAACCCAACTCCTGCGGCAAGAAAATGCAGAACAGGTTAGAATTTACACCTGTAAAAGGGACAAGGGAGGGTGTCAGACACCGTGGGAAAGGAGTGCAACTTCTGCAAGCATTTATAGAAGGAGCAGCAAAATGCCAATCGCAGCAAGTGGAGTGGCAGAAGGCTCTGTATTTTGCCAAGGGGGCGGTGGAACGACAAGCACTCGCGTGTACTGTAACACCACCCTGGTGTCAGGGGAGACCAAGCCAGGCACTGTCAGGGCTGGAGGCAAACTTTGCCCCCACAGCAACGCTGCCTGTCACTTCCCTCCCCACACACCCACGTCTGCATGAGAGAGTGGCAGCCGCTCATCCGGGGGGCGGGGGGAGGATGTGCTCTACATGCTCTCTCTCCCACACAGATGACACCAGGCTTTTGCCTTCTCCCGAATGGGTTCCAGAATTCACCTGGTTTACTGTGTCCCACAGAACAGAGCTGCAAGTGACTGAGAACTCAGCCTGTCCCAAACTATATACAGTGGTACCTCGGGTTACATATGCTTCAGGTTACAGACTCCGCTAACCCAGAAATAGTACCTCAGGTTAAGAACTTTGCTTCAGGATGTGAACAGAAATCGCAGGGCGGCAGCGTGGCAGCAGCGGGAGGCCCAATTAGCTTCAGGTTAAGAACAGTTTCAGGTTAAGAACGGACCTCCGGAACAAATTAAGTACGTAACCAGAGGTACCACTGTAATCCCATTCCTTTAACCACAAGGAAGCCTGGTTGGGGAGCTGTTTTCTCTTAGAGTGCAGGTGTGATTGTTCAGTGGAACCCTGGGTAGGCTATGGGGACGAAACCAAAGCGCAGAGAGGTCCTTCGGTTCCTAGTCCAAATCCATCGTTCTGGGGAAATCCCGAGTTCTGTTTCTTGCCGCCATGTTGGAACTTACGGTTCTGGAACTGCTGAGCCGTGTACCTCGTCAGCAAAATCCCGACACCTTCTATCAGGGCAAGCAAGATGCCTCCCATCATAGCCGAGCCGACCATGGCCAAGGGCCCACCTAAGGGGAAAGAACTCTCAGTCCCAGTGCCCTGGCTCAGCGTTCAGCCACAGGAGGTTAAGGGGAAGGCGCTGCGGTTATAGGATCACTGGCCACCACTTACTGCGTGATGCTAACACAGCTCCCGTGAGCGCCCCGCTTGTGATGGAGTTCCAGGGATCCTCCTTGCCCCGCATCTTCACTAGGCCGCAGTCAATGGTGGAGAAGAGCCCGCCCCACACGGCAAAGCTGCCTGCGAGGAGGAACACAAGGAGAGCATGTGGAGACACCAGCTGGACTCAGGGATGTTCATTTGTAACTGGCACCAAAAGGTATTAGAATTCCATGCCAAGCAAAGCCAAATGCTTGGCTTACACAATGTGCCCTGCACACGTGCTGAATTGGGCTGAGACAGGGTGGAACTCTGACAACACGCTGGCAAAGAACCAGGCAGCCTTACGGGGTCGGTGGGAGCACCAGGGATCGATGGGGAGAGTGACAGGCTTGGAGCTCCTGAAGAAGGGCCAACAGCCACTCCAGGACACACAAGTTATATTCTCCCCACGAACAGATTGTTAAACTTATCTCCAAGGACTGTGAAAGGCAGAAACAATTTTTTGTTTTGATTTTGTAAAACACTGACTCATGGCTCGTTTGCCAGGCACTTGGAGTTCTGCGCAAGCAGAATCACACAGGTGGTAAGATCACTGATGGTACCATCTCTGTGTCACGTTCAGAGAGGAAGGGTGTGAAGAGAGGCATTCTTAGTGGACGCCTCCCTTCTCTCAAGAAAAGAATGGCTCCACCTCCTGCTGTAGGACTTGCCCAAGTTGAACCCTGAGGCCACTTCAGAACCACCTCAATAACTACTGGGGGGGCCCCTGCCTTTTCCAGCTGTAGGTTGAGCCAGAAAAGTGGGGATTTAAGTTGAGGTTTATAATGGTGAAATGTCATTCTGTTTCACTAGGATTCATTTATTGAGTCACTTACTCTAAGGCTACAATCCCAAGCACACTTACCTAAAAGTAAGCCTCACTGAATACATATGGCCTTGCTTTTGACCAAACCAATATGAGATTTAACTGTCAGCTTTGGGACTGGGCTATACAACTAACTCAATATGACAAAACAGCCTCCAAGCCAGCACATCATACTCTACACATTCTTCTCTTTAATTCCTGCCTCACTTGGCCAGCAGTTATAATATTTGATCTATATCACACTTTTCCTGAAACTTCCCCCTGGGATGCCCCACTCCACACATTTTACGGTCACAACGACCTTGTGAGGTAGGTTGAGAGACAGTGACTGGTCCAAGGTCGCATCCAGTGAGCTTCAAGGCTGACAGGGGATTTGAACCGTGGTCTGACACTTTTATCCACAATACAGCACTGCTGGTTCTCCTTTAAAATAAACCAAATCCTGATCCACCTCACCCCACAACCTGTCTGATCCATCTTTTTATTTACAACACTGCCCACATCCCCACCAGCCAGCCCAAGGGTCAGGTCACTTCCCTTACCTCCAATCTGTGGTGCTCTGACTCTGATAGCGTTAATGCTGCCTTTGAACCGATGCCTGACACCCTAGGAAAAAGGAGGAGAAACTACCTTAGTCAAAACTCACAATGGACTGGGGGAGAAAACCACACCCTGGAAAAGATGTTCAAGCACAGGGTAGAAGAGGCTAAGGGGAGCCAAGGCAGGACCACATCTCAAGGAACACAGGCACATACAATTCTCAAACTCCAATGATACTGTGGAGCCAGAAGCCACAGGTCTCGATCCACGGAAGGCAGGTGGACTCAGGGTGTCTCTGCAACTGCCACTTTCCCACCAGAAAAACAGGTTGTCTACCTGACCTCAGTTATCCAGTGGGATAATCTCAAGCATTAAACTCTCCACAATTTAATCTATGAGAGCCAAACCATGGTGTGACACAATGGGGGGGTGAGAATGGGAGACGTCATACAAAACTATACCAAGGTCTGACACACAGAACTGCAAGGCAAACGTTGCAAGACAAAAATAGGAAGAGGAGATACTCTTGTTTTGGAGATATCCAAGACCAACAACATTTAAAATGCATGTAGTTTCTTTCAAGTGTTCAAATGGCATGTACATTATGGCAGTAATCATTTCAACAATGCTGTCGGGCCGGTCACTCCATTAACTCCATACTACAGATGTGACAGCCGAGTCTTACCTAAGATAGAAATGGGCAGACTTAAGGTTTGCATGATCTACTGTTCTGCTTAAGACAACAGCAACTGAGAATCCAAGGGGAAGGGGCTGGGGGCAAGAACAGATTCTGCCTGGCCAGTCGAAATGAAAATAACTCTGTTCAATCCCTCCTGTTAACTGAAAGCAATTACCAAACTTACTCATTGAAACTCTTTCCAAGCACTTAGATCAGGGGTCAGCGAACTTTTTCAGCAGGGGGCCGGTCCACTGTCCCTCAGACCTTGTGGGAGGCCGGACTATATTTTGGGGGGGAGAATGAGCGAATTCCTATGCCCCACAAATAACCCAGAGATGTGTTTTACATTCTACTCATGTAAAAACACGCTGATTCCCGGACCATCTGCGGGCCGGATTGAGAAGGCGACTGGGCCAGATCTGACCCCCGGGCCTTAGTTTGCCTACCCATGACTTAGAGTTAGGGCATAAATGCTCAAACCTGCATGTGAACAAGTCAAAAAGGAGAATAACAAGCTCACAGATGCAAACCCCTTGATTGTAGCTCACATCAGAAGGAGCCAAGCACAAAACAGTAGCTCAGAAGGGCAGCATCAGTCACAATTACCTATAGATGACCAGAAGTCTCTAACCCCCATAAAATGCATGGAGATTCCTGCACAAATAACTGGTCAAAGGTAACTAATTAACAGCCACATTTGACACGTAAGGAACATGGAGCCTGACAGCAAAGTAAATAGCCTCAGTTTTAATCCCAGGTTGCCATTCTAAACACTTTTACCTGTAAGTCCCGTTAAAATCAATGGGCAACTTGAGTAAGCAATCATAAGATCAGACTGTACACACCGGGGCACATAACTCAATGTAGACTGTTTCTGTAATTAGCTCTTCATCCAGTCTGTCCCCAAAGTATCAGTCTGGGACATAAAACATGGTCCAAGAAGGAGCAGGCTTGGGAGCAAACTAGATGAGATCGTAGAAGACTGGGGACTGGACCTCCTGGTGTTCCCACAAAAAAAAGTTAGAAACAAACACAGGGCATCTCAGTAAAATCGGGGCTGCACCAGGGAGTGTTTCTGAAAGACACCTTCCCCAATCTAGATCATCCACCACCACTGAAAGATGTTATTTGCCATGCAGAAGAAAACATTCAGGTATCCTCTCTGAAGTACAGTACAAAAGGACCAGCATTCCCATCCCAGCTTGGAGCCGGGAAGGAACACAGGGGGCTTGTGCCACTGTTGTGCTGAACTTTGGAAATGCTCAGAGTGCTTCTGAAGGTCTTCCAGATGCCACATGCAAGACCCAGCCTCAAGGCCTCCATCTCCCACAACAGACAAAAACAGTCTCAAAACTGGAACGCTGAGTTTTCCTCTAAGCACTTACAGCCCGAAGACAGAGAGTGAATGCTCAAAACTGAGGAGACAAGCTTGAGATACAAGAAGCAGGAGCACAAACTCTACACACTTGACTCCCAGGCGACAGGGAGGAGGAAGTGGAGCGACACTTATTGAGATGGTGCCAAAAGTGGCAACGCCACCTGCTCAGAATAGAAATATGTTCTCCCTTGCTGCTGCCTACACAGCCATGAGCAATTTTCTGCCCAGAGATCAGTTCTGGAGCACTAGCCAGTTATAGACCTATAAGCCCAGCAGCCACTTTTGTGGAATCCTACACCTCAAGTTCTGCCCATGTATTTTCCTCAGCTGAGGGGAAAGGTGTATGGGGATTCAGGGATCCTTGTTGGTGTGCCTCAGACCTGCCAATTGTGATGTGATAAGGCAATAACTGTTTTGCATGGGGGTTATGTTCCTGACCCCCACCCACCCAGCCCCCTTTTCTGACTACAGTGGTATCTTGGTTCTCAAACGCCTTGGTTCTCAAATGCTGAAAACCTGGAAGTAAGTGTTCCAGTTTTCGAACATTTTTCAGAAGCCGAACATCCGATGCGGCTGTCAGCTATTGTTTCCGGGGCGCCTGCACCAAGCAGAAGCTGCGCCTTTGTTTTCGAACATTTCAGAAGTCAAACGGACTTCCGGAACGGATTAAGTTGGGCTCTTTTGTTTTTGCTATTTATTTTGCGTTTTTGTTTCTGAGGCTTTTTCAGTTAATTTGTTTTTACGACTGTGTGGAACCCAGTTCAGCTACTGATTGACTGATTGTGTGACTGCAGAAATGGATAAAAGCCCCCCATCAAAACAATGACTATCATTAGTGCAGGTAAGAATTTTTTTATTATTATTTTTATCATCTACAATACTGTCTTATTTATTTTATGGTGCAGTACATTGATTATTGCTTTCATTTTATAGATCAATGGTCTCATTAGATAATATAATTCATGTTCAATTGCTGTTTTAGGGGTTGTTTTTAAAAGTCTGGAACAGATTAATCCGTTTTGCATTGCTTTCTATGGGAAAGCACACCTTGGTTCTGGAACGCTTTGGTTTTGGAATGGACTTCCGGGACAGATTAAGTTTGAGAACCAAGGTACCACTATACTTCTGGGTGTTGTGTGTGTTCACAGTCACACACATATTGAACGCACATAAAATGGCTGTTGCCTGTAAACCATTCCATCCCCACCCAGTGTCTGCTTGATGAGCTCATGGCTCCATGAGTTTATTAAACTGAGTCTGAATCCTGGCAAGATGGAGGCTCTGGGCCAAAACAAACAGGTGCCTAATCTGGGGTGCTCTTCTTGCTCTCTGTCACTGGGCGCAATGCTGTCCTCAGTGGCTAGGAGTGCTTTGTACCAGCTTCACCTGGCAAGACAGCTACGGTTTTCCTGGATCAGGATAGCTCAACCACAGTTGTCCATACACTGGTTACCTCAAGGCTGGATTACTACAATGCACTTTATCTGGGGTCCAAATCTGGAAACTGCAGCTAGCATAGAACACATTGGCTAGGCTGCTTGTAGGGGCAACTCCAGCATATAACTCCTTTTCAGTAGCATCTGTACTGGCTGCCAATCTGCTACCAGGCCACGTTCAAGGTCTTAGTAGTAACATCTAAGGTCCTATGTATACAATTCCCTCTGATTTCATATTAGACAGGTGCCCTCTCCACTGTCTTTTTGGTGCCTGCTCTTTCAACAAGCCTTTTAAGTGGAGATCTTCATCCCAGGCTGCATCTGTACTGGAAATATTTCTAACTGTTATTATAGGTAGGATTGTTTTTAAATGTTTGTATTGGTCTTATATATGGAGTTGTTTTTAATTCCTTGCACTTGTTCAATGGTGGTATCCGTTGTCTTTGTTTTACAATTGTATATTTTGTTGTTGTAACTCACCCTAGGACCCTTGTGGTAAAAGGCAGGTAAGAAATCTAAATAAATAAAAAAATAAAATGCAGAGCTTGGGACCAGATCATATAAGAAACCTTAGCTAGTAGGCCCTGCATTTTGAAGGAGCCCCTGGGTTACCAAAAGTAGACATAAAGGTAAAGGTAAAGGGATCCCTGACCATTAGGTCCAGTCGTGACCAACTCATCTTACACCAGCTTAAAACCAGCTCAGGCGGGGAGGCGGAGATATATATATATGCTAACCTCTTCCAGCAGTCACTTCTGTAGTTTAGGATTGTTGAATGAGACCTCACAGATTTAGCACACAGCTTGGAAGCTGGCTGTATACTTGTTGTTTGAGCAGTTTTAATATGTTGGATGCAATCACACAAAGACTCTTGGTACGGAAAATAAGGATACTAAGTTTATTATAGGAAATACATATTGCACAGTAAATAGTTCCTAGTTCTAGCTACCCCAGTTAGAGATGCAAAGAACCATTCCTAGTCTTTGATATCTGCAGGAGAGAGAGAGAGATAATAAAGGAAGATATCTCCTCTCTCTCTGCTTTAGAGAGGAGAGAAAATTAGATCAGCAACCCCAAGTCCAAGTCTAGCAATTTAGGGGAGGTCAGCATAGGTTAGAAAGACAATATAGGAAGTTTGAAGCTTCCTCTCTCAATCTAATTTCTCCAATGCAAAACCCCATCAGCCTTAATATATGCCGAGTTGCATCCCAAAACTTCCAGTAAGGATTGAACCATGAACCACTATTCTGTATTGGCTCTTTAGGGATACCCATTCTTGGCAGACAGAACACAGCAATCACCAACTCCCACTAAAGAAGCACACTTCTGAGGACAGCCAATCCACATTAACTTGTGCTCAGCAGAACCAGTCTGCAATTATTGGCATGCTGGAAGAGCCAATCAACAGCACAGCAAAATGATCACTAGCCATAAAATTTCTGGTTCTCATTGGCAACCAAAAATATTAGATCGCTTATCATCTCAGGCAAGTGCATTATAGGATCACTGGCCTTCAAAGCCCCATACGTGTGCTAGGGGGAGTGGTGCAGGAAAAACAACTTACTCCTTAACTTAAAGAAAACAAAAAAGATTACTGTGGACTTTAGGAAATGTAAATTAAATATTCAGCCACTTATTATTGAGGGGAAGTGTGTGGAACAGGTCTCGGTGTTTCGATTTCTGGGAATGGAGTTGAGAGATGACCTAACCTGGGGAGAAAACAACAAAGACCTGATGAAGAGAGCACAGGTGCCATAAGAAAGCTGCAGAGATAGTGCAGGATAGTGTGCACCCCAGAAATGATGATGATGATAATAATAATAATAATAATAATAATAATAATTTTTATTTATTTTTATTTAATGATCTCTTTCAGCTTCTGCCTTCTGGAAGAAGGTACAGGGTTATAAAGACTAGGACTAGCTGCCTGAGAAACAGTTTCTATCCAAATGCGATTTTGGTTTTAAACGCAGTGTAAGGTAGTCTCTATGGGAGTATATTGTATTTAATTATGGGGTATCAGAGTTTTTAGGGGGCTAACCAGACTGGGATAGCTGGGATAGCAGGCTTATTGGTTTTTGAATGTCTGATGTAGATTTTTTCAATTTCGTTGTTCTGTATAGGACAATGACAATAAAGATTATCGTACTGTAATATTTTGAAACCAGTTTGAAAACAAAAGCCGGGCTACTCACAAGCAGACAAAGAAAAAGAGGGGAGGGGAAGGGGAAGAATAGGTAGGGAAATGTTTTAGGATCCACAGGAGCCAATCTCGGCCAGGGTTCTTCATGAATCTGTGTCTTCTGAGCCCATCCATGTCCCTCACTTGCAGCTTGAAGGAAAGGGAAGGAGAAAAGAAGGTTGGGACTCACCACTGGAGCATTGCGGAAGCCTTTGACAGCCTGGAAGACACCTCCCCCAATCATCCCCATGGTGAAGGCGCCACCACAGTCATCTACAATTCGCCAGGGGCTGCCAAATGGAAAGAGAAGTGAAGTTAGTGGAGGCCCTGAAAGCCCCCCAAAAGTGAGAAAGAGATGACTTAGAAATGGTGCTAAGCAGCTGGGGGGCAGGCAATCTTAAGAGACCTTAAAGGTAAGGGTAAAGGGACCCCTGACCATTAGGTCCAGTCGTGGCCAACTCTGGGGTTGTGGCGCTCATCTCGCTTTATTGGCCGAGGGAGCCGGCGTTTGTCCACAGACAGTCCATGTGGCCAGCATGACTAAGCCGCTTCTGGCAAACCAGAGCAGCTCACGCAAACGCCGTTTACCTTCCCGCCAGAATGGTACCTATTTATCTACTTGCACTTTGATGTGCTTTCGAACTGCTAGGGTGGCAGGAGCTGGGACCGAGCAACGGGAGCTCACCCTGTCGCAGGGATTAGAACCGCCGACCTTCTGATCGGCCAGTCCTAGGCTCTGTGGTTTAACCCACAGCGCCCCCCGCGTCCCCTAAGAGACTTTATAGCAACCCAATTATGTTGAACATAGACTAATTTAATATTTGGTTGGAAGTCGCCCAGAGTGGCTGGGGAAGCCCAGTCAGATGGGTGGGGTATAAATAATAAATTATTAAACATTCATCACGAAGCTACTTCAACCCGAGGTATGACTGTAATCAGCCTGACTAGCCGCTTTGCTTTCAATCTACTCTCCTTGCCTTCTGCTTTCTCCCCGACCCGTAAAGATCTCCTGAGAGAGACAAGCTCTAGATATCCCATAAGGGAATTGTAAGAAAAATACGTCTAACCGTAGCTGTCAACTTTTCCCTTTTCTTGCGAGGAATCCTATTCGGAATAAGGGAATTTCCCTTTAAAAAAGGGAAACGTCTAACACTTGTTGAGCTGTCCATAGCTGGGGCCGCGGAGCCCCCGGTGGAAGCCCTTCCTCAGACACCGGGAGCCGCTGGCTTCCCTGCTCACCCGGCCCCACCTCGCAGGGCTGTTGCGTCGGTGCAGGAGAGGAAGGGGCGCGGGACGGACGTGCCCCCCACCCGCCACCGCCGCTCCCGGGGCCGGAAAACGGGGCCTCGGGTCACGCTCGCCTCCCTGCCCCGCTGAGCCCCCGGCAGCCCCCGCTCCCCGTTACCAGGGCTCCCGGGCATATTCCTCCATGGCTGCGCGGATCACGTGACAGGGGAGGACGACAACACGGGGGCCGAGTCACGTGACAACCAGCTATTGGCCAGCTTCAGTCACGTGAAAGGGGGTTCTTCTGCTCTAGAGAAAGGAAAGTGTAGAGAAAGCCTGCATTCAGTACCGACGAAAGAAGAGTGACAGATGAAGGTGATGGACTTTGCAGAACTGGCGAAGCTGACAGGAAAAATCCGAATCTAGCATGATCAAGTATTCCGAAAGGACTGGAGTGAAAGATTATTGTAAGCAATTAACATCCCTAGCAGGGTTGTCTGAAGACTTGTAATGAGAAAATTTCTACCTTTCTATATTTATTTAAATTTTTAAGCCATTCTGAAATGAATGTAGTTAGAAGTGGAAAACGTATATATTGCAATGCTATAAAGGTTAATTTCGAAAGCCATGAGGTGGGAGGGAAGTTGATAGGCTCTAAAGAGTCATGGCGGTATAGTGGATAATCATGGTGTGAATGTATAATGTTAAATGGAAAATAAATTACACACACACACACACACACACACACATATATATGAATATGAGAAAGCCTGCGTTCCATTAAAAAAAATGATTTACGTGCAACGTAGCATCTCTTTATGTATTGGAAGCTCTGTGATATGTGTATATGTACCACTTATAAATACCATCTCCAACTCCTCCATCAACGGTGTCTCAGAAAATTTTACACATCACTTGGGGAGACAAGCTAACTAATGCCAGTGTACTGGAAGAAGCAAAGATCACCAGTGTTGAAGCAATGATTCTTCAACATCAAGTTCTTTGGACTGGCCATGTTGTGCAGATGCCTGATTATCATCTTCCAAAGCATCCACTCTGTTCCAAACTTTAAAATGGAAAGCATAATGCTGCTGCTCAACAAAAAAGGTTTAAAGAATGTCTCGAGGCAAATCTTAAAAAATGTAGTATAAACACTGACAATTGGGAACACTGGCCTGCAAGCGCTCCAATTGGAGAACAGCCTTTACCAAAGGTGCCATGGGCTTTGAAGACACTCAAACTCAGGATGAAAGAGAGAAACGTGCTAAGAGGAAGGCATGCTTGGCAAATCCACACTGTGATCAACTCCCATCGAAACCTATGTCTCCACTGTGGAAGGATGTACGGATCCTTACAGACTCACTGTAAAGACCTTGTTCATGGAAGACAATCTTACTCGCCTACGAGTGATCGTCGAAGAAGATGTATATGCACATGCAAAAGTATATTTGTTGGCATCCTTGTCTCGGGAGGCAGTGGAGGGGTGTGTCTTCGAAGGTAAAGTCAAACTGTAGGAGAGTTAGTGTCTGCTGTGGCCAGTGCCGTATTAAGGTTTGATGAGGCCCTAGGCTACTGAAGGTAATATTCCTTTATATGTCCCGCTGTCAACAACAAATTGTTGCTGTTTTTTGTGTTGACTATATGCTATATGGTAATTTATGGACCTAATAGGTTTCCAAATCCATTTGCACATGTTTCCATGCAACCAGTCCATGCAGAATGTAGGCACCCTATATATATGTAAAGGTAAAGGGGACCCCTGACCATTAGGTCCAGTCGTGACTGACTCTGGGGTTGTGGCGCTCATCTCGCTTTATTGGCTGAGGGAGCCGCCGTACAGCTTCCGGGTCATGTGGCCAGCATGACTAAGCCACTTCTGGCGAACCAGAGCAGCACACGGAAACGCTGTTTACCTTCCTGCCGGAGCGGTACCTATTTATCTACTTGCACTATGACGTGCTTTCAAACTGCTAGGTTGGCAGGAGCTGGGACTGAGCAATGGGAGCTCACTCCGTCACGGGGATTCAAATCACCGACCTTCTAATCGGCAAGTCCTAGGCTCTGTGGTTTAACCCACAGCGCCACCTGCGTCCCAGGCACCCTATATATAGAAAGGAGCAAACCAGTGATATTTTAGTGAGCAGGCTAGCAGACAGGGCCATTACTTGCATCATAGGAGCCTACACAATACAAAACACTGTTAATGTATGTAGGTTTTATTTTATTTGTTTTTTATCTTATATTTTGGAAATCTACATTCAGGTTTTTTACCTTTACATTTTTTGGGGGCCCCAAGAGAGTGAGGCCCTAAGTGGTACCTCTGGTTGTGAACAGGATCCGTTCCGGAGCCCCGTTCGCACCCTGAGCAGAACGCAACCCGCCTCTGCACGCGTGTGGGTCGCGATTTGCTGCTTCTGCGCATTCACGTGACATCATTTTGAGCGTCTGCGCATGCGCGAGCGGCAAAACCCGGAAGTAACTCATTCCGTTACTTCCAGGTCACTGCGGGACGCAACCTGAAAACGCTCAACCTGAAGCAAACACAAAACGAGGTATGACTGTAGTTTGTTTAACTTATATGTAAATCCGACACTGGCTGTGGCTGTTAGAGACTGATATGGGAGAGACATGTTTTCTTGCAAATGAAGGCGTCTGGTTGTTCTGCTGCAGATGCAGGTGGGCCCAATTCAGATGCGTTTCTTCTCTCTGCGCTCCTCCCAGCAGTCATTCCTCCTCTAGTCACTGCTGTCGGTCTGCAGGGGAGACGCGGTTCCACATCGCTTCAGAAGTGCCAAGAAAGGGGATGGATGGTGGTGAACGACTCTTCACATCTCTGCCTCTATGGTCCTCCGCGGCCAATCAAAGAGAAGGCGGGCTCTCGGGGGCTTCACTCGCCCGCTCATTGGAGAAGCAAACCAAATCTCTGACTGATTGGCTAAGAGTAAGTCGAAAGTGGGTGGGTCCAGTTGGGATTCCTTTCTTGGGATTGGCCGGGGTGGGCTTTCCCCCGCCCCCCCAGCCCTGTTATTGCTCAAATCCTTTCAAGACGGGAAGAGGCCCGGGCGGGCTCTGCTTTCCTTATACGATGATTGGTCGAGGCGCGTCACGTGCTGGGGGCGGGAGCTGAAAAAGTGTCTCGCTGACCCGAAGGAAGACTGAGTCTCCCCGGCTTGCCTTGAGGCGGGTATTGCCGAGAGGCGGGTTGGCTGCGCCGCGGTAGGTGGGAGATATATGGGGGGGGGGGTCCTGAGGGGAGGCTGGGGAGGCCCTTTGCCCTGAGGGGGTCGGGGGGGGGCGGCTGAGGGTCGAGCTGTCTCCCTGAGGCAGCGAAGGGGCGCCTCGCCTGCCATACCTTGCACGTAGAAAGCTAGCATGTAAGGCAACCAAGCTCGAACCCCCTTTCCTAATGTTTTCCAAGACGGTTAGTCGTGTTGCATCAGAAGCAGTGTGTGTGTGTGTGGTTATAGTGCGGTATATAAATTCAATTAATATTATTATTATCATTATCATTATCATTATTATATGGGACCTTGAAGGTGGACACATTACGGACCACTGAGTATTTTTTCGAACCCACGAAATAAAGCTTTCTATATACTTGCCAGGACTCTTGTTGTTTGTCCTTGCCAGGATGCTAGATTTCTCCCTGCCCACAACTTCCCTTGGCAGCGCCCATGCATTGTCTAAAGTGGCACAGCTCAGGTGTGAGTTTACCAGTTCGGTGAGCGCTAGGCCTCGGATGTTGCTGAGCTGCAAGCTTGATGTACTAATGAAACTTCAGCAAGAACTAGCCCCATGTATGATCCTCTAACCTGGGCCTTGCCAGTGTTACTATCCAAGGCCCTCCTCTGAGGGAGGTGTGGAGGGTGGTGATATGAGAACAGGCCTTCTCAGCAGTGGCTGCCTGCCTATAGGATGTGCTCCCCAGGGAGACATGCCTGGCGCCATCACTATCTGTGTTTAGGCGTTGAGCAAAAACGTTCTCGTTCACCTAGATTTAAGGGGATCAAGTGGTAATGGAAGTGATTAGGGTGCCTTTGGAGCTAAAGGGCAGGTTTAAATGTAGACAAAGGCAGACAGATAAGCATTGAATCTATTCAGTCAAACAACTTTCCCCAGACCCCTGCTGCAGACTACATCACGCCCTTTCCCTTTGCTCATACACACAAGTTCATGTTAGTTCCTAAACTGTCCATGAAGCTGTATAGAGGAACTCATTGTGTGATGCAGCAGTTGTCACCAAACTCCCAGGAACAGGAGTTGGCAATGCCATGTTAGCTTTTGTGTAGCTCCGTGTTGTCAGGAAAAGAATATGAGGAGAAATAGAGTAGAAACTCTGGCAGGGAAGCTTACAGGTTATTCCTGGAATGTAGGAAGCAAGGAGAAGATACTCAAATGTCACAAAATGTAATGTGTTATTTTTTTCCCTTCTCTGCTTAGGAACAGGGAACTAGAGGAAAGGCTTGTCCACCTGCCTCAGCTGGAATAGTTCCTAAAGTTCCTAATGCCACTGCCAGTGGCTCTGCAGTCCCGCCTGGCCAGGCGAGGGCTCTTGAAGCATGTAGAGCCTGGTAAGTATAGAGGTATCCTTGGTTAGTTAGAGCAGGGGTCAGGAACCTTTTTCATCCATGGGCCGGTCCACTGTCCCTCAGACCTTGTGGGGGGCTGGACTATTTTTTTGGGGTGGGGGAAATGAACGAATTCGTATGCCCCACAAATAACCCAGAGATGCATTTTAAATAAACACACACATTCTACTCATGTAAAAACACGCTGATTCCTAGACCGTCCATGGGCCGGATTGAGAAGGCGATTGGGCCACATCCGGCCCATGAGCCTTAGGTTGCCTATCCCTGAGCTAGAGGATGCTTGTTTAGGCTTTGCATAAAGGAACAGAACAGAACAGAACAGTTCATCTCAAATAATCTGGCTCATGAGGCTTTACTACATCTTGCCCACATATTTTTTCCAAGCCTAATCCCGTTTTCTTCGGGACCTCTCTTCTGTCAGAGCCAGAGGAAGAAATTATCGCAGAAGATTATGATGACGACCACATCGATTACGAAGCTACCAGGATTGAGAACCTGCCACCGAACTGGTACAAAGTCATCGACCCTGCCTGGTAAGAGGTGTGGTGGGGAATCTCAGGTTCAGAGCTTGAATATGGCTCTCCAAGTCATGCCTCTGCCTCCCCAAGCTACACTCCTCCCCAGCCCTTATGCCTGTAACGTTGCCTCCTCCTTGCCTCTAGCCTGTCCGCTACTGCTTACTACCCCAGGAAGGTTGTCAGTGAAAAAGGTTCCCCACCTCTTGATAAGAGGATAGCATGTCTTCAGCGGTGTTAGAAACTGAGATATGACAGCTAGGAGGCAAACAGTACCTTAAGCCAAGGTTATGGGTACAGCAACGGAATGTCCAGGCATGCTTTTTTATAACAAGAATACAAAGCTGAAAATGAACGAACTGCAGCTAAAATATTATGTTCATTTTTCTCATGGTCTAGTCCTTTCCCTGCCCACCCACACCCCGTATATTCTTAAGAGGGTCTCTTCTCCAGTCTTCAGAGAGTAGCTGGAAGTGCGGAGGTAGAAAAAGGTCCTCCTTTCCTTCCACTCTGCAGTTTTAATCTGAAATCTTAGGCACTCTTAGGTGCAGTACTGCGCCCAGAGCTCAGAAACTGCTTGCGCTAATGTGCCTAGAGCAATGGGAGTTTCGAACTCCCAGCACTAGTCAAGCTGTTATATCCTACTAGCCTTGTAATGGTGGTGTGAGATTATAGTTAATAGTTCTCAATTATGGTTTCAGCTTTCAAGTGTGTGGTGGAAAAAATGAATCTGTTAATCTCATACTCATGATGACTTAATATTTATAAAATTTATATACTGCCCTTCATCCATAGATCTCAGGGAGGTTCGCAGAATAAAAATACAAGATAAAAATACAAAATACATAACGAAGAAAAGAACAACAAACACACACAAACAAAACCTCCCCCCAAATAATAAATCAACAAATAAGTTACAAGCGAACAAACAGAAAGCACAACAGTGTCTGGGAGTCCCATTTACTGCAGAGTTATTGAAGCTAAATGGGCCCATCAGTGCCTGGAAGGAAGACAATTAAGAATCCATTTAATTTGTTCAGAAAGGGGTTGGTGGGTGAGAAGCAAGCCAGGATATTTATTTAGTTAATTTAACTGAAACCCTAGCTTCAGTAGCTTCTTTTGTCTAGGGACACAACAGGAGTGTGTGTCCTGGTAAATGAGAGTAGTTGACTCTCCTGTTCCTGAGATTCTCTGAAGCGAGTGCCAGTGGCCTATGAAATCCTCAAGACAGGCATGAGGAGGCTGTTGGGATTGCAATTCTGATTAGCCTTCATGGCAAAGGTGGCTGGGGCTGATGGGAGTTGAAGCCAAGTAACATCTGGAGGGCAATAGGTTCCTCATCCCTATGGGGACAAAACAAAGAGCAGGGTGGCTTATTCATGGTTTGGTAATGCAGGCATTGGTTATGAATGGCAATGGATGAAACCATCTCTCGTCTTCTTTCATAGCGGCCTCCCTTACTATTGGAACGTAAAGACGGATCTGGTTTCGTGGCTGTCGCCCAATGATCCTAGCTCAGTGGTGACCAAAGCAGCTAAGAAACTGAAGAGCAATTTAGGTGAGGCTGCCTGCCTTTGCTTTTGGATTGCATGTGCTGATTTTGAATGATGTGGAGGTGAAGCTAAGGGGGAAAGGTTTGGGTCTAGCCTTGTGGAAGAGGGAGAAAAACCCTGGTCCTATGCGATCTGATATTTGGTTGCTGGGGTTAATGTACTGTATGTCTGATATTATCAAGCATATTTTACATTTCTTATCTGCGTTGAGCCATAGGGATATGGTGGACTGTAGTTGTGTTCTATGTTGTAAATCAAGCACTGCTAGGAGTTGTTTCTTTTTGTTTTCCAATGTATTTCTTATCAATTAAAAAATTGGTGTGGCACGAGCAAATTTTTATTCTGAAAGTGTTGCCCAGAGAAAAAAGTTTGAGAACCACCGAGTTAATCTCTGCACCAGCAGATAGCACTTTATCTCTAAGACATGAAAAACTTGATCTGCTGATCTCTGCACATTAAGTTGCAGTTAAAGACACAGGAGCAAGCCAAGCTGACTTTCGTGATCAGTTGGCAACTCCATAAATCTAGTGTCTAAGAGAGTGCAGGGAGAGGGGATTTCTGCTTTGATAGTAATGTGTTTTTGGAAGGCAGCTGATGAGGACTGTTAAGTGGATTTTGGAGCTCTGGGCTGGTTTTGGGTGGCCTAGCTCAGCACATCCTGACTTAATCCACCTTCCAGAGATTTCTTAGATGTGGCAAATGACAATTTTGATACTTGCTGGAGAATTCTTGAAGCCCAGCGACAAATGTAGCTGTGACTTTACCATGTAGAAAATGTCCAGGTCTGGGCCGAGGGGAGGCTATATTTGAGTATGGCAATGCAAGCTTCATAAATTTCCTCCAGATGCCGAGGAGAAAATGGAGCACTCGTTGCATGAGAAGGTGGAGCGGGAAGAGCTGAAGGAGCGCCGCTACCACAGACGGGAGGAGCTGGCCCCCTACCCCAGGAGCAAGAAGCGTAAGGGCCACTCCCCACCGTGGGACCCTGACATCAGAAGGATTTCCCAAGGGCTTGAGGGAGGGCTTCTGGGATCCATTTGCCAATGGGGAAGGGGGAGCATGGGAAGTGTGGGCGGTGGCCAAACTCCTGCATTCCTCTTGTCTGTCTTCCACAGCAAGCCGGAAGGATGAAGAACTTGACCCCATGGACCCCAGCGCTTACTCGGATGCTCCCCGGTGAGTCTGCTCAGAATGGGAGGGTGGGGAGCTCAGCAGAGCAGCGCCAGGAGATGCCCCTTAAGTTGGGCACAGCAGCTGAACCGCTCCCTCCCCCCACGAAGGTAGACTGGGGCACCACAGGCATGGGCAGAGGTCTCTGGTTCACTGGCAGAGCTTGTGCTTTGCAAGCTGGAGGTCTTGGATTCAGCCTTCAGCGCCAGGGCGTGTTGAATTTTTCAGCTATCAAATTCGAAAAGCGAAGGGTGCTAAAAAGCTGTAACATGGCTTGGGAAGTCAAGAGGTATTTTGGCTAAATGAGTACCATTTAGTTTTCCTTGGTATGTAAAATTGCAGCGAAATCGTTAAAAAGAGCTTTCAGTGTTCACAAGCCGGTCCCCTCTGCACTTCCTGCTGCCTGTTGCAGTCCTCTTAACCAGTGAGGAACCCTCCACCCCAGCCCAATGCTGCTAAGAGTAATTGGACCACCACTGCAGACAAATCTTGGAGCATGAGAAACGGATGCTTTAAAGCACTATTCCTAGAATAAGTACTTAAAATGTTGCCCTCAGAGGCAGAGTTGTGAAGCTTCCATCGGTTAATCACATTTGCAGAGTTTAACTTGGTTTTTGCATAATCTCACAATGAAGTTGTTCTAGCCATGGGAAGGAACAAAAAAGAGAACGTTACAGAGCAGTAAAAAACCCAATCCTGGAAAACCTTTTTCAGCCACTTCTTTGCCTTCTAAGGTTGTAGCAGCCGTTGCCCATAAACCAAGAAGCGTATTTTTTACTCATCAGGAGCTAGAAACTTACTTTTTAAAAGCTGTTTCTGGGAAGCCTAATTCTGTCTCCAAAATTACTGACCTCTTATAACATTGGGCAGCACACACAAGAAACCTTAATGTTGCTTCTGTACATTGTTCATAGAATTTTGAAAGTGTGATGGTATTTTTAAGGTGTCTTCACTCACTTAGAGAGATTTGACTCCTTATCTTAAAGTGAAATCTAGGAAATGAGAAGCAGGGGCACAGGTGTATTGCCATCCGGGCAGGGAAATTGAGGCAAAACAGGGGCTATGTGTCAGGGAAGCTATAACGGAGAACAGGCCGAGCGTGTGGCTGGCTAACATTGTTTCTGACATCCCTGCTCTTTCCCATTCTAGGGGAACCTGGTCCACTGGGCTGCCCAAACGAAACGAAGCCAAGACTGGTGCAGATACCACGGCAGCCGGCCCACTCTTCCAGCAGCGCCCCTACCCAAGCCCTGGTGCAGTTTTGCGCGCTAATGCAGAAGCTTCGCGGGCCAAGCAGCAGGACTGAGATGCTCATTTTTCCCTTCCCTAATGTATTTGATAATAAAGCTAGAGGAAAACAAGTGCTGCAAGTGGCTATGCTGTGTATCGTAATAACGGAACTCGCTGTGCACAGAAGATACTCCATCCAGGGAGCTGGGGGAAGCTGCAGCCTTTCAGGCATTGGGAGTCCAGCTCTTGCCAGTGTGGTGTAGTGGTTCAGAGCGGTAGACTCGTAATCTGGTGAACTGGGTTCGATTCCTTGCTCCTCCACATGCAGCTGCTGGGTGACCTTGGGCCAGTCACACTTCTTTGAAGTCTCTCAGCCTCACTCACCTCACAGAGTGTTTGTTGTGGGGGAGGAAGGGAAAGGAGATTTGTTAGCCGCCTTGAGACTCCTTAGGGTAGTGATAAAGCGGGATATCAAATCCAAACTCTTCTTCTTCTTCCGTCAGCATGGCCAATTGCCATCTGGGATGAGGGGAGCTGTGGCCCAGCAATCTCTAGAAGGCTACAAGTTCCCAATCCCCGCTCTATGGCAATATCTGTCTCTCCTGTGTTGGGCCAGCAGGGGCAGCACTGCATTGCAAGTGAACACAGAAAGGATACTCTCCTGTTCTGCTGTACTCCTTCGCTGCTTTCTTGAGGCATTGGGTCCGCTGTGTCTGACTCAACTTCCTCTTGTAATGTTTGAAGTCTACAAAAAGCAGCTGTGATGTCATCAGGCCCCAGGAGTGGCTTTCTATACCTGTAGGGAGCTACAGGTCTAGAAAGACACCTGTTTACCTGTCTGTAAGCCTTCTAGAGTTGTCGGTGTCTCTGCCATGCTTTTCTCACTGCTGTATAAGAGCACCATGGGAACACTGTCCCATAAGGAAAATAACTTCTGCCATCTCCTCAAGCTGATCCCATCCTTTACGTTGGTCAGGAAGGGTTGGAGAACTCAAGGCAGCAGAGCCCAGCTTCAGCCACACCATGTATCACCTTGACGTGTTCCAGGTAGAAAATGTACATCACAAAAGCCATATCCATTTGCCCAGAGCCAGCAGCCATGGCATGGAGCAATTTGTAAATGACAACTCCACATCTAGTTTGTTTGCTTACAAATATGTATTAGTTTCTACAATATTAAAGAAGTGTTGGAAAAGCATTGTCAGTACTAAAAATATAATGCGTTTGCTCCAAGCGCAGATCTCTTTAAGCAATGATTTTCTCATAATACTGAGTTACACATGATGCTACAGCGCCACTCTGATGGAGGGGATGAACGAGGACTGTAGGTTCCACCTGGGCACCATCCCACTTGGTTTAGCGACAACAAAAAATGAGGCACACATGAGGTGGCAACCTAAGCGAAATGCGTGGATAGGTGCCCTGCCCTCACATCAGCTTCTACTCTGTTCCCAACCTTGGAAACAGCGCAAGCATCTTTGCCCTTTTCCAACTCTCATCTCTCTGACCCACCAAGCCTGAATTTAACTCTGGCCAAACAATGTGCAGGCCATTCTTTTAAATAATTGCTAAGCTGCGAAGAGCAGCCAAAATCCGAGGACTGGAATTAGGACTTGGTGGGACTGTTTTGGCTTTTACTTTCCTGCAATGGGGTGAAACAAAACAAAAGAGGTTTGGGCACAAATTATAATCTGGCACTGTTCTTCAAAGAAAATGAATCCCCCAAGTGCAGCTGAATGCAACAAGTATTGGCATGTATGCCGCTCCCCAACAAACAGGATTCTGTCCCAAAGCGTTCAGGTGCTCAGCTATTTAGTCACAGGCCCTAGCTGCACTATATATTTAACTCGGTATTATACCACTTTAAACAGCCATTTCTTCCACAAGAGATTCCCAGTAAGTGTGGTTTGTTGAGGGTGCTGAGAGTTGTTAGGAGACCCCTCCCTCAATTCCCCTTGAAGCTACAATTCCCAGAGTTCCCTGGGAATAAGAATTGTCACACCACTGGGAATTGTAGTTCAGTGAGGGGAATAGGCGCCCTTAACAAGCTACAGTTCCCAGGATTCTTTGGGGAAGCCATGAGGACTTAAAGTGGTATGGTACATATTTAAATGTACAGGACAGAAGGGGCCACAAAGTGCACAGTAATAACATCTAATACATGCTTGCACGAACTGTCCTTCACTGACTGACAACTACCGATCTGGTGAACTGAGATCTGTGATAGCCATGAAAATGGAAGACAGCTGTGCTGGTCCCTTGGCCGTGGTGAAGAATCCCCAATCACAGCATGGTAGCAACATTATCAGGACCAATCAAAACATCACAAAGTTGTGAGCAAGCTTTTGAGTTCTCCAGAAAAAACACTGCTAGGCTGGATGTTGAACAAACACTGGGGTAAGGCAGGGGGTGCAAATGAGAGAGACCTGCTCTGGTTGCCCCAAACTGCAGTTTGTAAGATTCTTCATGCTGGAGAAGTTCTGTAAACACAACTGACTCAGCCTCTCTAGGTAAAAGTTGGACTGGAAGATTCCCCCAGGGCTACTAAGATGTAGATGCAATAATGGCTGCTCCCCCATTTTTCAAAGATTCATTTCATGCAGCAGCTTCTCCGTGCAACTGTGATGGTTCAGTTACACATGGCAAATTGCTGCCTGACGTCACAAGCATCAAGCGTGAGCTGGGCCTAAAAGCAGCCTGTAGCCCTGCCAGCTGTTGGACTCCGACTCCCAACAGCCACAGTCAGCAACTGTCAGGAATGATGGGAGTTGTAGTCCCAAACCTCTGGAGGTCTTACAGGTTGGCAATAGATGCCTGAAAGAAAAGCCACTGTCAATGGAAAGCACATAACATCACGAATCCATGCTGATCTGATGCCAGGAAGAGCAGAGTGACCAAAGAGCTGCCATCGCCAGGGTGGTCCCACCATCCTTGTAAACACAACGAGGCTGTGAACTCGCCAGCTCCTTGGAAGCGTCAGGACGAAATCTAAAACCCGGACCTCTTCAGCCTGGGGAGGTGCAGAGCTACTGAGGTCTTGCAAGTTGTTCCCTCTGGTGCATTAAGATCCTTTTTCTTTAGCCAAGATCCTGGAAGAAAGCATGAAAATATAATGGTTGAGCTAAAAGGATAATGGACACTCACACCCTTGAGAGAAAATGGAAGTGTGCGCCCCTCGTTCTTTGTTATATGCTCTTGAACAAACCAAAACAGACTCTGAGCTACATGTTGTTCTATAATCGTAAAGGCTGACACAGACCTTCCAAGTGTCCCTATTTCTGGACCGTTCCAGATTTACAGAAGCTATCTGGGTTTCTGATTTACCATGGAATAATAATAATAATAATAATAATAATTTATTTATACCCTGCCCATCTGGCTGGGTTTTCCCAGCCACTCTGGGCGGCTCCCAGTCGAGTGTTAAAAACAATACAGCGTTAAATATTAAAAACTTCCCTAAACAGGGCTGCCTTCAAATGTCTTTTAAAGATAAGATAGCTACTTATTTCCTGCTTTTCCTTAGGACGTCCCTATTTTCATTGGCCCTTGAGCCAAGGAGATAAGTAACTATACAACCTTTAGAAGATATCTGAAGCCAGCCCTGTAAAGGGAAGTTTTTGGTTTTTTAAAAATGTTTAATGCTTTATTATGTTTTTATATATGTTGGAAGCTGCCTAGAGTGGCTGGGGCAACTCATTCATAATAATGATTATGATAATTGAATAGGACGTTGTTGGAGGGTATGTTGACACTGAGTGCAGAATTCAGCACTCTCAGCATTGCAGCTTTCATTTAAAAAGGATAGGGCTGACAATATGTGGTGACATTGCTTGGTGACATTAAAATGCATCCGATCAAAGCACTGAGCAGGTCTACCATAGCCAGGGCTGGAGTTTTCGCCCCTGGTTAATCCTGTTCTATGGCATCAAGGGGAAAAAAGCCCCCCAAAAATTATTTCAGGGGTGTGTGTGTGTGATAGGGGCTTTGGGGGGTATGTGAAAGGACTTGTGTGCTTAGTATTGTGCTCACCAAATTCCCAGGCTTTGCATGTGCTCAGAAGTACCCTGTTCCTTCACTCACATGTATGCCTGCCTGCCCATGAGCCACAATATTGCACTTGGCTCTGCTTGATAAGACCTCAAGGTTCTAGTAATAAAAAACCAAAGTACTGAACATATCACCAGCCTGAAACCTGTCCAGCTCTGATCTGTGCCACAAATGCAACTTCCTCCGAAATTCTTTCACCTCCATCTTAGCAGTGAAAGATGCTGAGCCATAGATTATGCAATCCAGGAAAGAAAACAACAGGGAAGGCAGGAAGGGTTGATAAGGGAAGTGGGCGGTTCTGAATACTCTCTACTGAAACAAACAAACAAACCCATTGCAACCTGTATAAGTTATGCAATTTAAGTTTAAATTAAGTTGTTAAAGGCACCGCGTGTGTTTTTAAAGCAGAGACAGATTAGATATACTGTACTAAACTAAAATGCCAGTTGAACAAAATGTGCAATTTTTGCATAATGCATTCCCTTCCGCTTCTAATTTCACATGCCCATGTTCTTTGGAGGTTCCAAAGACTAAAACCTTCCTTTAAAAAGGAGACAGCTGCAGTTCTTAGGACACTGGATTCTGCATCCAACCATTTCTGCACTTGCACACTGCAGTTACAGAAACTGACAGGACGGACACAGCCATGAGCACTGGGAAACATCGGTAGCTATTTTTTACTGCAGCAAACCATTTCTAGGCCTTGGGAGGGAGCTGTGTATACTCTGCAATCAATCAATCAATCAATCAATCAATCAAACATACACACCCACACCCAAACTAGGATATTTCAAATTCCGCACTCATAGGAATGTAGGAAATTGCCTTATACCAAGTCAGATAATTAATCCAACTCACTCCTGTTTACACTGCGTTTAAAGTTTAGTGTCAAAGTGAACTGAGATCCATAGAGCAAATCACACAAAGGCTTAGGCCACACAAACAGCAGACAAGGCAGTAGCCGTAATTTCTAAGAACAGCATCTCCAAGGATCAGGCCAAAGCTTATCTGGTCCATCATCTCCCTTCCCTCAGCAGCCAATAAGATGCCTCTGGAAAGCCCATGAAGAGGACATGGGCTTCCCAGCGCTCTTCAGCTGCAACTGTTCTCCTGCAAGTGAAAGTCAGAGCCATGGTGGTATATAGACACCTACCTCTGGTTTGTAGCCAATTTATTGTTTTTAGATGGTGGTTCATTTTCCTTTGAGATTGTGAGGTGCCCCAGAGCTAAATATCTTTAAAATATATATATATTCGGCAGGTAGAATAAATATTCCCAATGTTACTAAGAGAGAGAGATTGACTCATTGCAATCAATTATTTCTTTTTTTAAAGTCCCTTCACATGCAAAACTTGGAACAGCAGGAGTTGCTTTCTACAGTCAGACCATCCAAGTCTTGTCTGCTGTGGCTGGAACTGGCTCTCTCCCCCAGTCTCCCACCAGGTTCTCAGCCCTACTTAGAATAGAAACACAGAATTGAAAGGGACCCCAAGGGTCAACTTTGGCAACCCCCCAAAGCAGTAATCTCAACAGGCAGTCTCCCATCCCATTTGAAACCACGCTGGACCCTGCTTAGCTTTGCAAATGTGCTAGCAGTTTTATTAATCTGTCTCTAGAATACAGGGACTGATACCAGGCTCTTATGTGTGCATGCACTCTTCTGCTAAGCTGGGGGAAGACTAGGCTACCAACTCTCTCTGTCATTTTGTTTTCTGCGTGCAGGGAGGAACGTTCAGCCACACGACTCCCCAACTTGCAGTCTGAAATGGCACATGATGGGTGAAATTGCATGATGAGTCCCGGGTGCCTTTTGCATTCAGCCCTGAGGGTTTGTGCCCTCTGGTGAAGGGACCAGAGCCTTCCGACCCACTACCCTGTGATCTCTGGGTTGGGTTCCCTCTAATAACATCCTGGCCAGCCTTTTCCAGGGACGTTCCTTGTAGCTACAACTAATCCAGAATGCGGCAGCTAGACTGGTGACTGGGAGCGGCCGCCGAGACCACATAACACCGGTCTTGAAAGACCTACATTGGCTCCCAGTACGTTTCCAGGCACAATTCAAAGTGTTGGTGCTGACCTTTAAAGCCCTAAACAGCCTCGGTCCAGTATATCTGAAGGAGCGTCTCCACCCCCATCGCTCTACCTGGACACTGAGGTCCAGCACTGAGGGCCTTCTGGCGGTTCCCTCACTGCAAGAAGCCAAGTTACAGAGAACCAGGCAGAGGGCCTTCTTGGTAGTGGCACCCGCCCTGTGGAATGCCCTCCCACCAGATGTCAAAGAGAACAACTACCAAACTTTTAGAAGACATCTGAAGGCAGCCCTGTTTAGGGAAACCTTTAATGTTTGATGTAGTACTGTATTTTAATATTTGGTTGGAAGCTGCCCAGAGCGCCTGGGGAAGCCCAACCAGATGGGCGGGGTATAAATAATAAATTACTATAGCTCAGCTATGTTCTGACACCCAGAAACCTCGCCTTCTCTACCTCACCAAACCCCGCCCCACTTAAACATTGCTCAAGCTCCTCCTCCACCTGGTTGGGTCCTTTTACGTACCATGCCCTATCCTGCAGCTGCTTACTCCATGGGATGTGTTAGTAGGCTGACCTTATCCACTTCGTTAGCTGGGAAGCAGGCGGGGCTTAGCAAAGTGTAGGAATGATCGCTGGGTGTGGAGCAGCGATCTATCTAACCTTTTGTTCTCTTAGTAGTCTGCTATGCCCTGTCTGTGACCTTTGTCTCCTTCGTCATACATTGTGCAAGGGGAAAATGACGCGGTGGAAACAGGCGCCAAAATAACTTTGTACCACCCCTCGATCTCAGGATTGGAAGATGTGTAAAGGTCATAGTCCAAAATGTATCTGCCTGGTTTTGCATATTGTGCCAATAAAAGGAGCCTCAACAGAGCTAGCTGGCAGCTTGCTTGTGCACAGCTCACCTGCATTACCAACTCCTGCCTCATGTCCTTCACTTCAGCAGAGCACTCATTCCAGCTTCAGTGCACAGGGCTGGCACTACTGCTGAGCAGAGTTAGGCCGCTGGTTTCAGGTGTCATGAAAGCAGGGGCGAAACTAGGCATGATCTCACCCAGGTCAAAGACACAGTTTGGCACCCCCAGGCACAGGCTGAGAACCTCAGTGGAGCAGCCTTTCTCAACCTTGGGTCCCCAGATGTTTTTGGCCTACAACTCCCATCATCCCTGACCACTGGTCTGTGAGCTAGGGATCATGGGAGTTGTAGGCCAAAAACATCTGGGGACCCAAGGTTGAGAATCACTGCTCTGGAGGCTTCACCCAGGACAAAAAAAAAAAGTTCCCCAGTAGCTACAGCACTGCATGTTGTGATTTATCACCACTGTATATTCAACTGCTACAGAGGGCAGTTTTCTGTCTCAGGTGTCAAAATAACTTGCCCCTTAATTGGAGGGGGTGTTCCTGTGGGGCTGTCCACTTGTCAGATTATCACCTGGCACCTGTACAGCTTAAGATCAAACCAGATATGATGCAGATCCCTTGATTTTGGCAGGAACGGCCAACCCAACTTCTGGCAAGGAGCCATGTCCTTTGCCACCAGGAGTCAGGCAGGTGGGAGAAGCTTTAGAGAAACATGCTGGTTCTCCATTCCTGATTTACTATCTGAGGAGGTTACAGAGCAAATAGAAGCAGCACCACAGCACCAAAGTCCTGCTTCCCATGAGCTTCTGGTTGGCCACCACCAAAACAGAAGGTTGGACTAGATTGGCCTTTGGCATGATCCTGCAAAGCTCTTAGGCTCTTGTTCTATGAGGAACATAGAAAAATGCCTCATACCAAGTTAGGCCAATGCGGCTTCTTGCTCAGTGAGGCAAGGGTCTTGCCCAGTCCTGCCTGGGAATGGCATTGGTGCTGGGACTGTCTGCATGCCAGCCACGTGCTCTGGCCCTTTCGGCAATGAGATGTGTGTTGTAGGAGCATCAAGATGCATCCCAGAGAGTGAATTTCTAGAGAAGTGAGGAGGACTGAAATCTGAAGACTAGTATTTCATATTTATATACATATTTTCAAAAGACATGCCTAAAATCTCTCTCCTGTCCTTTAGCAAGGACAGGTACCAGAAACCAGGGCCTCTCCCAGATAAAAAGGGGTGACTGTAGGCTATGCAAGTAGTTCATGTGCAGCCTATTTCTGGGACTGGGTACAGCTCTGCTATTTGCGCAAACTAAGCCAAACTCAGACACAGAGATATGGCACTACCTTATGGCTGTAATCTATCATGTTGTGTCCCTAGATTTTACTAAATAAAATGTCAGATCCCGAGCACTGAAATATTTAGCCAATTAGAAACATTTGTTTAAAGGGGTGTTCCAAATTTATCAGGCAGATTTTTTAATTTAGAAAACCTAACTACTTAATAGGGCCAGATTAGAGGGTCCCAGATTAGAAGAGGTATCTCCCAATTTCTTCTTAAACACAGGAGGAAAGGTCTCTTTTAAGATGAGGTCTACTGAGATATGTGCATGCATCATCTAAAATGAAAATGATGTCCTCTTCCAGAGCTATTTATTAAGAATGCAACTACAGTGGTACCTCGGGTTAAGTACTTAATTTGTTCCGGAGGTCCATTCTTAACCTGAAACTGTTCTTAACCTGAAGCACCACTTTGGCTAATGGGGCCTCCTGCTGCCACCGCACCACTGCCGCGTGATTTCTGTTCTCATCCTGAAGCAAAGTTCTTAACCCGAGGTACTATTTCTGGGTTAGCGGAGTCTGTAACCTGAAGTGTATGTAACCTGAGGTACCACTGTATATTTAGCTTTAATTGAGCAACCATGAATCCATTTAATCAGCAGGCAGACCCCTATTTCTTCCTAAACCCAGGGGAAAGCATCACGAACCCAAACAGCTTTTATTACTTTCTGTGTTCCAAGGCTAAATCCCTGCACTGAAAAAGGGTTGTTCTCCAGAGCCCCAATCCGATGAAGGTCCTCCCCCCCCGCCCCAAATACCACCCCAAGCGCCTTCCAGTGTTAATAGGGTTAGACATGCAGTGAGTGAGGCAAAGGTCTGCCCTTTCCGAGGCTTCCTCAATCATTAAGCAATACGGCTAAATAAATACACTCTCTTTATTCATCTGTGGTTCATGTACATTGGCAAACGGTACAGGCTTTTTTTCTGTAAAAAAAGCAGGATTCATAGAAAATGATCAGCAATCTAAAAACCTTATATATATATACACATACCATGTTACTTTTGATTATCTTCCCACCCCAACACAAAACCTGACTGATACGCCTGACGCCAAAAAACCCTTTCTAGGTTTAGTGATCTCCACGAAACATCGCTCCAGCAGGAACAGAATGCGTAAGGATTCTTAAAAAGGCAGCTGCTCTCCCACCAACCCTCCATGAGCAGAGCTGGGAAAAGTGAGGCACCAAAATGGACACAGCTGCCACCACCCCAGTGCCTGCTCCTCCATGGCTTAACCCTTCAGGCTCCAGTTTGCACAACTCTGTGATCCACCAAGCTGAGCACAGCCCACCAAGCACGTATGGCAGCTCATGAGGGGATCTACGATCTGCTTTGGCTGCTTGCCTGGAACCGTAAAACTAGCAGCCCTCAAATGCATGGCTGCACTACAGTCAGTGGGCCTTCCACTGTGCAGGCTGCCGAGCTAGCGAGGAATCCTGGTTGCAATTTAGACCCACCCAATGTTCTACGCTGTAGGGTATGAAAGAATCTGAATGGTGCTGATTTTCAGCTTTCTGCCCTACCCCTAGTGGCAGCCATTCGATTCCAGAGTATCTGGCGTTCAAGTCTTGGGTTCCCAGGTACCTCCATTGAGCCACAGCATAAGGCAAGTGTTTATGAAGATTTCCCACCTCCCATCTGTGCAAGTCAGTCCTCTGTGCACTGTCAACAAGGGACATCCCTGTCCCATCACCCCCCACAACTGCTGCTATTTCAAGCATTAAATGAGACAAGCAGATGGCAGTTTAGTTCTGCAGTGTCTTCCACAGGAAAATCTTCATTAGTAACTAGTGATTCATGCTCCCCCTCCATTTACCCAGTGATCCTCAAAGACTATAGACACTAAATACATGCTGAGGGCAGGAAATAATTAAGGTTGCCTAGAACCCAGCTCCAATCCTGCTATGATCCAGTAGTTCCAACTATCCACCCAGAGCCAGAGAAAGGAGAGAACCAGGGCTCCTAGCAGCCCCCTCCCTCACTACCAACTTCCCCGTCTGGTTCTCCTCTCCTCTCAATTCTTTTCACTTCACAAACATACAAATTCTGCCACTCTCCCCCTCCCACAAGCACACACACTCAGAACGCTTCTCATTTAATTTTCATCTACTACAGTAGATTAACTTAACAGATTCCCAGTGGCCAGTGGTAAGCAAGCAAAATCCTACCACTTCAAAGGTGGCGTTTTTAAAAACGACACTAAAAAACCCAAAATAACTCAAAACATTTGTATGCTCCACAATGGCAGATGAGGTCTCCTTCCACCCTTCTCTGCTTATGCACAGCACGTGATCTCCACAGCAACATACACATCCCCTTCAGTGGCTGTATGGGATCCTTCGTTCAGTGTGTTCATACAAAAATACACCTCTTTGTGAATTTGCTCCCTGCTGACCAAACAAGAGGGAGTTTTGTGGGTCTCAAGGCAAAGGACCCAGGTGATTCCAAAGCAGCTTTTGCCCTTCAGCTGCTTCTGTTGGTGGGGCAGGGATTGTCCCCAGACAGGCATAGTGGAGAAACAGACATAACATTTAAGAGTCGGGGAGAAGCTGGAGAAGTTGAGTTGGCAATGGAAGAAGTGGGATGGGGGCGGCGTGGAAGAGAGTGGGTGAGTGGTCAGCACAAAGTTAGGGGGGGCAGAAGAAGAGATGAGCACGAGGCAGGAGAGAATCAGAGGCGGGATAGGTTTAAATTGAAGGGGGAGGACAAGTGCTGTGGAAACTTCACAAGAAACCAAAAACAGGTATGGAGGATGTGCTCTTTTCTTCTCAATTGACCAACACTGACTTGGACAGGAAGCCATCTGTAGTCACAGAAGGAAGTTCCTTGCTCTGTGCTGTGTGGCCCTGATCCTCTGTAGCTGTCCCCGCTAAGGAGCGGCTGGCCAAAGGTCCCTTGGGCAAGCTGTATAGATAGACAGCCCCTATGACCAGCCCTGCTCCTAGAGCAAAGAGCAGGTTGAGGTGGAAGTCAAAGAGGTAGATGGAAGCCACTGTGGACACTACGATGGAGAAGGAGGTGGCAAAGCCCTTGAGGATGTTGTCAGCATATTTCACCACCACAGCCACCAGCAGGCCGCCAAAAGCTTGGTTCAGGATCACTCCCCACACAAGCGGGGTGTAGCCAAAGAAGAATCCACGCTCAGCCACGGCTGCCCCCTCCGTGGACCACAGCCCCAACAGCCCCAGCAAGGTTCCGAAGATGCCTAGTTGGACGTTACGTAGCCAGACGGAGGCTGCGCTGCCCTTGAGGATCTTTTCAAAATAGACTCCGGCAAAGCCAGATGACAGGCATGATACCACCACGGCCACAAGCCCCACCATGTAGTTCTGTTGCATTCCCTGGCCTCCAGGGGGTGATCTGCCCCCTGCCTGCTGCTGCTCCACTTGGACAATGGCCACACCGACAAAAAGGAGCACAAGGGACAGCCACTGGAGACGGGACAGGCTCTTGCGGAGCATCAGCACAGAGAAGACAGCTGTGGTGAGGATCTTCAGTTGGTAGGTGACCTGAGAAAGGCAGTGCAGTTTAGTAGGCATCCCAACATGCCGTGCGATAGGAGAACGTCCAGCCAGGGTGGGACCAACAGCAAAGGCCCAACCCCTACTCTCTAGATAGGTTCACATTGTTACTAAAACAGACAACGGCCTCCAATGCAGTACTGCAGTTTAGTACCCCGATTCCGTTTCAGATCATACCCTGTTCTCCACATAACAAATTCAGCTAAGGTCTCAAATGGTGTGGCATTGGTTTAACCAGTTCACAATGAACTCACTTTAACCCCTGAAAGCCAATGAAGTGGTAGAGGCTCAGAATCACATACCCAGGAGTGTGCATACCGCAATTCCATGGAAGTAGAGACAGAGCGCATAAATACAAGCCTTTACGACTGTGGGAACAATGAGAATAATAATGGCCGATACCTGCTAAGTTCTAAGAACCCAGAAGTACAGTTTGCTCTTTCCCCTAACAGAATCAGAATTATACAAAATAGTTTTGTTTTTTTAATGAATAATTTCCCACATTTAGAAAACTGCTGAATTGGTTAATTGGCATAATTTAACCAGATGAAATAATCCTGCTTTTCTGCGCACAGAATATGCAGGGTTCCTCTGTCCACCAGAGAATAGAATAACTGTCAATGAACAGCTGTCTATGGCTCTCACTGTAAGGATAGGGGTGTACTATTAACCAAGGCTTGGAAAATAAAACTATAGGTGTGGTCCCACACAGCAGCGGACATTTCTGGATGCCTCCACATGACTTCACTAAGACCTGCTGCAGGAGCTCTAAGGAATTATTGTAACACATCTCAGGATACCCACCCCTCATGGCTTCATTCAACATTGCGGAGGTGGGAGGAACAGGATGTGCATATCTATATAAAGCGGGTGAATGAAAGTGAGTACAGCACCCTCTTCGGAATAACCTGCAAGGGAGGACCTAAGACTTGGGTCCCAGAGCTGGTGTCTCACCTGGAAGGTGGCTGCAGGCAGGTTGGAGATGGCCACATATTGGAGGTTGTTTTGGAGGGTGTAAATGAGAGAAGGCACTGCGAGTTTGAGTGTGTCCATATACTGCACCACAATCGAGTCATACAAGGAAGCAGCAAACTGTTTCAGGTTACCTGGGAAAGGAGAGACAGACAAAGAGACCACTGTCTTGGTTGGAAATAAATGTTGTTGTTTTTAACAAGGTTCATTATTTGTAACTGACAAGGGATGGAAGAGGCTGTAATGATGGCTCGGCAGAGCGCCCACCAAGCTCTCTCTTATGTGAGTCAACATACAAAAGGAATCCTTTACTTTCTAGTCTGAACAGCAACAGAGGCGTTGGCATTCCATGCACCTGCCTCATGGTGAGCACACAGTTATGAGAGCCAGTGTGGTGTAGTGGTTAAGAGCGGTAGTCTCGTAATCTGGGGAACCGGGTTCGTGTCTCCGCTCCTCCACATGCAGCTGCTGGGTGACCTTGGGCAAGTCACACTTCTCTGAAGTCTCTCAGCCCCACTCACCTCACAGAGTGTTTGTTGTGGGGGAGGAAGGGAAAGGAGAATGTTAGCCGCTTTGAGACTCCTGAAGGGGAGTGAAAGGCAGGGTATCAAATCCAAACTCTTCTTCTTCTACGAGCCTAGTGCTACTATTCACCTGGCGGGGGGAAGAGTACAAAGTACTACTTTCCCAAGGCCTTGGCTAAGGTAGAAGCATCTGCTGAAGTTTATAATGGGCTGGATGGTAGAAATCCCTAGAAGTGAATGGGCCTGTGCAAGTTTGGCAGGTAGCAGCCTGGGCACCTATCCCTAGACAACAATGTGCAAAACGGAGTAGGCATTAGAGCATAAGAATTTACACAGCTGGTCGTCCCATCTGATCTCAACATTCTGTCTACCAATAGAGGCTTCCGGGAAGTTCACAAGCGGACCCCGAAAGCAATAGCTAACACCTTATTGACAATCCCCTCAGGCAGCGTGAGATAATAGCCAGAGATCTTCCAACTAATCTCTTTATAAAGGAACTGATGCTAGTGGCTACCCCTGCATCTTAGAGCTATCAATTCTGTAGGTTAATTATACAATGTGTGACTAATGACTTCCTTTTACTTCAAATCTAAGGCCTATTAATTTAAGTGGATGGTTGAATTTTTGTTTTTTGATAGAGGGGGGAAAATAAGAGTGAGAGAGTGTGTGTGTGTAAATACTATCATGCATTTATATTTACAGCAATAGCATTATGGTCATAGAGCGCCAAGTCCAGAGGCAAGACAGAGCAAGGACAATTAAATAAAATAAATCACTGACAACAAGAGAGATTCAATTTTTCCAAGCTAGCCACTAGCCTTCACCAAAGCAAAAGCTCAATGATCCACCCAGCAAGAACACAGGCTAATGCGCTGGGAATGGAGGATTGCTGCAAGGTTTCCATCTTCTGAGGCACAGTAGTCCCCACCTTTTTTCTGAATGAAGATGAGCAGCAGGCAGGTGACTCCCTTAAGGATTTCAGCCATAACCACAGCGGAAGTGGCAAAGAAGCGGTCCCCAGGCAGCGTGCGCACATAGCGGATACTGAGGATGAGAGAGGCATTCTGAACCACCAAGACAGCTAAGCTAATGTACTTCAACCGTCTGTTACCTGGGAAAAGAAAAGTAGGGATCAGCTCAGTATTACACCCTGCAGCGGAAAGCTGTGATAAGCAACTACCACAACCAAGGCTTGAACAACGGAGACACATGGGAGATGATGTTTGGGGAACCACCACCTCTTCCAAAAACAAAGCTGGGGATGTCCAAGGAAGAACACGGAAAACCCAACACAATGAGAGCAATCTGAGTTCTCCAGGGCCGAGTCCACCAGTGACCACAGAGGCAGGCATGAGTAACTGGAAGCCCAAGGGTTACATCCAGACTCCCCACTGCAGTTGCCTACCCTGTGGCGACAACCCACTTTGGGAGATGGGGGAAAGGGAAGCCCTAGCCCACCAGCCTCCATCTCCTCAGAAAGTGATCCTCTCATACAACTAGTTGCTGACAAGAGCACTAAAGTCTTGGCACACTAAGCCCTTGTTTGAAACAAGCCGGGTACTGGCAAACATGAACTTAGTGTGGGTGCTTTCTATGTGGTAGGGGTGCAGGGGGGACTCCTTTATCAAACATTTAAACAAAACAGAGGGATGTATAAGGACACCCCAGACTCATGGAAATCCATAGAATGATGTCCTAAGGCAGCAATGTCCAACAGGTTGATCGCGATCGACAGGTCGATCACAGAATGATCACGGTCGATCACGGGCTCACTTTTGATTGGTGGCTGTAAAAAGAATTGTGTTGGAAGTCTCCACCCCCACCATCATCGTTTTGTCTGTGAAATGGGTGGTTGTTACTGATAATAAACTAGTCTTTTTCGCTTCATCTACTTGTTAGCATCACGATTTTTTAGTGGTGCATGTTCCTCCCCCCCCCCCAAAAAAGAAGCTCAGCAACTTTGTCCTTCCCTTAAAAAAGCTCAACAAAAAGCTCAACAACTTTGGTATCCCCCCCCATGAAAATGGGTAGATCGCTGCCAGTTGTTTTATGCTGGGAGTAGATTGCAGCCTCTAGAGAGTTGGACGTGCCTGTCCTAAGGCATCTAAGGTGGTAGAGAATGAGATGCGTTAGGGGATGACTAACAAAAATGATGACGTAACACAGTGATCTCAAGTTGTATAGTTGATGTTAAAACCTTTACTGTTGGTACTGAAGTTGATGTACTTTGTAAAGTTGGACATAAATAAATAGTGAAAAAAGTATACGTGAATTAAAATAAAGGGCCCAGAGATTTTTAGGATGAAGGCAAGTCCTGCATTTATGAGAGTTAATTGTTTCCTGCACCATCTGCTGCTGGAGGCTCACCTGATCACCTTGGCTGCTGGCATCAACGGAGAATCATAAAGTTTCTTTCCAATTTAACTGGCAAATGGAATTACTACCATAGAGTATTTAGATAAACTTCCCGGCTGAGCAAAATCCCACCCCTCTTGCAATGTTTAACATCTACTAATCCAGGTCTCAGAGCTCCAGTGGCATGCGAAAGGTCAGGGTTTTCCACCCCACTGTTCTGACGCACAAAACGGATCCTAGAGAGCTGGCATCCTGCTCTGCTTGGCTCAGCAAACAATATCTTGCACCTGCCATGGGAGACACACGCAGACCTAGCAGGAAGTGGGGACAGAAAAATGGCACAGCCACAGCTTGCTGAACTACATTCCTATGAACAGAAAAGTGTTCACCTGCTTCCTGAAAGAGAAATCAAACAGCAAGAAGCCTAATACAAGCTATGGAAATAATTACAATAAACAGCTGTGCAGGCATTCCCCATCTCTGTTCCTGGAGTCACCTATGACGTCCTAATAGGACTGCAGAACTAACTGTTAAGAATAACAGCCTTAAAGGAGTATAATGAAGGCTGGTTTTGTTCAGCAACCCACCTCCCACAGGGGATAGGCATAGCAATGATGATGACTTCCTATGTTTATCCCCAAAATCTGGTAGTCAGAGGTATAATTCCTTTGAAAATGAAGGCGGAACTTTTACACATCATCAGAGTTACCAGCTGGTAAGCCAGCCTTCCAGACCTTCTTTTCGCTAGTAGCTATTGCGATTCCTATTCATTCTGATCACAAATCCTCCGTCACACTAGAAACTGTTACCAAAATTGTAATGAAATACATTCTGCTGGCTCACCATGGCCCCCTAAGGCTTCCCTTTAATATTTCTTTGAGCTCTCCCTCTCTCTTTTAAAGGGGGGATTTGCAGTGTAACATGGGGACAGACTTTCCTACGGGGATTCACACTTCCAGGATCCCAATCGAAATGGCTAAAAGACTCCTCCTCCTCTGTGCACTAAAATTCACCCTCGACCAGATGCAGAGAAGGACAGCACAGCATTCTTTCCTTGTTGCTCACCAGCAGCCATGTGTGTGTATTATATATACATGTATGCATGTATGTATGTATATGTGTGTGTGTGTATATGTGTGTGTGTATATATATATATATATATATATATATATATATTAGGGCTAGCTCTCTCTCTCTCTCTCTCTGGCTAGCCCAGTATATGCCTCTCTCTCCCGATAGACATACCAATGTCTCTCTCATATATACATACATATTCGTATTATCGGGAGAGGCATCTATATATCGAACTGTCTGTATGATACACGTAGAGAGAGAGAGAGAGACCCGGCCTCAAAGGGACTCCTGCCCCCCCTTATCCGCCTGCCCTCCCGCAGCCCAGCCCCACGGCAGGTTACGGGGCGTTGAGGCGAGGGGGATGTGGCGCCCCGCACCGCCTCCCCAGCCCCCCAACTCTCACCTCCTGCGGCCACCGGGCTCCCGCCGCCGCTGCTCCCCGAGCCCCCAGCCGCTGCCATGGTGGCAACCGCCGGGCAACCGAGTTCCCCCGCCGCAGCCGGCACTTCCGCATCCCAGCGTCCCGACGCACTTCCGCTTCCGGGCAGTGCGGAAAGGCCATAGAGAAGGGAGTGCGAGAGAGCGGGCAGAGCGGCCGTGCTCCTTCCGGAGGACTCCGCGGCTAGAGGAAGGAGGCGGGGCCGCCCGCTGAGAACCATAGAGTCATAAAACCATAGAGTTGGAAGGGACACCCGGGGGTCATCGAGTCTGACCCCCTGCGCAGCTGGAATCTCAGCGAAAGCATCCCTGACGGAGGGCCAACCAACCTCTCATCAAGAACATCCGAAGAAGGAGAGCCCAAAGCCTCCCGAGTTCCAGAAAGTTGTTCCTGATGTTTGGTCGGATTCATAGCTGTCAACTTTTCCCTTTTCTTTTTCTTTTTTTTTAAATGATATTTATTAAGGTTTCAAAAGAAGGATACATAAATAAGAAAGAGAAAAACAGAAAAAAGAAAAATACAAAATACAAAAAAAAACCCAATTAAAAACAATTCCATCTTTTCATCACTTCTCTTACATTTACTTGTTTCCCGGACCTCCTTATACCTCCCTCTTTTGTATTCCAGTTCAATTTATTAGTCCAGCGATTCCTTTCCCTCCTTTTTAATCCTGATCTTTAATCTTAATATATTATAGCATTAGGTTTTTACGTATTGAAAATCCAATTTTTCCATATTCTTTTATACCATTACAGCTAGAAACCACTTGACTTCAATCCAACATCATTCTAACATTCATTAATTTTGCAATATTTCTGTAAATAGTCTTTAAATTTCTTCCAATCTTCTTCCACCGACTCTTCTCCCTGGTCTCGGATTCTGCCAGTCATTTCCACCAATTCCATGTAGTCCATCACCTTCATCTGCCATTCCTCCAGTGTGGGTAGATCTTGTGTCTTCCAATGCTTTGCAATAAGTATTCTTGCTGCTGTTGTAGCATACATAAAGAAAGTTCTGTCCTTCTTTAACACCGATTGGCCGACTATGCCCAGGAGGAAGGCCTCTGGTTTCTTCAAGAAGGTATATTTAAATACCATTTTTAATTCATTATAAATCATCTCCCAGAAAGCCTTAATCCTTGGGCATGTCCACCAAAGGTGAAAGAATGTACCTTCAGTTTCTTTACATTTCCAACATTTATTATCGGGCAAATGGTAGATTTTTGCAAGCTTGACTGGGGTTATGTACCACCTGTAAATCATTTTCATAATATTCTCTCTTAAGGCATTACATGCCGTAAACTTCATACCTGTGGTCCACAACTGTTCCCAGTCAGCCATCATTATGTTATGTCCAACGTCTTGTGCCCATTTAATCATAGCAGATTTCACCGTTTCATCCTGAGTATTCCATTTCAACAGCAAGTTATACATCTTTGACAAAATCTTAGTTTTGGGTTCTAACAATTCTGTTTCTAATTTTGATTTTTCCACCTGGAAGCCGATTTTCTTGCCCAAATTGTATGCCTCCATTATCTGATAATAATGAAGCCAGTCTCGCACTTTGTTTTTTAGTTTTTCAAAACTCTGCAGTTTCAATCTATCTCCATCTTGTTCCCAACTTTTCCCTTTTCTTGCGAGGACTCCTATTCGGAATAAGGGGATTTCCCTTTAAAAAAGGGAAACGTTGACAGCTATGGGTCGGAATCTTGTAACTTGAAGCCATTGGTTCGGGTCCTGCCCTCCAGAGCAGGAGAAAACAATAATAATAATAATAATGGTATATAAATCTTGTGAAATAAAAGAATTGGGGGGCCCTCCAGCTGTTTTCCCTTCCGCTTCCCCAGTCCTGTTACTTCTTTCAACTTCGCAGTCCCCTTCCCATCACATACAGACTGCATTTCCTTAAAAGCAAACAGGAAAATACACTACAAGAAGGTCATCTATTCATTTACAGTCATACGTCGGGTTCCAGACGCTTCAGGTTGTGTTTTTTCGGGTTACGGACGCGCCGAAACCCGGAAGTACCGGAACAGGTTACTTCCAGGTTTCAGCAAAGAGCTAAATCGCGCTTTGCTCATGCGCAGAAGCGCCGAATCACAACCCGCGTGTGTGCAGACGTGCCACTGTGGGTTGCAAATGTGCATCCCGCAAGGATCACATTTGCAACCCGAGCGTCCACTGTATTTCACTGCATGTATTACTTCACAATACCCCACCTTTCCCCACACCCAGAGCTCAAGGGCGCATGCGTGGTTCTTCCCCTTCTCATTTAACCCTCACAACAACCCTGCGAGGTAATTAGTCTGAGAGGCAGGGACTGGTCCACAAGGTCACACCCAGTAAGCTTCATGGCCTGGTGGGGATTTGAACGTTGGATCTAACAAGTCTTTTTTTATATTGATATAAGTAAAAAAAACCAACTGCTCCTTTTCCCTTATGGGGTACCCAAGAGCCCATATAGAGTCCTTTTGTAGGTCTATAGGTAGGAGAAAATAACAGAGACCAACCAGAGATTATTGAGAAGCAAAGCAGCTAGTAAGCCTGATCTTTATTAACTGTTGCAACAGGGTGCTTCCCCACACTCAGGAGAGAGGAGGACCCCGAGCCATGCTCGTAAGCCGTTATATAGACATTTTAAATTGCCCGCCCTGGAGTCCAAGACCACCCCCAGAAACATCATACCTACATCACAGAAATCTGAGTGCTTTGTTTATCTCCTGTCTGGCAAGTTACCTGATTGCATTATCTGGGTTTTGGCCACTCTTTTGTTATTATAACTACTTAATTCCTGAATCTAGGTTACAGGTCACAGGCTCACACCCTGTTCATATCTTGAATGTGCCCTTAAGACAGGATTTGTGAGGACAGGATTTGTGAGGAAAGAGACAATGAGGAGGTTTCCCAATTTGACCTTGCAGAGAAATATTTGAGGTCAATTTGTTCAGGACCTTTTCTGTGGGGTTTCAGACATGTGGTTTATGTATACAGTTATGAACATTTATTTATTTTTATATATGACCTTAACATTCTTATAACAATATATAAAATTTTTAATTAAATTTTCTGTTTTACAATTTCAAATAAACATTTTACAAACTTTGAAGTATCCAATGACTTCCCTTCTTCTCTTTCCACGGTTCATTTTACATATCCTGTATCCCTGCATATTTTACTATCACCATTCAAATCAATTTTCCACTTTTACATCCATCAAGCATTATTTATTCTGTTTAATTTATCTTCATGGGGCCAGTGTTTTCAGCTCTACACAGTTATTTTCCATAAACTCAATAAATGTTTTCCAATCTTCTTCAGACATATGTTCTTCTTGTTCTCTTATTCTATATGTTAAATCTGCAAATTGTGCATATTCTGTCAACTTAACTTGCCAATCTTCTTTAGTTGGGTCCTTGCTCACTTTCTATTTTGGGACTAACAAAAATGGGTACATAAATAACCTTTTCTGACACCTGGGAATTTCAGTCTGGGTTATCCCCAGCAAAAATGACTATGGTTTTTTGGGGAAAGTAATTTTAAACATTTTTTTCAGTTCATTATAGATCATTTCCCAATACTCTTTTAGCAAAGGCAAAAGTGCCAAAAGCTTTGAACCTGCTTAAAAACACAATTCTTAGAAGCTCAACTGCAGTTGAGGAATGGTAGCACGAGGTCAGAAGGATGTTGCTGTGGTTTAAGCAGCAGAGTGAAAGCAGCTCTTAGAGGCAAGAATGCTTTCTTCAAAATATGGAAGTCTGGTCTAAATAAGCTTATACCAAGAACTGTTATGTACTGATGTTCTCACCCTGGGCCAGCAGGGGGATACTGTAGATAGTTATGCAAATGAAGGATCAAAAGTGACGTTCTGTGATTGGATAGTTTGTATGCAAATGAAGGATCGAAAAGTGACGTTCTGTGATTGGATAGTTTTAGAAAGTGGCAACAGTTACAATTGTTTTGGAGCTCTACATAAGCAGGCTGACTGAGCTCCTCAGTTCTGTTCTGGCATCTGAATAAAGAAGAGCTGGTTGAAGAATCGCTGTGTCGTCTGATATGTTCACCCACAACTTAACACGAACAAACTTAGTTGGTCTTTAAGGTGCTACTAGACATTAGAGAGAGAGAGAGAGAGAGAGAGACTGCATCAGACCAACACGGCTACCTACCTGAATCTGGTCTAAATAAGGAGAACAGAAAGGAATAAAAACTTTGGCAAAAGAAGTAGAAGAAGAATCTGAGGAATACAGTGCTAAAAACAATGGAACAGTGTACATCACATGGAAGATGAAGCAAACTTGTTTTCTCCTGCTCCAGAGGGTAGGATGCAAACCAAGGTACAAGAAAGGGGATTCCAACTAAACATCAAGAATAACTTTCTGACAGTAAGAGCTGTTGGAAGGTGGAACAAGACTCCCTCTGGAGGCTGTGGACTAACTCTCCTTCCTTGGAGGTTCTTAAGCATAGGTTGGGTGGCATGCTTTAGAATCATGACTCTATGATTCTAACAAGAAGTTATTTAAATACATTAATAGGGGACCAGCAAAGGAGGTGGGTGAACTCTTGGATAACAATAACAACTGCAGAGAGTCTTATGATACCATAAAGACTTTTACATGAGTAGATTTGCTGACTCCTGCAACAGACCCTCAAACCAGGGAGTCACAGGGTCACCCAAAAACCCAACGTTTTCCGATTCACTCCAAACCAGTGCCAAAGTTTGGCAAAGGTTTGGCAGCGTTCTGCAGCGAAAACCCTGGGTTTTCCATCGCGCCAAAAACGGAGCAACATTGGGTTTATGGGTGACCCCGTGACCCTGTTTGACAGTCTATTGCTCCATTTGTGGGGTGCTGCAAAATGTGGGTTTTTTGCGGTAAAACTTTTGCCAAGGTTTGCCGCCAGTTTGGATTGGACAATGTTGGGTTTTTGGGTGTTAACTACGACCCCCGGTTTGATATATCTATTACTCCATTTGTGGGATGATGCAAAACACAGGGATTTTGCTGCAAAACAACTGCAAAACTTTGGCACCAGTTTTGAGGGGATCGCAGATTTTTGGGTTCATAGTTAACACCTAGTGAACTCAATGGGGCTTACTTCAGAGTAGGCTTGTATAGGATTGTACTGAAATGGATATACTGCGGCATAAGCTTTCGTGGACTAGAATCCACTTAACCAGGTTTAGGCTGACATTTGCTGAAATTTACACAGTGACTTTACTGTGCTGTGATGAGACATCTGTTTCCCCCCCCAATCAGTCCTTCCTTGAACCTTGGGGTTTCTGCCGCCCAGTTCCCTTGTCCTGCTGCTCATTCCTAAAGGTTAGAACTTCCTACACAGGATGTTGCAACCGGAAAGGCGAGGGCAGGTACACAAAACAAGCACACAGGTGACAAGCGAATGGCGCAGGTCTTGTCAGGGTGTGGCTGGCAAGTGTGTGCTTGGGCGGGCAAGCAAACAGTCAAGTGACGCTAGTATCAGTTGTGCGTCACATCCCAAACTTAGATCCCTGAGGGCGGGATTTACAGGAACTTGCCTTACTAATTTCATAAATTCATTTTTTTTCCTGGCATTGGAATGTTCTTTTTCTAGCAAAAGGAGTGGCACTTCAGGAGAAGGCAGCAGCTGTTATGCATGCAGAAGGTGCCAGGTTCATTCCCCAATAGCATCCCCAGGTAGGGCTGTGTAGACAATACACAGTCCGTGTAGACAAAAATGAGCTAGATTGACCAATGGCCAATACTGTGTAAAGGCAGCTTCCTATATCCCACTCATGTCAGCCCTGGGTCGAGTAGTGCAAGATTGTAATTTCTCTTAAACCCCAAAAGTATGAAGGGAAAGACAGGAGGAAATTGCTACCATACAAATTTTGGGAAGAGGTATGGGAATCTCTGAACTAATAATAGGTATCTGTTATCAATTTTACACTTAATATGTGAATCACTTATAATTCTTCTACTGGCAGCTGCTTCTTTGACCATTTCATTTGCTCAAGAAAATGTAAATGGTGTTATGTTGGGTATGAAATAAAAAAATAAGGTCTTATATATATATATATATATATATACTGTATATATAATAAATGTTCATAAATGTACCAACCAAGTGCATACATAGATGTGTGGACCACAAGTCTGGAGTAGCACAGGAGGACTGCCCTGAAACCATTTTGACTCCCAAACTGGAAAAAAAAATGTTTTCTCTGCAAGGAGGGAGGGGGTGGGGGAGCCTCCCCATTGTCTTTTGGTTCACAAATCCTGTCTCAAGGGTATGTCTACGTATGAATAGGGTGAGCCTGTGACCTGGCTCAAGAACTAAGTATTTGTCAAAATACAAAAGACTGGCCAGGCTCCCTAGGGTATCCAATCAAGTGACCATTAACAGGTCTGCCAGTCAGGAGATAAACAACACACTCAGATTTCTGTTGTAGACCTCCCTTTCTGTGATGTATGATGTATGGAGGGGTGGTCTTGGACTCCAGGGCGGGCAATTTAAAATGTCTATATAAGGGCGGACACACCTTTGTTCAGGGTCCTCCTCCTTCTCCTGTGTGTGAAGGGGGAACCCTGTTGCAACAGTTCAATAAAGACCAGGCTTCTGAGCTGCTTTGCTTCTCAATATTCTCTGGTTGGCCTCTGTTATTTTCTCCGACCGATGGAGAACCTACAAAGGACTCTATAAGGGCTCTTGTGCCCATAAGGGAATAAGGGCAGATTTTTGTTTATTACAGGTACTACATAGCAGATGTGCACCATAAATTCGCCATATTCTGGAGACATCGCGTGACATCATGTCATGCCCATCGGTCAAATTTGGCCTGCAAGACCTTATAAAACTCTGGCCTGTATAGACCAAAAGCTTCCCCCATCATCCCCACTTCATGCCAGCTTTGAGTGTTTGGACCAATAGGCTTCATTTTAATTAGGGTTGTCATACTTCAGGAAGTAAAATTCTGGACATAAAAGTTGTTGAGCTTTTTTCTTCTCCCCAAAAAGGCACTTCCTGCTTCTGTGGGTAAAACCCAGACATTTTGCCAATTTCCGAAATTCCCCTCAGGCGCTATTTTCGCCGCTTTAATCCCAGACATGTCTGGGAAATTCCAGACATATGGCAACCCTACATTTTATTAATATATAGAAGTTTCAGGTGTTGTAATAGTGGAATATGGTTTTGGCTTATCAACCACCTTCTCAGTCTCTATTGTGAGGTCAATTATAGAACAAGAAGACAAAGGAGTTTTGTCTCCAGAACAATTATGATACCTCAAAGTGACTAATGCAGTTATGGGGACAGTGCGCTGTTTGGGTCATGGTCCAACCCTGTTGGAATTGGGACAGGCACATCCAAGCCTTTGTTTTGCATTTGTGACATCTGAGAAATGTAGGATAGACTTTAGTGAGAAATCTAATGTATGGTTTGACTTCCACATTACAGATGTTGCAAGCCTCCCATATGTAAATGCAGTCAGACAAAACAGCCCTTCACCTGAAATGAGCAAGGATTCACTTTCACAAAATAAATTTTATTAAATAGATTTCCATTCAGAGTTCATTGAGTGAAATTTATCTGCAAACATTTCCTTTTTAAAAATTAGCACACATGCACACACACAAAAGGGCAGCAAAAACCTACCCCAGAATCCTTTTCTTCCGAAAGGCTGAAAAATTGCAATACACAAGTATTTACACGTACAATTACGTTTGATTGCTGGGCAGGCCCAGAATTCAAACATCCTTTGGGCAGCTGAGAGGACTTTGCACTCCGACATCTGAATTCTCTACCCAGTTGTGGCTCTAGACAAGAGGGAAACTCTTTAAACAAGCACACATACACACACCTGTAGAACCAGGTTAACTCTTTCTCAGCCAGTGACCAAGCCTGGCTGCCTGAGGTTCAGCGGTAGCAAATTAGCACCACCTCCCCATCGCAGAGGGGGAGGAGAGAAGAGAAGAGGTTTTAAGTCTCTCAGCCGCTGCTGTTGCAAACGGTGGCCCGAGGGCTTGCTAGGCTCTGCAGTTCTTCAGGCTGAAGTAGAGGGTCAGGCTTTAGCCAGGAGTGCAACAGCACTTGTTCCAGCGTTGGCCGTTCAGAAGGTTCCAGAGATAAGCACCATCGGATTAGATCTTGGCAGTCTGGGAAAGTAGAAGAGCCAACATTACAAGGATATACAGGAGCCTTGGCTTGCAAAGGCATTCCGCCACCCTGTGCCAGTTAGGTCTTTGTACACTGTAATCTGAATTTGAGATTGCAGGGATTCAATCCTAAATGAAGGATTTACCAATTTGAGAAACTGAGAATGAAATTCCTTGTTTAAAAGGTACACACACACACACACCAAAGTCACTAGTCCTTAAGACTGTAGATAGGTAGGAATGGGGTATGAACTTTTAAAAGGTATAGGGACCCCTGGCCATTAGGTCCAGTCGTGGCCGACTCTGGGGTTATGGCACTCATCTCGCTTTATTGGCTGAGGGAGCCGGCATACAGCTTCTGGGTCATGTGGCCAGCACACGGAAATGCCGTTTACCTTCCCGCTGGAGCAGTACCTATTTATCTACTTGCACTTTGATATATCTACTTTCACTTTCAAACTACTAGGTTGGCAGGAGCAGGGACTGAGCAACGGGAGCTCACCCCGTCGCGCGGATTCGAACCGCCGACCTTCTGATTGGCAAGTCCTAGGCTCTGTGGTTTAACCCACAGCGCCACCCGCGTCCCTATGAACTTTTAGGCACAAAGTAAAAACGAACTTTTAGGCACGAGCTAAAAATGAAGGAGAGATGGGGAATCTTGAACCGTTTAGGATTTTTTTTTTCTTCCTAGGTGGCTTACAAGAAAATCATATCAAGAGCCACCCAGGTCCTTCTCAAAGGGTAAATGGCCCTGCGGTCGAGAGGCCGGATCAGCATGAGTAGGGGAAATGTAAGAACCATTTCAAATTCAACTCATTGTTGGGTTTATAACTAGACCTCCTCAGTTTGCAGACACTCACCAGCAGAGACAGGGGTGCGGAACTCCACAGTTGCAGCCAGAATCTCCTCGTCCCGTTCAAAGGGGATATCGCCGCACACCATGTCATAGAGGAGGATCCCCAACGACCAGACTGTGGCTGGCAGGGCATGGTACTGCTGGGATTCCACCCACTCTGGTGGGCTGTACACCCGGGTACCTGAGATGGTGAGAGAAGCCAATGGGTTACCAATCGTCCCAAGCCTAAGATACATTCAATTTTTTTAAAAAAAACAACAACAAAAAACTCCTCTAAGTATTGCATTTAAAACAAATTAAAGACCACTTCTATAGAAATTAAAGCAGAAAAAAAATAGAAAGTGTGTGTTAAAAAATAAAATAAACCCAGCAATGCTGATAGAACAACAAGCGATCTAGTAACAAATAATCAGAACCAGATTCTGAAAGACAATCTTGGCAGTAATTTTGCCTAGTGAGCTTTGGCTGAAGAAGACAGCCTTTGTCGGTTTCCTGAAACTCACCAGATTTAGCAAGACTGGCATTTCTAAGCCATAAAAACAGTGCCATGATTGAGAAGTCCCTGCTTTAGACAAAGTGGGCTGTAAGATGGACCCTTACAGAAGGCCCACTGAGCAGATCTTTGCGCAGGAGCTGGCTTTGTGGGTTTCTTAAACCTCCAATTACTGGGACTTCAAATAATTCATAACGAATAAATAAACATAGGCCACACCTCAAAGCAAGCTCAGAAGTTAGAGACCCTGAGACCAGGATCCTAACCATCTCCAAGGGGATGACAGTACCCTGGGAAGTCGAGCTGAGAAGTAAATTTTGATATAGGCTCTCAGCAGTTGCAGCTCCCAGCTTTCCACTGCCAGAGCCCTTAGGTCTCACTTCCCTACAAAGGGGGGAAAACGCTCCAGCAGTACCTTGACACTTACCATCAAACTCTGTGTAGGCAGAATCCCTCAGCAAAGCCCCAGAACCAAAGTCAATCAGCTTGAGGTTGCCGGTGCGCAAATCCACCAGGATATTCTCGTCCTTGATGTCCCGATGCACCACCCCCTTTTCGTGGCAGTGGCGAGCGGCTTCCACCACCTGGCGGAAGAACTGGCGGCAGAGTTTCTCAGGGAGGGGGCCCTGCTCAGTCACATAGTCAAAGAGATCCTGGCAGTTCTCGGGCCTCTCCAGGACGAGGAAAAAGCCTTCGGGGCCTTCATACCAGTCCAGGAGGCGAATCACGCCCCGGTGGCCAGATCCTGAGCACACGAGCTTCATCAGCGCCACTTCCAGAGGCACCACCGCCCCGTTAGGCTGCAAAAGGAAGACAAAGAATAAACTTAGTACAAGGAGTTCAGGGGTAACTAAGGAGTCAACAGAATGTTGCTTCAGTATGGAAGGTGAACGCTTTTCGAACAAACTCACCAGCTCTGCCCAGTGGGAAACTTTATTCCTGGCAACATGCTTGATTGCAACCTATGGGAGAAAACACAAGAGAGATAAGAGCCTAAATCACACCACTTTTAAACCCCCTCCACCCACAGAGACTGAAGCAGGATCACAGCCAGACTTTCCCTAGATCAGGACTGCAGAATTTCTCTTTTAGCAACATTCCCCGAACCCGTAACACTAAGGAGATTGTCTTAGCACAGGCGTTTCTGCTGGCCCAACAGAATGACATTCCCTTTCCTCCTCCCCCCTCCATGTTTTGGGGATATCCCATACACTAGGAGTCGGCAAGGTTTACCTCACCTGGACCGGTTCACTCCAGTGGAGATTACTCTGTGGGCCTGAGCATGAGCACCCACGATTTCTGGCATCTGCGACTGCGCAGATGCGATTTCTGGCACTGTGGAAGCAAGTCCCTGTGCCATGCTGTGCTGGTTTAGCCAGGCAAGCGGGTGGCTCAGTTTGGGGGCCGGTTAAATGACCCCCGTGGGCCGTTTATGGCCCATGGGCCTTAGGTTGCTGACCCCTGCCATACACGGTTGCAAGCTCACACTTGCTGCTGCATCACGTGCGAAGTGCCCCTCCAGCAGCCACTCCCATCACAAAGTCTCACCTGCAGTCCATCAGCAATCCTGTGTCCAGCGTAGACCATCCCAAAGCCGCCTTTGCCCAGCAAGCTGCCTTGCTTATACAGAGCTTCAAAGGATTCTTTGTCTTTACCTAGAGAGAAAAGAGTAGACGACAAAGTTACTGGGACTGGATTCACACTGGGACGTTGCTATAGCTGTTTCACCATGAGAGCACCATGCTAGGCTTCTGTTCACTCTTGTTCCAACCAATGTTCCAGATCCAGCAACAGTTCTGATGGCTCCTACAGTGGCACTGCCAGGGCAGGACTCTGGGGAAGACACCAGGGCCCCCACTAAGCAGAAGGACCCTCAAATGAAACAGGGTCTGCTTACCACACTACCATATTGGAGGCAGGAAAGTAATGCCCACACGAGCTTCTAGAGAAGGACTCCCTCCTGTCAATCCACTGAGGCCAGGGGCTAAAACGACCGCACTGCATCACTGCCTCCAAGAAGAATTTGAGTTCAAGAACACTGCAAATGGCTCCCAAATTCAGAGCGACTCCTCCAAGCTTCCCAAGCAGAGGAGAAAGATGCACCCCCACCAGGGATGGGGAACCTGTGGCCCTGCAGTTGTTGCTGGACTCCCAACTCCCATCATCCTCAGCCATTGCCTATACTGGTTGGAGTTGATGAGAGCTGTAGTCCAGCAACACCTGCAGGGCCGCAGGTGCCCCCGTCTTGCAAGAAGTGAAGCTTTCCTAATTTCTGCATCTCCGGGCCTGAGAAAGGCTTGCCTGTCTATCTCCTGCCCGCTATACAGCTGCTATGAAGAAAACATAAGAGCCCTCTCCCCACTTGCAGTTTCCAGAAATTAAAGAAGAGCTCTGCCATTTATTTAACTGCATGAAAGGATTTTGGCATCCTTAACATCAGATCGTTTGGTCCTAAAGGCACTGGAGTGACAGGGTTAGGGAGGAAGCGAAGAAGATGGGCAGGCGGTAGCCAAATTTTCTGAGGCTTTAGGTCAGGCATCCCCAACCTGCGGCCCTCCAGATGTTTTTGCCTACAACTCCCATGATCCCTAGCTAACAGGACCACTGGTCAGGGATGATGGGAATTTTAGTCCAAAACATCTGGAGGGCCGAAAGTTGGGGGTGCGTGCTTTAGAGCCTCACTTCTCATGCTTTAAACACAGGACAACTCAGTAAATGACAAAGCCGCCCAGAGCCTTGCATGTGACTCACAAGAAGGACAGCTGCTCTCCTGCCCATCAGAGACCGGCTTCCCCAGCCTGGCAGCTGGTGAAACTGGACTTCCTGGTTGACTGCCTCTCAGCCCAGCTTTAATACAAACAATAAGTGGGAGGAAAGAGAGAGTGAGAGCTGCAGTTGGGTGTGTTGTGGCCAACTCTTTTTTTATGAATGGAGGTTCCTTGCCTTGAACAGCTGAAGTCAATGGGCAAAGTTTTCTCCAGGAAGGAGATGCATACAGCAGTGGAGGAAGGCTGTCCCTGACACATTTTGCTTGCTGCAAAACTATGATAGGAACAGTTTGCCAGAAGAGCCTAATGGATGAGGCCAGTGGCAAATTAACTCCAGCATCTTGCTGTCAAGGTGGCCATCCAGATGCTTGCCAGAAGCATGCAAGCAGGAGGAGCTGAGCACAACAGCGCTCCGCCGGCAGTTTGCAGCGCTTGGAATGCAAGAGGAGATGGAGGAGGCTTCCCATTACAAAGGGCTTAAAAGGCACAAGAGTCCCTCAGGAAGCAAAGAATTAGCAACTCAAACTAGGTCACATTCAGCTGCGCTTCTTTCGCTTGAGGCAAAAGCCCATCCCACAGATAGCATGAGAAAGGAGTTCGTTTGTTAGGCAGATGGGGCAAGGTGAGAATCCAGGATGTTTGCCTGATGATTCACCAATGGGAGGTAAAGGTTAGGAGGTTGTTTCTGGGAAATCCTCTGTTTTTGAATCAGGGGAGGAGATATCCCTCCAGGGGATGGAAGGGGGGGGGAGGCGTGTCTGAACCAGGGGAAAAGAAAGAGCAGTAGGCAATTTGGAAAAAGAGAGTTTCCATCCAGCTGGAGGTAAGTAATGCGACCTCTTTGCTGAACTCACGCTCCGCTTGCATGTGTTTGTAAATAAAGCAAGCATGACAAATATGCCGCACATCTCATCTAACAGGAATCCAAACCAGCCACGGAGTTTCTCACTGGAGTGGGAGAGCAGAGATGCTTAACGAGTTTGCGAACTGACTCGCTCTTTCTCGCGCGCACTTTATTCGGTGGGGGGCAGCAGAGAGTCGCCCTCGCCGCTTCCAGGCATTTCGGCAGCCAGGCTGCTTCTCCGATCTTCCCTCTGCGTCGCCTGCCCGCTTTCCTTGTGTTGTGTGCGCCAGGTTAGGCGGCACGCAAGGTAAGCAGACGCCACGGGAATAGGAGACCCCTCTGCCTAAAACCATTGTGCAAAAGAAGGATCGCGCAAAAGGTGGCTTTTTCCAAGGAGGAAGGGAGGCAGAAAAGGGGCGCATCTGTGGAACATCCACTTCATTTCTCCCCTTCCAGAACTCCCATTTATTATAGAGATCATTATGTTGTAAATTGGAAGGGGCCTCGCGGGGTCATCTAGTCCAACCCCCTGCAAGTGCAGGAATATTTTGCCCAACACGGGGCTCGAACTCACAACATTAAGAGTCTCATGTTCTCCCAACCGAGCTATTCCAGGTTTTAAGGCATGGCACACCCCTGTTTCCCCAGTGCCCAAACCCCAGAGTTGCCTTAGGCGCACCCCTAACCCCAAGGTCCGGTGGACAGCAACTGGAGGAAAGGGCTTCCGAGGTGGCGCCCACCTTTCCAAGGAACCGGCAGCCCTCTCGGAAAAGGGCGTCGAGAGGAATGAAGAAAGGAGGAGTGACTGGCGAGGAAGTGAGAGGGAGACGGACGAAGAAACAGGGCGATCTGAGCAGAGAAAGCAGGTCTCCGCTACTACCGAAGCTTTCTGCAAAGGAACCCAACAGGGCAGAGGGACAGAAGAGAAAAATGCACAGAGATGCGCCCTATCCTGCAGCCACGAGCGAGAAGGCGCATCTTGCAGAGTTTCCCCTTTCCCCCCGCCTTACACCCACTGCGGGCGACCCAGTTTAGGATGGGAATGGAGAGGTCAGGGAGATTATTATTAATTACCACCAACCACTGCACTGGCTCTGCTCCTGCGCCTCTGGAAGCGTCCCTGCACCCAAAACTTTAGAAAGGGAAGGGTGCAAGAAAGAAAAGTTGGATAGGATCCCGTGCGTTGAAAAAGCGCAGGAACTCTTCACGCATTAAGTTTTGGGGGACACACAGACAGGGAGATGAGAGACAATGTGGTGTAGCGGTTAAAGTGCTGCCCTGGGAGGCCGGGGTTCAAACCCCCAGACACCAAACTCGCTGGGTGACCTTGGGTCACTGCCTCAGCGTAACGGACGTACTTCACAGAGTTGTTGCGGGGATAGCAAGCAGGAGCGCCAACTTGGCCCCGCGACCGTGGCGCCGACATTTGTGGGTGCCCAGCTCCTTCATGTGGAATTTTGGGGATGTTCGGGCACCCAGTGAGTTGACACTTATGGTAGCAAGAGGAGAAGTTATGTACCCCGCTTTGAGCAGCTTGCAGGAAAGGCGGGATATCAATGTAATGAATAAATAAATAAACACACAACTAGTACACCCACGCGAGGCACATGCTTGCCGCGTTCAGATACATTTACATTTCAACAGCCCAGGACTGAAATAAAAGTTACTGTACTTTATTTATGGCAACTGCTTTGCAGAGGTACTGGGTACTCCATTTACAATAGGTTTGGCAACGTTATATATGTGTGTGTGTACACACAGCAAGTGTGGGGAAACCCAGCCAGTTGGGCGGGGTATAAGCAATAAATTATTATTATAGTATGTCTCTGAACGCGACAAGCCGGTGCCTCGTATGTGCGCCCTAGGGAAGCCGGGTCTGCGGGGCAAGCAGCTAGTCCCCACTGAGCAAATCCGAGCCTCCAGACCCGACCCACTGGAAGAGGCGCGCGAGCCTTGGAGGAAACCTTCGCCAGCGGAGGAGACGGGCGCGCACGCCTTACCTGCGGAACTCCAAGCGACTTCGCTCCGCTCCGGGACCATCGTCCCCAGCAGGGCTGCCTCGTCCGCGATCTCGAGCCCGGACCGATGCCCGCAGAGGCGCAGGCGGCTCAAGCGCGGCTCAGGCGGGCGCCCCGGCGCTGCATAGCTGCTCCAAGTGCTGAGCGCGCTTCGCCAGTTCCGCTCCTAAGCCGACCAGCCGAGAACTCCTTTCTGCGCTTTTACGCACCCGGCCTTTCAGGCGGCTCGGCTTATTTGCATCTCTCGCCGCGGCGGCCAATGAAGGTCTCCCTTTGGTTCTCTATGCAAATGAGCCTACGCAACTGGAGGGGCGGGAAGCGGAGGGCGGAGCCGGGCTGGGCTTTTCCTTTCCACGCGCGACCGGGAAAGAGCAACTTCAGCCGCTTGGACGTGGCGAGGATCCAAGGAGGCGCGTGTGCCCGGCAGCCTTGACCCTCCTCTTGGCCTTGAAGTGGGTTGGCTCCCACCCAAAGCACCTGTGCGCGCACGGAATGGGAGTCCGGGAGGGCTTCAGGCTTTTTCAGTTATTGCATAAAATTTATATCCTGCTTGATTGCTTAAAAAACCCCCCAAAAAACCCTCAAAGCAGTTTGCATTGTGCTGCCTTGGGGGGAAATCTGCTTTGCTTTCTTCTTCTAGGAACCCCAAGATTTCCACCCAGAGCAGATGCCAAAGGCACACAGTTGGGATTAAAAAGCAAGGTGCCTCTGAGCATATGCGGAGTCTAGGAATTGGGTTTCCTTTCCTTTCGCAGACCAAAAGGGCCACAACAGGTTGGCTCATTTTTGTGGGGTGGGGGCGGGGGAGTTATTTTGTTCTTCCTAATTTTAAACAACTGGGAGTCAGAAATCCTTCCTGATCCACTGTTGGGTTATCCAGAGGTTTACCAGTAGATCCGTCTCCTTTCTTTCATTTCCTGCTCTGCAGATATAACGCTTTGTGTCCTTGGTTAGAGCTTGGTGCTGACAACACCAAAGTTGCAGGTTCGATCCCTATAAGGGAGAGCTGCATATTCCTGCATTGCAGGGGGTTGGACTAGATGACCCTCAAGGTCCCTTCCAACTGTGATTCTATGTGAAATACACTAAAAATTTACTTGGAAGTAAGGTAAAGGTATGGGACGCGGGTGGCGCTGTGGGTAAAACCTCAGCGTCTAGGACTTGCCGATCGCATGGTCGGTGGTTCGAATCCCCGCGGCGGGGTGCGCTCCCATCTTTCGGTCCCAGCGCCTGCCAACCTAGCAGTTCAAAGCACCTCCGGGTGCAAGTAGATAACTAGGGACCGCTTACCCGCGGGAAGGTAAACGGTGTTCCGTGTGCTGCGCTGGATCGCCAGATGCAGCTTGTCACGCTGGCCACATGACCCGGAAGTGTCTGCGGGGAGCGCTGGCTCCCGGCCTATAGAGTGAGATGAGCGCACAACCCTAGAGTCTGGCAAGACTGGCCCGTACGGGCAGGGGTACCTTTACCTTTACCTTAAGGTAAAGGTAAAGGACCCCTGGACAGTTAAGTCCAGTCAAAGGCGGCTATGGGGTGCGATGCTCATCTTGCTTTCAGGCCGAGGGAGCCGGCGTTTGTCCACAGACAGCTTTCTGGGTCATGTGGCCAGCATGACTAAACTGCTTCTGGAGCAACGGAACACCGTGACAGAAACCAGAGCGCACAGAAACACCATGTGGTGTAGTGGTTCAGAGCAGTGGACTCGTAATCTGGTGAACCGGGTTCGATTCCCCACTCCTCCACATGCAGCTGCTGGGTGACCTTGGGCCAGTCACACTTCTCTGAAGTCTCTCAGCCCTACTCACCTCACAGAGTGTTTGTTGTGGGGGAGGAAGGGAAAGGAGATTGTTAGCCGCTTTGAGACTCCTTAGGGTAGTGATAAAGCGGGATATCAAATCCAAACTCTTATTCTTCTTCTTCTTCCCACCGCAGCAGTACCTATTTATCTACTTACACTGGTGTGCTTTCAAACTGCTAGGTTGGCAGGAGCTGGGACAGAGCATCAGGAGCTCACCCCGTAGTGCAGATTTGAACCGCTGACCTTCTGATCAGCAAGCCCAAGAGGCCTGGTGGTTCAGACCACAGCGCCACCTGCTCCTACTTGGAAGTAAACCCCACTGGGACTTAATTCAAAAGAAATATACCTAAGAGTTGACTGCAGATTTAAATACACTGAACCCCACATTGAACATAGCGGGGTTTGCTTCTAAGTAAACTTGCGTAGAATCATGCTGCACTGATGATTTGGGAACAATTTCCGCATAGCTGACTTGTCAATTAGACCTTGTTGATCACAAGGTCTGAGTTTTAGTGGGTCTGAGGTCAATGGCTGCAAAGGACTATTTATAACCAAGTTGGAGTAGATCTACTGAAATCAATGAATCTATAAAGGTAAAGGGACCCCTGACCATTAGGCCCAGTCGCAGACGACTCTGGGGTTGCGGCGCTCATCTTGCTTTACTGGCCAAGGGAGCCGGCCTACAGCTTCCGAGTCATGTGGCCAGCATGACTAAGCTGCTTCTGGTGAACCAAAGCAGCACATGGAAACGCCGTTTACTTTCCCGTCGGAGCGGTACCTATTTATCTACTTGCACTTTGACATGCTTTTGAACTGCTAGGTTGGCAGGAGCAGGGACCAAGCAACGGGAGCTCACCCCGTCTCGGGGATTCAACTTGCCGACCTTCTGATCTGTAAGCCCTAGGCTCTGTGGTTTAGACCACACCACCACCTGCGTCCCGCGAGTACACCTATAATGAATCTATAGGTTTACTCTAAATAGGACTAACCCTGGATACAACCCTAAACCATTTTAAACAAATAATCTTTTTCTCCTCTCTCTTTAAAAAAGTATGACTGAATTAGGGGGCAATGGTTGCCAGTGTGGTGCCTCCAAATGTTGCTAGACTACAACTCCCATAATCCATCACCATTGGTCAGGCTGGCTGGGGCTGATCAGCATTGGAGTCCAGCAACATCTGGGGTGCACCATATTTGCTACCCCTGAATTAGGATACATAAATACTCTGCACTGCCCCCGTCTCTTTTGTCATTTTGCACTACAGCTTGATGCATGTTTACCTGGGATTGACTTCCATGGACATCAGTGGAACTTCTTCCCTATGGGAGAGGACTGTTGTCCTCATATGTTGCTTGTGGGCTTCTTGGGGCATTTGTTTGGGCACAATGGGAAAGAGGATTAGATAGGATTTTGGTCTGTTCCCACTGAGCTCTTAAAGAGCAAAGGCAGATTGCAGGTGTTTTGCACCACATCAAATACAACAGAAGACAAAATCTATCACAATCCAGTAGGAGATGAGAATTTTGTCTGCAAAAGTTTGGTGTCTGCTGATTTCTTAAGAAAGGTGTGCTGGGAAACTGGACAACAGTTTCTCTGTTAAAACTCCAACATTTAATAGTGTGCTTAATCTCAAGTTAGATCTGATTGTTAATTGATTATTATTATTATTATTAACGTTCAGCTTGACACATCCAGAAATATGTAATATTTGGATAAAGAGAACAGGATGGGACAGAAGGAGCAGAGTGATGTTTGGTATTTAGAGGACAAATGAATAACCAAGTTCACAGCTGCCTGGGGTTGTCAAGATGATTCAGGAGCAAAAGGGCTGTTGATGCTTTGGTTAAAAATATAACAAAACCAAAATGGTTCTAGTAAAGGAGAATCTGTTGCCTGTCTGATGTTGTTGGGCTACAAGTCCCATCATCACTGGTTCCAGGTTAAGCTGGCCTGGGTGGATGGGGTTTGAATTTGAAGGTCCCCGCTAGCTGTCCTACAGTAGACCAGATTTAACAGTTCAAAATGTGCAATGCAAGCCTACACGTTTACCCAAACCAGTCTCACTGTGTTCAGTGGGGCTTTCTAAAGGGTATGTAAGTGCATAAAAGTGCAATCCCAACCCTATCTACTCAGAAGTAAGTCCCATTGAATTCACTGGGCTGTACTACCAGGTAAACTGAGTCAGGATTACAGCCTTAATATCTAAAGAAAAGGGTGTGGGAGGCTTAGGGCTGTATCTAATGCTAGTCCTACTCAGAGTACTCTCATCGAAATCCAAGCAAACAATAAGGGATGCTAGAAGAGAATTTGAGGAGCTCATCTCCCTCTTCTGATCATTCCATCAGTGCAAACATTTCTGAAGTATTCATATTCTCCCAATGTCCCCATTGACCAAGGATGCTGCCTGTCTTCTGCTTTCTGTCAGTTTTCTGCTTGTTTGGACTTTTGAAGGAAATTTGAGGAGCGTCTTTTAATAATGTTGTTCATATTCACACTTCTGCTACAGAGACAATTCTTTAAGGTTTCAGGGTTGTACCCAATGCTAATTCCACTTAGAGTAGACCCATTGAGATCAATGAACCCAAGTCATGTTCATTAAAAACATAAGAGGCGGCCTGTAGGATCAGGCCAGAAGCCCACCTAGTTCAACATCCTGTTTTCAGTTTTCACTATGCACTATGTGAAGAAGGACTTAGTTTTCTCTGTCCTGAATCTTCCAACATTTAGCTTCAATTGATGTCCACGAGTTCTAGGGCAATGAGGGAGAAAAACTTTATCCACTTTCTGTATGCTATACATACTTTTACACACTTCTAGCATGTCCTCTCCTACTCACCTTTTTTTTAAAAAAACTAACAAGTCCCAAATGCTGCAACATTTCCTCATAGAAATGTCACACAAACCCCTTTTGGTTGCCATTTTCTGGACCTTTTCCAACTCCACAATATCCTGTTTGATGTGAGGCAACCAGAACTGTACACATAGTTCCAAATGAAGAGTTGTATAACAGCACTGTGACATCAGCAGCTTTCTTTTCAATTCACTTCCTAATTCTTCCTAGCATGAATTTGTCTTTTTCAGAGCTGCTGCACACTGGGTTGACATCTTCATCGAGTTCAAGGTCTCGTTTCTGGTCAGTCACCAAGTTCAAATCCCACGAGCGTATACATGAAATTAATAATTTTTGCCCCAACACCCACTACTTTGCACTGAACTGCATTTGCCATTTTATGGCTCGTTCGCTCAGTTTGGAAAGGTTCCTTTGCAGCTTGTCGCAATCTCTTTTTGTTTACCATATTTTTCGCTCTATTGGACGCACCGGACCATAGGAGGGGGAGAATAGGAAAAACAATTTTTTTCTTGTTCTCCCCCTCTAAGTCAAGGTGCGTTCTGTGCGTTCAAGGTGCGTTCACCCGAAGCCTCCGGAGCCCAGCGGGAGTTCCTGCTGGGCTCCGGAGGCTTTGAGTTCCTTTCAACCTGCTCTTTGGGGCTGGCGGTGGGGAAAGCAGCGCTTCTCCCCACCGCCAGCCTCCAAACCAGGTCGGGGAACAGCGGGAAGGTGGCGCTCCGCCTCCCTGCTGTCCCCCAAGCATGTGGGTCTGGCGGTGGGGAGAAGCGCTGCTTTCCCCACTGCCAGCCTCCAAACCAGGTCAGGTTTGGAGGCTGCTATCCACAAGCCTTGGGAGCCCGGTGGGAACTCCTGCCAGGCTCCCCAGGCTTGCGGATATCTGCCTGAAGCCCGGGGTGCAAGAGGGGTAGGTGCGCACCGACCCCTCTCACTCTCCAGGCTTCAGTGAAATCTCCATAGGATGCACACACATTTCCCCTTCATTTTTGGAGGGGAAAAAGTGCGTCCTATAGAGCGAAAAATACAGTAATTTATCCCGAACGGTTTAGTATCAACAGAAAACTTGGCCACCTCTCTGCTTACCCCTAAACCTAGTTCGTTTATGAACAGATTGAAAAGCACAGGTCCCCATATACTGACCCTTGTGGGGCTCCACTTTCTACACCCCTCCTCCAGGAGAGTGGTCCCTTTATTTCTACTCTGCTTCCTGTTACTTAACCATTTTCTGACCCACAAGAGGATCTCGCCACAAGAGGATTCCTTGACAGCTGAGTTTACTCTGAAGTTTTGGGTGAGGTACTTCATTGAAAGCTTCTTGAAAGTCCAGATACACTGTGTTAACTGGATTACCTCTGACACTCTCAAATAACTAATAGGTTAGTGAGACAGAACTTATCCTTGCAGAAGCCATGCTGGTTGTTTAGCAAGGCTTCTGCTTCTATATGCTCATTTTATCTGTAAAAAACATTTTCCACCAGTTTTCCCGGGACAGATGTTAAGCTAACCAGCCTGTAATTTTCCAGACAATCGTATACCCAGTTTTCTGGAATTAAGTCCCATAGATATGCACAGAAGGGTCATGCTGTTAGCCGGGATCCAACCAAGTGCATTGAGAGTAACCAGACGTCCCCGGTTTCCAGGGACAGTCCCCAAATTTGCAAATCTGTCCCCGGGAAACGTGGCAGCGGCAGCCTCAGCAGCCTGGAAGCACAGTTGGCTCTGGCTGGCTTCAGGAGCTGCTCGCTGCCATGGCGCCCACCATATTTCCTCTCCGGAAGTCCCCATATGATGTGTCTTGTGCGCAACCCATCACATGGGGGCTTGCAGAGAGGAAAAACGGGCACCACGGCAGTGAGCAGCTCCTGAAGCTGGCCAGAGCCAACTGCGCTACCAGGCTGGCTTGGGGCTGCCAACTGCCGCTGCCATCGCCACTGCTGAAGGGGAACCGGGGATGTCCAGCGGTACAGATCTCCTGCCCCCTTTCCCCTTTGATTTGACTGATTGGGTGAGGCTCGGGAGTTGTGGGCAGGCGTTGCCCAGTTTTTAAAAAACTCTGCGCATTTATGTTTCACAGGGCGGGGAAGAAGGGCTTTGCACCTTGCCTGGCAGAGAAACCATGTGCCTTGTGCCCCTCCTGGACAACGGCCACCCACCCGTGACTCCCGAGCCTCCCCTGATCTGTCAAAACAAAGAGGGAAATGGGCAGGAGATCGGGGAAGGCTCAGGAGTCACGGGTGGGCGGTGTGCTGTTGCCCATTTTTTAAAAAACTCTGCGCATTTATGTTTCACAGGGTGCAAAAGAAGGGCTTTGCATGTTTATACAATACAGTGGTACCTTGGGTTACATACGCTTAAAGTTACATACACTTCAGGTTACACACTCCTCTAAGCCAGAAATAGTGCTTCAGGTTAAGAACTTTGCTTCAGGATGAGAACAGAAATCATGCTCCGGCGGCGCAGCAGCAGCGGAAGGCCCCATTAGCTAAAGTGGTGCTTCAGGTTAAGAACAGTTTCAGGTTAAGTATGGACCTCTGGAACGAATTAAGTACTTAACCCGAGGTACCACTGCATGCATGTTCGTTTGGGCCCATGGTATTTTGCCTTATCATCCCCACTACTGACTCCCTGTTGCTACTCAGCTTCAAAAATAAAAAATTGTCCCTGGATTCATTGAAAAAAATCTGGTAAACATAGAGTAAGTTTTGGTAGGAACCTATTCTCATGGGACCCTGCCTTACACCAAGTCCATCTAGCTCACTATTGTTTCCACTGGCTGGCTGTGACTCTCCAGGGTTTCAGGCACAGGGCACTCCCATGCCTACCTGGAGTTGTCAGGGGTTGAACTGGGACCTTCTACATGCAAAGCAGCTGCCCTATCACTGCCCTACAGGCCTTCCTCAGGCAATTGTTTTAGTGCAGGGTGACAATTTCAGGGATTTTGGATGTGAAAATGAGGGCCTTGTGGACAAAAAGGAGTGTCCCCGTTCTCACCTGTGTGGTGTTGGAGGACAAAATTTAAGAAATTATATTGAGGCACCAGCTGTATTACAGCGTAAGATCTCATGGACTATTTATCTGGAAGAGCCCATTCATAATGGCAGCAAGAGCGATAGTTGAAGGGGTGGTTGCTATAAGAAGGAGATACAGTGGTACCTCGGGTTAAATACTTAATTCGTTCTGGAGGTCCGTACTTAACCTGAAACTGTTCTTAACCTGAAGCACCATTTTAGCTAATGGGGCCTCCTGCAGCCGCCACGCTGCCGGAGCACGATTTCTGTTCTCATCCTGAAGCAAAGTTCTTAACCTGAAGCACTATTTCTGGGTTAGAGGAGTCTGTAACCTGAAGCGTATGTAACCTGAAGCATATGTAACCTGAGGTACCACTGTACTGGGATTCAGTTAGGACTTGTGAGGAATTTGATGCATGAGACATTAGTCACCGGAGGAGCTAATCTGCTAATCTGAGCAAGGCATGCTTCAAAAGCAAATGCTAAAGTGTACTCAGTGCGTGTGTTCACTAAGGGCTGGAAACTTGTGCATCTGGTTTGACCACTTGCATGCCCCGGCTGCACAGGAATGTCATCCCATTCCAAAGGATCCAGTCAGACTGGCTTTGAATCGGGACAGGACCAACGCAAAGTACTGGTGGATTCCTTTCCATGCCTTTTCCTCATGCCTTCTGTCTCCACCCCAAGAAGCTGAGGTCAATGTTAACCTTTGGGACTCAATGCCATGGGAACCGTTTGTCCAGCAAATGTCAAAGAGCAGGAGGCTAGAATGGCAAATCTCTCCCCTCCTGCTTCTGTTGAAAGGAAATGTAGGCAACGTATACCTCTGAGCTGAGATTTCACAGGCCTGACCCAGACTCCTGTTCCTGTGGTTTCACAATGAGGGATTTCCTCCTATTTCTTCCTAACACTTTCAATCTTCACCATGAGCCTGTAGGCAATGCTCCAGCTTCCCTTCCAACCATTTTATCTATTATTCTTTTTGCCTGTTCATATAGTAGAGCAAGTCTTTAGTCTTCCGCCCAGTTTATCAACATAACCTGAATCTAGATGTTATCCCAAAGCTACCATGTTTTCATGGAACTGAATTGGCCTATGGCTGCAGTTTTGTGCAGACAGTGGGAAGACACAGCTCACACATTAGAGCAAGGGCACATAACCCTTTTCAGCCCAGGGGTCAAACTCTCTTCTGGGGTACATAAAAGAAATGTACCGGTAACTTTATCTTTGCAAGGTCTGCTGAATTCTATTCACACTCATGAGCCCCTCTGTCCTCCATTCCAACAAGCGAAAGGCATGATCAGACACATTTGTAAGACACGTTTCAGCCAGGTGAGGAAGGTGCGAAGGTGAGCTGCTGAGGCATGTGGCCTGAGCCAGAAAGAGAGGGAGGCTTGAAGGTGCACATTTGGCCATGGGCCTGCAGTTCCCCAGCTCTGCATTACGGATATGGACCCTAGGCTTTGGTTCAACATTCCCAGGCTGTCAGGTCTTGATTCAATGAACTAGTCCCATCCGTGGAAACCTGTGCTAAGGCTACCACTAGTACAGTAGGGCTTCCCCCTTTACCACCCCCATTGGCTCTGGAGGGGGTTCAGCAGAACCCCCATGACAGCATCCAGGGGAAGGAGGGCAGATCATTCCACAAGGCAAGCGGAAACGCTTGCACTGATGGAATAATCTGTTTAGCACTACGTTGAATTCCTTTGCTTTTTTAAGAACTAAAAATATGAAATTCCGCATCAAGGTAATTCTAATTCTGCACACACAAAAAGATGGATTCTGCAATCTGTATATATTATAGAAATTATGAATGGCAGAGGGATAAGGAGCTGTAAAGAGTAGGGCATCAACCCTACAACATTATCTGGGACAGAGCAACTGCATTAGGTTGCATTAAACCAGGAGTGGGAAACCTGTGGCGCTTTGGAAGTGGTTGGACTACAACACCCAGCAGTTCCAAGCAGCAGTGAAGGATTTTGGGAACTGTAGTTCAACAATATATTGGGGGGGGGCCTTCAAATTTCCGATCCCTGCATTGAGCAGAGCAGCAGCCCAAGGGAGGAAGCCTGCCTCAGGGAGCAGATTAATGGTGTATTCAAGGGCAACAAATTTAAAGTTAAAATAAATGTGCTCAGCACCATCTTGGCTGTGAGTCCTGGAATCTTAAGAGTTGGAAGAGACCACAAGGGTCATCGAGCCTAACCCCCTGATATGCAGGAATCTCCAACGTGGGAATTGAACCTACAACCCTAAGATTAAGAGTCTCATGCTCTATAGACGGAGCTATCCGATCTCCAAATACCTGCTTCTTGCCTTGCAACCTGGCCTGGGGCCCTGACTCTCCAGCTACAAAAGCCGAGGCCGTTGAACAGAGTCTTGGGCTGGGTTATTGTTTAGGGTTTTTTGTTGCTGTTATTTATATTATTTTATATTAGTTTTATGATGATTTACGTGGAAATTGCTCGATTTGGTTGTGTGCTTTTTTGAGGTTTTAATTATTCTTTATGACTACTTTTGTACGTCATGTTCTAAGCCACCTTGAGCATGTTTTTAACTATGGCCAATTTGCAGCTGATTGACCAAGACCCTGCCAGCTGATAATCCTTCTTTATCATAGCTGTACCATTGTGGAAGCCTGATCTAATGCAGCAGAATGAAGTGGTAAAATCTTAATAGACTGTACCACAACTTCAAGGGAAGGGGGTTGCCATTTTTGATTGCTTCCTGCAAAGAAAGCAACTAATACGCTGGGAGAAAGGTTCTATCCCAGCATACTTCCCGCTATACTAGTTTACAAAGCTCCCCCCCCCCTTTAAATCACAGGCAAGCATTCCAATAATTGACAACTGAAGGTCACGTCACCTTATTCTACTCCATGTGTGGACCAGGTCTAGTACATATCCTCAGCTTGTTCCAGCTCATATCTTACAGCAGGGAAAAACGTTTGTAGCTTGCTGCTTGCTCACTTACTTAAAACAGGATAAGCCTTGACTCTTCTCCTGACCAAACTTGGGTCTGCTCCCTGCGGCTTAGCCAATAGCACTTCCCCTATTCTGATGGCTGCACAAAGCACTTGCAAAAGCTCATTTAGCCATGGTTTGACTAGCTATTTCAATTCAGGGAAGCACGCTGCAATTGCTTACCAACTATTTCCCACTGCCCAAATGGCAGCAAATATGAGGGCTGGTTATCAGCGGGTTGGTGACTGCTCCTGCAGGGTTGATGTTACATGGTGCCAATGTAGCAACAATAGATAAGCTGGCACTGGCAATTACTTAAGGCATGGTGCTTGGCTACTCTTCCGCTTTCTAGAAAGCTGGTCTGTGATGTGTAAGATATGAAAGCTGGTCTGTGATGTGTAAGATATGAAACAATTAGTATAAAATAAAGGTTTTTCTCTGAATAGTCCCTGCTACCTGTTAGCCAGCCACAGTTGTACGGAGACACATATACATCTCTTTGGATTGGAAATGCAATCAAATGCCCATTCCTGGCTGCCACGTGGTACTTAAAAACCTGTTCTTCCCTACTGGTTGTAGGGCACCAACTGTAATGATGGGTCACTGACCCTTTTGGAGTCTTTCCAGGAGAAGAGCAGTAGATGGTGCATCAGGGATGAGAGGGCAAGTGAGGAATGAAGTCCAGCTCAAAAAGAACAGATCAACCAGAGATATTGTGCTTATTTGTTCAACTGGTCTTTCCCCCGTCTAATACAAAAGCTCAACTCTAACATACGAGACATAGCTTCACTGGATGACTGTTGTCTAAAACAGCCTTCAGTCATGGAACCCCACCAGGCTCCTGAGAATCTCAGATTCCATTTTTAAAATTAAGTTGCTAAAATGGAGATCCTGAAAGGTAAAAAGGGTGAATATAACATGGGGGTGGGGAGATAAAGGAACTCCTCCTTCAATCTTCTTCACAGCGCTCTACGTTTTCTAGTAAGTCTATTACAGGCCTTGCCATCCCTTATGAGGCCTGGCTAAAGGAATGGTTACCAGTTAAGTAGCTTGTGTGTGTGTATCCTCCGCGCATTGCAGTGTATTGCAAATCTATTTGATTACTTTACTCGATCAAGCAAGGCAATATTTACATGATTTATTCTGCTTATAACGATCTTGCAGAATTTGGCATTTCTGGTCAAGGAATTTTAATATCTAATTGGCAGTAAACCAGCACATGGAGTGGGACCAAGGGCACATCCAAGTGTGGCCCCTGTGCACCGTTCAGTTCGAAGAAGCTGATAACCAGTGGCTCCATCTACAAACTCTTGTGGGGGAATCATGGGAGCTGAGCATAAAGGGATCCCTGGAGAAGCAAGGAAAGGCGACCCATGAAAGGGTTTTGTAGGAACAAAAAAGCACATCAGAGGAAGAGGCTTGGATATTTTGCTTTGTTTTCATACTTCAAGTACATCCTCACCTGTTCCTGCTTCATTTTCTCATTCTGCACAGGGAAGTTAATCACCTCTCTCACAGGTGAAACACAAAGGTATTTTTTTGGGGGGGGGGGGGGAGAGAGAAGTAGAGCATAGATCAATACTTTATTTCAGGCACCAAATACCACTTTGAAACCTGTCTTCCTAAAGCAGTAGACTACCTACCCACTTCCCTCCCACCCCTTTTCAAAGCTGCCACTCTGCAGCCTCAGAAAGCAATGCCAAGGGGGCAGGACCTTTAGCAAATCCCAGCCCTTCATGAATTTTGGACACAACATGAAGCTGCAGGAGTAGTTGAGTGCACTGGTGCTGTGCCCCTTGCATGAATGGGGAAGGCAGAAACATTTGTTCACACCAGGATTTGAGAATAAAAAATAAATGGCCACATTAGGTGGATTGTATAACCACAGCAGTAATTAGGAAGACACCACACTCGGAAGAGGCAAGATCTTTCTTTTCTAGGAGTTAATTGACCTTCAGGCCAGCCTGCCAACAGTCTAGGGTCCTCGTGGGACAGGTTCCCCCGCCATTTGCATGGGTCCCAACTGTGGGGTTCAAGATCTACTTTCATCACAGGACAACCTGGGACCTTCCCAACATTGTAGAGTTGTCGCCTACAGCTTCTGAGCTTGTGCCAGAGTCCATTTTGTTACCAACACCTCCTTTCCACGATGCAGCTAAAGGCCTGGGCCCATTCCTAGGAAGTGCTGACATGGAATGACAAGTGGTGTGTTCTCCAACCCCCCGTCCCTCCTCCCCCGCTGCTAGGCACAGGGAGAATAGAAGAGTCAGCAGCGGGAGAGGCCAAGAAAGCCAACAAGCAGAGCGTCGGGGAGACCACATGGCTGGGCAAAAAGTCGGGAGCCTGTGGTGCACTCCCAGATGTCAGGGACCACACGTGAACAAACAGGGACTGACACCCAAGTGGGAAAGAGAAGAGAGGCTGCCACGTGGAGCAAGAAAAAGCAGCCACGGAGGTGGTCCTCCTGCAGATGACCACAGCTGTTCCTCAGAGATGAAGGCGGAGTGATTTCAAATGGTTGCAGGTTTAGGGACCCACTTCACTGAAGACCCTTTTAGAAGCCAGGATGCTAGTGTTAAAAGGGGGCAGGTGAAAGAACCGTTAACACACTGCTTAGCCCCCCAACCCCCTTCATGCTTGAACATTATTATATCCCCAGCTCCCAAGGGTGAGGGAACTTGGTGGGCCCTGCAGTCACACTCTGCTTCCACAGAAGCAGCTGAGCTTCTCTCCGCTCTCCAAAACCCAACCTGAAGAGTCCACCTTCCCACCACCCTATAAGCAAACGGCAACCCTCCCATTCAAAAGTGGGGAGGTCTCACTTAGGATTGGATCATATATATAGATATATTCAGTAATGAAGGAACGGCTGATGAAGGGGGAAGCCCAGCATGCCCCAGTTTGTGCGTGTTCCAGCTCCTTGCAGAGGAGGTCCAGTCCTTCTCTCGCTTCTCCCCCAAGCACATTGGAGGTTGGATGCAAAGAGCCAAAAAATGACGGGGCAAAAGGGCAGCCGAAGGAGCTTTGATCAGCAGCAGCAGAGGAGGGGAGGGGTCCCAGGTATTATCATCCTTCCTGCCAAAACATGCACCTAAGGGGTGTCAGGCGAACACAGGAGATGCAAACGAGTTATCAACTTTTGTCTGAGCCACTGTCTCTGTGCAGGGCACTCTTCTTCATGCTTTCCAAGTACTCCTGTTGTGACACCGCCAGCACTGAAGCCAAGATCTCGTCGTCATCCCAGTCGCTCAAGCCTGGCAGAAGACAAAGGGGTTGAAGCGGTCACAGGTGGAGTCATGGGTCACTCGACTCCCGCCACTAGCCGTTCTCCCACCACCAGCCGTTCTCCCACCACCTCTCACACACAGCCGACCATGCGCAGTCGACTGCATCATAGTTCCATGTCCACCCCATCCTTTGCCACCATAGCCGCTGATGCTCCAGACTGGATGCTTTCACCTTAATGGCCACAATAAGACTCCACAAGGAGTGGCGAAAAAATACTTCATTTCAATGCTCCAAGCATTCCTGTTTGAGTTAGCAGTTTTCAGTTTCTGGCACTCAACCTAGTTCATCTGAAAGCTCTCACCCCTTTTTGTTTTTGTAAATCAAAATCTGAATTTTACACAATTTTGGAATTGCAATTCTTCCCCCCACCTTTTTTTGCTGTACTCACAGGGCTCTATTATCCATGATTCTTTTTATAGCACTTATTTTCCTCCTCCCCACCCACCCTACTGCCCACCATTTCCATAGTGTGAAGACAGGGATGAATTAGGTGGGAAGACCACAAACGGAGGTACATAACCTCCTCCTCCCAAAGAAACCAGCTGACTCCCAAGAGATTGTGCAAGGGCCAGGGAAAACGAGAGAGCTAGTTGCAGTATCTCGTGAAAATCCTGGTAGCTTTGCCCTGAATCTTAGGCAATTTCCAGGGTTTTATTTTTGAAATATGGCAACCTTGCTGAAAACATCAAAATGAAAACAGATCTGAGATGTGTTTCCAGCAGCCCAGAAATCCTCACTTAAAATAACTGCTCAAGCTGACTCCTCTTCTGTCATCTTCCCACAAGGCCTGGCATTTTTAGATTTGCTCAAGCTCAGAACGACAAATTTTGACCTGTCTCCTCTTCATATACACACTAAGCAGTTATATATATTGTGAAAAGCAGCCACTGAATGCAGGGTTCTGTACTGGAAAACTGAAGGAGTCTCCAGCTATAGCATCAGAATGCCTGAAAAGAAAATAAGGTTCTGAATGGCTAAAGAGCCACCTTCCTTAACGCCTGAATGCTTGGCTCAAGGGAGGGCACTTACCAAATGCTGTTGGTGACATCTGCTGCATTATTGCCCGACACTCCAGGGCTGGATACAACGATACTAAGGGAGGGGTTGCTCGGCCACCGCCTGCAGAAAGCTGGCTGCTTGTACCTGGGTAAGGTGTGCAAATTGATGGTAGAATTATTTGCATGCAAAGGGGACATTCATCTCCTAAGGGCCAATTCTCCAACAATGCCCTGCCCCCTGGTATTCCTTTAAAGGCAATTTAAACTTAACAAGTTTGCAGGTGTTTTCCTGTGATGGATAAAAGAATCTGAACTCTGACATGTATATTAGTCTGACCATATTCTGGCATAATTTACGTATTCTCAGGTTGCCCCTTGATAGAAACCAGAGTATATATTGTGGGATGGCCAAAATCTCAGTGTTTTTTTTTATTTTATTTATTTTGTGTGGTTGTTGTTTTTTAAAAAAATTATCTCTCTATCAAACTTTTTTGTATACAGCTGTATAGTAAAAATATCAGTGACTTACAATTATTAGCCAAATGAATATTAGACAGACATATGCACACTCAGAGCCAAAAGATGAAGAAATCCACAGGCAGAACCTCTTGCATTCTTTATTGGTAACTATCCTGCCCCCTTTTTAGGGCCGTGTGGATTTTGTCTGGTATACTAGACATCAATTCAACACCCTGCAACTCTCTGCAATAAAATGATCCAGGGAGTCACCCGAGGCAGAGGGAAAGGTCATTATCCTGCACTAGTGAGTCCTCTAAGTGACTGTGCCACTATTTGGCCTCCTTTAGGCCTGAGAATAGAGGGGCCTCTGTGAGGACTCAAATCCCTCTCTGCTGTGAGAGAAATATTAATCCAGAATTGCAAGTCATCATGATGGAGGGCTACTAACCCCTTGCTCTGCTGGCCTCACCACTTTTCTGTTCTAATAGACCACCTCCCCATACCTTAAGATCTTCCAAATCCAAAACTGACAGGAGGTGAAATCTGTGGATGAATGAATGGGGAATCCCTCCCATTCTCCTGTGGCACCTCAGCAGTAAAACAACCTTTCCAGGTGGGCCTATCTGACTTTCCAAGTTCACTACTAAGTGAAAATTTCCCTCTGCCTCTGGGATATTTGATTCTGTTGTGTTCAGCTTACTTTAAGGATTTTCGCTTCCAACCCTGCAGGCTCATTTATGGCTTCCAACCCATTTACAGCTAGATCTTATCGGTTGGAGAAACACTTTATGCCTGGCTTCTGCTGGATAGGACTGTTATGCATTTTTATTTTACTTACTTCATTTATTTTAAGGGTTGTTTTTAAACACAGTCAGTGTGAACTTCCTCAAGCAATGCAACTGGAAAGGCGCTCCATTTTTAAAAAAAAATTAAGGTAAGGAAAGATAAATATCTTGTCCTTTCCCTCATTCCCCACTTTGGCTGCTGGATAGCTAATCTCCCCTCTCTCCTATCTCTTCAAAATGGCAGTGAGGAAGCAGCTGTGGAGAAATATACCACAGTAGTGCATAATGGCAACTGCACCACAGCCCTTCTGCTCCCCCTTCTAGACTTACAAAGGAGACGCAGCTTCTACAGGACCACAGTGTTTTGAAGCAGAACAGCACTATGAAGACTGGATCAAGACAGAACAGCACTATGGTGTCTACAGGTGTGGTGGAAGCGGCAAACTGCATGACCTTGTCCTGTCACCTGGACAACCAGAAGGAGCTCAGAGAGACCTATGTGGCTTGCAGGTGTTTCGTGTGCAAGAAGAATGTGCCTGACCCCTGGGGAAAAACTCGTTTGATCTGCACATGTCCCAAGTCACAACCAAGCTTGTCTCCCTGTGGCCGCCTCACCCAGCCCCTGCCATAGCTTAAGCCTTCTTGCTCCCCACCCGGAGGAGTCATTCTGCTCCCTGCACTGACCCATGGGGCACTTACCAGGAGCACACGGCGAGGGGGGCTTTGTAAGTGCTAGAGCTGCGGTGCTCCCAGGGGAAGGTGGCTTGGCAGCATTCAGCTCATTGTGCAAGTCGGGGTGCTCTGGGGAAGACGCCGAACTGCGCTGGCGTGGAGAGCGGCCACTCCATTCTTCCAAACCGCTGGCTGCAGCCGCCGTGGCGGAGCTGCAGGTAGCGCTGGCTTTGCAGGGCTGTGGAGAAGGGAAAAGGTAGAGATGCTATTCAGGGCCAACCATCTTGTTGATCAGTTTCCCTGAGCCAGGCCAGTATTACAGCCAGTCTCAACAGAAGGGAAGACTCACTTCCCCATCTCTAGTGATCTCTGAGATGCCCCCAAACCCTCATTTCCCCTTCACACATGGAGGAAATAAACCAAACCTGTCTGGCCTGCTTTTCCTGGTCACGCAGCCACTGCAAATAAGACTCCCTGGCAACCTGCTCCTCAATGGCCTCGTTGGTTGCTTCCCAGTCAGTTGCTCGCTTCTTATCTTCTAACATTTGCTGCTCGATCCATGACTCCTCGGATGTCTTGATTGCGTTCTTCATCAAGGACTGCTCCGCATACTACAGAGAGTGGAGGGAGTTCAGCAAGCCCACTGGAGTCCCAGGCTCAAACCCGCTGCCCAAGTTTGGTTGCATGTTTTGAACAGCAAAAGGAGATAAGCCCTCTCCGTCAGGAAAACAACAACAGGGGCAACTATACTTTAGCACAGTGCTAAGTAAGCCTCCTGGCAGCGCAAGGATTTCCGCTTGCACAGCAGGACTCCTTCCACCCTTCCCCATTTGTTTTAGGAGGCACCCCCAAGCCTGACAAGCAGATATGGGAAAGGTGTGGGATACATGCAGAGGAGAAATCCTTGGGCTGACAGGATATGCTATGGGGATTCTGCCCACAATTGAAATAAAGAAATCTGGGTGAGAGTGGGAGGAACTTGCCCAAAGGTTGTCTTGGAAGAGCACATATCTATTCAATTTTCCCCTAGTAGATAAAGGAAAGGATGAGATTAATTCATCTTAAATGCAGCTGGACAAGCTTTGTCAGATCTGGGGGAGGAAACAGGTGATAGTCTCTTAGCAGCCAGCAGATATCCTTCTCCAGCCTCTTTGAGGTTGGCTTGGAAGTGGCTGGGGAAGGCATCCTACAGCTACTATTCTTTACATGCTTCTTCACCCTGCTCTGCCAGAATCGCCACACGGCCACATCAGAAATGCGATGGTGATTGGCAGGCCCAGCACTCTGGACAAAATGCCCCATCCTGCAGATGGGTGGGTTGATTCAGCCCCACCCTCATTCACCAGATCAAGTTGAGCAATATCTGAGGCCTGAGGGAGAGGACCTCTAGTGCCTTTTGCCAATAGAAAGAGCCACCTGGAGAGGAGAGCAGAGCAGGAGGAGAAGCTGTGAGACGAGCGAGTGGTTGGTTGGGGGACTGTACCTCCTGCTGCCTCCCTGCCAGCAGTGGCGCCACCACTCCCTCCCTGCACCATCATGCCTTCCCCCTCCCCACAGGTGAAGCCAGCACCCTTGCTGCCATCTCCTGCCCCTTGTGGCTAGCACCCAGCACTAGCCATGACTTGGGCATTCACTGCTGCTGGAGGCTTGCCACTTCCTGCTCCTTGACCCTGGTAGCTGCAGCAGCAGCAGCACACTCCTCTTTGGGGCAACCCAGGGGTGAGTAGAGGGGTGTGCTGCCACAGGGGTTGAGGAGCAGGAGGCAGCAAGCAGCTGGTAATGGCGGACACCCAGCTGTGCTGAGTGCTGGGAACTAGGAGACGGTGAGGGGGAGGAGGTGGGGGGAGCTGCACTGGGGATTTTGTCTCTAGCAGCACAATGTCCTGGGCCACTCCTGGCACCATGGAATTTTCTTTTTTAAAAATATATTTTTATTGATTTTTACATGAAATTTCCAAAAAAACCACACAACGTATTTTCTCATCTTATTCAGTGTTTTGGACTTCCATCAACCACATCTGAAGATTTTTCAATCTTTATCAAAGTTCATTTCATTAATTTCACTATTACTTTTAATAGTCCTTCACTAATAGTTCTCTTCATACTTTTCTCTGCAATATTTCACAGTTCTCTTTACAAAACTTCCTGCAATCCCACTAGCGTAATCTGTTGATTACAATTGCTTTTCAGACAGTTCACATATTTACTCCAGTCCTCTGAGAATCTCTGATCCCGCAGGTTTCAAATCCTTCCTGTCATCTTGTCTAATTCTGCATAGTCCAGGCACCATGGAATTTTCAAAGGGTAGCAGCTGAAACAGTCATTGTAGTAGCAGCAGCAACTGGGAACTTCTGACTCACTTGCCTGATTTGCTTTGCAAGGGCATTTTTAAAGCCATGCCCTACCTGCTCTACACCTGGCACCAAACATAACTTCAGGGGTGTGGCAGGTAAAGATGCAGCTGGGCCAAAAGAGGGCTTGCAGGCAGCACCAGCCAGCCAGTTGCCAGTACCCGAGAACAGCCCTGTGCAAAGCCCCATGCTCAACACATAATATTATTCTATTATGTATTATTTTTTGCTTGTTCTCAGTAGCGTTGGAGCCCAGTTATTAGGCAGAAAGGCAGGATATAAACACATGCTGGTCCCACTTTCTGAACACAATGCTTTCCCAGGAAATCATTCGTTAGGCGAGCATTTAAATTATTTCCTATGGGAACATTTCAAATTCATGATTTGTCCAATCTCCCTCCATGGTTTCTTCCTGAAACGGCTGCAACCAATTAACAAAAGCAAGCAAATTCGGAAAGCAAGATTTTCTATTTCAAATTCATGCAACACCACCAAGCTGAGTAGCTGATAACAGCAAGACGAGTTAGAAACCTTTTATAAAAATAAAAATACACAGATCATACTGCAAAGTTACACGATCAGGCACACATCTTAGTCAACTGATTTCTCCCTGCCCTCTCTTTATCCATCAAGCCTTACCTTGCCACATCCCAACTTTTCAACCCCCAGAGGACACCCTGGTAGTGAGGGATACTGAACTCCTCGGCTAAAGGGACCTCCCTTCCCCAAAACCCATCCAGGAAAGACTCACCCCTGGCTTGAAGGAGGGCAGCCCCAGTCCCACACCAATGGTAGCCTTGTTGGGGTTCACCACAGAGTTGTAATGTATGTTGCGGTGATAGCTCACTCGGATGGGCTCATCCTCATTCTGATGGATGCCATGGAAAGTGTTGATGGGCTCTGGAAGGGAAAGATGGCAGCTCAGTGCGAGGTGTAGCATAATCCCTGCCCTTTGCCCAAACATGCTGGATGCCATCACCACGCTTTATAGGGGCAGCTGAGAGGCTGGCATCCCCAGCCCAGGGCTGGCGTGGGCAAGGGTTAGGGGACAGGAAGTAGGAGCCACGCATACCTGTGCCATACTGGTAAACCTCCACAGGTCGATTGTACATCTCTGCCATGGCCTGCATCTCAATATGGTTGCCGTGACAGTTGTTTTTCCGTTTCCGGTTGATGTAAGTGGTGAAATCTTCTGTTACGTAATTGGAAAAGTAATCGGCATTCTTCATCTGCAATGTGAAAGGGCCTCAAGGTTAGAAGGACGGAGAAAGGCTCCCACTTGGGGCAAGAAACAGCATGGGGAGGTGGGAGAGCCTTTCCAGGAAAGGATTCTTGGCACAAACCCATTAGGAGAGCTGAACCTGCAGAGAACAAGGGGCGCCCATGCTGCGTTAGAACGGTTTTGCTCAAGGAGGGTTCCACACATATGGGGCAGTGGTTGAACAACTTAATCATGTTGGGCCATTGGGCATAATGTGTAAAGTGCTCCAACCATGGAATTAGGACATTTAACATTATTACCCCAGTCACATGGAAGCTGTAAACACACGATACACACATGCAGCAGCAGCAGCTTCAGTATAGTTGGAGTAATGCTTAAGAGTCCCCTCAGTGCCAACAGGATTCCACAAGGGAAGGGCCTGCCAAACACCTTTCAAGCAGTTTATGGATGGCTCCCTGAGCTGCAATTTTAAGTGTGGAGATAGACATATACCTATGTGTGTGTATTTATCTGTATAATTTAGAGGTGGTTGGGAGAGGAGGAGAAAGAACAGTGGCTGTAGCATCACTTGTACCATTTCAAAGGAGGGAAGGTATAATATTTTCATAGGAAGAATGTCCTTAGTGCCCAGAAGTAACAAGCTGGAGAAGAAGCGAAAGCCAGGGATTTAGACTGGCAAGACTCTGTTCTTTATTGGCTGCCTGTGTTCACAGAATACAGAATGCCTGCTACACACAGTCCTGAAGGTCAGGCTTAGAGGTGGAGGCAGAAGCCCACCCTCCTCTAGATTCCTGCTGTAACTCACCAAGTAGTCCATACAGTGCTTCCTGACCACTTCATGCATGTCTTGGTCACCATATACCTGGTCAGCTGCAAAAAGAAATGAGAGCTCATCACTGACCCAACCCAACAAACGCTTACCTTATAAGCAGAAAAGAGAGACAGGTTTGGAAGCACCTAGTTTTCCTTGCATGTAGCACAGCTTCATAACTGAAGTTGCTGATTTGCACCAAGTGAACCCCAGATCAGTTTCTTATTCCTCCAGTACTCAAAAACCCTGGGATGGTCCCACTGAGTGCTGTCTTCAGCATTCCAAGGGAGGCGTGTGTGGCTTTCCTCTCGTCTGCAAGCTGTGCATCATGGTTCTCTTCCCCCACAGTACAACAAACCAAGCAGATATAAGTGCTGAAGGTGGCCTTTCCCCCGACCCCCCAGCTCCAAACCCAAAGACAGCAATCAACATTTGGCTCCCAAGCTGCAGACACTTCTTGGGCACCCTTAAATCTTCTAGCTGGGGTTAGCTTCTTTAGTATTTCTCATTGCCTATTCTGATTTCCAGCCACCAAATGTGCCAGATGTAGAGTTGGCGAGAGCACCCTTTAATCCTCTTGCTTTGAAAGGCTTTCTTTTGGTCCTCCTTTTTTGTAGCCTTGTACCATTTTGCTTGCTGTTGATTTATGGCAGTTGATTGCACTCTACTGAATATTTTGTTCTTTTAATACTGCCGTTTACTGCTGTTTGGGGCCTTTTGGCTAAAAAGCACCATATAATTAATTATAATTTGGAAGCATGTAACCCTGATATCATGTGTCACCCAGAGGGACCTGACTGATCACATATTTAGGGTCAGGAAAGAAAAACCTCCCCACAGGACAGATTTTGGTTAGTAGTTGAGGCTAAGGCTTGTGGCTGCAACACACCTACTCAGCCTGCGAGTACAGTGTTACCTGAACTATGAGGACCTGCCCTCTTGACACTGATAGGTCAGATGAGTTCTCAAGCAGAAGCCAAAACAAGGACTTCTGCTGGGTCAACAGGGCTATTCACACCATTGCCTGCTATTGCACCCATACCCCCAAATTGGCTCTGGGGGCTTGGGAGAACCATCAGAACAGCACACCGGGGGGGGGGGGGGGTTTGGGGATTGTTCCATGTGGGAAGCTGAAATGCTTTTGTTGATGGAACATTTGACATAGTGCTACCTTAAATTCCTCCAAGAGTCATTTATTCCATTAGAAAAACATTTTAATGCTATTTTATCTGGTTTACAGCTGGAAAAGTAGTGGGCCTATTATTTCTCCTTTTTCTCTCTCCCCTGATTTTTTGTTTGGTGCTATTTCTGCAACACACACACACACACAGCTCGTTTCTGCACAGGCTGGGTCACCAAAAGCTTTAGTTGAGTAATCTAACAATTAAAACCGATTGAAACTGGGAGCCACAGTTCCATTATTTGTCAGCTAATCCACAACAAGGCAGCTAATGAAACTGATCAGAGCCAGTACTGAAACTGACAGATGCGCTGAAAAGTCAGATCTTACAGATTTTTCAACATCACAAAAACTCTTTGCAGATGTGCAACCATTTCCAGGGGCAAGTGTAGAAAAACAACCAGATGCCAGCTCTGGGAGCATCAGAGAAGCAAAGGTTGCAGCAAAGTGGATTACCTTGGAAGGCAAAGTAGCTGAGGGGTGGTCACAGATATCTGAAACCAATTACTGAAAAGTGCCAAAATCCCTTGCTATTTTGAGTTGCCTATATGGTCTCTACTTCAAAATACTGCTGTTAACTGAAAAGAAGTTAGGATTCAATATGCAGCACCCACAGGGATCCCGAAGCAACACCATATTCAGACTCTAAGAGATTCAAGTCTCAATTCTCATTAAGGCATAACAAACTGAAATCAGTAAGTTGGCTTCGCGTGGTTCAAACTTATCCATGGCTCTGGGGCAGTCAGATCAAAAGAAAATAACGTAAGGGTCAGGAAGAAGAGGAGAGAACAGCCTCCCGAGTTTAGAAAGGACTGGGATGGGCCAGTTCAGGAAGCAGCTGGGAGAGGGGTCACTGTGCAAAAAACGAGAAAACTTAGTGAAAAAGCAGTTTCAACAGCATTTGTGGCAAGTATAGAGAATTCCAGTCATAATCAGGGGACCTGGTTTATAAAGCTCAGCAACAAAGAAATCCAAATGACTCTACTGAGCTACATGCCATGTCCTGAATCTCCCACCCAGCCCAATCAACTTACACTGAGGGAGGCGGAGAGAAGAAGCTATCCTGGGATGCTTGTCAGCAGCCCTTACCTGGGAAGAGTGTTTTGGGGAGGCACATTCCTGATGTGGAGCCAGTGGTGGCAGAGACAGGAGAATGAGGCTCAGATCATCACCACACTCAAAGGTGAGAGTAGAAGAGAAATGCCAGGAAGAAAAGAGACCTGTGACAACCACACAGGACCACAAGGTCAAGAGATAGCATATGGGAAAAAGTTTCTAAGCCCAAGAGTAGCAAGTGCTTTGTACATAGCGAAGCGTCTTGGGATGATGCCTCTGCTGCTTCTCCAAACACAGCAACTTTCTCCTGCTTCTCTTCTCTTACACTTTCCAGCAATCATTTCCCCTCCCTCTTCCCCTTGCTTCCCTTCCCATGCCTGCTTTTTTCCTACTTCTTCTCTCATATTCCGCCCTTTGAACCTTCCCTCCTGCCTCCACAGCCTGTTCGCAACCACTGCTACCACCTAAGCTTCAGGAATTGGAAAGACGTTCTTGCACCCTCGGTGCATCAAACACTAGGGCTTCTCTTTTCTGAGCCAAACAGGAGCCACAAAGACTCCACAGGCCACCCATAAAACAAACAGCAACAATACCCCCAAGCCAAACTGGGGTCCGTAAGAACTGTAGCTATAAAAGCTCCAGTGTGGGGAGTAATGGTGGCTGTTTTTGCATCACCATATCTTGGTGCCAGAGGTGACAAACTCCAGCAGCACCCTCCAAAACTATAATAAGACAATAGCACAAGCCCCATTTAAATCCTCTTGTGCCACTCCTATTCCTTCTGGGGATTGTGCACAGAGTACATTGTGCTCCAACAGTCAAATCCATTTGACTTGTGCCCAGCTGCCTTTAATGGCATCCCAATGCACCCGCTTCACCTTGCCTTGCGAGACATCCATATGATGGAATGGCAGTGGCCCTTAACTTTCTTAACCTTCCCAGTTAAGTAGTAGATTTGTAATACTGAAAGCCTACACGGCATGAAGAGAAGATCCATGCCTGCCTCAAGGCACCATGGAATTAGCAGGTAAGAAGAAGGTGGCTTGCCTTGTATGGCAGCCCTTGTATGTACCCATGAACAGCAGGATGTTGAAAATGGCACATGGGACGGTGTAAGGGTGGGGACCCCAGCATCACTCATCAAACACAAACAGATCACCTTCTAAACATTGCGCTAGTAATTTCATGGCATTTCCTATAACAGTGCAAGGGGGTGAAGAGGCAGTTCCCTATCTGTACGTGATAGCAATAGGACACTGCCTTCTGAAGCTAATTTTCTAGGCCCCTCAAGGTAGCAGCAGGAAAGCAAGACAGACAGATGAGGACGGGTCAACAGCTTTTTGGCGGGCTGTGCAATGCATCAAGGGAGTATGTGACTCATCTCTAACCTCTATGTAAACAAGGATGTGGTTTCTGGTGTGGGGAAGTAGAGCTGGCAGTTCCAGCAAGTCACATGGGCATCGGCTTTTCTACGAAACTTCTGTTGTGGTCACCACCCCAAGCCCCATTTTTGTTGATGATCTGTGCACGTGCACAGAGGCCCGCTCAGTAAAGACACAAACAGAAACGAAAGCCCTAGTCCATGCTCCAAAACATACCCCAGGAAGAATTAGGGCCATGATAAAACTTTGGTAGGAAATGGGAGGCTACAGTTGCATACAGTTTTTTTCTCCGTTAAGGAAGGTTTATGTTGCATGCTTATTGTGCTTGTTTTGTTTTAACTTGCATTTTCAGTTTTTAGTACTATAAAGTGGAACCTCGCGTTACGTACCGCCCTCTTTACGAATGCTTCAATTTACGAGCTCTGCTAACCTGGAAGTAGATGCCCCTTGTTGCGAACTTTGCCCCGGGATGTGAGTGGAAGTTGTGCGCTGCCAGCGCAGCAGGAGCAGGAGGCGCCATTAGCGAAAGCGCACCTCATGTTAAGAACGGTTCCGGGTTACAAATGGACCTCTGGAACGAATTAAGTTTGTAACCGGAGGTACCACTGTACTCTGTTTTGTTTTTTGTGAGACACCTTGAGAATACCTGACTCCCAGCCTGTATTTCAGGCTGATAATTTTTATTCTTAGAACAAAGCTATAAAACATACGATGGCTTTCCACAGCCTCCTTCCTCAAGATCTGGAGGGAGGGTAAGGGTGACAGGAAACCTTTTTTCTTTTTAGTGTAACATTTCAGGGCCTGATGGTCACATCTTAAAAAGTAGGTAATAGCAAAATTGCTAAAGAGGAGAAACACAGAAACAAAAGCAGCCCCGATTCATTTCATTTCATTGTTCAGCTTTTACATGACTTCTAAGAACACCTACTGAAATTATTCAAAAGCTGACATAAGATTGGGTGTTTGAGGGCAAACTTTCTGAGTTCACATACTATGTGAGGCACAAGTGGAACACAACACCAAGCACAACTACAAAGACAGGCAAACAAGGCTCGCTGTATGTATCTAAAATGTCTCTCTGACCCAGGGACTTGCCAGTAAAGCAAGACATGAGCATCGCTGAAACTCCTGGCTGATTATGCCTCATACAGTTTCAATCTCAAAGCAGTTCAAATTCGCAGAATTTCCGAGGTATCGCTGCTGGTTAATAACTCACATAAAAGTGTCAACAATAACCTCAAAGCGTTTCTGTGAAAAGTTCAAAACATGGTGCTTCTTTTCTGCTGCCTTTTTATAGGATGGGAAGTGGTTCTGCTGCAAATGACCCTCTTCACGCTTTTCACCTTTGGCAAGCCTGTAAGCCAGTGAATCTTGAACAGCTTATTCAGGACACCTGGCACCAGCAATGAGTTTTGCATGGTGGGTTTTTGCTCTCATGCAAAATCAGCTGTCTCATAGATAAGCCCTCTGCCATTGGCCTAACTAACCTGATGTCACAGCCAGTGATAATGAGCAACTGCAAGTCTGGGCAATTTTGCTTCAACCATTGGCCCAAGTTAAATATATTTATGCCAAAAGATTTTGAAAGCTGGCTCACATCAGCGGAATGGTCTCTAAAAACAGCCAGCTTCCGTTTTGGAGGCATTACTACAATCACTTCCTCTGTATCTGCTCTTCAGAGGTGAGTTTCAGTGTTCTTGTAGCCAAAAAAGCACCACCGAGGCACAAGGCGCAGGTATCAGCCGGTCTGGGGAAACCCCAAAGGCAAAACAGAATGATTTTACTGCAGGACTTGAATCACATTTGAAGATGGAAAGAGGCTGTAATATTTCCCCACATAATTTTAAAATATTTCCAGTATTTTAAGTGTGATAGTGCATCTTTTAAACGTACGTAGGTGGGGTAAATCCCATCTAAGGTCCCGTGAACGGGGGGTGGGTGGGTTAAAATCTCATTATCTGAAGAGAAAGCTAAGAACTATGGGTGTATTTTTGCTGCTGCTACTTGGTAGCTTTACTGTTTGAGATTTTTTTAAATGATTAATGTCTATGTGATATTCTTCTTAGTGCAGTGTTGTTACTATATATATACCTTCCTGGGACCTTCCTGGTAAAAGGTGGATTTAATAGATAAACACTTAATGAATAAATATATGCCTGGACAAAAAGGAAGCCACTACAGGTTAGGAATAACCTGTAACTATAAAACATTTCAAAACAATGCGCATTGCAGTGGAGTAGGGGGTGCCTATCAGAATTAGAAAAGAGAGGAACTGGTCTGGAATAGTCACAATAAAGGAATGAGGCAATCCAAGCCAAGGTTGCTACTGGATTGTTAACAAGATGGAGATGGCCAAAAACCAAACCAAACCAAATGAGAAAAAGAAAAAAAAGAAAAAAAGGGAAAGCGGTAGGTAAAGGCTGTGTGTCTGCAGTTTGGCACATAGATGGGCTGGTGGAGAAACGCAGGACAGATTACTGCAGCAACTGGCTGCAATCATTCCTTTCCTGAAAATCCAGCTCTCTCTGAATGATTTTCAAAAACTACTTCAAGGACAAAGTTGCACTTTTCCAGATATTTCTGTTTATCCAAGCCCCTGCCAAACCCCCAAGTCAGATGGTCAAGTTCTTCACACATTCACGTATCTCCAGTCAAAGGGACTCAGGAAGCAGAGTCTTTGCCCCTGGCAACAAAGACACAGTTCTAGGCTAGATAAGGGGCTCACTCCATATAAAGCATCTTTGTTGCACACACACAAACCCTGGTGAAAACTCTATAATTGCGGAAGGAACTTTGCAATGGCAAAAGTGCTACAGGCTTTGACTGAACTGTCCAGTCATGCTTCCATACCTATCACACCACAGCGCCATAGAATCATAGAGTTGGAAGAGACCACAAGGGCCATCGAGTCCAACCCCCTGCCAAGCAGGAAACACCATCAGAGCACTCCTGACATATGGTTGTCAAGCCTCTGCTTAAAGACCTCCAAAGAAGGAGACTCCACCACACTCCTTGGCAGCAAATTCCACTGTCGAACAGCTCTTACTGTCAGGAAGTTCTTCCTAATGTTTAGGTGGAATCTTCTTTCTTGTAGTTTGGATCCATTGCTCCGTGTCCGCTTCTCTGGAGCAGCAGAAAACAACCTTTCTCCCTCCTCTATGTGACATCCTTTTATATATTTGAACATGGCTATCATATCACCCCTTGACCTCCTCTTCTCCAGGCTAAACATGCCCAGCTCCCTGAGCCGTTCCTCATAAGGCATCGTTTCCAGGCCTTTGACCATTTTGGTTGCCCTCCTCTGGACACGTTCCAGTTTGTCAGTGTCCTTCTTGAACTGTGGTGCCCAGAACTGGACACAGTACTCCAGGTGAGGTCTGACCAGAGCAGAATACAGTGGCACTATTACTTCCCTTGATCTAGATGCTATACTCCTATTGATGCAGCCCAGAATTGCATTGGCTTTTTTAGCTGCTGCGTCACACTGTTGGCTCATGTCAAGTTTGTGGTCAACCAAGACTCCTAGATCCTTTTCACATGTACTGCTCTCAAGCCAGGTGTCCCCATCTTGTATTTGTGCCTCTCATTTTTTTTGCCCAAGTGCAATACTTTACATTTCTCCCTGTTAAAATTCATCTTGTTTGTTTTGGCCCAGTTCTCTAATCTGTCAAGGTCATTTTGAAGTGTGATCCTGTCCTTTGGGGTGTTAGCCACCCCTCCCAGTTTGGTGTCATCTGCAAATTTGATCAGGATGCCCTTGAGTCCATCATCCAAGTCGTTGATAAAGATGTTGAATAAGACCGGGCCCAAGACAGAACCCTGTGGCACCCACTAGTCACTCTTCTCCAGGATGAAGAGGAACCATTGATGAGCACCCTTTGGGTTCGGTCAGTCAGCCAGTTACAAATCCACTGAGTGGTAGCATAGTCAAGACCGCATTTTACCAGCTTCTTTACAAGAATATCATGGGGCACCTTGTCAAATGCCTTGCTGAAATCAAGGTAGGCTACATCCACTGTGTTCCCTTCATCTACCAGGCTTGTAATTCTGTCAAAAACGAGATCAGGTTAGTCTGACATGACTTATTTTTCAGAAATCCATGCTGACTATTGGTGATCACAGCATTCCTTTCTAGGTGCTCACAGACTGTTTGCTTAATGATCTGCTCCAGAATCTTCGCTGGTATTGATGTCAGACTGACTGGGCGGTAATTATTTGGGTCCTCTCTTTTCCCCTTTTTGAAAATAGGGACAACATTTGCCCTCCTCCAGTCTGCCGGGACTTCGCCTGTTCTCCAGGAATTCTCAAAGATGACTGCCAGTGGTTCTGAGATCACATCTGCCAGTTCTTTTAATACTCTTGGATGCAGTTCATCTGGCCCTGGAGACCACCTGCGTCTAAACCACTGAGCCTCCTGGGCTTGCCAATCAGAGGGTCGGCGGTTCAAATCTGCACTATAGGGTGAGCTCCTGTTGCTCTGTCCCAGCTCCTGCCAACCTAGCAGTTCGAAAGCACACCAGTGCAAGTAGATAAATAGTTACCACTGCAGTGGGAAGGTAAACAGCATTTCCATGCACTCTGACTTCCATCACGGTGTCCCGCTGCACCAGAAGCAGTTTAGTCATGCTGGCCACACGACCTGGAAAAGCTGTTTGTGGACAAACGCTGGTTCCCTCGGCCTGAAAGTGAGATGAGTACCGAATCCCATAGTCGCCTTTGACTGGACTTAACTGTCCAGGGGTCCTTTACCTTACCTACCTATCATAATCTTAATTAGTTCTTCGTTTTCCCCCAACCCACTACCAAAACCAACACTCAACCCCTTTATCAGACCCAACACTCTTACAGTAGCCTAGTAAACGCTTTGGGCATACCTGCAACAATGTTGGGAGCAAACCACTTCTGACATCTACAAGAGCCAGAAGATACCACCCACACAAAGTAAGAAATTATGATGAAAAGAAAACAAGAGGCGAGTCGGAGCATTTTGAAGAATACTTTTAAAAAGAGTGGTATTAAGGTTAAATGGCAAGTGGGATAAGTCTATGAGCAGCAGTAGACAAGACAAAGGAATGGGAAAGGGAGATAATAAAGGGGAGAAGAAACATTAGGAGATTTAGCAAACTAAGAATATGAAATAGGATGCCAACAGAAGATAAGCTGGGAAGTCTATATAAAACTAAGCTAAGATATGAATGGATGTAATATGTAAAATGTAAAAATAAGAAGATGCCACCCCCACAAGTCCAACTCATGCCTTTTCATAACATATCCTCTGGTGTGGTGGTTGTTAATGCAGTGCCAGTGTGCCCTGCCCATCAGTAGGACACCTGCAAAAGGACTCAGTAAATGCACCCTCAAAAATTCACAATGAACAAGTGACTGTTTGCCCTTCTGTTTGGACTGGTTCGGCTTCTCTTATACAGTGGTACCTCAGGTTAAGTACTCAATTCATTCCGGAGGTCCGTTCTTAACCTGAAACTGTTCTTAACCTGAAGAACCACTTTAGCTAATGGGGCCTCCTGCTGCTGCCGTGCCGCCAGGGCACGATTTCTGTTCTCATCCTGAAGCAAAGTTCTTAATCTGAGGTACTATTTCTGGTTCTGTAACCTGAAGCATATGTAACCTGAAGCGTATGTAACCCGAGGTACCACTGTACTGAACAAGTCCCCTTTAACATGCCCACATTTCGTTGGATGCCAGGACTGGGTACCTGCCCTCCATTCTGTTCTGAACAAGAAGAGAAGTGCAAAGAGCTTCTTTATGTGAGCAAGGAGGCCCAAAAAGGTTGCCAATGGCAACCCCTGTGGCAGTATGTATCCATGGCTGGGGGAAGCAGCCACCACCTCCATCTGTATTCACCTCAAAACAGCAACAATGCTTTTTAATAAGTCTCCCTAAGGTAGTATATTGTAAGGGGCTGGACTAGACAAGCCTCACGGTCTCTTCCATTTCTGCATTTCTATGTAAGGTAAAGTAAAGGTACCCCTGCCCATACGGGCCAGTCTTGACAGACTCTAGGGTTGTGCGCTCATCTCACTCTATAGGCTGGGAGCCAGCGCTGTCCGCAGACACTTCCGGGTCATGTGGCCAGCGTGACAAGCTGCATCTGGTGAGCCAGCGCAGCACACGGAACGCCGTTTACCTTCCCACTAGTAAGCGGTCCCTATTATCTACTTGCACCCGGGGGTGCTTTCGAACTGCTAGGTTGGCAGGCGCTGGGACCGAGTGACGGGAGCGCACCCCGCCGCGGGGATTCGAACCGCCAACCTTTCGATCAGCAAGTCCTAGGCGCTGAGGCTTTTACCCACAGCGCCACCCGCGTCCCTCATTTCTATGTAGGCATCCCCTTTTTCTTTAGCTCTGAGCTTCTGCGATTTGATATAGCAATGTTACGATAGAATGAGGACAGCTAGTGGCAGAATTTATAGAAAATACGCTGACCATTTCCGTGAAAGTGTATAGAAAGACAACATAAGCGTTAACCACATTTTGTATCTTTTTCACACAGCAGAATTTCGCAATTGCCTTTCCTCCTCCCACAACCTTTACAGACCTATCCCCCCCTTGTTTTTTTGTCTGATTTCAAGGTTACAAATTTTGCAACACCCAGCTAAGAATGACGTCCAATCCAGCAGATTTCTGCCAGTTTGCCTAGCGCAGTGGTTTTCAAAACTTGTTCCAAGGAACCCTGGATTCCTTGGAAGCATATAAGCAGTGAGAAGATCAGTAAGGGTGGACATGCTCTACAAAACAGCTTCATCACCATTTCAAATCCAATCACCCCTCTTTCAAAGTTTTAGCACCAAAACACGGAGCTTCTTGGATCCTGGATGCTACTCAAAGCTAAGCAGACTTCAGACTTGCAGGTTCTACCTTGGTTTTTTTACCAGGTCCCCCAGATGGAGGCTGGTACAAAAGATATGCCCTTAAAACTTAACAATTATGAGCCCATGACCCACAGGAATCTTCCTTCTCCTAACCCCTTGCATTATACATGGCCTAAGACTCAAAGACCTTGGTAATGCCCAATGGGATTTTTTGTTACACATTTTTCTTCGGTCAGCTAACTCCCATGCTATATACCACAATCTGCTTCTCAGAGACCCAACACATTTCAAAAGTGGTTTGCCTTATTGCAGAGGGGGAGGTTTCGCTTTGTTTCGAAAAACACAAATTTAAACTGCCTTGGACACATAGAACTCACTGCACACTTCTTTGCATCCTGGCTCTTGAATTCTGTGCTAAAAACCCACCAAGTTGGACAAATGCAGAAGTCTGAGAGTTCCACACGTATCTTACACTGAAAACCTGAGTTGCAAGGAGTTTGTCAGAAGTTAATACTCAGCAGTAAGGATTTCCTGTTTTTGTCAAAAAGTCATTGATTAAAAAAAAATCCATCATGCTTTCCACTTGCACCCTGCTCCACCCACCAGTTCTGGCAGCTCCTGTTGCATGTTTTCCTTTGTTCGTGTGTATTCTTAAGCAAAGCCGTGTTTCTGTTCCTCCTACAGCTGAGGAGAAAGGCCCATTCCAGAGAGAGTAAACGAAACCGAATCATGACAAGGAAACTGAAGAGCAGCCTTTGAAAAACGAAATCAAAGGAAAATCATAGATTGTGCCCATGATCTCTTCCGCTACTGTAATGGTTTCAGGCCCATTTCCAGGACAAGAGGCCAGAGGTCGTTATGTATGTGAAATAAAAGTAGTTCCATGCTCTGGAAGACTCCAATCCATCACAGAAGATGGGGTGGGAAATGGGGTGTGCATGTTGAGTTATAGCCAATAGTTTTACTCAGAGTAAACCTACTGAACTCTTGCCAACTTAACAGTTCAAAAGCACGTCAAAGTGCAAGTAGATAAATAGGTACCACTCCGGCGGGAAGGTAAACGGCGTTTCTGTGTGCTGCTCTGGTTCGCCAGAAGCGGCTTAGTTATGCTGGCCACATGGCCCGGAAGCTGTACGCCGGCTCCCCTGGCCAATAAAGCGAGATGAGCGCTGCAACCCCAGAGTCGGTCATGACTGGACCTAATGGTCAGGGGTCCCTTTACCTTTTTAAACCTACTAAAATTAATGGACCTAACTCAGCCATGTTTATTAATTTATTCGGTCTACTCTGAGTAAAAATGTGGTTGACTACCAGCCCCAGGCAGCAAGTTTTAAAGTGACAAGGGTTTTGTTGAGATCTTCAGTAGAGCAGTGTCATGCATGAGTTGGGCTGAGCAGCTACAGCTATCCTCCTTCCCCCTCATTTCCCTACCAGCTTTCACCTTACAACTGTTTTCCCCCAGCATTTAGAAACTAACACCTTCTTGAGACTCTCTCTCCTTTTGAAAAACAAAGTGAGTCACCCAATCGAGTACGGAGGTCCTCAGACCCAGTCACGAAACATTAGAATGGTGCCACACTGAAGAACAGTAGGGGGAAACCTGCACATATTTTGATAGAAACTGAAACTGTAGGTAACTTTTTAAAAAACCCAGTTCTTTGAAAGTGGAATTCCCAGTGGTATTTCCCACGCTCAACTGCAAAATGGCATTAGCCTCTTATAAAGGACATTTATAAAAGCATTTATAAACCCTTTAATATTAAAAAAAACTATCTCTAAGTAATTCTACCTGTTTAAATGAACCTGCTGTTAGTCACCCTGAGCAACTCTGGAAGGGTGGGGCAGAACATTCTAGTAGGCAATGGGCTAAGTTGCAACTAAGACTGGGGGGCAATCACACTCCCCAATGGGCACGGCGTAATGTGAACAGGTGGCCTTCTGCCCCACTACAAGAATTTGGGTAAAGATACAGGTGAGCTTTTACTAACAGTGAGGTGTTGGTGCTACTTTGACTATCATTATTTACAGCTAGTGCTGTGCAGCTTGAACCTCTGAGCTCAGCAGTGTAAGTCACTTTGGGTTGGACAAGATAAAGCCAATAGCAAATGTAATAAGTAACAACAACAACAAACCAACTCCAAAGCACACATACAAGTTGATCCCATGCTCTGGAATCAACCTTTTAAAGTTGTGCAGACCGTTGAATTGACTAAGCAGCTGAGTTATGGTTTTGGGTACAACTGGCAATGTTGGCTTGCATTTTTGCTTGGGGAAAAAACCCCCATGAGGAATATGTAACTAATACATACCTCATCTGTTTTGACAGCATAAATTTGGCCAAGCCCAAGCAGTAACCTTACAGCTCCTCTGTTCCTTGCATAAACCCCACAAACACAAGGAAGATGGGTCGGGATACATGCTAGGCAGCATATAATGGAGAAACAGACAAAGGCAGTAACAGGACAAGGAAAGCTTGCTAGCAGAGCCTGGCATCACCCACTCATGGCAACCAAGTATGAGAGATTGTGCAGATTCACTGAAAGAGAGCCTATAGAGTTTAGAATTCCATTTTTCACAGTGGTCTGCCAGATGTCTCTGGGAAATCTACAAGCAGGACAGGAGGGCAAATAGTTCTCCTCTCCTGCTGTTGTTCCCCAGTCTGAACCTGGAGGCAGAATATGGCCATCATGACTAGTAGCCACTGATAGTCTTATCCTGAAACAGTTCCTTGGCTTTAAACATTTTCTTAAAGTCCAGAGTAAGTTTCCTGCCCTCGGTGTACCCCATCACTTGTTTCAGACAAGCTACTAAACATGTTCCACGCATTTAATATGATGGCTCGTCATACTTTACCTCGGTAAACCCCACAGCAGTCCTGTGAGATAAAGACACTTACTGCTCCCATATTACATAGACTGGAGGTTGGGTGAGGGGAGGTGTGTCTAAGGAACCACCACAATTTTGTTACTGTGCCACAAACACAAAGGGTTTGCTCTGCCAGTGGAACTCTATTCGTGCAACAGGACTTCTCCTCCCTCTCCTGTGCACCCACAAAAAACTGAAGGGTCCCCCAACCCTCTAGGGCTGACTGAGGAGGGAAGAGTTTCATTCGGCAAGCAGAAGTCTCTTGTGTGCCTGGAACAGACACAGGAGCATTACATGATCTCCCTCAACAGTGTCAACAATCTGAAGGACCACCTTGCCATTAGGAGAGTAGAAGAGAAACAGCTTGGAGAGCTGCTACCCTTCAGCTGTCAGTGGTGGTCCCTCCTTCTGGGAGGGCCATCCTGCTTTGAGGGGAGTACAGTGGTACCTCGGGTTACATACGCTTCAGGTTACAGACTCCGCCAACCCAGAAATAGTACCTCGGGTTAAGAACTTTGCTTCAGGACGAGAACAGAAATCGTGCTCCGGTGGTGTGGCGGCAGCAGGAGGCCCCATTAGCTTAAGTGGTCTTCAGGTTAAGAACAGTTTCAGGTTAAGAACAGACTTCCAGAATGAATTAAGTACTTAACCCAAGGTACCATTGTACTTAATTCGTTCCAGAGGTCCATTCTTAACCTGAAACTGTTCTTAACCGGAAGCACCACTTTAGCTAATGAGGCCTCCCGCTGCTGCTGCTGCGCCGCCGCTGCACGATTTTTGTTCTCATCCTGAAGCAAAGTTCCTGAGGTACTATTTCTGGGTTAGCGGAGTCTGTAACCTGAAGCGTATGTAACCCAAGGTACCACTGTAGAAGGGAAGGAAATGGCCTGCTGTTCACCTCCCAGTGGGACTCGCCTCCCTCCTCTCTCACCCCAGGGCTTCTATAGAACCATCTTATGATTACAGCTTTGTCTAAAGAAACATTACGTTTCCCCCCATTTTATTGCAACTTAAAATAACCAAAAAACCAATGAGTTGTAGTCAGCCAAGTCCTACTTAGAGTAGACCTACTGAAATCAATGAACTTGTGTCCATTAACTTCAGTGAATAGGGCGAGCATGGCATACCACCCAAAGCTTACTGGTGTAATCTTATGAAAACCGCTTTGAGGGGGTCTGCTTGAAAAGTGGCATAGAAATACCCTAAATAAATGGCCATAGTGAATCCACAACAGGGGTGAGGCTTCAGAGATCACTCTCTTAAATCACACTCGAACCTAGATCTCCCCAGCTCTCGGTTCTATGCCAGCACATCAACTTCCTCTTTTCATTTAATCTCATTTCCAAAGAAAGGACAAGAGAAACCACAGAGCCTGTTGTGAAGACTTTGCCTCTGGTTGGATGTTCCTTTTCGACAGGAAAAAAAGACGAGCGCAAGAGAAGGGTGGAAGTGACGGCAAAACTGTCAATGGAAACAGTCAAGTTAAATGAGAACACTTTGTACCGCAGCAATGGATGGATGCAAGAATATGACGGCATGTCCCATCCTGTTACTTGTTTCCTGTTGGAGCATCAAGAATACCTCTAGCATAACACTGGTGGTGCTGGCTTTCCAACTGTCCATCCTACGGGAGACCTGATTGCCAAATGTAGAATCCTCTGTTGTTATATTGTGAGATGCTCTGAGGACTGTTTAAGCAGGATATTATTTGCTTTATAAAATAAATAAGATTGAGAAGAGATTGTAGGAAGTATAGGGCTCAGGGATCCATCTTGGGACCATTCCACACACTGAATGGAGCCAAAACTGAATGATTTTTTAAAAGAACATTTATAAACTACTCAGTATTTTGTGTGTTTGTGTGTGTGCACGCACAGAGTTTTTTTCTGGGGGAACTCAGGGGTACTCACTATTGGCACCTTTTGTCCCACAAATATTACAAGTGTGGCACTTACTGTAACAACTCTATGTATGTGAGTACTGGCACCTTATCTTCCTTAAAAAGCACTGTATATATGTGTGTGTGCAATAAATACACAAGGACAATGAACTGCAGCCCATCATGACTCCCCAGTGATAGTGCTGGTATGATAAATTGTTTTCAGCCATGCCACTGTGATCGTCATACTCTAAAGAGTACACTTAAAACAACTTAGGGTACAATCCTCTGCACTCTCACATGAGAAGAGTCTGTCTCATTGTGCTCAGGTAGACATGTACAGATTTGCATTTCATTTATCCTTATATTTTGATTCTGCTTCTAAATCAGAAGTTTCACAAGACATACAGATGTACACCTCAAAAAAATATGATGTGCAAAATGATCATAGGAGCACAGAAGTCCCCAGTTCTGAAGCAGTGTCAAAAACCCATTTGGGTTGCCATGTTTTCAAGCAGACACTGGTAAGTACATATTCCAAGATTTTGCTGAATGCCTAAAGACGAAGCATGCTAGAAAATAAAACCAAGGCCCGATCTAGACAGATCAGAGAAGCAACTCAGTTAAATGTGTTGTCAACTTCATACAGGGAAATCCCATTGGTGATAAATGGGACTCCACAGTGCCATCTGGTGTCAGTGTTATAATGCAAATCAAGCGCTTTATCTTTACGAATGTAGCTGAGTCCCAAGATTCTCAGAAAGCCAACTACTGCGTCAGAATCCAGAATCTTTGTTAGTGTATGCTGATGATACGTTGAACATGAACAGTACAGAGCACATGAGGAGTAAACAGGCCCTGCCCAGATGAGCAGAGTGGACAGATAAGAAAGGGGAGAAGTAGCAAACACACTGACCTAAGCTATCCACCAGCGTTTTCTCAGAACGAAGTCCTAAACTCCACATCCAGGTTAATTCCTAACACATACAAAGTAGAATTACATGGGACACAGTGGGGAGGGCCAAGAGTGAGGGAAAAGCAAAGTTGAGGGGAACCAGAACTGAGAGTATGGGCATTGGCAAGAGTACAGACTCCAAGATATAGTGACTAGTAACACAAAACATACAACACTTATCTGGTGGGGGCAGAAAACACAATGGACTCAGAGGCTTCTGAGAATTCTGAACCCTCCTGTCCTTAGCACTGTGAAGATCGAACCGCACACCATACTAAGGTGGGACAGGGGCCATGAAAGGCTGTTGTTTTACAATACTAATTATGTGGAGTCCAATACAATACAGTGGTACCTCGGGTTAAGAACTTAATTCGTTCTGGAGGTCCATTCTTAACCTGAGGTACCACGTTAGCTAATGGGGCCTCCCGCTGCCGCCGCCGTGCAATTTTTGTTCTCATCCTGAAGTAAAGTTCTTAACCCAAGGTACTATTTCTGGGTTAGCGGAGTCTGTAACCTGAAGCATCTGTAACCCGAAGTACCACTGTACTATTTTTTTGTGGAGTTTACAATACTAATTTTGTGGGCTGAGGTACTACACAAGACACAAAAAACTTCCTTACAAATAAATAAATAAATGAAAATTGCAGGTTCTTTGCAGGCTGAAGTCTCATCCAATATATTACATTTCATCCTCGCATGATCCACTGACAGAACTGCAGGACCAAAAATATAGCTATCTCCATACAGTTACAGGGTACAGGGTGCCATCTTTGTGCAAACTGTATTGGTGCAATACAGTCAAGCCCAACAAGTCAGCATGGATTTTCATCCCCAAGGTGAAACTTGTAAAGTGGAGCATAGCTGCCTAGTGCTAAGCTTAATGTGAACGAGTGACTGTGTGAATGTACTGGTACACAGTGAGAAAATCACAACCACCTGGCTCTTCCTCTGAGTTACCAGGAGCCAAGCCACAGTCCAAAAATGGGTGTATGGCTTATCTTTCCCAAACCACTAGGACAGTAAGACAGGAACAAACCTGGGCTTCAGCTCATGGGGCATGTTTGGAGAGAATGAGGTCCACTTGCACTATTAGATTTCCCTCCTATCCTCCTCCATGCCCCCTAAACCTGTTCTAGGAGGTCTACCAAACACACTGAATAGTTTTAGGGGGTACAGTCATACCTCGGGTTGAAGTAGCCTCGGGAAGAGTATTTCCGGTTGTGCGCTGCGGGGACCCAGAAGTAACGGAGTGCGTTATTTCCGGGTTTCGCTGATCACGCATGCGCAGACGGTCAAAATGATGTCACGCGCATGCGTGGAAGCGGCGAATCGCGACCTGCGCAGACACGGGTTGCGTTCACTTCAGGATACGAACGGGGCTCTGGAACGGATCCCGTTCACATCCAGAGGTACCACTGTATGGGGAAGAAGTCCCATTGCTCAGGCAGATATTGTTCTGTGCATGCAACAACTTAGATGAATCCCACCCATAGCTTGTTTGGAATGAGGCAACCCATGAGCCCAGGTTCTGAGGCAATACCAAATCGAAGCCATGGCTTAGTTCATAGTAGCACAGAAGGAGCAGTGGAGACGTGAAGTGGCAATGCTTTTCTCACTGTGCACCATCATATTTGCTCATCCACACTAAGTAATAATTTAAGCTCAGAATTACATGCAAAGCAGACCATTCTTTATTCAGTATTTCGTAGTAACCTTCAGAAACAAGAAGAGGTAAACAAGGAAGCATTACTGATGCAAATACAGATTTGGAAATTATGTAGAATGAACAGGATGACCTCAAGCACTACAAATAAGGAAACAAAGTTCAGTAGGACCAAGTGCAAGGCGACACACTCAAGGGACTAAGGGCAAGTATTTTGTCTGGGGACAAAAAAAGGAGGAAGACAGATATTACAGGACCTTTGTAATTCACAAGACAAGGAAGAGCTGCATATAACAGCAAACACAATTCTCAGGTACACTAGGCAAAGTTTCCCTGGTAAATATAAGGTAATATTTAATTATAGTTTATGCAACACACTGGATTTTGCAATAGCATCCAGTATTGGTCACTTTGACTCACAAATTCATTCATTCATTCATTCAAATCAGACCAAGTAGAAAGAAGGACAGCAAGAATGGTTGAAGAAAGAGAGAACTACTCGCACATGATCAGGTGGGAGAAAGCCTTATCTTTTTTAGTAAGAAAAGTAGATGGCAGGTCCCTCACACACCCTGCCCCCCATCCTAAATTGGTTTATGGCCAGAGTGCAACAACTCCCCATGTTTGGGATCTGAACGATTTATCATTATGATGCTGTGACTATCCAGGAAAAAATTCGGGTCATGGTGGAAAACTTGCTTAACATTAGCACTGTATGTAAGATCAATGAAACAGGAAGATTACTATTGAAAATTATTACAAAAAAGATGGGAAGGTTAAACAACAAGTGCCAAGTTATTATAAAAAAATTAATCCTATTATATGCTCTCATTTGACACACTGCAATCCTCTGGTTACACCACTTACAAGGCATCACTAGGCCACAGAGGTTACAGAAGATGACAATTAAAATCACTGAGTGAAAGGCGGTGGGTGGCAAAACTTTCCTATGAAGAAAGGCTTAAGAGTTATTTAAGTTTACAAAAGTCAATGACAAAGGCTTTGTAAAATTATGAATTGTGTGAAGAAGGAAGAAAAATAAATTACTTTCTTGATATACCAACATTCCCATGTCCTTATTGAGAAGGTACTTGAAGGTTGCTGAACAGCACAAGCCAAAGGGGTCTTATTTTGCTCATGTCTGGTTTGTAAACTTTCCAGCGGCATCTTGTTGGTCACTGTGATAACAGCATGCTGGATTAGAGGGGCCTTCAGTATGATGTACCAAGGCTTTTATGATGTTCAATGTTCTGGCATAGGCTCTGCTTCATCCAGATGTGATGGGGTTGTGTGTAAATAATAATCACCATCATATTTATTACCTGTCCTTTACCAGAAGGCTCCAGGGCAGGTTACAAAAATCTAAAATACAGCATTAAAAACAATTTAAAACATGTGGCAGATGGGATGGGAAGCAATATGCAGCAGTATTGGCACACATGGATGAATCTGCTTTGGTGAAGACATCGGACTTGATTACTTTCAGATCTATTCCGGCGCTGTGATTCTATGGATACTGCTAAATCAACTGCAGCAAAACCCCACTGGCTTCACTGCAAACTTAGTGTGATGAATCATGGCAAACACCAAGCTCATTTACACCTTTAAAGTGGATGCTAGGGATTTATGGGTGTGTACACATTCTTTTTGTCATTATACCACATTATTTTGCACAGCTCTCCCACCACCAACACTCACTCCTTGCACACATACAATACTGTCAAAAGTCAGTGGACTTCAAGCCAGCTCCAGGCCATTTATCACACAGCTCTACTTCTCTTAAAAATGCTGTGTCACAGGACAATTTGCAGAGTCATGTTTTCTCCAAGAGCTGTGGCCTGCTGAGTCAGTAAAGCAGGGTGTGTTAACACAAGGTTTCTGTGCCAAAGAAATGGGGTGTCTTATCTCCATCGGCAGCTGGAGGTGGAAGGTAAACTGCAAAACTTATGCTGACCCCTGCAGGGCATAGCTGAGCATAACTACCTACTTAGAAAGCAAATCCTGCAAGAAAATTAGAAGAAAGTCTGAAGTAGAAACAAATAGTTTAAAAGGAGTTTAAAAGTTAGAGCTCCTTAGGCTCACACAAAATGGTCTGTGCTATTGCTGACAATTCCCTAATCCCTCATGTTCCATTCACAAGCTTCTTTTAAAACTCCTGCCTTTTTCAAAAGCTACTTGCCATGAAAGCACAAGTGTGGTGGGGTATGGAAGAGATGTGCTGTCCAAACCTTCATCCCCTCTAAAGGCTATACAGGCAGCACAAGAGATACCAGAACAATCCAGGCATATTCAGCAACAATACCCACAATAGCATGATTTACTTCAGTGACCAAACTTGGATGGCTTTCTGGACTCCCAAACTTTTGGTCCAAAGATAATAATTTACTGCAAGTTTAGCTGTTTCTGGAGGAAAAGATGCTTTATATTTCCACCAGAACGGCTGTGCTGAGACACCACATCCCACTTAAGGTGCAGGAAGACATTGTGAAGGGAAGAACTGCAAACATCCGTAAGTTTTAATTTACAAAACAGCAGCAGCAACTGAAAACCTGAATGCACAAATGTAAACTATTTTATCTGTAACAGGAAGATTTGTAAGGGAAGAATTCAAAGTAGTGCTAAGGAGACTGCTCTGTCAGTACAAGGATTTATGCTTGCCTGATGAAAGGTGGAGACCTTCATGCGGTTCTGGGGGTTCTCTCAAAGTTCAATCCAGCCCCTAATCAGCAAGCTCCCTAGGAATACTTTTTGGATGCAAATCTTTCCCATATGGATTCCCTACTTCATTGTGAGATGGGCAGTTATGACCCTTTTTGTTTCTTGAAATGTCTTTGCTTCCACCTTCACAAATGTTAAGAATGCTTCGGTTTCAATTTGAAAATCAACAGAATACATTTTTTTTTTTTTAAATGCATCAGTTTCAAGATGACTCAAGCTCCCTTTAGACCTCATGTGAATAGCAGAGGAGGTTTCACAAGTTCATCTGCAGTGCTGTAGTCAATGTGGGAGGGGTCCATTACACAGGACCTTAATGTTCCCACTGTGTTCTCCAGTGCTGGCTGGGTAATGAATATGTGGTCGTGACCTGTACAACCGGTCCTGGATGTTTTTTGTTTGGGTCTAGAATTGTAGAGAAGATGGAGGTTTGGACAGTGCACCCTTTTGCCATCATTCCTAACCACGGACCTTGTCAGCTGGTGACAATGGGAGTTGGGAGTCCCACAAGATCTGGAGGGCCATAGGCTTTTCATTCCTGTTTTACACATTACAGTAGCATAGTGCGTAAAAAGGGAAAGGACCCCTGGATGGTTAAGTCCAGTCAAATTCAAATACTGGGTGTGGCGCTCATCTCCACTTTCTGGCCGAGGGAGTCGGCGTTTGTCCGCAGGCGGCTTTTCCGGGTCATGTGGCCAGCATGACTAAACCACTTCTGGAGCACTGTGAGCCACAGTGCACATAAACACTGTTTACCTTCCCGACACAGCAGTACCTACTTATCTACTCGCACTGGTATGCTTTCAGACTGCTAGGTTAGCAGGTGCTGGAATAGAGCAACAGGAGCTCACCCCGTTGCACAGATTTTAGCTGCCAACCTTACGATCGGCGAGCTCAAGAGCTCAGTGGTTTAGACCACAGTGCCACCCACATCCCCTAGCACAGTAGGACAAACTTATAGGGAATGAAGTAGTGCTATAGTATCCACAGCGCACCCAGTAAATGGGTATTATTAATGTTTGAAGTATGACTTCCCTTAAGACCAAGTAGGAATTAGCTTCCCCTCCCCGTCACACTGGTAATAGCTGGGGGGGGGGGATGTTGACCCTTCTTTTGCAATACCCAGCTTGGCTTACTTGCACAAATCACCTGGAGTTGTTTGGGTTTTTTGTTTTGCAGCCTGTCTCTTTTGGGGGATAATCCATAACACTAGCGCAGAGTGCATGCTCTGAATGGAAAGGTTCCAGGTTCGACCTGTGGCATCTCCAATTACCGTATTTTTCGCCCTATAGGACGCACTTTTTCCCCTCCAAAAATGAAGGGGAAATCTGGGTGCGTCCTATGGGGCGAATGCAGGCTTTCGCTGAAGCTTGGAGAGCGAGAGGGGTCGGTGCGCACCGAACCCTCTCGCTCTCCAGGCTTCAGGAAGACATCCGCAGCCTAGGCAGCCCTGAGGGAGTTCCTTTATTTTTCCTTTATTCCCCCCCCCAAAAAAACTAGGTGCGTCCTATGGAACGGAGCGTCCTATGGGACGAAAAATACGGTATAAAGGAAGTCAGGTAGCAGGAAGACCTCAGCTTGAGACTCTGGGAGCTGATTGACAGAGTAGGCAACACTGGCCAATGCAAACCAAACCAATGGCTTGATAGTAGAGAGTAGGTGGGTGAATGGGTGCCCTGGTCCTGTTTTGCGGCACAGCACTGAATTAATGGCCAGTTGACCCCCTTCTAGCACCACAGCTATAATATACAAGCGTATGTCAACTGCCTGAAGGGTGCAACTGGTGTGGAACATGACAACTGGCAAGTGCTCCTGAGCACCTGTTGCAGCAGCATCTGTTAAATCTGAATTTCCTAGCCTGGGGGTGGCTAACCTGCAGCCCTCAAGATGTTTTTGGACTACAACTCCCACAATCACTGCCCACAAGCTATGCTGGCTGCGCTGGAGCGCCCCTTCATACACAATACAATTAGGAGGGTGGCATGGAGTGAAATATTCTTGCTAGTTGCTCCCCAGCTTTGGGATCACACTCCCCATAAAGCAGTCTTCTTCCCAAACATGATGCCCTCCAGAGGTTATGAACATATTATTATTATGTTCCATAAACCATAAATACACTAATGATGCCATACATTTTTTGAAAAAATGTAAGGAGCAGGGCTCCAATTACTCGACATATTTCTCCTTGCTATTCATGGCGACAGGCACAATCTCTTCTAGGTACAGATGAGGTTTTACTGAGAAAACTCAGATCCATGAGCTGCAAAGTGGTCAGAGCCCTCACCACTGCTATCTAGCAGGAAATGTCTTCTGGAGTCTACTTCTTGTAAGAGAGGCTGGGTCAGCGTCATTTCTCGAAAGTGCATGTCAGCTGCGGGGAAGACACTGAAGTGTTTCCTCTCCACCAAAGAGGAGTCCCCAGAATAGAAATTTCAAATTTCTACAAGAGCTGTGCTATGAATTCCAAGAGGGTTGCTTCAGAAACCATTTCAGATCTGTCTTAAGAATAGGAGATTCAATAATCCCCTTTTTGTAAACAACACACTATCTGGGTATATGACCAATTATAGAGCAACACAGAACATGTGACACACTGCTGCCTGGATGAGCTTATTGTTTACATTTCTAGCGGAGGGCTGGAGAGACCAACAAGAAAGATGACAAGAACAAAGCTGTTAGCAGAAGAATGTACCGTATTTTTCTGTGTATAAGACAATGTTTATGCTAATTTTTTTTAGTAAAAAAAATTGGGGCTCGTCTTATACAGGGATGATTAACGCACAGGGGTTAGGGCGGCCTGGGCTCAGGTTCTGGCATAGATGGCTCAGGCTCAGGCCTGACGCAAGTGGCCCAGACAGCCTAGGCTTGGTGGTGGCAGATTGGGGGGAAGCTTGTGATCACCGAAAAAAACCTCAACAACTTTGCCCAACTTCCCTGACCGCCGCCGATGTTTAAATATACGGTACAGTGGTACCTTGGGTTACAGATGCTTCAGGTTACGCCATTTCGGGTTGCGCACCGCGCCGAATCTGGAAGTACCGGAATGGGTTACTTCTGGGTTTCGGCGCTCACGCAGAAGCACTAAATCACGCAGAAGCACTAAGACGCAGCACTGCGGGTTGCGAATGCTGCGGGTTGCAAACATGCCTCCTGCACGTATCACATTCGCCACCTGAGGTTCCACTGTACTAAATAAACCAGTGCTTTGAATATTTAAGAAAATACCAAAGTTGTTCTGTTTGACATTTAAAATATTGATTTCTTAATTTTGGGTTAAAAAAAAATAGGGGTCGTCTTATATATGGGGGCATCTTATACATGGGAAAATATGGCATATAATGCAGTTGCATGTACTTAGGGTTAGTTTCTGAAGGGGGTGAGGATTAAGGGTAGAATTCAATGCTCTCTTCCAAACATTCCATCTGTGCAAGGATTGCAGCTTGCCAGATGGAACATTTCCTCTCTCCTCTGAACTCACATTGTTCTGGGGGTACTCCTGACACCCCCACAAGGTAATTTCAGGGGGTGAGGAGGGAGAAGAGGGAGGAAAGCACCATTACACAAACAGAAGTCCTTGTTCAGGGCTTTTGCTGATGGGGCTCGTTAGGTGAATCCCACTCTAAAGGTCTGAATGAATTGCTTTACAGAAAAGGTGGACTTTCAGGAGAGACCTGCAAGAGGAAGGTATTTTGTGATGGTGTTCCAGACACAAGGAACAACAAAAGGGAATAGTAGTAGCTTTGCTGAAAGGAGGAGGAGGCCTTCAGGCAATTGTGGGAGACAAGAGGTTATGGAAAAGAGCATATTGTCCAATAAGAGTGGTGAATTATTTTGGCAGCAGAAATCTGGACAGAGGCAAGAGGAATAAGCTAAGACACAGGAAGGCCAGAGAGAGGAAAGTTGCAAGCGCCAATAAGGAAGATGACCGGAGAATGAACTAGAGCTTTAGTCAAGAGGATGGAGATTGAGAAGTATAATTTTCACAATGCCGCCCCGGCAAAACTGATAAGGTTGGATGACAGATTGAATATGGGGTAGCAAATGTACATGGAGTAAGCTAATGCTTCTTGCCAAATCAACAGGATCAAGGGATAAAGAACAATCAATGAGAGGATAGCCTGGGAAGAAAGTTGAGAAGCTTAGTTTTGAACATACTGAGTTTGAGAGAGAGGTAGAACAATCAGATAGGCAAGATCAGAGGGAACGGGAAAGCTCTCAAGTGGAGACGTAGACCGAGGGGTCATGTTTTAAATGAGCCTTCCCCAACCAGGTTCCTTCTAGATGCTGTGGCTAACTGTCAAGTAGGGCTGGGTTATATATCGATATATTGTCCCAAACCAGTTTGAAGTCTCTATCATGGTATCAGTTTCATAATTTTTGACCTGGCAATATATCACAAATCGTGTGTGTGTGTGTGTGCGCGCGCAAAAATCACAATGTGGGAAAAACAATGAAGCCAGCTAATGCCTCTACATAGCTCCATCCTTAATTCAAACATTGTGATATATTGATATATTACAATGTTTAGCGGGTGATATATCACAATGTTGAAAACCAGGTATCACCCAGCCCTACTCCCAAGGATGGTGGGAGGTGCAATCCAAACATCTGGAGGGCACCAACTTGGGGAAGGTTGCTTTAACTGGTGAATTTTTGATACTCTATTTCAGCTTACTTGCTTCCAAAATTATTATTATTATTATTTTGCTGATAAAGAGCGAGCTTCAACTCAAAAGGCACTGGGACTACTGCTTCTGTAATATATTCAGTTTTGTACCTTATAACCATTACAACAGGTTGCATCCAACTAAGTCATACTCAAGAGTAAACCCACTGAAATCAGTGGATGTAAAATTAATCAAGACCATAAATTTTAATGGAGTGAATCGAATGCTGTTGATGCACAAGCAGAACCACTAGTGCTAAGAGCTTCCAGCAAACTCCCCCTGCCCTGGGTCCTATGCTCACCCACAAAATCAGCTCTAAGGGGTTGGGACAGATTTTGCAGGCACATCAGGGGAAATGCCCCACTATGTAAGTGGAAGTCTGCTTGCGTAATAGTGGATTCCCCAATGGGTCAACTCTGACTGTACTTAGCTTGCTACAACCCTACTTTTTATTTTCACTAATGGGCAACACCCTTTGATGTGCTATGCATGCAGTGATAAGAGAGCTCCTTTCTCCTCTTTGCCCAGTACTCATGAGACAGCACAAAAAGGAGCAGGCAAGGAAAAAATATTATAATGACACCATTAACTCTGCCTTCACTGGTGCATTCTTGGGTCCCAGTTCCACTTCCTGCCTCTGGCTAGTAGACTACCTCCTGCTCAGACTGAAAATACCGTAAACTGAGATGGGGAAAAAATGAAGCAGGGAAAAGGAGTGTAAAGGGAAGCAGCAACCAGGTCAAATGAATGGTAGTATCCTTGGGAGGTGGAGCACTCTGCTTCCTGCCATCTTCAGCAATGAAGGTGCCAGTGGGTCCCTGATCATCTTATGCCTACTGGGCACTGGGATTTGTCCTCCCACTGCAGGCAGCCCAATATTAGTCAACAAGTACTAAATATTACAGCAAAGTCAATGATCAAATCTAAATACTGGTATTTGGTGTCAGGTGTAAAATACCATACCCAATATTCTGCAAATATGCAATCTTAACATTTGCAGGAGGAGAACTTTTGAGGACGGGGATTTGTTTCAGCTCTAGTGCCGCCTGCTGTCCAATCTCTAAAAGGAAGACCCGTCAGCAGGCAGGACTTACCCACAGCCCGGAACAAGCAGGCCCCATCTTCCTTCATCTGTTTTATGATGAACCCTTTCTTCTCTCTCAGCGCCTTCTCGAACCTGTGTTCCTGCTGGTGACAGGAGGGGCAGATGTCAGCAAGTTAGATGGCAACCCCATCTCCCAAACCAGAAAGGGTGACATATCCTACTCTTTCTCCAGTTCCCCATATGGCAACCCAAACACGGGGCACCAGCTTTAAAATCCACAACTGCAATAGAAAGGGTTACCCCCATGCATGGCTCCACTGTGCCCCCTAGAGGCTGACCCATGCAAATAGATGGCCATTATTATAGCCCCTGGGCTTATCAATGGAGACACCACGGGATCCCAACAGTGATCCAACCATGGCAGTTTTAATGCGGGATGATACTGGATTTCCATGCCCACAACACAGTCATAGGAGAAGTCTCAGCAACTTCTGCAAGCTCATTTGGCACAAGGCTCTCATCCAGAGAAATATACATTTGGCAATGTGTCTACAATATGTGCAAACGCTTTGTGTTTTTTAAGAGGAGCATTACAATATCATGCTTGGTTACACAAATGCCCCTTCCACATTTCCATGCTCAAGATGCCCCACACACCTATAATCCAATCTCAGCGCTCTTCACCAAAAATGCATCGACTACAAGAGTAAGGAAAATATATTATTTTAATATCTCATCCCAGTTTTGTTACTGTTTGCTTTGAAAATTAATAAAAATCCATTTAAAATCCCAAAGAGGGTCTTCCTCACAGTGCCAGACAGGAAGCAGTATTTGTGCAAACTGCTTCATTACTGAATCAAGAGTAAAGATATTTAATTCCTCACTACAAAGCTTTACAGACTTGGCCTTACAGTATGAAAGTTGCAACTTTTACGATTACTCCTGAAGGAAGAACCTATGCCCCAAGATGTGTTGAGCTGTGATAAATATTAAAAGCACTCTTTTCAGAACTAGTTTCTCTCTTTTTTGGCATTCTATTAGGTCAGATCTGACTGTATGTATGCAAGCAGCTGCATTTAGCCAGGAGGGGAAATCTAGAATTCTGCATTATGACCAATACTCCAAGAATGCTGGGCAAGAACTACTTATTTCAATGGGCTGGCTCAGGAGAAGACATCCCTGTGGATCACTGAATCTTAGAAGGCTTAATACTAATCCCCTTCAACAACTTACACTAGAACAGCTCAGAACTTGTCAGAACTTCCCAAAGAAAAGTACACTTGTGTTTTCTGGCTCAAATGATTGTGCTGCCATCTTCTGGCAACAAGTGGACACGCATGCCCATAGGCTGCCAAGTTGTTCTTCCATAGTTCCCCTTCTTAGCAAAGCTCAGCCTTCCTTGTCCCTATTATCACATTTTCTATACATAAATTGAATAACTGGTGTGAGGAGAACCATTAGATCTGTGGTATTTGGGGTTCTGGAAAAAGACAAGGAACATGTGCTGTGTGATGCTCTTTCCAAACATTTTGTACAGGGCAGACAATATACCGGTACTTGGTCATCTGGATCAACTTGACAGTATGCAGAAAATCAAAGAGCAAGGGAACAAAAAGAGCATCAAACGCAACAAACTCCCCATGAATTTCACAGACAGGTAATAAAGCAGACAAGCATTTTCACCTCCTTATTACAATGGAGTCTGGAGACAGTATTTTGACTGAGACTGCTTGTGACGTTGTGGATGAGGCTAATTTTGAACTAAAATGTCCAAGCTCATAGCTTATTCTATTAACTGCTGCACTAGCAGTCTGGGTCTAACCCCCTCTCCCAACTCCACACACCCCAACAACCTATACAATGCAAATCATAGTGAGCAGATTTATTAAATGATTCATAAAATATATTTCAGGGCAACATTGTCTTGCATAAATAGAAAGCTGTCTAGATTGTCCCTGTACCCGTAATACACTTTTGTATCTTTGGGAGTGGGGCTACAACTGCTTTAGCTCATTTTTTGTACCAACCACCACGCTGGAAATTTTCACAATGACACTTTTATAACCAAGTGTTCCAAATTTGCCAGGCGCCAGGTGCATTTTGTACCTTGCTATCGGTCACTTGTGACCGAGTGAAGAAGTCTGGGCGCTAGGATGGCGCCTGATGTCTCCATCTGGAGGGGCATGTCTGGGGATCCTTGGCTCTTGCCTGTTTTCACACCCTAACAGCACATCCTTTAGAATTCTATTCGTGTTATTTTATCTGCGCAAGCAGAACAAATATCAGGAACCAAAAAGTTGCATTGAAAAATACAACTTTCAAACCATCTGGTCCCAAAGTGGCAACTAGACGTTCTGGTGACTGTAACCCTGGTTTAAGGAGCCATTTGGTGCCTAGATTATATATCTAAGTTTCTAACACTGTTTACAACCTATGTTACTGCTTAGAAAACTGGGTTGAGCCATAAGCAGAACATTTTAATGTTATTTTAAATGGTTTTAAAAATACACACATGCAAACTACCCTGAGATCATTTATGAGGGCTTAAAAATTGAATAAATATACAAACCATCTCAGAGTTCTGACAAACGTATAGGCTATTTCACAACAGCTGCACAGAGAAATGTTGCTACTTTCAGACAGGGTAATGAAAGATGTAGCTCAACAGGTTGCACACAGCATGCTCATTATGTGAGCATGAAAATCGCTGAAAATTTTCAAATTTAATTACCTCAATTACAGGAACTAAGGCATACTTTAAAAAAAACAAAGAAAAGAAAAATAAACTTCATTTAACAGAAACTAAATCTCTGTCTCTTCATAACTATGAGGGCTGAATGAGGTGTTTTTTTCTTCCAGTGAAAGTTCAGATTCTTAGGATTGTAGAAGATATTCTGACTTTGGTAATCCAGACCACAACCTCTTCCCCAGTCTAGGACAACAATGACCTTCACAAAACTTTTGCAGACAACTGCTAGTGTACACAGACAACTGAATGATGAACTTCTTGCAACTTGGAAATATTTAGACAAGTATATATCTTAGAGACCTGAAAAGCATTCTACCACCAAAATCTAGCAGCACAGTAATACTGTAATAAATATGTTGAGCTATGCAGAAAAAGAGACACAACCCCAAATTTTCCAGTACAGGGACTATTTTAGACTTCTCCATTCTGAATTTCACAACAGCACCTGCTCATTCACACCACACAGTGCATGTGTACTCCTCCCGCCCCCACGATCTATGTAAGGCACTGCATATTTACAGAATCAGGCAACAGCTGCTCCCTATTTCTTACTAAGCAGGTGGAACACACTTCTTTCATTGACTAACAGAAATAATATGAACATCATATGCGGCCCCAAAAGCTCTTCCATAAAAGCTTTTCTGAACAAAACAAACTCTCATTTTCTGTCCTTCCTTCCAGTGGTTGTTTTTCACTCTGGCTAAATTATGTTTGCTATTCTTTTAAAAAGCTCTCCTCACCCCACCTTTGCCTTTGCATAAGTTCACAGTTAAAATGGGTAGAGTGTTTGATTTTCTGCTAGGACTATTTAGGAATGAATGCCTAGAGTATTTCAGATTCCTGAGCTCTCAGCCCTCACCTATGGATGATTCACTTCAGCTACCTGCCGTGTTTTGGAAGTGTGTGTATTAATCACCCACTTCCTCTGATGAACAACAGTCCCACATCGCTTCAACACACTAATAAACCTGACCAACAAGTCCTCAACTTCAGAGTCTTTCCATATCCAATTATACTTCCCAGGCATGTGCCTACTCCATGTTTTAAGGATATACAACTGCCTTTCACAATTATGTGGAACACTGGCAAAACTCAGCAACCACAGTTTGAGAATGAATTCTCAAAACAAAGCTAACACCTTGCCAGTCTCCCATTCATTTCAACTGATGCTATTTCTGTCCAGATACCGCCCAAGCAAGTTCAAATTTCCTATGTGCTCTCTTCTATACAGCACTTTAAAGTGCATCCTATTACATTAATGGACTAAGGGCAATGTTTTGCCATGTTGTTTGGCCTATATATTTCTTTTTTAAAAACATAGCTGGCCAAGGGGGCCAACCCAGATCAGGAATGGCATAGGGAAGGGGAGGCTTTAAGTTTTTACGTCTGCCACAGTTCCAGTCAGAAGAACTGGGCTACACCTTTCTGCTATTTGTCAAAAAAAGAAGCAAGCTTCTACACCAGTTATTTGAAAAAAAACAAAACAAAAAAAAAAACACCAAGGCAAAATCATGAGCCTTATGCCTACTTTGGCCCTGAATTCAGGACATTGGAGCAATGAGAGGAATTCAGTGATTACCATGGAACTTTATTTGTCTTGGAGACGTGACAGAATCTGACCATCTTCATGTCACATATTCCCCACACAGAAAGTATTTTCATGTAGGAAGAAACAATTATAAAACCCACTAACATATATTGAAGGATGATGGTAAACACATAAAACACACACACTATGGCTACATTCACACATTGTGCCAAACCATGATTTTGTGAGGCATGAATGAGCCTAGCCTCCTCCTAAGCTCATACTCCCTTCCCTTTCCTTCTGTGTAGCCAGGAGGAGGTGTTGTAAAGCTGAACTCTTTTCTCCTACATGCTGAAGAAAAGGGGATTGGGAGAGGCAAAGTGCAAATCTGGGAGGAGCTAGGTTCATTCACATCTCATAGCTAAATAAATGCACATGCTACAATGCACCAATTAGCTCATAAAACAGACGCGTTCAGCTACCACACTTAATTATCTACTATACTCAAAGACTTTATATCTAAAGACAAGTGATCTGTGGATTGAACCTAGAACCTTCTGCATGCAAAGAAGATGCTCTAGCACTGAGCTCTGGCTGTCCCCCAAGCATGCAAACTTCTCACACAGGCTTGCATTTGGAGGCTAGGATTCACCAAGCAGGGAATTATTTTCAAGTGACTATGACACACGGGCCAAACCCCACTCTTTAACCATTTTTCGCACCCTCCTCCTCAACAACATAGCATTCAAATAACTCTTTATCCACAGCTATTGTGCGCTCACTACACGACAGTCACATACTATGACAGCTTGGGGTGCTAGTGCACATGCGCAAGCTGACCTTCAGAACCCTGCACACTGTAGAGAAAAAAACTCCCTGAACCTGTAGGTGTGAACATCTCTGGTGGACATGCAAGAGCAAGATAGTAGGGACAACTAGGTGAAGGCAAAAACTTCTTTCTACACAGTGTTGCACTGTGTTAAGATGGAATCTGACTGAATACTACATGAGATTATAACTAGCTGGTAACAGCAGCAATTAAGCGTCCTGAGATGTTTAAGGCTCTATAGGTCAAAACCAGGCATAGGCAAACTCTGGCCCTCCAGATGTTTTGGAACTACAATTCCCAATGTCCCCAGCTAACAGAACCAGTGGTCAGGGATGATGGGAATTGTAGTCTCAAAACATCTGGAGGGCCAGAGTTTGCCTATGCCTGGTCAAAACCAACACTTTGAATTGGGCCCAGAAACTAATTGGCAGTCAATTAGTCAGGCCAGGATCAGACCTTGCCCCGGTGAGCCATTTGGCTGCAGCCACACATATAACACATTGCAGTAATCTAACCTAGAGGTCACCAAAGCATAGACAACAGAAGTTAGGCTACTCCTGTCCAGACAGGGGCACAGCTGGGCCATCAACCGAAGCTGACAGAAGACATTACACACCACTGAGGCCACCTGAGACTCAAGCAACAGCAATGGATTCAGACGTATGCCTTCAAGGTGGCCTTCAGTGCTACTAGGTAGGCTCGATGGTGAGCCCTCAACAGTGTTGGGCTGCATTCATTTCCTCCATTTGTATTTGAGCAGCCTCCGAGATTGTTTCCTTGCCCTAAGCTAGAGTATACCAGGGAGCCAAACAGGCAAGGCACTCAGAGGCGATCGTGTCAATGGCCTAACCATTTGGCTGTTCCAGAGGTCGGCCAGGACTTCAACCAGTCATATCAGCTGGAAAATCTCCCAGAGCTGTTTGGAAACCCATTATATCCATCAGTCTCTAAGAGCAAACCATCCTAGTAAGTACCACACCTCTGTAGAGCAGAAAAGATGCTCAAAGCCTAAATCTCAACAGGAAGTGATTTGACCATGACAAGGGACTGATGTCAATATCTCCTACTTTCAGATCACCATCTTCCTTCCTAGTTGAGAAAACAAGGTCCAGAGTGTGGCAGGCCACATGCGTTGGGCCGATGGCATTTTTAGACAGCCCCATGGTTCTCATGGCAGCCATGAAGTCCTAAGCCACCTCAGAGTTGCCTTGGCATGGATGTTGATGTCCCCCAGAACCAACAGTCTGGGAGTTCTCAACACTGCCACTAGCTCTGTCAGGGAGACTGGAGGGCAGCAAGGCAGGCAGTAAACTAGCAGAATCCCTCATCTGTCACAATTGCTCAATGGCGGGAACACACACTCTAGATACCTCCCCCAACTGGACAGAAACAGAGAGAATGAATTTCTACAGCAACTCCCTGACCCTTAAGTCTGCCCTGATACTGCATGGAGTATCCAGATGGGCACAGCTGGGTGAGACCAACTCACCCACCCAGGTCTCAGTGATACAGAGCAGATCGGCCTCCTCATCCATAAGCAGATCATGAGAGGTCTTATTCAGAGCCAACTTGGTATTCAGCAACAACAGCCACAGACTTGAGGGGTAGCTGACAGGACAACTGCAATTCCCAAGGTTGGAGGAGGGACGGGAAGATGCTGTCTGCTGAGCTTGGGCAGGTTGCAAAAACAGTGTATCAAGGAACTAATTGCAGTATATGGCCTCAAGAACTATGTGTGATGCAGGCCTCCCTCTGAGATAATCTCCTCTCGTGTGTCCCATCACAACTGCTGGCCGACCCACTGGGGGAAATGTTAGGAGCAATACCTAATCAATACAGCAAAAGCACTGCCAAAAGCACTCACAGCGGCTGTTCTGTAGCATAGAACTCCCTTCCCTGGAGAGTTAGAATAAAAGTGTTTTCCAGAGCAAGGGTGAATTACTCACCTATGCCCATTTATCATTTGATGTGTGGATCTACCACCACAGATCAATTGTCACAAAACTTAGCTTTCCAACCCACTGAAGTAGCCTCAGACACAACACTTCAAATGAGGCAGTGCACACCGTGAGGTCATCAAGAGACACCTCCCATGTGATTCCACCTCAGACTTGCCATTTGATAGGTCTGTCCTGAAACCATTTTGCCCCTCCCCCACCCAACACTGCACATTTCTACACTACTCACGGTTGTTGCTGACATCCCAGTCATGGGCATGCATCATAAGGAAATATGATAACTAGGTTGGGGTTGTCAACATAAAGCAGCTGGTGTGAGGTGCCAAGCTGGCCCTTGTCATCATTTAACTGAATCATATACATAGATTTTCTGTAAATATTTGTAATAGCTTTCGATTTGACATTTTTTATATAATTTACTTGCTCTCAGCATTTGGGTATGGCAACATAAACATTTACCAATAAAACAGAAAACATAATCTGGCTTCTTTTTCAGAACACGAAAATGCTGTAGCTTTCCAAAGCAATTTGCTTAGCTGCCCTATTCTTAAATATAAGATTTTCCCCACTGCCCAGTATTCAGGCCAAATCCATCATGCTGCAATTTAAAACAGCTGCATTCCTTTTTCCTCTATAGCAGTGGAAAATGGTTTTTCACTCACTTTATTGCTGCATCTGGCAGAATCTTAAGCTAAATTCCAAACCATCAAGAATTCTGTTTCAACCATTTGACATCTGGATTTTACATCACTCCCCACCCCCCAAAACCAGGATGGTGGTGCTAGCTATTCCAAGTCTGCCTACGATCATTTGCCACGTTAATTGCAGCCTCAACGTCCGCTTCTAGACTGGACTGCCAGGTCAAAATGTTTAGAAGACACTGAAAAGGCAATCTAGAGTATGTCCCAGAATCCTCTGCAGCACACAGGGTTTTTGTGGCCAATATATAGATGTAGAAAGTGTTTTCTGAAGATAAGAAAGCTTGAAGAGGTTTGCTAAAGAATGGGGGGGGGGCGCTGTGGTCCTCCTGATGTTGGATTCCAAATCCCATCAGCGAGGCCAGAGGTCAGGAAAGATGGGAGCTGTAGCTCAGCAGCATCTGGAAGGATTACAGGTTAGCCACCCCAATAGTAACTATCTCAAGCTAGCTTACAAAAGCATTTTTCTGCAGGAGGCCTGACAGATAATTCCCTTGTTTTCAGGGAAAGTCATCTGAAATATTTTCCTTCTTCCCTCCCTCCCTGCAAGCTTGGGATCATGACCTTGTGGGACACAGCAGTAGCTTAATATAAAGGACGATCTGCTTCTGAGTGGACCAAGAGGTTCCCTTTCCTATAATAGTTTACCAACAGGACCAGAACACCCAATATTAGCCATCAACAAATGACAGTTTGCTGCAAACAACAATGACCTAAGCCATACTTAACAGTGAGACCAAACTAGGAGTGATCTAGGAACCTACCTGCATGGAATAGCCACAGATCTACATGGGGGTGGGGTGGGGGCTCAAACCTCCGTGATCACGCACCAAATCCAGCCTCCAACTTTCCAAATAAAGGTTCTCTGGTAGGAAGTCCAGAAGTCAGTCCTGTGCTCAAGACCCTAGAGAACCACTGCCAGTCCAAGGAAACAATACTGGGCTGGATGGGCTGACTTAATACAAGTCAGTTTTATGTATCTGCATGCCACTCTTGCAGAAAACCTTATTTCTTCCAGCACACATATTTCCTCAGCCTGCCAGTTCTCAAAACAGACTCTTCTCCCCATAGTTATTCATCTCCCAAATGTCTTTACAAACAAAACTGTAATCAAGCATAGAGACCCACCAACCCCTCATGCCACTACTTTTGTTGTCTTCTAAATTGGACCCTCTCCACACCTACTCTATCACTTTGGAGCTAAGCAAATCCAATTTCTTTACAGAGAGAAGTTTCTCTCGAGCAAAGATCCCACCCCTTTCTGAATGTAATACTTCCATTTTTAGTATCAAAAGGTTGTCTGCAGTCACAGGATGGAAGATGCCATTTCTATACACACAAAGGCCCCATCAATCCTTCCTTCTCAAAGATGACCTCAGGTGTCACATCTACAAGCTAAAAGGCAATGTAACCCAACAGAGAATAATTCTTTGGTTCCCTTTTGTATTCCATACCATATCCAGACCCAGTATTCATTCCAGTGTTTCTACCTACAACTATAAAACAAGGGTTCCTGTTTTAACTCACAGAATTGAACTGAAAGATTTCCTGTAACCTTTCCTCAAAGAGAGATCCCCATCTCTCTCTTGTCCCCTAAGGTAACTTCATATTCTATGTGGGGCTGATGTGCTATGTTATTTTCTTTTCAAATGATGTCGAAACCCTTCTGCATCAATCGGTACAGATAAGCAAAATATTTCCCTTCACACCCATTCCCTTTATTTCTCCCACCTGGCTCCATGACATTGTCCCACCCTTCAGTAATAGTTAAAAATCTTACAATTGCCAGAGCAAGCCTCCCCCCTTTTTCAACCAAAGGGCGATCTTTTCTCTATTAAACAGCTAGGCACCAATAACGCCACATAAAAGGGATTCTGCTTTCTTCTGCAGGAGGCATCACAATTTAATATGCCGTGTAAGTCACATTCCTGCCAACACAGTGAATCTGCACACTTCTTCTTTTTTACAAAGGATACCAGAAACCAAACATTACTGGAGAGACAGCTCCCCTCTTTTCAATGGGAGCCTTTCAGATTCTGCTTTCACCTGCTCCTAGGGATAACTTCAAACAAATCCAGCCCAAGTGATCCTGCAGGAACCCTCAACTGTGAACCACCCTGGGAGCAGCATGGCTAGTTGACATACTACGCTTTGATGTGTACCCATTATATAGCTAAGACATATTTCAGTGGGAGGGCGCAAAACGCGTGCATCACGCGAGGTAAATTAAACAATTAAACCATGCACTCCCGGTGGCCAGACTCCTCCGGCTGTAGGGCAATAGGGAAGCGTGCAGCCCAGCATGAAACGAAGGTGTCAAGCAGCAAGCACCCCCCCCCCATAAAAGCGCGTGGGCTCCATAGGCCTCCGACAGGGTTAAGGACCCCGCCGTCCGCTCCCCACCCCCACGAGGTACCTGCTCCACGGTGGCCGGGTCCATGCTCTCGATGCGGGCCGCCGCTGTCTCGTATTCGTCCTCACTGTTGTAGCCGGCGCCGGCCTCATCCTGCTCGGGGCTGTTGCCTCCCGCTCCCCCGGGCCCCGCGGCTCCCAGCCCGCCGCCGGACCCTCCGCGCCGCCGCCTCTTGCTGTGCCCGGGGCCGGAGCAGCAGCCGCCCCCGACCCCGCCCCGCGCCTCGGCCACTCCGGGGTCCAGCAGCCCGAGGCCGGGCCCGTCGCCGCCGGCTCCCACTCCGGGGTTGGGCGGCGGGGGAGCCGGCGGGGGCAGCCCCAGCGGGGCGGCGGAGGCGGCGGCGAGGCCCGGGGACGGGCGCCGCCGCGGCCCGAGTGCGGGTCGCCGGGGCCCACGCCTCCCCCGACGCCTCCGCCGGGGCCTCGCGGGTGCGAGTCGGAGCCCGAGCAGCCTCGCGGGTCCGGACCTCCCACGCCGCCGGGGCCCCCGGGACCCCCCGGGCCGCCCCCTCGGGAGCCAGGCTGGTCCCTATCGCCGTCCCCCGCTGCCGGGCAGGCCTTCTTCTTGGGCAGGATAGTCATGGCGAGGGCGGGAAGGGCCCGGAGACCGGCGGGGAGGAAGGTTCAAGGGGGCGAGGGGTGACAGTTGCCCCGACGACGAGGGGGCGGGGGGCTCGGGCAGGGCGAAGGCGGGGCAAGGGTCGGGGAGGAGAAAGAGGCGCCCGGGAGAGAGGAGCGCCTGAGGGGAGGCGGAGGGCCGCGCACCGGGGACGGCGAGGGCCAAGGGGGCCCCGCAGGTTACCCGGATGAGGAGGGCGAAGAAACAGGGTTACCCGGATGAAGAGGGCTCCGCGGGGGAGGTGGAGGGAGGGCAGCCGGCAGCGGGAAGCGGGGGGCTCTCTCTGAGGGAAGCGGGGAAGGCGGCGGCAAATGCCCGGATGGCCGGATCAACCGCGGCGCATCGCTTCCCCCGCCGCCGCCGCCGCTCAGTAGGGAGCGCGCCCGTCAGTTCCCCGCCAGGCGCCGGAGCTTCTCCCGAGGAGCCCACACCAGCCGGGTCGGCCTCGTCCCCAATTTCTCCTCAGAGGCTTTCGGGCCTTTCGCGGTCTCCGGAAAGAGGCGGCGGCGGCTACTACTACTACGGCCCGTCTGCGGGCCCGGCCTAGTGTCAACATCAACACAGCCGGCCTCTGACCCCGGCGAGCTCGACTTCCGTTTCCACGCCCCCTGGCAACAGGTGAGGCGGGCCCTGGGCAGGCCGTAGCAACCGCGGCTAGCCGCGCGCTCGTTGGCCGGGAGTGACGGATGTCCGTCACTGAGTGGCTGGCGCCGCTGCCCGTCGGGGTGATGTCCCGCCTCTTTCCACGTTCCCGCCTCCCCGTCCCTTTTTGCGAGAGCGAAGGAGGGAGGCGGGAGTATTGTTCCCCTTGTCAGCATAGCTTGTTCTGATAGGCTAGAGAAAGTAGTTGCCGTTTCTTCATTCGCCGGCGGACACAGACCTGAATCGTGATTGGCTGAAAGTGGCCGGTTACCTCCTATTGGCTTGGAGCATTCCCAGGATCGGAAATTGATAGATTGGACGCGAGTTCCTACAGCTGGTTGGCATATAGAATCTTCTAAAGCTGATTGGTTGATTGGTTCCTAATGTGCCTTATCCCATACAGTTAGGCAGGAATCTGCGTGCTCCAGAAAAGACTTATTTATTATAGCGATTAGATTTTTCTATATAAATTATTGCAATACAATTGTTAAGATATCTGGCCTCTTTGGGCTCTTAAAAAGCCTTACCTATTGAGGCTGCGACCCCTTTGGGAACAGGAATTAATAATATACCTGTGGGCTTAGGGGGAATCTTCTGCAACGTTTTCTGAGCTCATGCATAGGACTAGAAAACGCAATAAACAAGCATATTATAGCCCAGGTAGCACCATTTGTGATGTTGCTTGTGGCCGGCGGCATTAAAGGGAGATTGACAAATTCGTGGAGAAAAGGGCTACAGCTCATGATAGCAAAATGGAACACCCACATTTAAGAAGCAGTGTCTCTGTACAACAGCTGCAGAGGGGACAGTGGTAGGGGAGGGCGACAGTATTTGCTTTGTGCCCTTCTTGTGTGCTTCTGGAAGGCATCTGGCCAGACGTTTTTTGCAATAGTAGTTGGAGGTTTGACCTTCTGATCTAGCAAGGCACTAGGAGTGTGTGTATCTGTGTCACACTCTCTCTCACACACACACTCTTTCATTGATAATTAAAGGGCTGGGAGACTTTTATTGGACAACGGGGGGCAAACCTAGGGCTGTTTTGTGTCGTTTATTGAAAACAGTGATAACTTTTCCATACTTTTATTTTAGCCCTCCATTCTAGCTCCAGATACCTCTGTTGCAAATTCCTTGGTGTGATGCGGCAAGCGGCCTTGACATACTTATTTAATTGGGTTTAATTTAATTAGATTTCTAAGATTCCACGTCAACCAGGTTTACAGAAAACAACAGACTAATGTGTGATAGGACTCAGAGCTCACTTCTTGAACACTGAGATATTGATACCTGGCATTCATAAGCATCATTCTTCTCTGCATGTGCAGATTGATTGTCAGAGAGAGTGCTCCTTTGCAGCATATTTAAATATTTGTTACACTGCAACCATCTTAAAAATATATCATTTTTACTTTTTAAAGTTCCTGGGTTTTTTTCTTTAAAAAAAATCAAAATCAAATGCTAATGTTCCCAAATTCTACACTCATTAATATCAGTCTACAAATTTTACACAGATACTTTTCTTCATATGAGTGTAATCCCCAACGCAGATGATTTATTAATTATCTTGGCCCCCATCTAAGCCATGCCTTCATAGTTTTAATAAATAGGAATTATGGTCCACTAGTTCCCCCCTCCAACTTGGTTAGAAAAATATTGATGTAATATTTCTTATAATAACATGAAAATGATTTTTAAAAAATATGGAGCTGGTCGGCCCAGGCCCCCAAAATTGTTACATCCATCTCCAAATCCTCATACGCCTCCAAATCTTAGAATAAGAATAGAGCACATGACTTTTGTTTGAGCTCTCATCCAATTTTCTTTATTGGCACAAAACTACAGTAGCATCCACCTTCTTCAAGCATCTCTTGTCTCCAGCACCTTCTCCCTCATTGCACCTCAGTGATGAACCCTCCAAGACCCCCAAACACCCCAGACTTTCTCCTCCTGCATACACACATTTCTAAGATAAATCTCTCTTCAGGTCAGTTTTATTCTCCCCATTTGTACACAAACAGGAACCTGAGTTGAAGTGACTTGACCAAGGTCACACACAGCACATTTACAGATAACATGGGAACTAGAAGTCTTCATTTCCAGCCCTGACAACTCTGTCCATGGTAAGGGATCAAGTTCAGCCTAATTCCTACCACTAACAGAACTGAGTGGTAAAGCATTTCTTGGACTGCAGCACTTTACACTGCAGATGACTTTGTTTTGTTTGCATATTTGAATGCTTCCTTATAACAACAAAATCTGGCTTCATGCAGAAAATTAGCATGTCAGGGTCAAAGAATGGTAGGGTTGGAAGGACCCCTGAGGGTCACCAAAACCCCTACAATGCAGGAATCTCAACTAAAGCATCTATGAGAGATGGCCACCCACCCTCTAGTAGAAAACCTCCAGTGACAGAGAGATCACCGCCTTCCAAGGGAACCCATTCCACTGTCAAACAGCTTGTACAATCAGAAAGTTCTTCCTGATGTTTAGTTGGAATCTCCTTTCTTTTAACTTGAAGACAATGGCCTGGTTCTACCCTCTGGAGCAGAGGAAAACAAATTTGCTCCATCTTCCATGTGGCAGTATTTGAAAATGGCTATCACATCTCCTCTCAGTGTCCTCTTTTCCAGGCTAAACATACCAACTCCCTCAACAGTTCCTCATAAGGCTTGGTTTCCAGACGCTTGATCATCTTGCTTGCCCTCCTCTGCACATGTTCCAGCTTGTCAACATCCTTCTTAAATTGTGGTGCCCAGAACTGGACACAGAGGTACTCCAGGTGTGGGTCTGACCAAGGCAGAATAGAGTGGGACTATTACTTCCCTTGATCCAGCCACTATACTTCTGTTGATGCAGCCTAGAATAGCATGAGCTTTTTCTGATACTGCATCAAAGGGTTCTGCCTAGTCTTCTCCCTCCCTAGACATTTTACTTCGTTAGATACAGGGAGGCCTTTTTTCATGGAGGAGCCTTCAGACACCACCCACTGTGCAGCATGAAGTTATACAGCTGGGATAAAGCTTTACCACTTGATTCTGCTGCAGTATTACCAGGCATGCTAGAATTCTCATACAGACACAACCCTCGAGGGCCTCCACTGGAGGGGCTATATTCTTTGCTCTCTTGTACATGACCATATGGAGCTGCTCAGTGCAACACCAGCTGAAGGAAAGCAGTTCCTAGTATGGCCATCAAATCTCGAACAACAGCCAGTGATGGGTTCTAATCAGCTCCTTCCACTTCTCTCAAGCAGCACCCTTAAGATCAGAGCGGAGGGAAATGACATCCTTCCCATTTTGTTTAAGTGGCTTGCAGGAGCTGCCTTTTTGATGGGAAAATCTGGCTCCCCCCCCCCACTCCTTTCTGCAAGAAGGTAGAGGAGGTGAAGGATGGCTCTTATGTTTAAGTCTCTAACTGCAGGAAGGGTAAAAGTGGAGTCTATGCTTGGAGTTTCTCCATCACCCTCTCCCCTTCACGAGAGGGTGTTTTTTTAAAAACAAAACAGAACATAAAGTTGAGGTTTGAAATGAAGAAACACTATTTTGCTGGGCCTGTGTTAGTGAACAAGTTGGCATGTCGAGAAACTCTACAGAGTGTGCAGAGCCAATAGTGATGCAGCTGTTGCAATTGTAAATAATTTGTTTATTTAGCCTTATGCCCGGCTCATAAGTCATGTCATGTTTTCTTTGCCATAGTAAAACTGTTGAAAGAAGGCAGTGGACTCAGTGGGGAATCAGCTTTGGTCAAGTCCACAAATATTAGTTATGGTTAACTGTTGGCATAACATGGGCCCAAAAGGGGGACTTTCCTGCCTGGTCACTTGGGAGAAGGTTCTGGCTTGCCACAGGTGAGTAGGGGTTTGAGCCATTCACAAAAGTGGTTCACCCCTTAATGAACTCTTGAGTGAATCCACTGGCCCAGCAAACTTTGGCAATCTGCTTGTATGAATTGGCTTCTTGAGTCTGGAATGGAACAAACGGCATTTCCCCAAGTGTAAATAAGTGACTACAACAGAATTATGTATCTCTGATTGTGGGAGAGAGGTAAAGAGAGGGTAGAGTTGGGGACCCATTGGTCTACAGTAGCAGATCTGGTCTCAAATTTCAGCAGCACCCTGTGTGAAGCCAAAATTCAGCAAACCCCCTGCCTCTTGTGCTCCTCTCCCAGATTATAGTTGCAGCATCCCCAGCGGCACCCGCAAGGCTCCATGCCCAGGGTGACCTTAAATCAACCTCTGCTGTCTACATTGACTGTCAGCAGCCTTCCAGGGCTGCAGGCCGGGGTCTCTCCCAGTCCTGGCCGCAGATGCCATGAGGATTGAATCGGACCTTCTGCACCCAAAGCAAATACTCTACCACTGGCTTGTGCCCACAGGGGTTAGTCCTACAGCTATTCTGTGAACAGGGACTGCTGACAATACATCCTACACACACGCACACCCCTTGTTTCTCAGGGAATATGTGGAAGATTGCAGTTACTTCTGTAACAAGCAGTCCTCCCAGAAGACCTGTTTATTGAGCAAGCATCCAGATTAGACAGCTGCTTAATGAGCATCCATCCTGATTTGTCTGCTGGGAGGTTAGATGCCACTTTCTTTATCACAAAATGTAGTGTCTTTTGGGGAAGTGGGTTTGCTGTGCAAGATCTCCCATTCAACTCTCATTGTGCAGCCCGAATTTGCCAGCGTATGTTTGAATCCTATTGGAAGTGGGCAGGGTGGATAATGCATCTTGTGATTCTGCTCCTAGTCACCAAATTAGCCACAGCAGTGTTCCACATGTGGCCCACTTCAGACGTTAGCAATGCTCATGCAAGTATGACAGTGGCATGGAGTTAGCCAGCTGCAACAAAGCCTCCATTGCCTCTAAATGGCACTCAGAATACCTTGGGCAGCTCGCCTTGCGGCAGAACTCCCTTTCCCAACAACATCTCACACCTCCAGATGTTTGGACAACGACTCTCATCAGCCCCTGACTACAACTCCCACTGGCTGGGGCTGATGGGAGTCATAGTCCAAAACATCTGGAAGGCACCAGATTGACAATGGTTGGGATGGCACAGTGCTACCCATCCTACACTGGGAAATTTGGAAGCAAGAGAAGGCAAATAGAGCTTCTTTTGGTGGGGGCATTGAATCTAGCAATGATTCAAGCCTCCATAAGGAGGCCTACACTTAGAGGAGCTTAGCCATGGGCATGGACACACACACACACACACACACACACACACACCCAAGCTAGGGTTGCCACTTGCCCCCTGAAAGATGGTCTGAACCCTGAACAGGTTTTTGGGGGGTGGGGTGAGGGAGGAAACACCAGGTGAAAGTTTCCCCCACATAAATATGTGGTGCAGCTGAAATGTCACCTATTAGATTTCTGCCTGTGAAAACTACAGAGCATTTGTCAAGGATGCAACAACTCTACCTGTGCTAGAACCCAGAAAGTCTGGGGACCTAATCTATTCCACTGAGCAATTTAGGCGTGTGACTGGGATGGAAGAACAACAGCTCCAAAGGCACACACACACAAACAAACAAACACACATACACTCACCCCGCTCTTGACTTAGGTTACCCTAAATGGAAGAAGGCTGTTTGCCCTTTGCATATGTCAAACCCTGGGAATATTGCTATCTGTTTCACGAGGGTGGAGTATTCTTGTTTGGTATTGCAGAAGTTAAACATTGGGAATTTGGGACATTGTCCTCTGTGCTATACCTAGCAGGGAAAATGGAGCAGCATTTATGTTCAAGAGAAATGAAATAGTTATGCTCTGCTCCAAATCTGTCCATGTTGTCTCTCTCAAGCACCCCAGTCTGAGCAGGGAGGACAGGAACTGTAAACCACAGATTGATCATCCAATAATTATCTCATCTCACACTGTGGGGGGTCAAGAGTGACCCCTGCGGTGTTTGGGGACACATTCAATGTGGTTCCAGATGTAATAGAGTGGCGAACAGCCAGAACAAATGCATCCTCCTGTCTTTGCTTAAAAGGAAAGTAGTTGGAGGAGAGATTTCATTCACAGTTACGTAACTGGAAGCCAGCCTGATTCTATGCAAATTTGCTTGGAAAAAAGTTCCACTTTGTTCAGTGTATCTTGACCCCAGCTGAGTGTGCATAGTAGAAATTTAACCTCTGTTAGGGTATAAGGGACCCCCCCCCCCAACTTTTTTGCAGTAGAGAAATAGACACTGGAATGTTTGATTCAGCTCAAGGAACCTTGTTCTGATTCTTCTCACTTCCTATCTACATTTCTGTGCCTTTGCGGCAGCCCTTAAATCCACTTATGAGACATTTCCATCTCTTCTCGTGTCATTCATTCATCGCTCCCACTAGCAGACACTATGATTCTGTTCAAAGTGCATTTGAGTTAATTGATTAGCATTAAAGTGCCCTGAAATAACTAACTGTCATTTCTTTAACCATCCAACAGGGGGAGATGTTGATTTACAGGTACTTAATAATAGTTGGAAACAAAAACTCTGGTTAGAAAATGAATGTGGGGTCCAGGGCGAGAGACAGCCCAAGTACGCTCCATGTTTCACGTGGTCCTATCGAAGGATGCTAACTTCAACACACCCACTTGGATCCCCCTACTTTGCTAGAGCTGGAGACTGACCGGAGGAATTCCGTCCCCCAGGCATCCTCACGCTCCATTCTTCCTCATTCATTTGCTGCTGCTTCCCCCAACAAGGCCTATGTCATAAGCCGCCAGACCTTATTCCTCTCTGAACTTAACTCACGGGTGACTCCTGGCTACCCAAGGCCATGCTGACTCCCCACCGGTAGCCAGGAGAGAGAAAGCCAAGACGCTGAGCAAAATAAAGAGTGGCCAGCAGATAGAAACAAAAATGGCTGATCCTGTTGAGAGAGCAACCTTTGCTGGATGCTGAGAGCCAGCCAGCTTGATGCATGCGACGGGACTTGTGGCTCACTTGATACCTAGAACGGTATCCGCCATCCCACCCAAGTTCCTTTTCTTTGCTTTTCTGCCAGGTTCGGTTCCTTCTCCGGTGAGCACACGGAATGGTGCAAGGTTTTCAGGATCAAGTCTCTCTTTCTCTCTCTTGATCATAACCTAAAAAATGTCCAGAGGCGGAGGACCACAGACCACAGCCCTGCTCTACAGGTCTGCTTCAGTTCTTCACAGCGTATCTTCCGTCCGGGTAGGCGGGTGGGGTAGGAATGGGGGACACGGCTGCACATGCCATGTGGTGCTCTGTAGCCGTGGGCTTTGGATCCCACTCTTCGGAGGTATAATACACATGCACAGTCTCGATGCTACGCAGTGGGGTGCAGGGCTGTGTGGGGTGTCGGGAGAATGATACATGAGATTCCCATGAGGTGTCGTGTTTTGGTGCAATAGACTTTTTTCTTTTCTTTTTTTAAAGTGCAGTTTCCAAGTTACAGAACAGGTATCGGGAGGAGGGCAGAGAGAAAAAAAGGCAGGGAGATAGACAGGGAGACAGGGGCTTCTAAGGCTCCGTCCGTCCCAGAAATGGCTCAGCCAGGAGAGGCAGAAGATTGGGGGTGGGGGGCGGGAACTGGTTGGAAGCTTAGCCGGTTCTATTTCCATCCCTTTCACCCAAAGGCTTCCTCATCTTTAGCTGGAACAAATTCCAGAATCCCTTGCTCTAACCACTAGGCAATACACCCCCCCACTCTGATCATGCTTAGGACCAGAATCAAAGAGCCTCGATCCTCAGAGCTCGCCTTTCCATCTGCAGATGGGCATCAACGGCGCACTCTTGACCTCCCTCACCCAACAATCTTGCAGTCCCACTATTCAGACCCCTGCCCTCCACAGCCAAAGGAGCCCCTGCTCCCTCTCCCTGCTGCTGTAATGCCCCCAACCCCCCTCTCAGTCAAACCAGGGATTTTGACTCAGCCTGATCCCAACCTAAGGTGTAATAGGTTTGGTATAGTGTGGAAAAAGTCTTCCGGATATGTTCCCACTGTTGGGATATGTTCCCTATTACCACTGAGGTCCACCTGTCGGAACCCAGTTCCCCCCGCATCGCTCCACCCCTTTGCGGTTGCATAGCATCGGGGACCCACCTCCCCTCCTATATGGCTTTGATTGTAGAGGGGGAGCTGGGCGGGCATCGGAACCCCCCTCGTGCGCCAGCTCCCCCTGTTGGTGGCCAACGATATCGCCTCTGAGGAAGGGACTGCGCGACACACGCCCCCTGCTGCCCTCCTCCAGCTTGCAGTTCGACGGGCGGGGTGGGGGGCACGGGCAGAGGACCCCGTCCCCGGCTCGTAAGCAGGACCCAGGCAGCCAGCAGCCACTCTGGGCAGAGGAAGGAGTCGGGACAAGCACCCCGCCCCGCCCCAGTCTCCCCTTACAAGGAGGAGATCTTGACCGTCTCGTGCAGTATGTAGGGGGTGGAGTGGCTGGAGTTGCGCAGGGGTCCGCCAGGGCCTCCGGGAGACGGGGGCTGGCTCTCATCCGGCGTGTTGGCAGGAGGGGTGGGGATGCAGATGATGGCTGCTGTGAAGTCTGTGGTGTCACAGTTTAGCTTCAAGTTGTCGTGGGTCTTGGCGTTCAGGTTGGAGCGGCTGGAAGAAGGGGAGACAACGGGAGAAAGAAAGGTTAGGAAGGGGCTTTTGGGGGGGTCTGTAGTCACCACCTTCCCCAGGCTCCGTTCTGGCACATAGTCTGGAAAAACAGGAGGTGGTTAATTTAAGAGTGCTTTGGATGATTTGCAGAAGCAGGAGAGAGCAATGTTGCTGGTCTGCATCGCCCCATCAGCCCTGACCTTTGACCTTACCAGCCAGGGCTGATAGGAAATGCAGTCCTACAGCATCTGGAGGGAACATCCAATTTTGCTGGGAGGTCTGAAGCCCAGCACTGCTTTTATTTTAAAAGGAATCGTCCCATCCATTTCCTATGACAATTAACATTTCATCCATTTCCACTAAATACATTTAGCGGTGCATTGATCACATATTTGCTGATCTGCGTATACATATTTTGCACATGTACTACAAAAGTCAAGCTGTTCTTGGGCCAGCGTGTTTCATAACCCATCACTGTTCTTGGAAACAATGTCTTGGAGAACAGGGTTTAGAGTAGGGGCCGGCAACTGCAGTCCCCAGCCAAGTTCAGCCCTAGAGTGTGGTTATAACCATTACTACTACTACTACTACTATTACGACGACTAATACTAATTAAATGTATATACTACTCTTTATCTGAAGATCACAGGGCAGTTTACAGTAAAATATTTAAATAAACATAAGCAAACAAACAATCGAAGTTGCAAACAGCAGAGCCAGAGGGGAATGAAATGCAAAGAAATAACAAAATAACAAAATTCCTTCCAGTAGCACCTTAGAGACCAACTAAGTTTGTTATTGGTATAAGCTTTCGTATGCATGCACACTTTTTCAGATACACGAAAGCTCATACCAATAACAAACTTAGTTGGTCTCCTGGAAGGAATTTTTAAAATTTTGTTTTGACTACAGCAGACCAACATGGCTACCTACCTGTAAAGAAATAACAGATAGCAACAGTTTGGTTCCAGCTAGAAAGTATGCAAGGGATTACAACAGCAGCGAAGGGTGATAAAAAGCAATCAGTTTGGCAATGCTGAGTTAGCAGATAGCTGTGCTGGAAAAAAAGAAAGCCTTTGTCTCTATTCAGACCCAAAGGAGCATGTGCAGAGTGCTGGTCCATCATCAGTGATCACCCCGATATAGCCAGATGCCACACATCTGTTATGTTAGGGGGAACAGTTTCAAAGATCAAAGAATGCAGCTCGCAGGTGGGTTTGAGCCCAAGCAGGGAGGGTGGGGGACGCTACTTGTTCCTTCACATGACCAGTGTCTGGTTGGAGTATAGGAGGCAGCAACCAAAGTTGATTCTCTCCACTTAGCCACTCATGAAGCCAGGCACTGACCACTGTTTGTGTGGCACTGCAGCTCTTCCGCCAGCAGGTGGCAGCAGATTCCACACTTCGGGAAAAGGCCCTCTAAAATATGCCACAGAAAAAGCAATACAGTTCGGCTCAGCAATACAGTATTGGAGACTTGTAGCTGAAAAGCTGCTTAATCCCCCATTTTCAACACTGGAACAGACTCCCTTGGAAGGTAGTGGATGCTCCTTCCTTGCAGGTTTTTTCAGTAGAGGCTGGTTGGTCACCTATCTTTAGTTAAGATTCCTGCATTGCAGGGGGTTGGACTAGATCACGGGTGTCAAACACAAGGTCCGCGGGCCGAATCTGGCCCGCCAGACCTCGTCATGTGGCCCGTGTAGCCGCCGCCGGCCGCCAGCCTTCACCTTTTATTCTCGCTTTTTTTTGTTTTACACAAGAAAGCCGCCTTTCCAGCGGATGCGCGGCAGCCTACAAGCCAGAGAACGTCTGCCCTCTTGAGGCGCCGGCCGTTCTACACAGGAAACCTCCACTTTACATGCATTCAGGAAACCTCCACTTGTTTTTATATTGAGCGCATGCCATCCTGTGATGTGACAGATCCAACGGCTGCCTGAACCCTTCTCTCCTGTACTGTAAGTCCTACAGATACAACCGGCCCTTTGAGGGTGACCAAACTGCTGATGAATTTGAGTTTGACACCCCTGGACTAGATGATCGCCAGGGTCCCTTTCCAACCCTACAGCTCCATTGATTCCTGGGTTTCAGACTCATTACCTTTGCCTGCCTGCGTCTCTTGCACAGCTACTAGATACTAAGTGGCTTCCCCCCATTCTCATCCTCTCCCTCTTTTCCTTGACTCTCTATCTTGTCTAACCATCTTTATTCCAGTTTGCCAGTCCCTCTTCACCCAGCCATCCTTGTCCTCTGTGCAGCCTTGCTCTGGTTCCTACCCCTCTCTCCTCGGCCTCCTCTTTCAGCTGATGCACAGAGTCCTCCCACAGATTCCACACGAGGTGTTTGTCCATCAGCCACTGACTGCTCAGTTCCTTTCTAGCAGCAGCAGCAGCTCAGCTGGTTACTCGGAGGGAGCAGAGGAGGTTTTTAACAGTCAAAGGTCGTCCAGTGCAAATCACAAAGCTCCTCAGACTTAATCTACCCCAGTTCTGCAGCTTGTTCTGTCACCCATAGGTTCTTGCAACCAGGAAACATTTTCAGAGATCCAAGCCACGCCTGCCTTTGCTGCAACCAGTCCTTATCCTTTCCCGACGGGGCGCTGATAAGCAGTCAGTCATTCTCCCTCTTCATGACATCTCTCTTAGATATTTGAAGCCACTTTCATGAGTTTCCCCTTAATCTTCTTTTCCCTGAGCTATTCATGTCCAGCTCCTTTGGCAGTTCCTCATTCATCATTCATTCGAAACCCTACGCCGTCTCACTTTTCCTCTGAATCATTCTTGAAAGTGTGGGCACAAATTTAAACTTGCACGATAGCGGTGCCAGTGGCCCCTGCCCTCTATCACCACATTCCTGCTTTTGTCAAACCAAAATCCAAAAAAGAAAAAAGCCTTTGCCTTCTCTCCACTCCAATGCAATAGCCCCACATTGCTGACTCATTTACATTGCAATCCGCTATAACCTTAGATCTGTGGTCCTTGAAATAGGAGGTGGGACTCCCCAAGGAGGTGAAAGCAGTGTTGGGATGAGGTCCAGCCCACCACTTTCTTATCAGCAGACCGTGTGTATGGAGTGGCACTCAGGCAGTGAACTTGGGGCGCATCCAGACTGCTGCTGTTTTCAAGTGGGATTCAATCACATAATCAGCAAATTCAGGTTGCACCATTCTACTTGATAGGGACTCTTACACGACAAGCCTGCTTTCCCAGGAGATCAGACGCTTTAGGATAAGGAAGAAGAAAGGAGAGAATGACTGGAAAGTGTAGGACATGGGTAGGCAACCTAAGGCCCACGGGCAGGATCCGGCCCAATCGCCTTCTCAATCCGGCCCACGGACGGTCCGGGAATCAGTGTGTTTTCACATGAGCAGAATGTGTGCTTTTATTTGAAATGCATCTCTGGGTTATTTGTGGGGCATAGGAATTCGTTCATTATTTTTGTTCAAAATATAGTCTGGCCCCCCACAAGGTCTGAGGGACAGTGGACCGGCCCACTGCTGAAAAAGTTTGCTGACCCCTGGGGTAGGATAATACAGTGGTACCTCTGCTTAAGAACTTAATTCGTTCCAGAGGTCTGTTCTTAACCTGAAACTGTTCTTAACCTGAGGTACCACTTTAGCTAATGGGGCCTCCTGCTGCCGCCACGCTGCCGCCATGCGATTTCTGTTCTCATCCTGAAGTAAAGTTCTTAACCCAAGGTACTACTTTCAGGTTAGCGGAGTCTGTAACCTGAAGCGTTTGTAACCCAAGGTACCACTGTACTTGCTTTGATATACTCAAATAAACGGGTCATCTGGAAGTGCCCTATACATGATGCTAGCAGTGTGATCCTATACATCTACTCAGAAATACCGTATTTTTTGCTCTATAAGACTCACTTTTTCCCTCCTAAAAAGTAAGGGGAAATGTGTGTGTGTCTTACGGAGTAAGTGCAGACTGCGCAGCTATCCCAGAAGCCAGAACAGCAAGAGGGATTGCTGCTTTCACTGCACAGCGATCCCTCTTGCTGTTCTGACTTCTGAGATTCAGAATATTTTTTTTCTTGTTTTCCTCCTCCAAAAACTAGGTGCGTCTTGTGGTCTGGTGCGTCTTATAGAGCGAAAATACGGTAAGTTCCCTTGTTAAATGGTTTCAGTCCTGGATACCCAGTGGGGCTTACTTCCCAGTAAACATGCCCAGAATAGGGCTGTGCAGCTGCAAGCACCCAAACTATATATAAGGGTTCACAGAATCATAGAACTGTAAGGTTATAAGGAACCTAAAGGGTCATCCAGTCGAACTCCCTGAAATGCAGGAATCACAGCTCAAGACTGCCTGACAGGTGGCCATTCAACCTCTGTGGGGAAACTTCCAGGAAAGGAGAGTCTGCCACTTTTGGGAGCCTGTTCCATTATTGAGCAGCTGTTGCTGTCAAAAGGTTCTTCCTGATATTTGGTCAATCTCCTTTCTTGTAACTTGAATCCATTGGTTCGGATCCTAGCCTCCAGAGCAAAAAAACCCCACAAGCATGTTCCCTCTTCCTTGTGACAGTCCTGCAGATATTTGAAGATGCCTATCTCCTCTCAGGGACGCGGGTGGCGCTATGGTCTAAACCACTGAGCCTAGGGCTTGCCGATCAGAAGATCGGCAGTTCAAATCCCAGCGACAGGGTGAGCTCCTGTTGTTCGTTCCCAGTTCTTGCCCACCTAGCAGTTCAAAAGCACGTCAAAGTGCAAGTAGATAAATAGGTACCGCTCCGGCAGAAAGGTGAACGGTGTTTCCATGCGCTGCTCTGGTTCGACAGAAGTGGCTTAGTCATGCTGGCCACATGACCCGGAAAAACTGTCTGTGGACAAACGTCAGCTCCCTCGGCCTATAGAGCGAGATGAGCACCACAACCCCAAAGTCATCCGCAACTGGACCTAACAATCAGGGGTACCTTTACCTTTACTTCCTCTCAGTCTCCTCTTTTCCTAGCTAAACATACCCAACTCCCTCAACTGTTCCTCATAAGGCTTGGTTTCTAAAACCCTTGATCATCTTGGTCACCCTCCTCTTTACATGCTTCTGTTTCTGGACTTCCTTCATCCATAATCACTGAAGGGAGTCCAATAACATCTGGGGGCCTGCAGGCTCCCCCATCCCTGCTGAAGGGGAAGGGGGGAAAACCTCCTAGTTTACTAGGGAATCTGTCGGGATAGTCCTTCCAGGACTCCTCCATTTAGCAGAGAAAACCCACAAGTAGAGGATATGGTTCTCCAATGGTTTTCCTACCGTTGCTGGAGATTGCATGAGGAAGTCATATTTACCAACATTTCAGAGATGAAAGATGAGACACTTCTTATGTAACGTAACATCCCTTTGCTCGCACACCTGAGTCTTGCAGCACTACTATTACGTATTGCTGATGACTTTTCCTGGGCCACCGTATGTTATTTTCATTTACTCTGAAATCACCAGTCCCGCTGCTGCAGAGCTGCTGCAGGTTTTGTTAGTAAATTGGCCATAAAATTTCCGTCAAAAGAAGAAGAAGAAGAAAGCCTAGGAATACTCTCACCACACAGTTGAGCTGGTTATAATTTCAGTGCGGTCGCCCTATAAGTGCCACTAGTTCAGTTCTGCAGTTAAACAAATGCTGCAAGATCTTATTAGCTAGATAAGCAATTACGGAACTGCTTGCATATATTGTTTTCAAGCAATTTGTGGAGGGAGTGTGACAAAAGAAACTTCCCCTCCATAAACACTGCAGATATTTCATAAGAGGCTACATGTACCTTATGTTAGATGAAATGGCCCGGGATATGTTTCTACTCCACCCCTTTTTAAACTTTAAAAAGAAGCCTTGCTGCTGCACAAGGCAATAACAAAGCTCTAGAACAAAGGAGGGACGCGGGTGGTGCTGTGGGTTAAAGCACAGAGCCTAGGACTTGCCGATCAGAAGGTCGGCAGTTTGAATCCCCGCTACGGGGTGAGCTCCCGTTGCTCGGTCCCTGCTCCTGCCAACCTAGCAGTTTGAAAGCACGCCAAAGTGCAAGTAGATGAATAGGTACCGCTCTGGCGGGAAGGTAAACGGCATTTCTGTGCACTGCTCTGGTTTGCCAGAAGCGGCTTAGTCATGCTGGCCACATGACCCGGAAGCTGTACACCGGCTCCCTCGGCCAATAAAGCGAGATGAGCACCGCAACCCCAGAGTCGGTCACGACTGAACTTAATGGTCAGCGGTCCCTTTACCCTTTACAGAACAAAGGAACATCCCATGTTGTCTTCAACTGAGCCACACCATTGGTCCATCTAGCCCAGTATTGTCTGCAACTGACTGGCAGCAGCTCTCTGGGGTTGAGGCAGGAGTCATTTCCAGCCCTGCCTGGAAATATCAGGGATTGAACCTTGGACCTTTGGAATGCAAAATGCATGTTGTTATCCTGAGCTACAGCCCTTTGCCTCTGCAGCCTTGGCCTCATGCGCATTCGCAGCCGCATTCCCAGGGACAATTTGCCTAAGGAAATGCAGTCAGTAGGCTGTGGAGAGCCTTGCCACTGCTAGGGCTGGCAATCAGCCTTTATTTTTTACTTATAAAACAGGGGGAAATAAACCTTTGAGCATCTGTCTAAGGAAAGCCAACTGCCCCCCCCAATGTAAAAGAAACTTGAACCTCCCTTACCATCGCTTTCTTGGGGGCACAAAATCTTGCAAAAACGGGAAGGGTGGTGGAAAGATAATTTCAGCCTAGTATTAGTTAGGACTTGCTGCTGGGTTGCATCACACAGATGATGGGGTTTTAAAGAAGAAATTAAGAGGGGCCCCAAATGCTGAGGCAACGAAGGCTCGGGAATCTGTTGGAAGCCACAAAGGCAGGGCTTTTAGGGGACAGGGAATGCCAGAGCAGAGCAGGCCCAGCGCTCTCTCTCTCTCTCTGGAGGGGAATTATGAGGCAGACTTCCCACAAAAGGAAATAATAGTTATAAGGTTGAGATCTTTGCCCTGAAAGCTACAAAAGCCAGTCAGTGAGTTGTGGGCATGAGGACCACCTGAAGTCGCAGGACAGGTAACAAACACAAAATTTTTGTATTTCCACTTAGTCTGCTGTGTGTTTTCAGCTGCTGCCTCATATTCTTGCTAATATTATTGGTTCACTGTATATTTCAGTGTTTTATGTTGTTCGCTGCCCTGGCGCCTACTGGATTCCTCCTGGGGCTGGCTACTGGGTGCTGTGGGTGGCAGGAGGATAGCATTGCTTCCTTCGCAGTTAATGGACCAACAGACATTATATCGACAGCTCCCTGGTCTCTGCCAGCCTCACTAGCAGCCTGGACCTGGACGCAGCCAGTGCAGATGCTGTGGGAAATCCGCTCCACTTCCCCGTGGGGAGGAGTTGTGGTGGACCGCATGGCCACCCCTCCCCTCCAGGGGTGGGGGACTTAGTTCCCTGTTGCCCGGGGGATCCAGGCCACGTCAGAGCCCGGCCAGCCAATCCGCTGGCCAGGGGTGTGTGGCCGGGACCATTTAAACAGAAGCGCACGCAGGAGGGCTTCCTCTTTGGCTCACTTCCTCAATCACCCTCCCTCCCTAATTTGCAGGTTTTAGGCAATAGCTTTGCTATGGACCTCGGTTGGTCGCCATTGAGGGGCCTGGTAGGAATTTTTCCACTTGGCAAATTGGCACTGGCCACTTGGTTTTCGCCTACCTCATAACAATTGTCACAACTTTGTTAGGGTTGCGGTTAGGCATTGTTTGACCTTGTGTGGGGGAGGTGAGGTGTGGCCATCACCTGCCCCTCCAAGCTGAAGGGTATTCTGTTAAAGGCATCAGGGGTGTCGATCTTGTCCGAAGCCCGGGTCGGGGGCTAGGGCCAAGACACGACCCCAACGTGAACACCAGGGGGAGCTCAAGTTGGTACGCATCGACAGGGCTCCCCCTTCTGGTGGTTTACCCTTACTGGACTTCCTGCGCATCGGGCAGGAGTCAGGTATAGTCGGGTCCATGCAATGCCTAAGCCAATACCGCTCACATTCTGTAATCAATAAAGTTGTGGCCAAAATTTGCCCAATAACATTAACCTAATATCCGTGTCCTTGTGTGTGTTATTTCCCAATGAGGGGGTGTCTTCGGGGTCTCGACACGCAACTGGTGGCTTCAAACTATGCAGGCTCATCAAGACAGTACCCTCTGTTGGTGCCAGTGAGAGCTCATGGCATGCTGTGTGGGGAAACAGGAATTGCATCTTCATCTCTTCCTCTTCCAGATTCCCTGGGTATGCTGACCTATCAGGCAGGGTGACCCACTAAAAATTAGCCAGCATTTGACAGATGGACCAGAGTCAGAGTTTTCCCCCCTCCACCCACCTCTGAACCAGTGGTCTCTCTGTTTCTGTTTTCATGCATTAACATTCTCCTGTTCCCAATCCTCAAGCCCAGGAGGACTCTTCACTTGAACTGATGCAGCTCCCTCCTCTGAGGTCAGTGACCTGTTTGATGTAGGAAGTGAGGAATTGGTTCCTGACCAGCAAAACTTAAAAGTTTGTGTACTACTATGACATTTGATGGGGCAGGAGAAACCCTTCTGGACCCATATGCAAAAAGAAAAATAAGTGTCTTAAATTTATCCAACTGGCAATGTTCCTTGATCCAGCAATATTTCTAGGATATCTTAACTTACCTTTGCTAAAGACCAGATTGCAGTAGATATACAGCCTCCTTTTATGTGACTCCTTAATCTCCTATAAAATATCCCCCTGCAGCTAAGCTACAGGGCCAAAGCTCAATCTCGCACGTGGGAAAGGAACTACTCAAATGTAACATAGAGCTTATTCACACTTATTGTCGTGCTGCTTCCCCCATACACCCCGTGAAAACTGCTCTTTAGTGCTCAATCAGAACAAATGGCAATTTGGGTTTTCTCCAGAGAGACATTTGCTCCATTTGAGCACTAAAGAGTGGATTTGCCCTGGGAAATGAGAGGTGCAAGGGGGAAACCGCCGAAACCCATGATATCTAGGCACAGCACAAGCAGAAGTGTGGACGAGCTCAGAGCCGATCTCTCGTTCCCACGGCGAGGTGTGACGGCATGCAAACATTACCCTTACCTCTGGGGGGCAGCACTTTTCTGGCTGTTTAGCGTATCGAGCTCCTGAGCGCTGGTGCGGCTCACTGACATGGTGGAGTTGGTTAGGCGGGTGGTGCGGCGCTTGGTCCGGCGGGGGCAGCACGAGGTGCTTAGGCCCCCTTTGCCGCCTTGCTGGGAGGAGAGGGAGGTGCTGCGGCTGGTGCGGTAGCCCAGGGGTTCCGTCAGGCAAAACTCGCTGTAGGAGTGCTCATCCGTAAACTCGTGACTCTGTTGGGGGGGGGGGAGGGAGAGAGAAAATAATGTCAGGGGGTTGGTGTGCGGGCATTCACTCTTACAGCTGGGCCCCACATCATGTACGTTCCTGCTTGCGTCACGACATAGATAAGGGCGCCATCACGACTGTGCGTATTCTGTGGCTCTGCTGCGTGGCATTACACAAACAAGGAACTTTGAGTCAGAGGCAGAATTCATCATCCCAAGAGTCTCAGCTGATTTTCTTATGGCCGCAGAGTTGCATTTGAAGCCATGTAGGGAAATCCACTGTCTGAAGGGTATTCGGTGAACAAGGATCGGGGTGTAATCCTTGTTCCGAGGAGAAAAGATGACGCAGAACAGCCATTCGCATAACTTATTCGGATTGCAGAATCTGGTTTTTGAATTGGTACAGAATTCGTGTGTAGAATGTTGGAGTTGTAAAGGATACTCAACAGGATGATCATCATTTTTTAAAAGACAACAACAACCCCCAAAACACCTTGACAGAGATGGAGAACTTGTGGCCCTCCAGACATGATTGAACCACAACTCCTGTCATCCATAACCCAGAATGCGGCAGCTAGACTGGTGACTGGGAGCGGCCGCCGAGACCATATAACACTGGTCTTGAAAGACCTACACTGGCTCCCAGTACGTTTCCGAGCACAATTCAAAGTGTTGGTGCTGACCTTTAAAGCCCTAAATGGCCTTGGTCCAGTATACCTGAAGGAGCGTCTCCACCCCCATCGTTCTGCCCGGACACTGAGGTCCAGCGCCGAAGACCTTCTGGCAGTTCCCTCGCTGCGAGAAGCCAAGTTACAGGGAACCAGGCAGAGGGCCTTCTCGGTAGTGGCACCCGCCCTGTGGAACGCCCTCCCACCAGATGTCAAAGAGAAGAACAACTACCAAACTTTTAGAAGACATCTGAAGGCAGCCCTGTTTAGGGAAGCTTTAATGTTTAATAGGTTATTGTATTTTAGTGTTTTGTTGGAAGCCGCCCAGAGTGGCTGGGGAAACCCAGCCAGATGGGCGGGGTATAAATAATAAATTATTATTATTATTATTACTAAGGCATGCTGGACTGCGGGGGAGGCGGAGGTTGAGGGGGGTTGGAGTCCAACAACATTTGGAGGGTCACTGGTTCCTTTGCGTCAGATCTAGGCAATCCTGGATCGAAATCAGATTCCATTGGCCATCCAAAAAGCTCCTCACAGTGACTAAGTCTAGCTTCTTCCACTTGTGTTGTCCAAACCCCTTTCCTTCCTTTGCACCCTCTGCTGCTACTCACGGTAGTTTTCTCCAGGCAGTGCAACAAATGATGGTGTTGCATTTCAAAGGCTGATCGGTTTCGCACAGCCAAGACGTGAGCATCAGGGTCTCTGTCCTGTAGAGGAAAAGAGAGGAGCGCCAATTAATTGAAGCAGACCGTCTGAAGGCGCATGAGGCCACCGCCACCTTGCTGAAGGGAAGCAGGTCTGGCTCAACGCCTGGATGGGTGTTTGCCCAGGAACATAAAGGCAGGAATATATATGTATGCAAATAAATAGGACAGATACATACATACACATTTGATTCCCACAGTTGGCAGCACTGGGTGCTATCCAACAAAGTAAAACACTGAGTAAAACATAGCGCATAGTTAAACGATGGAATTTGCTCCTGCAATAAACAGGGAGGTTCCACCAGCCTTGCTGACTTAAGAATTAGACAAATTCATGAAGGACAGGGCTATCAGTGGCTACAAGCCATGTTGACTATGTTCCGCCTCCAATGTCAGAGGAAGGATGCTTCCGAATACGACATCCTGGGTATCGTAAATGAGGAGAGCGCTGGCGCACTCAGGTCCTGCTGGTGCGCTTTCCACCGGCATCTGATTCCCTGCTGTGATGTTGGACCAGGTGGGCCTTGGACATGATCCAGGAGGACTCTGCTTAGAGCAGACCTATTGAAATCAGAGTCATGTCCATACATTTCAACAGATCTGTTCTGAGGGAAGCTATGGCTTGAATACCAACATACAGGTGGAGGAGGAGGAGTTTGGATTTGATATCCCGCTTTATCACTACCCTAAGGAGTCTCAAGTGGGACGTGGGTGGCACTGTGGGTTAAACCACAGAGCCTAGGGCTTGCTGATCAGAAGGTCGGCAGTTCGAATCCCGGCGACAGGGTGAGCTCCCATTGCCCGGTCCCTGCTCCTGCCAAACTAGCAGTTCGAAAGCACGTCAAAGTGCAAGTAGATAAATAGGTACCGCTCCGGCGGGAAGGTAAACAGCATTTCCGTGCACTGCTCTGGTTCACCAGAAGCGGCTTAGTCATGCTGGCCACATGACCCGGAAGCTGTATGCTGGCTCCCTTGGCCAATAAAGCGAGATAAGCACCGCAACCCCAGAGTCGTCCACGACTGGACCTAACAGTCAGGGGTCCCTTTACCTTTAAGGAGTCTCAAAGCAGCTAACAATCTCCTTTCCCTTCCTCCCCCACAACAAACACTCTGTGAGGCGAGTGGGGCTGAGAGACTTCGGAGAAGTGTGACTAGCCCAAGGTCACCCAGCAGCTGCGTGTGGAGGAGCAGGGAATTGAACCCGGTTCACCAGATTACGAGTCCACTCCTCTGAACCACTGCACCACACTGGCTCTCATAGGTGACAAGTGCCTATGCATCGGGGCACACTTTGGGTATAGGCGCATGTGCATACATGCCCACATTAGAGCCAATCAGCACATTCAGAAAAATCACTTGGGATGCAAGTACTTCAGGCTATAGCTGGGTGATGCAAGTTTGACTGTTTTCGCATTTAAAAGGGATTCCCCTGTGCAGAGAAAACTAGGGCATCGTGGCTAGGACTTGGCCAGGACTTGTAGGCAGAGCCTGTGGCCAACCAGTTCTAGCTCTGCCCCCACCCATCTCCCTGCTGAGCTCTATAAGGACAACTAAGACTGAGGAGGAGGCCAACGCAGCCTTGATGTAAGCAAGAAAGCAGGTAGGGGTTGGCTGAGGGCAGACTTCCGGTTGGTGGGCCAATGCCTAATGGAGCCACCTGATGGAGCCGCCTCTATTTTTACGTCCCGCTTTTCCTTTCCAAGAAAAGCCCAAAGCAGCCGAGAAAACCAGTGTTGAGCGTGCAACTGCGTGGTCCATACCTCGAGGCCCCCGTTCTGCTTGTACTGAAGGAAAGCGTTGGTGGTGCCACTCTTGGCGAGGCGGATCCGGGCCAGGCGAACCTTCTGCAAGGGGGAGAGATGGAGGACTGTGTATGGAATGAGAGGCAGGTGTGGCCCTCCCCTCCCTCCCTCCCCCCCTCCTCCCATCGCCCTTCCGCCTTCTCTCTTCCGCCTGGCCGCACAGCTACCTGTTGAGCTCGCCGCTTATCTGCCCGCTGGTTCTGGTGGTAGATGCGGCTGAAGTTGGAGACGATGACAGGTACAGGGAGGGCGATGACCAGCACCCCACTCAGAGAGCAGATGGAACCGAAGATCTTCCCTGCAATGGTGCTCGGGACCATATCACCATAGCTGGAAGGGAGATGGTAGTTAGTGAAGTTCATGGGTTCTTGCCTGACCTTGCCCCGTCACACATGCGCATGACTAACCCCCTTTCCTCCTGCAGTGCATGGAGCTGCACACCTTCCTAGGACGATACTGCATGTGGGTCATGGAGGGATTGGCTGACAACTCAGAGGGGAAAGGAAGGAGGTTAGAGTTAGCTTTTTCCTGTTTGCTGGCTGTTGATTATCTTGGGGCATATTCTTGATTCTGCTTTTAGCAAGTTATACAATGATTAGGCTGTGATAATGGAGAGTGGCAACGTTTGTGTGTGTGTGTAATTCTGGTAGGGATGCCAAGTTTCTCACACGCACACCCCGCAACACACACACACACTGAGCTGCCTCCTATATGTTCAGCAGCAGTTTGACACAAAGAAATCCAGCAAAGTAGAGCTTTCCTGATTTGCAAACAGAAATGCATCACTCCTTCAGAGTTCACACATCACTGAATTTTGCAATGCAGTTCTTCAACCACATAACGTGAATACTGTATATTAGGGAGAAGAGCACATAAAATATATATGTACCGGTGCAAATAACATTAAAAATGCATTACATCTGGAGAAATTTCTCACCAAAATGTCTATGAGACAAAAATGCATGCAAAAATGTGAATATTGGAGAAAAGGCACACAAAAATGCTGGTGGGTTTTCTTTTTTTTTAAAAAAAATGATATTTATTGGAAAAAAATTTTTTTAAAGTTACAAAAAAAGAACAAAGTAGAAAAAGAGAAAACAAACCACTTCCAACAATACAAATACAAATTCAAAATAAGAAAGAACAGAAAAAAAACAAAAATATACCACATTTAAAAACATTTAAAAACAAATCCATTATTCTCAAATCCTCAACTGTCATTACCTTCTTTCTTTGACCTCCTCCTCCTCCCTTTTTTTGTATCCTAGTTATTAATTATCACAGCAAATCCTTTCCATATTTCATAATATTCTGTCATTACATTACCTTAAACTATTTTAATCTTATCTTTCTATAAAAAAAACCTTGAAACTTAAAACTTAAATCTTATCCTTACCAACTTCTCATAACCATAATATTCTTTCATAATTCTTTAAACATTTTTACTAAAGCCGAGTAATTTCATTCCAACATTTTTCTAACATTCATCAATTTTATAAAACAGTCCTAATAGTAAAAAAAAGAAATAAAAACAAATCCGATCTTCATCCAGCGTCCCTTCCTCCTGGTCCCGGGTTTTGTCAGTCCTTATTATCCCATCGATCTAGCGCATTAACCTGGCAACCTTATATCCGAGGCTCTTAAGTCTCTTCCATGTCCCTTCCGCAGCTCTTCTTCATATCTGTAACTGTATTTTCCCTTGTCTCCTGCTCGTGGGAACTCCAGCTTAGCAATATTTTTGACCCTTCTCGACAGATCAGCCCCTTTTCCATATTCGACACTAAATTCCATGTGGTATTTAAAAACATGTTTCAAAACCCTCCAAAATTAAGAGCCCCCACAATCCCAAACATCTCACGGCCCATTGCCAGATTTGAAAAGTCCAAACATCCCTGCATAGGGGGGGTCAATCCAGCCCCCCATTTCCAAGCCAAACCAAACTTTTTCTTTCCAAATCTGGCTTTTTCCAAGTTCATTTGTCAAATCCGAAAGCTCATATTCCTGTTGGGCCTGTTCTGTCAGGACACACTCCTGATTTAATTCCTGGGTGGGCTCCACATATTTTCCCACTGTCTGTTCAAAGTTTCCCACTGCCTGTTCAAAATTTCTAATCGAATTCGCCATCAAATTCGTCTTCTCATGTAACTGTTCCAGTAGGGCATTTGTTTTATAGAAAGCACACAACAGAGCTTCTGAATACATTGTCCTGCAAGGTCAAATGTCTATTCCCACGATTGTAATCTGTAACAGCTGCCGGCTCCCTGGAATTAGTTACAGTTTCACAGTCTCCTCTAGGGGAAAACTTCTATTTGTTCTTGCAACAAAGTTTTCCTTTTGAGATATTTTGTCAATATTTGTTCCTTTAAAATGCGAAAGGAAACAGTGGAATCACTATGTTCTCTTCTTTTAGCTATCTGTCAAAAACGTTTGTCTCTGGTCAATGAGCTTCAAACGTCAGTCCTGACACCCCGCTCCAGGATCAGGACGGTGGAAAGTTACTTTACTTTAAACTCACTTCTGCAGGTTTAAACAGTCCGAAAAAGATCCCCCCCCCTTCTCCTGCTGTCGAAGGGGGGGTTCCACAATTTTAAATGATGAAATCCAATCCTTTAGAGGCGATTTTCTGAGCTCTAGTTTACGTTGTCTTTGCTTTATTCTGTCTACAAAAGAACGGAAGGCTGACTTCCTGTTTAGACCTTCCCGTTTCAGTACCAAATTGAAATAAATTTTTAAGTCCAATTCCTTTCTGCTCGCAAGTCCTTATTTAAAGTCCAGTTGTTCAAAGTTTAAGTACTCACGGGTGCTTATTTTAGAATCCAAATTGTCCCAGGAAAAAGGCAGCGCTCTCCGGCAACGGCTATGCGGCTTCGCTCCACGGAAATAGCAGTTGACTCACAGCACCGCGCCACTTCTCCCTCTTCACTTCGGAGCCCGTTAGTGGGTTCCTTTGCGGGTTGGGGGGGCGCTAAAGGTGCCCGCCGAGTCCCATGGTCACAGGCTTCATCCGCCTGTGATTTTTAAAAGGGTCCCCGCTTCGCCGTAGCGGAGAAGACCCGTTTCGCGCGGAGCTGGTCCCTCCAGTTCAGAGGGAGTCCGCCATTGCTGATGGCGCCACCCCGGAAGATCAAAAATGCTGGTGGGGTTTCATGAGGAGGATTATTATTATTCTTTTATTTTACATAAAACAAATTTCACAAAGATGAAGAAATTTGTAGAACTGAGCTTAAAGCCTGGGAAACTGAGAAACTGAAACTGAAACTGACACATTTGTCCCTCCATCGTGGCACCCCTCCCACATGGTCCTTATTTTACATCTTGCATAAAGGTTGCATAAGCATGGAATTTTACTGAGCATAGCACTGAGCTCCTTCTTCCTCAAACAAGCTTGAAACCATGTGAGTGATGCCTGGTTAAATCGTAGAAACTGGAAGAGGACCAGGCAGGGTTTCCCGTACTTGGGAGAGCGCTGTATTGCTCCGCATCTCTCTCGAAGGCGAGTGAGAGCAGCATAAATTATGCAAAGCATGCATTTGCAAATTGCATTTGTAGAATTTATTCAGGTCACAGAATCTGGTATTTCAGGTCACAAAATTGGTATTGCTTTAGCACTGAATTTTAAATTTGTTGTAAACCGCAAAGAGTACACAGCCAGCCACAGACCTTGCATTAGGGTACAATCTGAACAAGATGACCTACAAGCCCTTTCTAGGCTCACTAACTTTCCCACCAGCCACTCTAGCTGAACCTTTAAACAGAAGCTTGTGCAAACATTAATAGGTGATAATGTGGTCATTGCCAAGAAAACTCCATGGACATAAAAAAGGAGAAGCTTTGAGAAGAAAATGAGAGTTTCCAAGGCATGCTCTGGTTCACAGAGAGCCGGACATGACTAAGACGACTAAACAACAACAACAATGTAGTCATGCTCATCTCCGTGCTGTGAAACTTTCTCATTTCTGCACATTGCACTGTGTTACAAGGCCCAAGAGCAGACCAGGAGAAGATTCTTGTCAGTTGGCAACACTAGTTTGCTGAAGGGCATATGAATTGAGAAAGCATATCTCAGCATCTCCATCTATGCAGGAAAGGAAAGTGAGTTCCTTGCCCACCCACCCACCTTTGGGTAACTACAATCTCAAATAAGAATAGGGTCTCAACCTATAAAGCATGCCTCCCTGAATCAGTCAGCAGTCTAATTCAATGCCTAAGAGAAATTTGGAGGAAAAGTTCTCTGAAGAAGATCAAAATCAGATAACTGCATAGGCTCATAAGAACAAAATTCACACAGGCAGTAAAATGATTAGGACCAGGCTGCGTTCAAAATGCAAGTTTGTAAGGTTTCAAGTTAAATTTTATCGATTTCCAGCCTGAGAAGGAACTCTATGCAACTCAAAAGGTCACATACTGCATTGTGAACATTGCTTGGTCCTGGTAAAGATATTATTTTTAATAATTCTATGAGTTCCCCCACCCAACTCCCCCTGCAAAACAAAGGAAGAGTCAAAGCCTGAGCCTAGCGCTTGAAAATAGCAATTAATTTTTATTTGAAGATTGCCCAACTCATTTTGAAAATGTTCATTCTCAAGGGCAAAGGGCCTTCGTTTGTCCTAGTCTGGTACATCAGCCCAAAGAGAGTTTACTCCCTGCTGTGCTGGGATAAGACTCTTGGTCCCTGGGAAAGATAAGTTTTGAAACACGTCAAACAAATTTCAAAGCATAAGAATAATAATTGCTGTTTTGCAAGCACCAGGCAAAGGTTTTGCCTCTCCCTGTGCCCCTACTTCCCCCAGCCTGTGAATGACCCCAAACAGGAGTATGCAACGGGTGACCAAATACTGTTGGACTCCAACTCCCATCAGCCCCTGCCAGTATGGCCCATGGTCAGTGATCATGGGAACTGTAGTCCATCAACATGTGGGTGGCCAAAGGCTCCCCACCCCTTGTTCTAAAAATACCCATCACCTACCTGAACATTGCAGAGGTAAAGGTAAATGTAAAGGGACCCCTGACCATTAGATCCAGTTGTGGCCGACTCTGGGGTTGCGGCGCTCATCTCGCTTTATCGGTCGAGGGAGCCAGCATACAGCTTCTGGGTCATGTGGCCAGCATGACTAAGCCGCTTCTGGTGAACTGGAGCAGCACATGGAAACACTGTTTACCTTTCTGCCGGAGCGGTACCTATTTATCTACTTGCACTTTGACGTGCTTTCGAACTGCTAGGTTGGCAGGAGCAGGGACCGAGCAACAGGAGCTCACCCTGTCACGGGGATTCGAACCACCGACCTTCTGATCGGCAACTCCTAGGCTCTGTGGTTTAACCCACAGCGCCACCCGCATCCTGAACATTGCAGAGAGAGACCTC